ACCTCTGAGTTTTGGGGTAATGATGTTATTCCAGGACATGTGTGAGGGTAAGACGACCAGCTGGGGAAGACCTACCTGACGGCGGCGATGGTAGCGAGCATCAACAACACAACCTTCATGGTGGAGTCTCCTAAACTGACTGGGACGATGACTCTTACTTGGTTTCTTTTATACCAACACAGAGCTCTGAATATCTAACTGTCCATCCTTTTATGTAATAGCTTTTGTTGTTACGTAAAAACTGAGAAATTCTCATCATCCGACACACACACACAGGTGTTCTAACAGTCGACCTGCACCTGTGTTATGTCAACTGTTCATTACTTAACAATTTCATAACATTTTAGAGGAAATAAAATTAATTATACCTTCTTTATATACATGTTATTAAGAATTTATTTAGTTTTGTCATGTTCTAAAAATAACTAGGTACAATTTTTGCCTCAGAGGCTTAATATACTGTACAGCCTTACAAAAGGTAGTACTATTTATGTAAACACTAACATGTGAATAGATAAGCCTAGTTAGAAGTTATTTCCTTTCTAATGTTTTCTGTTAATGTATTGTCTGAATTTATCTTCATTTTATACTTGTGACAGATAACAATATGTCCTTAACAATACTCAATTTTATTTATTAATATCTATTTTAAGTACATCTAATGACAGTAATTATAGAGAAATATTTTAATAAATATTGCACGTATAATTTGTCGCGTTTTAGATAGTATACAGTATATGTAGTTTAATAGTCTGTAGTAAAATAAATTATGTAGTAGTATATGTAGTTTAATAGTCTGTAGTAAAATAAATTATGTAGTAGTATATGTGGTTTAATAGTCTGTAGTAAAATAAATAATGTAGTAGTATATGTGGTTTAATAGTCTGTAGTAAAATAAATAATGTAGTAGTATATGTGGTTTAATAGTCTGTAGTAAAATAAATAATGTAGTAGTATATGTGGTTTAATAGTCTGTAGTAAAATAAATAATGTAGTAGTATATGTGGTTTAATAGTCTGTAGTAAAATAAATAATGCAGTAGTATATGTGGTTTAATAGTCTGTAGTAAAATAAATAATGTAGTAGTATATGTGGTTTAATAGTCTGTAGTAAAATAAATAATGTGAATATTTACTCCATATTGCCACCAAAATATATATAGGCGACTCCAATAGTTCCTACTACTTTACCATGATATATAAATAAACCCCTCGGGAACTATGACAAATATACAAGATTTATACACATTTGGATATTTATAGCTGATTTTGGAATACATGGACACATATAAGGATACATGGATACATCTATTACAATATATATACATGGACACATACATCATTGAACACATAGATGTATCACTATAGACATGTAACCGTGAGATTCGTTCCTTTGTTTATATGATGTAAACTTACTTCTTTTAAAATGTTCTTAAATACACACAGTTAAAAATGGTTGTGGGAAAACAACTCTTATCTCAATCATGGTGACAACTCTGCCACTGCTTGATGTAAATACATTTGTTTGGTAAGGCAGCAGGATAGCCTAGTACAGTTTTTTTTTTTTTTTGCGGGGGTGGGTGTGAATTGTTTTGGTTTCTCTATAGTAAGGTCCCTCAAAGTACATTAATCTGAGTGATGGTAAGATATTGTAGGTATTCAATCGGTGTAAGAGGGTGGAAGATCTGGTAGTGTGGTAGGTGTTAGCACAGCAGGGGATGTTGTCGCTGTGGTTGACGCTGTGGTAGGATCCGTAGAAGTCGTGCAGGTGACAGGTGTGTACGGGGGAGGCGGTCCACCACTCACTACCTCTGTGTACGTGGGTGGTTTGTCTTCCTCAAGGAGACTGTGATAATCAGAGAGAGGCTCTGGATCACCAATATAGATCATGTTACTAATTCTTACTGTTCCCATATACGCCACCCTCACGAGCTGTTGTTGTTCTTCTTCAGGAGCCGCTGTTTCATCGTCAGCCGTGAGAGATGAGTCGTGAGGATGGGCGGTACAGAACCTATGTGACAACCAACTCACAAAAAATAACACACCTAAAATGATGAGGATGATGAACGGGTACAACTCCATCGTTGACAGGTCTAGTTACCTCGTAGTTCACGGCCCCTGTCGGAGTTAATGGCCATTAATGGACATTTTTAAAGAAATATGTTAGTGTATGTTCATCCCCTAATGAAGACATTTATAAATGGTTTGTGCATATTTCAGTTAGATTTGTTGTATTTTACGAATGAAATATTGAATATTAACTACCTCTGTATGGTCCCAAAAATACGTTCACACAGACACACACACACACACACACACACACACACACACACACACACACACACACACACACACACAGACACACACACACACACACACACACACCTAATACAATAACTTCAGTAAACACCGAAGATTTTACTGTGGTTCCCTTTGTTGTCATGAGAATGGGCAACAGGTATGAGAGGGGGAGTGACCTCTGATTGTTTAAATAAATGAGCCCTCATGATAAAGAGAAAGTATGTTATGACACATGTTAACATAAAAATACTCTCATAATATGCTTGATTAGATAATGTTATCGAGTCTGTATTGTAATCTACAGTAAACATGTATTTGACTTTGAGCATCGTGTGGCCGTTAAAATAGTGACGCATTAGGGAAATATTACTTTATATCTAGCACAGTACTCACTTTCCGATCTAGCACCAAAAAAAATTAAGTATATCGTGGGGTACTGAACTACTATACAATATGAGCGTTTTGCCTCTAGAGGGCGAGGCGTCCTGACGTTCTATAAAACACGTTAGTTTTTCTCTACAATTATTTGTTATATCCACCACTGTTTTTAAGCTCTATTATGGTGTGACAGAATGTCTCATAAATATATCAAATATATGAATGAGTAGGTAAACATATAGCATAGCACACGTTATTCAGTAGATCTATTGTAACGGCTCATTTTAATTACACGATACTGAGCAACAAGTATGGGCAATTCTCTTTGATACAAGTGTTTATAATCATATAAAATGTTGTTAATGCCGTTCCTCACAGTCACAAATGAATATTAACTCAACTAAAATCGTGAAATGCCAGATGGCATCACTATTATCAGATGCTGCTCTTACTAACCACAACAACACGACACAAATCTCGAACTATCTGTCTTGGCTGGGGAAGAGTGGATGCCAGTGTAGAGGAAAAACACTTAGAAATACATCTAATATCTGTAATTAACATTTAAGTAATAAGTACCTACCTTGAGCGAGAACATTGTTAAGTTACGTATAATCCAACCATGGAGCACACACACACACACACACACAGACCGCAAACGTCAACTGATGACAGTTTTATGTGCTGCAACTGCTAAGTCATTTGCTTTGTTATATTGAGGTCAGTATAACCTGCCTTAACTATCTGTGTGATAAGGAACTTGTGTTATCGTCTAAGTTGCCAGAACCACATTTTCTCGGAGTGACAGATTCACTTTTCACTTTGCTTTCTTTGTTCCTTTTGTGATAAAGTTTGACCTTGCAGGAATATGACAAATTGCTTCATTACATAATTTTCATATGGCAATAGGTGCAAAAGGATGCACCTGGGTCGTATCAACATTAAGGAGGCGTATCACATGTCCCAGCGGGGCGAGGAAATATCATTAACTGAGACCAGATGTGAGAAGTTGATTAAACATGTCCAAAGGAGAGCCACTCGACTGGTGCCTGGACTAAAGCATCTCAGTTACCCAGAGAGATTAGAACGCCTGCAGTTGTCTAACTAACCTATCTTATACTACAGGTGGGCAAGAAATGACAATAGAAGTTTATAAACACCCCAGACAGCATTAATCAGTCGAGTGCTCATATCTGTAGGTGGCAGATGCCCGCCCCACTGCAGCCCCTGCAGTGCAGGATAACACCCTTCCAACATGTGAATCGAACTCATGACACAACCGTAAGAGATACGAGGGTTGCCGCTACCACAAACACCGAGTAATAGTACAAGGATTCTGCTTCTTTAATGACGGAATAAATAGTAGAAATTGAAATATTAGAATACTAATTCATAGTAATACCATTTTAACAGGTAAATGGTAAATTACACGTAATGTTACCATGACAACCACCAGGTGACTCTGCCAGTCCTTCGCTCGTGCCTACTCTGATATTGACCCTGACTTTGTCTTAGATATTAGAAAAATATAATAATATGAAGGTATTTTATTATACATAAGAAATTTTGTTTAATATTTTTTTTTAAATAAAGTCTAATTTAGGTTAATTATGATTAATATAGTAATAAATTAATTAAATGGAACTGAAGCCACGGCCACAGACGCAAATGGAAAATTTTGACACGAAAACATCGACCTGAACACAAGACAATTTATGTTAAAACATTACCACGAGCCTCAGTTCTTGTCAACCAGCTTCAATTTTACAAAACAGCAATAAAAATCTAACTCATCTCTGATGATTAAATATTTGTATAATTTTTAATAGAGCGTAATTGATTTTTATATCATTTAAAATAATACAAACTACATTTAATAGTATTCGTGGTAATTGGTGCAACATTAGACATCTTGTGAGCTGAGCAGAAGCAGCAGTGAGACAGATACAATGATATTGATAACGATACCACGTAAGCCCTACCTAATTTACGCCCTGTTCAACACTATAATTGTATCTAACATTATAAAATACGTATATATAAATTACATGAGCCCATCGAGCAAAAAGAGAATGTGAGTGAAGGAAAATGGGAGTGTCTGACTGAGTCTCGTCTGGTACAGAATTCCAGTTTTATAACAAGCAATTTATTGTTAATGGTCGTGCTGTAATGAAGTACTAGTGAATGTAAACATGTTTCAGTAGCTAATAACCTGATGTCCTTGTTGGTTGTTTTTGGGTAAATTGCCCTAATTACACTATTGTATACCTGCACTGTCTAGGTATACTGGAAACTGTATAGTACAGTACTTTACCGTCTATGTATATTGTAAACCTGCATTATTTATTATTATTATTGTTATTATTATTATTATTATTATTATTATTATTATTATTAATGTTTTTTTTTATAACCAGCATTGTATGGACGCCGGGAAGACCTTCACCTCAGGCCACACGATGGTCATAAATTACAGAACTAACCAAAATTAATGTAATTATCAATCGATCATTAATATTCACCTTACCATGACCTGATTTAAGACTGTGTGGTATTATTATGGGCAATTTTCACGGTAACGATGCCTTGTAAACCCACGGAAATTATATTCACAACTTGATGATGTCAGGATGGGTACTTGTTAACATGAGGTGTGGGCCTCAGTTGTGCGCTTTAACCTCCAGCTTGAGGACATTTCACCATAGATGATAAATGTATTTCTATTTTAACCTCATGTGAAGACACTGTAAATGTTTTCTTACCTCACGAGAAGGAAAAATCATCGATGACGAAAATATTTTGTGTAATATGATTTTTACAATTTTTTTTTCGTTACGACACTCATTTACGGCTTACAAACGGTGATGCCACGGTGTTTTTTGTTTACATCCAGTACTATTCGATCGTTTTTCGTTTACAGACTTTTTAATTAATTTTTTTGTAATAACATCACACACTTCAACATATCATCGCTCATTTGTTTTCTTGGCCATTTTTATCAAGACTTAATTTCTAATGTGATTTTTTTTTCCAGTTGTGTGATTGACTGGCCAAGTCTGGTTTTATTATCGTTACAAGATGAAGTGCCATCAGATACTTACCGGGGCTTGCAATGCCGGCGACCGCTGCTTTGCTGTCGGTAGTGTGGAGGGCGTGCCGTTTACAGTAAGTATAGGCGGGGGAATGTGTCTTGTTTACATTAAGTATAGTACAGTAGGTGCTGGGGCCTCGATGTCTGTTTCAGTAAGAGGAAGGTAGAAATTACAGTACTGTATCTTTAATGAAATACTTCCTACATGTGAAACCAAAATTCAGAATATACTGTATTTTAATGAGAGTTGAATGTAATATTTGCTTCACTGTTCTTTAATAATATACAGGTACAGTATTATGTGTTTAGCTTTCCTGTAAGTTGCAAAGACTTATAATGCTTTCATCTCTAGGCCTATGCTGCCGGCTGCAACATAGTCATTCTGGCCAGCACATTTGAACGCGTGCAGGTCATTCCCGGCGTGTGTCATGACAACGTACAGATATCCTGCGTTGACTGTTCCACCGACACGGGCAAGATAGCCGCCGCGTATGGGAAGCTCGTGTGTGTTTTTGAACCCACGCCTCTTGTCAATCAGTTGAACGGCCATGTAAGTTGATACCATATGAGGTGTTTACAATAGCAAGGGCATATCACTTTATTGCTTAATTTCCCATTTTCTGTGTCAGTCTATAGCATCAGTGTCAGTCAACATGGATACACCTCCAGTGTGGTACAATCCCATAAGAAACTAAGGGCAGAAAACATGCAGTACCTTATATGTACCTTATATATTGTGAATGGGTCATGTAAGCTTCTGGTACAACCCTCACTCTTCCTCTCATAGTGGAAACTGAGCTATTGTGGACATCTAGTAAAGTTCGGACAGTTGTGAACCCATATACTGTAGATGTAATGTAATCTTGATATAAGCAGTACAGGTTTAAGTTTTCACTGTATGGACTCTACTGTGTATACTTTAATTTACTTTATTTCATTTATTTTTTAACCTTTCTTCTTCACTGTCGAAATTTAGTCTACGTTCTCTTTATTGTTCCTGTTTGTTTTTTATATGATTTTTATTTCCTGATCTCTCATTCCTAACCACCATTCATCTTTACTTTTTTCCTCTTCTGTCCTCTGCTGAGTCCTCATTGTCTTATATATTTCCAACAGTAACGGATCTTATCTGTAGTTTAATTTAAAATCTAATAAAGGTAATGAGTAACTGTTATTAAAGTGTGTGGTGTTATGTGGTTATGGTCGATTATATTTGAGTGAGCTGTTACTAGATATTGTTCACAGAGACTTGATTACCGATGGATTCAGACGGGAGTGATCGAGGCGGAGAACTACATAAACACCATGTCGTGGAACGTGGAGGGAACACGTCTGCTAACGGCCGGGGACGTACTTCAGATGTGGGCAGCCCCCATGGGTAGACTCGCACCTGCGGAGGATGGTAAGAGCCCTTGTGCATTATCCCGGACAATCTTTACTTCTTTGCTGTTGCATTTACTCATGCTTGACTTCTGTGTTCTCAAACTTATTTACCGAAACAAAAAGGAGACTACAGACAGTGCAGGTTCATGAGGATCTTTAACCCATGGATTTCTGATTTTTTTTACTTGTCCATGGATTTGTTAGTCTACTTATACCTATTATCACTTCTTTTTTTTCCCTGCAATGAATGGATAAGATTAGTTAAGATGGAGAGTTGGTTAATGGTAAGGGGTGGGCTGTCAGTAGTCATCTTCTGCCTCAGTTCATAAATAATCTTGGGAAATATCCTAGAGTAATGTTCCTCCTGTGAGAGTCTGAGAGTTAAGAGACAAACAATGTACTGTAGCATCCTTAGTTCCCTAGTGCTTGATGATTCTGGTTTATTGTTTTATCTCTCTCTCTCAGGTTCTTGTCCGGTAATGTTTGATCTGGAGTGTGAAGGCACGGACGAGGAGGAGCCTGCGTGGTTGTGCATCTGGCGGTGTGTGACGGCGGCAGCGACTGTCTTCTTGTCTTTCTCACCAGATGGCACGCTCTTTGCCACGTCTGCGGCCAATGATCGTTTGGTCAAAATCTGGTACGACAATAAACACAGTAAGTATTAGTGAATTAATTTAGAAATTAAATTTTGCCAGTGTCCGTAAACATATTATTGTATTCGTAGTGTTATGTGTTTATTTTGATGTCTCTATTAGAATTGTCTTTGAATATTGTCAGAAGTAATGTGACTGGAATGTAAGAGTCAGTGATAGAGAAGAGGATGAGAAAATGCTTGCAGTAGTGTATTTAGAAATGGACCTTGTAAAAGTAGTAATAACTTGCATTAACTTTTTGTATTCCCAGTGTTGGCTCCTGCAAGGCCCCAAGATGGAACAAATTTCACCAACGACATGATCCGATCATCAGTGAGCTACAGCTATATTTATCTGCCTCACCCAAGTGCTGTGAAGGGGTTCACCTGGAGGGCCACCAGCAAGTACATGCCCAAGTGAGTTTAGATGACACTTATAACACAGCTGACAAGTACCCCTGACTCACCTCGGTACTAAGTGTAGCAGGTGGTAGAGTTCTGTACTTGTCAAAAATAACATTGTTGCACATCACCTCATCACTAAAACTTGTTCACCACTTCACTTCTCACTTTGACCAAGACTTGTGGTGAGAAAATAATGTGTGATGCCAACTGATGTGAACTGAATATTTCACTATACACTACAGTACAGTGAGTGAAGAGAAGGAGAGTAAAACACTGGTGCTGCCTATGGTTGTGTTAGCCAGGACAACAATATTCTAACTCCCACAGTGAAAGATGAAGAACATACTCTGTAACATAAGGTGAATGGTGTATGGAGTCACCAGGTGGTTATGATAATATTAGCTGTAGTTAAAAGATGTTTTATATAACCAAGTGTCTTCTTTCTATCAACAGGGGAAGTGTAAGTAACATGTTGGTGACGTCTTGCCGTGACAACATCAGTCGTGTGTGGGTGGAGACGGTGTTGCCAGATGATGATCTTGTGTCCCTCCTGCACCTTGATCCAGCAGCTGCCCAAAATCCTCGTTTCCGGACACACCGACACAAGCACCGTTTTATGCAGAGATTGAAGCACATGAAGTATGCATTATTATGTTTAATCTCCGTTCTAAATTGATATAATGAGAATTGTGATGTTGTATGGTAGTAAAACATGGGCAGTTAAAGAGAATGACATAATGTAGGCTTCAGCTGAAATGAGAATGGTGAGATGGATGCATAATGTGACACTGAAAGGTAGGAAACTCTGTTGAGGTCCAATAGGGCAGATAGATATTGAGATTACAATATTATTTTCGTACAGGGCGTGCTTCCAGATGAGGCGCCATGTTAAGGCGGGAGGCTCCATCGTCATGGGCAGTCTCGGTGGGATCGGCACAAAGCCTCTGCCTACTCTGTCATCATCCTACTCAGTCCATGATTTCCATATGTATGGTATTCATGCTATGGGTATTACTCCAGGTTAGTGGTTTACTTCAGCCTTCAATTTTGACTGTTTTGATGTCCTTTTTTCTGGTTTATATTATATTTATTACGTTGTCATGTTGTCCCCTGGCGATAGGCTCTACCAGAGAAAGGAATTTGGGGATCCATGTATACTGATGTCTCTTCTCTCTCTCTCTCCCTCACAGGCTTCCAGTTTCACCTCGCAGCTTCCATAAACGCAGAAACAGACATCCCTCTGGTCCCGAGCATCAGTGGAGTAACAACCACAGGGGAGACAGAGCAGAGTTTTGTCATCCACTGGCTCAACAACAAGGAGATGCACTTTACATCAGAGGCAGAAAACATACTTCTGGAGGTAGAGTCTTAGTCTTGATATTGGTTTGTGTGTCTTTGTCTCTGTCTACTACATCTTTATCTTGGTTTATGTGTCTGTCTCTACTATCTTTACTTTCCCACCTCCTTTATGCCTCCCTTGAACCCATAGATCATTTCTTACTGTAATGCAGTATACCAAGTACTGATCTATAGAAGCTTATGACGATCTTTAAACTGTCATGTCTTTTACAGATAAGCCGTCGTGCCATGGAAAAAGAAACAGCATCTTTAGACCATGATCGACACTCTGAAGTGAGCGACCTTGAGGATCCTCGGCTCAGAGCGACTGCCGGAATACGTCTGGGCTCGCGACCCCCTTCTCACATGACCAGTCGAACTAGAAGTATTGATGATGACGACCCCGTTAGTCAACACTCTGCTTCAGTTCGCTCTCAGCAGCCACTGAGTGCTGCTACGTCGTCCACTTCCATTGCAACCGACATAACAACGGCGACCACCTCAGCCCTCGGAGACGCCCTCGACCGCCGGATTGAAGTATTGCTCCGTGACTGGCACCAGACGTCTGATGTCCTCTTCTCTATCCACCCTGTTGATGGGTCACTTCTTGTTTGGATTGTGGACTTCCTTGATGACTATCCAGGATCTTTTCGTCAAGCACAGGTGTCATTCAGTGCCAGAATACCTAATGCTCTACCTCTGGGAGATGCCATGACCATGTCACCTAACCTTGCCATTTATAATGGCACAACCCCATCATTCCTCAAACAGTTGCTTAAACTGGAATTAGCGCACGAAGAGGAGCTGTAAGTGACCATTAACTTAGTGTATCAACATTTATTAGAATAACTTGCAAATTTTAAATTTAGTTCATAGGGCAATGTTGTTAATTATTTCTCTGGTAAGGGGGAGAAATTGAAAAGGTTTAATGTTGACGGTGACCCGTGAGTCACACACCATAGGAGAATTAATGTGTTTTTTTCAGGTCAGGGAGTCATAACAGAGCAACAGTGATTGGGGCAATGAGGACCAATTTTTTTTTTTTGTGATTCTCTGACCTGAAGAAAGTACATTATTTGTTCTATGGTGTGTGACCTGTGACTCACTCTCAACATTGTCTGTTAGATTAGATAAAGTAGATCAACACTTTACTTGTATTTACTTGTGGGTAAAAAGTATTACATTCTCCCACCTGACACAGTTGAATTTCTCTTAAAATAAAGTGGTTTCTATTTTAAGAATCAAGTAATGTGCCTGACTGACCTCTTATAATAGATTAACCTTACCCTTCAAGATGACATTATTAACAATTGCAGACAAATCATTGCCATCAGGTTAGAGCTCATGGCAACAAAAACCAGATGTGTTTGCAGAGGGGATTTACAAAGATTCATGGGTAACCTAAATAGGTCTAATTGGACCTTTTTGTGGAAATGAGGACACTGGCAGAACACACTTGATCAGGGAGCTAGGAAGAACAAAGAACAGAAACTGAAGGGATAGTCTCTGGTTCTTTTGGTTTCAGGCAACTCAGGCATAGTGAGAAGGGACTTATAAGAGTGAGGAGTAAAAATATATACCTGCAAACATGACACGTCTCTGTTGATTAATGTTCATCTCATTTACAGCCGTGGAGGAAAGAACAAGAGCAAGAGTAACCTCACACTGTCCAGTAATGACGATCGTGATATACTGGGTGGAGGAGGCAGCCCCTCCCCCATCATCTCCATGACCACCAAGCATAGTAATGGCTCTCTCAACCTGTGGCACCTTACTGTAGCTGAGGGATCCAGGTTTACTCAGGTCAGTGATTCACCTTTTATATACCACTTGACTGTACTGTTTGTAATTGAATGGTGGAGTTCATACTAATGTTAAAATGAGAATGATAAATACCATACTAACATTCTATTAATACTGATGTTCAAAATTATAATGAATAAAAGATGACAATTGCATGAGAAAGGATTTAATCACAGGAATCTTGACACAGCGAGGAGAGTTATGTCAGGGTAAATTAAGCTGGGGGGGATAATCTTCAAGTGATCCAACAGTTGTAACTCTCACTTCAGGTTCTCAATATATCCCACTTCACAAGAGTATGTGGCCATCGCTTCCAACTTAACGACATCAAGTGCCACCCAGTACTGCCACTTCTCCTCTCCACGTCTCACCACAACAAGCGAGAAGTCTCCCCTGGCAACCCTCCTAGTACTGACGAGACACCTTTAATCTGTATCCAGGTATTTATAATAACAGTGGATTGAACTACCTGTAGATTAGAATTAGTCTATGATTTTATGTACTCAGGTAGACATGTAAGTATGATTCATTTCTATTCATTGATTCCTGTTTGATTATTCATTTTTTATTATGATGTATTCCCCACAGGACACAACTTACAAAGACTGGTGCAGTGAGTTGATTCTGTGGCGTGTAGATGCCGTGGGACCTCTCAGTAAGTCCGGGGGCGTCACTGAACTGGCACGTATCAATTCTCCGCAAGTGTCGGCCTTTTCCAATGCTGCTTGGATCCCCACGCTCTTACCAAGGTATGGTAATTATATCATAGTGTTGAGAGGTTGGTAAGAAAGTTTTTTTATTCATGTAATGTAGGAATTGATTTACACTTGAATATAGGTCCCACTGTCAGGGTACAAACATGGATGAAAGTCCTGCCATTCTTCCATCCCATCCATGAACCCTGAGAGACTTATGAATCTGTGAATCTGAGACATCACATCCATAGATAAAGCACTGTGTAATGTCTAGGATTCAAAGGTTCATGAGTCTCAGGGTTCATGATTGGGACGGAAGATTGGCAGACTGTACCTCTCCAAGTCCAACACAAAACAAAACATTTACTATTTCTGCTGTGAATACCAATCATGCAATAGAGCCACAGTTGTTTTTATAGGGAAGTGACTTTTAAACCCTTGTGTATGGAGTTCCTTCTTGAGCTGAATAAAATGATCTGGCATTAAAGTGAAGGGTTTAATGTGCATATATATGTGTGTGGACATTACAGTACCACCCTGGGAAGCGTATCCAACTCTCCATCGGCCTGTTTTGTCGCCTCTGACGGGGAGTGTCTGAGGGTCTACCAAGCTGTTATAGATGGCCGGGCGCTGTTGGCAGAAATCTCCACAGCCGAGAGGAAGAAACGCATGATGGAGTCCACCTTAAGCCTCTCCACCGACAGCTCCCTACAAGAACAAGCTGGACAGGTGGTTAGTTCCCTCTCTTGGTCTTATGTCCACTTTTGTCATGCGATCATTATTTTTCTCTCTCTCTCTCTCTCTTTTGTTTCAAGTTATAAAGGTGACCCAAATTACATCACTTACAGCTAGATTGTGGCAGCCATACATACATACATACATCTGCATATTTTTTTAATAGAATATATCAGTTGTATTGAAGAAAATTATACATCTCTTCTCTTTCCTCTTCCTTCAGAATCTAGCTGATATTTTTGACATAGTATCGGAACAGTCCACCGCCCGTCCTGGCTGTGTCATTGAGTTAGACGCCATCCGGGAGGCGTCAAATGACTGGCAAAACACACAGTTCCTTCACGTCTTTCAAGAAGGACTTATCCGGGGAGAACGTGGCTCAAATTCTGGTAAATAAATGTTATATTCTCTGTAAAACAAGTAAATAACCCTAGTAAGTGTTGTATTATCTTGGTAAAACAACTAAAGTAATCATAAGTGTTGTGCTGTACTCTCAGCTTGGCAATGTTTTCTTTAATCTGTAATGTAAGATTCTTGTTCATGTCATCATCTTCTTCCTTCACATTATTGTGGTGTAAAAAACATTGCCCTTTATTTCCCTAGCTCCTTCAGACTCTGGGGATTTTTTTTACTATACTGTATATAGATACAGTATTTTCTTTTTTTACAGGAATTAGTCCACCCGGGCACAGGTCACTGTCCCACATCAGGACCTGGGGGTGAAAATATAATAATAATAATAATAATATTAATAATAATAATAATATTAATAATAATAATAATAATAATAATAATAATAACTATTATTATTATTATTATTATAATAATTAATAAAATTAATAACAAAATAAAAATAATAATAATAATAATAACCGTGAATAAATATAAAACGAACAAAGAAATCAAGAGTGAGAAACAATATATGTATGTTGTGTTGTCAAAGTAAGTGAAACAATTGAGACCCTGCAATTGTGTGTAAATGAGGCAGAAAGTCAGATCAGCAACCTGGGGCTTGGTCACAATTTTTGTGATGCCATATGGCAGCAGGGTCTACCATTAGACTGCCTAAGATCTATTAAGATATGTTAGGTGTACCAGTGGAGTGCGACAAATGAGTTACTGGGCACAACTCGATGGTTATAGGATGCAAAAATTGGGATCTCATTTGTCTATGTCTTGAGTCCCCTGAGAGTCAAGATACGTGTACCGGTTACCATTATGGAAGCAATATATTAAGATAGCTTATTTATTTAGGTCAAGAGACAACAACCAGCATGTTTAACCACACTCATGCTCCAATGGTGGATCTTCACTCCACTGCCAAGTTTGAGGAGCCGTTCTACATCACCCTCTTAGAGAAAACGGCTGTTGGTTCGGTACGTAAAAACGGGACGATGTATTTATCACTCCGGTCTTATGGTTTATTGAAAATTCATCATAATCACCATCATATAATGTAAATATTTCAAGATTTATTCATTACGTGTAATGATAAATTCATAGTCGAACACCGTGTCTTGTGTGTAGGTGATGCACGTGTGGCGGCTGGTTATTGCCTCAGAAAATCACAGTCACGAGGCCTGCGAGGACGAGGAAGGCCGTGGGTCTGGTCGCAGCACCCCGGTGGTTGATAACTTGGCTGGGAACATTGACGCTTCTCCAATTGTTATCACCACCACCAAGGTTAGTTGATGTAAACATATTCTTGCCTTATGAGAAACTGTCAGTGTAAACTTACTACCCATCACTGAAGTATATTTATGGTGTGTTTATTTTGTGTACAGTATAGAAATTAACAAGAGGTGGACCACATTGTCATAATACTGTACTGAATATTATACATTTTTGGCTCAGAATTTGTGGGGTAACAATGTATGACACTTACATGTATCCTCTTTAAATTACCTGCTTTGACGGATTGATTGATTTATATATCTTTATATAGTAAAATCATCTTACAACTTTTGCAATTGATTTGGTATATTTAAAGGCAATGCAGGTATAGAGTTCATCATGCAGTGCACATATCCATGCAGGTATACAATTTTCAATGTACTGTATCTAGACAGGATAGGTATGCAAACAACGGTAAACAGTAAGGCTATATGATCCAATGATAGCCAATAAAGTCATCTGATTCTTATATCTAGTTGGATCCCTTTGAGATAGTCGTTGTTCATGTTGTGTTTGTGTTGTTCCAGATTTGCGCACATTCTTTACCCCTGCCAGCTGGAGTAGAGGTAATCCACGCGTCGCCAGCTGCAGGCCACCTCAGCTCTGCGTCCATATACCCCGCTTGCTATGCTCCGTACGTCCTGGTGACCGCCTGTTCCGATAACACCGTGCGCTTTTGGAGGTGCCGCATGTCCGGAGAGGGGGAGAACATCCAGATCCAGTGGCAAGAATGGCACATGGTCAGCAAAGATGGAAAGAGTGCCATTAAGGTGCCAGGTAGGACATACAAAGCTCATTAATAGTCAAAACACAGCACTGAAATATCTAACATAATTATCCTGCTTAATGAGGGTACAAACACTCCAGAAAGTATCTTTATGGAGGGTCCGATGAATTCCAAAATGAACACTGCGACGCCTCTTGTCTCAGTAGGGTTGTCAAAATCCTTCATCCGGTGTGTCATATTGTCTCACACTAAATCATACAGATAATTATTGGAGTGAGTGTACATATATGGGAAGAAAAATAAGCTTATCAAGGAGGAATATAGAAGACAGTATGAATGAAATTAACGGTGAAGGATGTGGAAGAAGTTTGGGTGGGAGAATAATAAACACATAATTCATTAAAGTCTTTTATTTGTTCTCAGGTCAACCTCTTCATGTGAGTGCAGCTTATAGTGGCAGGATTGCATGTGCCTACCATTCTCGTGGGCAACAGGCATCAGTGTCTACGGGACCTGATGGCAGTATCCTCTTCTCTTGCTCACTCGCCATCTATGAGTGTGAATCTACAGGAGGTATGGAGCGTGTTGTGTTTACAATGCCGTAGTGTAATGTTTTTTCTTTAGATCTTTATAAGGAGTGTCTGTGTTGGTGTTATAGCTTGTGTATTGGTAGTATAGTGTGTGTATCATTAAAAGGAGGATAATATTATTGTGAATTTTTATTTCTCAGGGTCACAGTGGGTGTTAGAAGACAAATTTGATTTACAAGATATTGTCATGAATCCTGGAGATTCCAGCATGGCTGACCTAGATCTGGCCTACCTCTCAAAGGTTGCTCAGGGGAAGTCTTCCACCAGACTCACATCAGCATTTAGTTCTGAAGACCTGTCCCAGGCGTGTCCTGCATCACCTGCGTTTTCAGTTGATGCCTTACATTCTGTATCCAGTAAGTCGTGGTGTTGTTGGTACAGTATCTCTCACTCCACCATTGTTAGATGCTGCACAAAACTTGTTCATCAAGAATTACTTCCTTGTGAAGAGCTTCATCATTAGTAAGTTTTCTGTATGTATTTCATCATCTATGTTTTTAGTTACTTTTTTATTCATTTTCTATATCTTATTATTTAAAGTTTTTGCTGATGTTCTATCTCCTGCTCTGTACTTGGGAATGAAATAAGGTTGATAGTTGTAATAATTCTCCACCAGGTCAGTTGTTAGTTCCCAGTCCCAGCACATTGCACTCACTTCGTAATCAACGCTTTGACAAGCGAGGCGTAAGTGTGAAACAAAAACACCCAGTACAGATAGACTGGGTGTCGCAAGAAGACGGTTCACACCTTCTAACAGTTGCTATTGGCAGTAAGGTAAGTTCATATTAGTTTCAGTCTTTTGGATGACAGTAGTTAGAGTCTAGTGGGCTACCACTGTACCTCCTACACTGAGAGAGAGAATATCCATATTTGTATGTCAGTAATGTGACAGAAATTCTTCACTTTAATAACCACAGCTCTTGGTACTGATGAATGTTATTTACAAAAGGCCAACTTTAACCCCAGATCTTGGCGTACACAAGTGTAGCAGACGAGATAGCCGTGATGAGTAGTGAAGGGAACAAAAAAGATAAGGAATCTCGGCCTCGTCCCGTCCTACAGAAATCCCTCTCACTGCACGCTCTCTCTGACACTAATTTACCGAGGTAAGTGTTTAACTTGTGGTGTTCCCACACCTGCCTGGCTTGAGCCACCACTTGAAAAAAATTGTGGATCAGACCTCCCTCCATTAATAAACAAGGTGGATTGTGTAGCTCAGATCTGTTGTTCCTCATTTGTTGTGTAGGGTTGATCTGGGACTGAGGAGACCTGGAAGTGTTGCCCTGTTTATGACCATTACAGTAGATCATGCAGTGTACTATATGCTTGTTAGCATTGCAGGTGAAGACTCTTAGCTATATTCTAACTGGCAACTGACTCCAAAGATCCTCTTTTTAGTGGCTACAGTTGACCCAGGAGGGGCAGTATTTTATCTTTTCTGGAGTAATAATTCTGTCTCACAAGTAAGGAGTCCTGGCAGACCTGACTTGTTAAATCTGAATAGGTATTGACATAGGACATTTTTTTGTTCAATATTTCTCATTCTTTGCATCTGTCTGGTGTGATGTGTTGCTTCCAGAGTCTTTGTTTCTCACCCATATGATAATGTCGGCTTAGAAACTCCATCTTTGCCTTCATACATTTCTGAATTTTCCTGTTACTTTCTCCTCTTCTTGTGCTGCCATGGTTCATTACTGCTGTATGTGTTTGGTGAATCAGGATTCATATATGCTCATTGTATTGTCTTACCAGGTGGATGAGACTTGAGAAACTGTCCCTGAACACAGCAGATGGACTGGCGCCACTGCCCATGCAACTATCCTGGGTGCGTGATGGCATCTTGGTCGTTGGAATGGATAATGAAATGCACGTTTATTCTCAGTGGCACGTTCCAGGTAACTGATCATGTTTGTTTCTTCTAGTTGGCAAGGATCTTACAAGACCTCCAAGGGTGGTCACATATATATATATATATATATATATATATATATATATATATATATATATATATATATATATATATATATATATATATATATATATATATATATATATATATATATATATATACAGTACAGTACAAGGGTGAAGAAGTACTTCAACCTAAATTATAATCATGAGAATGGAGATTTTGTACTCTTTTTGTCTGACATTCTGTACTCTTTCTCCTCCACCCATACCTGTAATATGTAATTTCAGTACAGAACATTGATGGAAAATCTCATTATTTGTGTGGTTTGTGTCAACCAATAGATTGACTTCCTCATATCCAGGTGTATTTAGTTGTTTATTATTACACACAGCGACAGAACAGAAGCAACAAGCTCTACAGCAACAAGAACCCTCGAGCACTAAGGATGAAGGTCGTGATCTGACAGAGGCAGATCTTAAAACATACTTACAGGAGTCATCACACAACCACAAGTCTGCCACTGCCATGTCGTGGTCGCCTCCTTCTCGATCCTCACTACCGTCGATAATAAGATGAAAAAGGGTAAGTACGTAGATAATAAAGGTTGTTGTATGTACCGTGATGGTGAAAGAGGTTGATGGGATATTATACCGAGCTCTGTACTGTAACAAGACCATTAAAGTGTTGGCTGAACTGTGTAAGTTAGTTAGGAATTAAATAATGAATGAGTTGTCTGCCAGATATATACAAGGAAATAGCGATGGATTGACTATGTGAGCCAGTTAACACACAGGTTGGATGAACATCATTAGCTAGTTAAGTCATAAGTGATGGATGAGTTGTGTTTGTAATAAGTGGTGGATGAGGTGTGTCAGTCAGGGAAAACATTAGGGTTGGATGATATGCATCACCCAGGTAAAACTAACTCGTAATGTGTCTCAGGAAAATCCTGTCCTTAGCCTCCACAATTAGTCCTGTCAATGTGGCATGAGGAAGAATTATTAATGCTCATGTGGTGTTTTTGTTGTCAGAGAATATAGTGAAGGCAAGAGGAGGTGTTTGTATAGTAAGAAAAGGTTGGAATGATAACTGTGTGTGGTTGAAGGAAGAGGTTATGAGACTGGGCCAAAACAGAACATTGCCACTGTGTATCATGTACTTATCAATGTCTTTCCTCACTTATATTAATTGCTGTACTTTATCATTGTCAGGTCTTGGAGAGGTGATGATCACTCCACCGGATGACGTGGAGGGCACTACAATATCAGGAATCTTTGAGGCCAGTCACATCGCCTCTCCAGTCTTGCCGCAGTATCACCCACGTCAGCTGATGGAACTTCTCAATCAGTGCAAAATTCGTCGGGTCAAGGCCATTCTTGCGCACTTAGTGAGGTGATATGATGGGGACTGTAATCTTGTTATACTGGTGTGAAGAATTAATGTATTGTGATCTGCTCAGTCATTTAATTCACACTTTAATAGGAGTAATTAACTTTTGATTTACAAAGATATGTGATAGTTTGTAATAAGCATCTCCTAAGTTTTTATCTTTGTCAACAGGTGCCTCTCACAGCTTGGCCAAAGGAACACAGAGTCTGCCTACCGTGTATCTCTCTGATGTTGATGACGCACGAAACGAGCTGAGTTAATGCTTCGCACCCTGTCTGTGTCTGGCAACCAGGGAGGCTCGGTAAGTGTGTCTTTCTTAACAGTGTTCTTTATGTTCACTGTAAATCTGTCTGTCTCAGTATTTGTTACATAAATGTATTACCATTGAAACAAGATAAGAGAGATTCACATTTCAAAACTGAATTTTATAGATACAACATTTCCTTTAATCCAAATCATTTTCTAAAGTATTTAATATTTTTCATTTTAAAATTTTTTCTCACAGTCAAGTCGAGAAGGACGAGGATCCCAAAGTCTGCTGCCTGAGGAACTAACACTGGACTATATTGAGGTGACAGCCATTCCCCCACTTCCACTATGGCTGCTACTGGAAGCTGACAAGGACACACAGAACCAGCAAGCAAAGAACGCAGACATTGAAGAAGACGTAAGTTTATAGGATTTGCTCTCTTGCATAGTAGCTTAATAGTGAGGTGTAGGTAGAGACAAATGTGTTCAAGGGAAAAGGTAGAAAATGAAAGCATGAAGTTGATGTGTATGGAATGCAAGGTGAGATGATACAGGATGAGGGAAACAACAAAGTTTTAAAGGTAGGAGAGAACTCTGTATTACTTGACTGTGGAAACCTAATCTTTATCACTGCCACCTCATGATTTTATTAGGATTTCTTATTAGCTGGAGTACTGGCAGAATACTAGACCCTTAAATGAGAGAAAAGGGGGGAGAGAGAGAATGAGGGAGGGAGAAAGAGATGATTATTGTTTGAGTGTCATGAAATAATGGTATATGTGGATCTGGGGGATTACAGTACATCCCCATTTTTTACATTCACACAGTCCTTTATTTTATGGCATTTCTGATCATGTAAATTTTGAGGTTAAGAGTTGCTGAAAATAGTTAAATCACTTTACAGACATACGCTGAGTTGTTTGGAGCGCCGACCATGAACGTTGACGAAGACCTAACCCTGGAAGATGATGATGCTGACATGGGGGGTCGCTGCAAGTCAATATCACACGAAGTCAAGAGCATCGCATTCTTCGGGCCACGCCAGGTGAGTTTTTGTCCGAGAATGTGAATATCAGACTATGGGATCCCGATGGTCACCAGGTTGATCGTGTGTTAGGATAGTCTGTGTTTTGTGTAGGGGGTCTATGGGTCCGTCGGTAGTACTAGGGACTACTAAACCCTCACATGGTGCCCCTATGTGTGTACTACAGTCATGGACCACAGTAACATGTGTATATGAGTTGTTGAATAAATGTTCACATTTCAGGCCCAGATATTGGCTGCCCTGCTGACCCACACCCACCTACCAGGGCTCTCTAGTCTTGACCAGATGCACCTCTTGGCCTTGGGTGACACCGTGGCTTCATGCAATGTTGACTTTGCTGATCGTTTTGATATCAACAAGGCCAAGGAAGCCTTAGCAAAAGAGACCTTCTCCAGAACGACCACAGATGAGCCGTCAATGGGTAGGTTCAAGACACCCGAGTTGATCATTGTGTTGACTAATAGATTGTTAGGCTGGGTGTAGGTAATATTCACTTACACTTGACATTTTTGTCTATGTGCTATTTTACCTTTAGTTAAACTCTTTAATAACTAATTTATGAACACAAGTACATAAAATGTAAATTTATTGAAGCATGATTGTTTCATTTTGTACAGAGACACTAGATGACTGTGGTTTACGCTTCCTTCTGGCAATGCGTCATCACACGTATCTGTTGAGGTGTATACCCATTGCCCAGCGTGCAACTTTGCAGAAAGGAGGAATTGGCAGTCACAATCTTGTTTGGGCCTTCCACTCAGAGAGTCAGGAGGAACTTCTTGACTTTATCCCATCTATGAGACAAGTAAGATGTTTCATATATATCCCACCAGTGGGACACAGTACTGTACCAACCATTTCACCAAGGAGTCCCTTTCTGTATTTTGGGATTTTCAGGAGGAATCACTCCCTGAAACCAGTTTCAGAGATTGTAGTCTTGTTTACAATGGACCTTAAATGTGTTTTTCAGTGGTGGGAGCCAATACTTTATCATCAATTAATGTCATTAATTTATAACTGGAGAATTGATCCTGAAATATGTGTCCTTCTCTCCTCCCTCTGTGGTGCTGAGATGTACTGCTTCTGGAGGTTCTTCCTCAGTGACCTTGTTTATAGCTGATGGCAGGAAGTAAATGAACAGATTCAGAGAATTTGTGTTCATGCTCGACAGGGAACTCTCAAGTTTCCTTACTTTTAGAGAATCATTTTATCTTAAGTGGATAACCTTCAGAAACATGATATACAGGGTAAAGAGAATCATTTGAAAATCTATTTAATTTATAACCCTATCACAAGTTAAGGCCCTCATGTGAATGTGTTGCCTGTGCAGAGCTGCTCAGTTCCAGCACATTTCTAAAACTGGGTTTCAGAATCAGTTCTCCATTACAACCATTACAAGTATTTCTTTGACACTGTAAACTTGGATATATTTTATAGTAATTTCCTGTTAAATCAATCTTAAACCTTTTCTTGGTTAATAATTGTTGCAAGGTTACTTCTCTTCATTTCTAATATTTTCTCAGTTATTATTCACTTAATGAAATATTGTTAGCACAGTAAAATATTCATCAGATATGCATCATGTTGATCAGGCCACAAGGGGCTGAACCTTTGACTGATGTAGTTGTTGTGTGTTTGTAGGGTAATCCCCGCTGGTCTGAGCTAAGAGAATTAGGATTTGGATGGTGGGTCCGCAACAACACCCTCTTAACCCGCTGCTTCAATAAGGTAATGTTTAACATACTTATTACAGAACAATAATGATACAACAACAGCCATTTGCATTTACAGGGGAGCAATACGATAACCGTTTAATAAATTTTTAGGTAAATATGTACAGAATTGCAGGTAAAATATGTGTAAATCTTTTTTGTGTCTTCAGATAGCCAAAGCTGCATTCCTTGTTAAGAATGACCCCCTGGACGCTGCTATATACTACCTGGCCATGAAGAAGAAGAACCTCGTGTGGGGTTTGTTCCGCTCAATTAATAACAGACGCATGACGGATTTCTTTGCCAACAACTTCACAGAGGAGCGGTGGCGTAAGTCCGCACTGAAGAACGCATTCGCCCTCTTGGGAAAACAACGGTTCGAACACGCTGCTGCCTTCTTCTTGTTGGCTGGAGCACTGAAAGACGCTCTCGAGGTAGCACACTTAATTTTGATCATTCCTCACCCTGGACATATCATAGATCTCAATACTTAGAGCATATACTTGTGTGAATAATGAAGGGATTGAAGTTAATATTAGATGTTAATATTCCTCTTTTGATGGACTCGTGGATTGAGATATAATTGGATTTGGGCCGTGATGATGGTGTTTTGAGAAGAGTGTGTTGGGTTTTCCAGGTACTTCTGAACAAGCTGCATGATGAGCAGCTGGCCATAGTGGTCATACGACTCTATGAGGGAGAGTACGAGGCTGTCCCCCCGACTCTCAGTAAACTCCTGCATACTGTGAGTTGATCTGTGTGTTTATGGCTGTGTTGGTGTGTACGATAACTCAAGCATATGTGACATTATTAACTCGAGCATGTGTGACCTTTTGTGACCTTATTAATTCAAGCTCATGTGTGACCTCTTGTGACCTTATTAATGTCCAATCTGAGTCCCATTGGTCATGACGGGTGGATGAAGGTGACGTGGGTTTGTTTCCTTATATACGTATATGAATTTAAATCATCATCATTGTCATCATCAGTCGTCATTCTACGGCCATTTTCCACACTTGTGTTATGTACTAAGCGATTTTGTATTCTAAACTCATCCAATGCGTTTTATTTTCAGAGAATACTGGGGCAGGACGAGCAAGGGGAGAATATGGATCTAATGAAAGTCCATCCCGATCCGTTCTTCCGGTCCGTTGCATACTGGATGCTCAAGGACTACAGTAACTCCCTCAACACACTGCTACAGACGGATGCTACACTGGGCATACACCATCCAGATTACGTTGCCACCAAGTCTACGTCCTCAAGCAGCGTCAGTGCAGGTCAGTATGTTGGGTCTCGGGCGGTTAGTATGTTAAGTCTCAGTGCAAGTCAGTTGGAATTATTTAACTTAGATGTGTGTTGGTACAGACCAGTATGGTAAACATGAGACAACTGCCAAATTTAGAACTAATTCCAGTTTGACAGTTGAGCCAATTGAAATTAAGTTGATAAGGTCTAATATACCTGAGCTAAATTATTTATTGTTTAGTGATGTTTTCTCCAGGATTGATATACTGTATGTGTAAAAATGTATAATACAGTACAGTGCTCTTTGAATTAAGGTACTGTGCCTTCAGTCTTGATGAGTTCTTATTTCTTATATAAAGAGATAAGGTTGTAGTGGCTGAATGGATGTAGTACTCACTTCCAGTCCTAAGTATTAAAGGTTCACACCCAGGGTAACACCCAGGTCACCCAACTGTGAATGGGTACCTAACTTTACAGTAAGGGAGGTGAAGGTAGTTGAGTATGGTGGTGACCACACTGCCTCCTTGTGTACCAGAAGTTAACAATTCAGTGTGTTGTATCCACTCTGCTCCACATGGGCCATCAGGTGTATGAAACTCTATAATAAATATAAAATGTCTTGCTTTTGGTTGATATACAGTAACTTAATACTCATTTTGTGCCTTACTTTCAGCTGATCCAAGTGTGTTCAACTTCTACATTTACTTGCGGACTCATCCTCTGCTGATTCGTCAGTGTATTGCAAATACTGCCAAGGGAGGAGGCGGCTCACTCATGGCTTCACGGTTAGTGGCAGTGTAAAGTTTACACCCAAGTTTAGCAAGTTAATATGTGTGAGCACAGAACTGGTGACTCACCTTCTCTGCCACCTCCTTGAGTGAGCTATAAGTCAAAATGGGGTGATCCTGACTTGCTGTACAAGGGTGAAACTCATTCGCTCTTAACTCCCTGGTGACTAATGCTTTGCTGCACAACATTATAGGGTTTATGATGGAGTTGGCAAGGAAAAAATTTAATTTATAAATTATTTTTTGGAGCTAATAGCACAGGTTAGAGTACCTGACGAGTTTTCAACTCACTACACTGAACTGTACCTGGAATCACTCACTCTGTGTTCAACTGTAAACTGGAATGTCAGGATTATTTTCTTTTATATATATTTTATTGGCTTCATTTAGTTAATAATATACTGTATATATATATATATTATATATACTATATATATATATATATATATAGTGACCCTCGGTTAAACAACGTCAGAAGGTCGTTAACTAAAAGTTCGTAACGAAACCATTGTTTCAATGGGTTTTGGTATTGTTCCAGCTCACTGAAAATTTCCTAAATTCAACAAAATGGTAGAAAAGTTCACTTACTTTATGTATGTAGAAGGCTCCTGGATGATGATGATGATGATGATGATGATGATGATGGGATTTAGAATGGGGTGAGGAGCAGGAAGAAGAGAAGGCATTGGGTGGAAGAGAAGTCACCCGGATTACAATAAAATTTTAGCTTCGTGTAATTCAAGATTATTTTTAAATCAACACTGCACTGCATTATATATTGTCAATATGTAAAATATATTTCAAAATGACCAATAATTTGCTTGGAAACACAGAAAAAGCATTTAGGAAGAGGTCTCAAGCAAGATGTTACCCAGTGAAAAAGAGAGACTAACGCCTGTTTGCTGTGTTATGAGGCTGATGCCCGATTAAACTAGTCACTTCTTCAATTATGTTTAATTGTTAAAATCACTAAAAATTAAATATTAAACTTTAAAATTATTAATAGTATAAACTTTGATATTTACTAAAATAGTAAGAATTTGCCCTAGAACCGATAATGTATTGGCGGATACTAAAGCTGGTTGCCCGTCAGTAGCGAAAACATGTTGATCGTTTAAGATATTCGTAACATTTTGTTCGTAACCAATTGAAGATCTATGAAGGCGTTCGTTAAAAATTTCTAACGGTTAACAGATGTATATATATATATATATATATATATATATATATATATATATATATATATATATATATATATATATATATATATATATATATATATATATATATATATATATATATATATATATATATATATATATATATATATATATATATTTTTTTTTACAGTACACTCAGTAGTTTAAAAATTACTTTTACTTTCCATTATCTGTAACTTGAAAAGATGTGTATGACCTGATAACAGTAAATCATAATAGTAATATCTGATATCAGTATATGAATTTATGGCTGGTATTAATTAATTTAAAAGTTGTGAATGTTATCTAAACTTTTTTATTTATTTTGTTTTTGTTAATAATTTAAACTTGTGAGCAGTATTAATATTTAAATACTCTGCAGCCTCGGGAAAGGTCAGGACACGTTGGACAAGAAGAGCGTGTATGAGAGCAGCATGACCCCTCTAGAGCGACGGCTGTACTTCACCACCGCTCACGCTCACCTCCGCTCAGGCTGCCCTACGCTGGCTCTGGAGGTCTTATCCAAGTTACCAGATAATGTCATTGATCTCGAGAACCCAGACACAGGAGGTATTTGTCCATGGCTTCTTAGGTGATATTGTGTTTATATTTAACTGTATTTATCCCATGTTTTATCTATATCACTTCGTATTAGTCTAGCACAGTAGTATAGATGTGATATATTGGGTATGATAGTTTATTAGTCTATGATGTATATTTTAAAAGAACTGCCTGATTAACTCCTCTCTGCCAAAATTGTAGTTGTTCAGGATATCATAAGACATGACATGGTAGTGTCTGTGTTGCTTTGAGAAGATTTTTATCAGCATGAGATATATAATTTCTTTTTGTGTCAATTTTTTTAGATTACTATTAGTTATGACAAGCATTTATGTTTATTTTTGTATTTGATATATATTTGAGAGAATGATAATGGTATTGAATTACATTATTATATACAGGTGATTAGAAATTAATAGCAGGAGTATGGAATGAGCTTTATAAAATTAAACGTTATATTTTATAGATCTCTTGGGGAGTCCATCAAAGGAACAGAGACCCGCCTTTGAATTGATACACAGCGGGACCCTCGAGAGCGACGGCTCCTTTGACCGCACCGGCTCGACTGTAGTTGGTGGGGACAAAGCCGCTGACTTGTTTGCACCGAGCTCCTCTTCAGGTGAGTACTGTTCAGCCTTAACAACAAGCACCATCCAGTCAGTGTCTACCAGAGTCGTTAACGGTGGATGTGAAATGCAGTACATTCGGTATACTGTATATAAAACCTTCCGTTCCATAGGCCAAAATCATCTCGGAATCTTCCTCTTTCTGTAGTATGTTCATCTCCACTTCCTCCTTTAGTTCTGTTCTATAAAAGACAAGGTTCACGGCTATATACAATAAAGTGATGGGAATAAGTAGAGACGACAGAAAGGGAAAAACATGTGTTAGCCTAAATGTACTTGGAAGGAAAGAAAGAGTTGATAGATTGTAAAATGTATGAATGAAGGGAGTGAACAGTGTATGGAATAATGAATGATTAAAGACAGAGTAGCAGAAGGAGAGAAAGAAATGATAAATTGAAGAAAAATACATAAAGAGTTGGAACTGTATGGACAGGTGTACAGTAATGAGAAATAATAAACTAAAGATTATTCTATGGGTGTGAAGTATGACCTCTGGATGGAACAAGAGGGAATGGATTTGAGGCAACCGAAGTGACGTCCTCGAGAATGAAAATAAAGAGACTCGGAAGCAAAAGCTGTATCGGAACAAAACAGATGAGCATCTAGCGGTCTACTCAGGCATCAGGGGGATAAAACTGAGTGAATGAAGAGAGAGACATTATTTCTATTATTGCAATCTAGGTTTTTTTTTGCTGGATTTATAGAAGACATTTCCAGTCACACAAATTAGGAGTCCTGGAAACTTGGGGTGTGTCATCCTGTAGACTTACTGATGGTTACCTGATCCATACTTGGCAAATGGTATACAGGTATAATGCAGTGAGGTTTCAAGATCAACCCTCCATTATTTTATTTAAATATCTTTTTTTTCTCTCTTTTAGGTTTTGGTTCCTCATCTGTAGGATTTGATTGGTCGACTTCATCACCATCTCAAAGACAAAAAGCAGATGGCGGACTTGACTTGGACTTCTCCCTGGGGGCTGTTGATGAGGAGGAGGAGGAAGAGGAGGATAGTAAACCAAGGGATACCAAGTCTCTAGCATCCAGTGATGATGAAGGTAAAGAGTTGCTGTATTTTTAAGGCTTGTTTTACTGTGTCATGTGATGTACTGTACTGTTTGTTAACCCCAACTTCACTTATTTCAACTCAGTAACTTGATAAATGATTTGTGGATCAATGTGAAATTTATTATGCTCCCCCGCCACACCGCACAAGGTTTTTACAAGTCATCATCGACAACACAGCCTCCAGCCGAAGTGACAGTTGATGAGGAAATGGTTGCCAGTATTTGTATAAAATTCTCTACCAAAACTGGTTTTTTTTTCTAACCCAAAGGACCATCAGAGACAAACAAGAAACATCTAGACATAATGGCTCAGCAACTCAAGTTTGTGTCCTGCCTGAAAATGATGATGGAGGAGCTGGCTACCCTGGCTACCGGGTGTGAGGTGGACGGTGGCCAGCTGAGGTACCAACTGTATGTGTGGCTGGAGAGGGAGGTGGAGGCTCTCAAGGAGGTTTGCAACTACTGCAGTACGCTCCATGTTGGTGGTGAGTCTTGCTCCACGTTCATTTTAACATCATTTCTTGTCACCACAGTTTGTTTTGTTAAAATTTTATGAATGAAGAATGTTTTTTGTTGAATTAAAGCATTAACCATTACAATTATTCCATACCAAATCACCCAAAGGTCTTCCCGGGTGACCATCTCTGAGTTTTATGAAATTACGCTCATGTGCACATCCGTGTAATTGATGACTACAGAACTACATGCATTAGCCACAGGCCGCAATGCTAGATATTTTATTCAATCATGAAATATAATTAATTAAAATTTGGTCATTCTATTTTGATGACCTTGAATAAGACTATATTTTGGTGCTGAAAGTATTTATTTTTTTATAGATGATTCAGTCACTTAACTTGGTCCTAAACTCTGGAAAGGGAGATGCCAAAACAAGTTGACAGATATACGAATTAAAACAAGCATTCCACACCCCCTAATTTCGGTCAATCTTAACTTGATAACTAATTGGAATTTTTTATTGAGATATTGCTTACATCATCCCCATAGCGAGCACCTGGAAGAAACTTAGAAAATAATAAGTGAATTGTGATGGAATAACCAGTTAGTATTTACAGAGTTTTAGCAGGTTTATTCACATGAGAAATTTGATTACCGCAGTGAACTTCAAGTTGTGGCAGGAGAGCTGGTGGGGTGAGTACGAGGCAATGGTTTAGCACCCAGTATGGTGGGGGGGACTTGGCTCGGTGTTTATTAATGGCTATGGACGCAGCAGCAGAGTTATTGATGTGATTGTACGGGAATAATTTGCATTGCTTCTTTGGCACCAGGAATTTATTTGTTAATTTGGTCAAAAAAGTCACAATTGCTCAACTTAGCAATGTCATAAAATCGTGCTTTAATTTCTGTATCATGTGACTCGACAGTATTTGGCATGACCCATATGTCTTATACATTCAGCCAACTGCAGGATTAGAACCCAGATTAATCCTCTAAAATAGGAGCTACAGACTCATCGTAGGGTTAAAGGTACTTCCCAGGTATAACAAAGTCCAGATAGGAGTCTCAGAAAGTGCTGTTGTCATTTAAAGCAGTGTGCAGTCATGTGCCTTATCAACAGTGTAGTACTCCAGTCCTTTGTTTAGTTTTGGTCTTGGTCAGACAGTAACAGTCTACCTCCAGGCCCATCCACTTAGCTTCCTGGTGTGGCTGTGTTGTCTTAGATACACCCACTCTGTCTGGGAGTAAATGAGTATTGTAACTTGATGAAGGCTCTAGTGATAATTGGACCAGGCATTTATATCAGTGTTATGAGGTCAGGTGGTTTTTTGCTGCCTTATACCTTCCTCTATGAGTTTGTTTTGGTGGTTTAATTTGAATCTCGTTGATAAATAATGCAAGACCAACTTTGAATCTTACAGTTTCAAGGTGTAAATCTTTTTCGCCATAAGGAACTCTCCACGTCTCATAGGGAGCTTTCTAACTAAAGCAGTGGATTGGTCAACTTAAGTATTTCGTCAACAGAGTTACAAGACTCGCACAGGGATCAGAGGAACACTTGTGTGACTGTTATGAAATTCCTGAAAACTCGAAGAACTGGAGTTAGTTTTTCTTCCATATTGACCCCAGCACTAAAAAGGGGATTTAATAGTTGGTGTTTTATTTCTCAAAAGTTGCCAGAGATTGAGAGTTCAGCACCTGCCTCCATGCTTGTGCACTCTGAGATCCGAACAGGCTAGAAAGTAGGAAGCTGACTCAATTCCTCAGTTCCCAGTCACAAGTTCTGGTGTCGGAAGATCCCCCAACTGACTTCATTGTTTGGGTGCTTATTTGAGCATTCACTACGGGGATGCCACTTTTGATATTTTATTTTGGTAATGCCAGCACTGAAGGGACTCTGTACATAGTGGATTAAAATTTGTTAATATTGTATATACTGTACGTTATAATACTTGACGGGAATTCTGATTATGCCCGTGTTATGGCAGCTGGAACGCACCCTTATAAACTCTCGACAAGAATATGTAATCTGATGTGGGTACTTTCGATTTATGCACACCAATTTAATTAATGGAGTTCTTTTGGAAACATTTTGGAATTTTTCAATGTATAATGTGTATCATTTGTCCCAAACATAGCAGTATTTGCAATATTAACGTGAGACCCAGGGACTGTGTCTTGGATGTGACGTATCAAGCGAACGCCCCGTGAAAATCTCTCTGTTAAGATCCTTCACCCTGAACAGACCTCCTCACAAATTATTGCCCATATCTCTATCTCTCTCCTATTAATTAAGATGCCCAATGAATGATGTTTTTAAAATTACTTGGTGCTTGATAACAATTTGTTCTGTCAAACTTTACCTAATGTAGCTTTTTTGAACATGCATTTGATTATCCATTCAGAAAAAAAATATAAAGCTTATTTACCAAACTCGATTATCCGCGGGGCAAAATGTGAAATTTTCGTGCACCTGACCCTGTGCTCCACATGGTGTTTGCTGTCATAGTGTTTACCCCAGTGTGTCATGCTGCTGTATAGTAAGTCTGTTTTACACCCATAACGGTAATATGGGAGAAATATGCAGTGACCCCAGAAGAGAGTGAAGATTATGACACAAACTGTTCTGTAATTTTTTCATCTATTTCAGTTTGTGTATTTGAAGGAAATATAGTATAGATGTTTACTTAAATAGTGTTTGTTCAGCCTTTCATTGGTTCATTTTCTCTATACAGTACAGTAAATATGAAAGGAATTCCATTCTTGTTCAAGTGAGTACTGAAGGCAGAACATATACACTGTATATATGCTTATACATTTATAAATTGAGGTGTTTCAGAAAAATTAGTAGCAAAATTAGTGTTAACATTAGTGGTACTAAACATTATAGTGTTAGCAGCACTAACTTTGGGGGTTAGTGGGGACAGCACTGACTACCGGTAGTTGTTACTTCAATATGAGTACAGTACTGTACTGTTACAACTCCTTGGAAATACTGTAGTCATTGTATTATGCTACAGTCACAAGAACCTTACTTCTAGACCATTGTGAGTCCTGGTGTGTGTGTTATGGGGTGTAGTGTGCTCTTGTGGTGCTCTCAAGGTAAACAGAAACTTATGAAGTAGACATCTCCCACAGCTCTGTTAGTGAACACTATCAGAGGGCCAAACAAGTGAGGATTTGGCTTAGCAGGCACTAGGGGCTGAGTGGACAACAGAACCAAGTTGGTGTGGGGGAACCTCTGCTGGAGTGAGTCCATGCTGCTGGTGGAGGATTTTTGCCTGAGTAAATAGTTTATGCAATAATACCTGGGCTAACTCATCCCTCCCTGTGACATAATATATCCTCTTGCTCTCTCCTGATTTTATCTAACCAGACTCGGTGTTTTTAGCATGGCAGTCTGGATCCAGGGAATATTGTAACTCGGTAAACAGGTTTTTTAGGATCACTGAATATTGTGGCTGGTGGGTCACTGCTTGTGTGGCATACTGTACTTACCAAAGAAAATAAAGCTTTAACTAATATCATCTTAATTGTTCTATGTAATAAGGAATACACCAATACCTCTGTTTATATTATTGATGGTAAACAAAGAAATAAATTGTACTGTGTTGGAGGAAAAGTTTAATATATCCAGCTTTTCTGTAGTTTTGTGTAAGAAGTCAATGTTGTTGTTTTTTATAATGGCTGTACCTGTATATATTTAAAATGTTTAGAACTTTCATATGCCCCTCTTTTTTCTCATCTTCTCTCTCTCTCTCTCTCTCTCTCTCTCTCTCTCTCTCTCTCTTGTTTTGAATGAGACTGAAGATACTTGAACACTATAAGATCATATCATGTCATGTCTTAGGTACAGTACACAGTGAGACAATTTGGTGATAACAAATGAAAGGGATATATTTAAGCTGAAGTAATTTATTGAGTATAGTAAATTTATTAGTTGTTATATCATGGAGGTATTGGTGTGTGTGTGTGTGTGTGTGTTGCTTGAAGGTGAGGAATTTAATTGGTTGCACTAATCAGTTGTACATCATTGATATTCTTTGAAATGTTGAGATACGCGGTGTTGTTAATTGCTTTTCTGCATGAAGGGCCAGAGAGCTCTAAGCCACATTCTGTGTATTCTTTGTCAACAACTTAGTCTCAGGAGATATCTTAATCAACAGAAAATGATCTCGTTGAGTCCATACCTGCTGATGAAGTCGGTGACCACACTCCCATGCCGTCTGTCCCTCTCAGTGAGCCGTCCACGCTGCACGAGATCATTCAGCAAGAGAAGCTGGAGTTTGAAGATAAAATGGAGAGAGCTGCCAGGAGGAAGCGCTGGCTTATGGGTAATTTATATATTGTTAACCCTTTGTGTATGGGTTTCCTCTTGAGCTGAATAAAATCGTCTGCTGTTAGCCAAATATGATATAAAAAGTGGTGCTTCCTTACTGAATGGGTCAATACAGGGTACGAGTATAATGCCTTTGCACTCTATATAGATATCTCTTTTTACTCTCTCCTTCAAAACTTTTCTCTCTTAATGGGTGGAGTCAAAAGTAAATATGGACTCACAGATTTCCTTCCTATTTTGTCACTTTCATCTATACTCCTGTAAGAATATGGTCTGCTAGGGTATCCCCCCACCACATGAAGGCCTTGTTACAGGATGTTTGCTGTAAATTGTTGAGTCCTGTAATTGCCAGACATGTGTTCAACTCAACTCTCAGTAATAAAATGTGATATCAGTCCTCCATGATGTATGTAGGAGCTGTTCCTTGTTGAAACTTGGTAGAAAATCAGTTTGATGTACAATATAGTATTCATAATCTGGAAATGTATATGTTTACTTTCAGCCAATCAGCAGCTACTGAGGACACTACTAAGCTACTGTTCCCTGCATGGGTCTAGTGGTGGTGGCCTGGCCTCTGTCAGAATGGAGTTAATATTGCTCCTCCAGGAACTGCAGCAGGAGAATAGCAAGCAACAGCTGCTGTCACCACTGCCCTTCCCCACCACACTACCACTGTTGTCCGCATCCATTGCTTCCAACAAGACAGTTGTGTCGGATCCTGTTCGCCATTTACAGGTATTTATGGCTACAGGTTTACCTTGCCTTCTTCATAACCATGATTTAATGTGCTGGTAAAGAATATCCAGCAGCAGAAATCCTATTAGCTTAGAATTATGCATGTTGTCTCTCTTGTTTGTTACCCAGTGAGGTATCTGTTACCTTTTTGACATGGGTGTGGGTCACCAGGCTGGTTGGCTCTGGCCAGGTACAGTGAAAATGTACGGTTTTCTCACATTTCCTGTTTCCTCATAAGGGATTACACCTGCATCATTCATTGCAGATGTACAATATTTATAACTTTGTGTTTAGGAGAAATATAAATACAAGTTGGGATTTAGATATAAAACACAGGCTCATTAGGTTTGTGTGGTGGAAGTACAGGTTTGATAGAGTTGTTGCCTTTAGCTAGATTTTAACTGAAATGTATTTATAAACTGCACAGCTTACTCTTCTAACTCTTACTAACGTAATTTCTATTTTGAGTTTATTGTTGTAAATTTTGTCTCCCACACAGGCTGGTACACATGACCTCCTACAGTCACTGGTGGAGATAACAGGTGTTGCTCAGTCAGAAGCTCGAATCATGTGCCGGGCAGCTGTGTTGCGCAATTTGGCTGCAGCCTTGTCTGCCTGTATCTACCAGTCCCTCTGTGATTCTGAGACATTTACTATCAAAGCTCAGCACAGGTATTGTTTGAGACATTCATCATCTTTGATTACCCTGTGGGTTGACATTAGGAAGGGTATCCAGTTATAAAACTTTGCTTCAACATGCCTGATGGCAGCTGGTTCACCAGAGCTGTGCTCATCCCCTCATCTCTTCTATATTTTCTGGGCTGGTGCCCTGTGTTTGTGGTGGTGGTGGTGATGGGTGGGGTGGGGGGGGGAGGGGTCCTGTTCTGGTTTTACCCAACAACTGCCATCAGGCAATCACAGCTAACCCAAATAAGCATGGGAAATGATCATAGAACATTAATGATGATGATAGTGGATCATTGTACTATGTAGTTATGTAGGTCGGTGTCTACAAAGCTTGAGTGATTCAGCACAAGATTGACTACATAAGTTTGTTCTCCTCTACAGAGTGGCTGCCCTAGGAGTGGACATACAGCATGTGACAGTCGCTCACCGTGAATCTCACTTAGTTGGCCGTGATCTGAGAACTGGAACCCCACACGAGGATGAACCATTAACTGTATGCACTGTACCTGCCAAATGGCCTGGTAAGAGATAAAAAACACACTACTCTACCACTTTACTTACTCACGTTGTCACACTCATCAGGGATATAGTCCATTACTTCATCCTCTTCAATATTTTACCTCCCAGCCTGTTAGACTCCACCCTCATGTTCATCTTTTATGAAGTATGGCAGGAGACAAATTGACAATGAATACTTGAGACTTACAAGTTGTTATTATTTAACACAGTATATCATAGATCAAACATATGGCACTGTAGTGTGTGACTGTCCATTAACCCCTTGTGTACTTCTGGGCTGAATAAAATCGTCTGGCATTAGCCAAATAAAACATTAAAACTGGGGTCCGGTAGTGAAGGGGTCAAAGGTGAGTTATAGGGCATGAAAATATACACTCCTCTATAGACACCTACAAAAACATTTTCTTAAATGGTATCAGAGTTAAGAACCTGACAAGAGAGACTACAAGCGACCATGAAGAGCTGCTTTCAGGTAATCATGGCTAACTCACACAGGTATGGAAAATGGCCGCATAACATTGATGTCATTTAGTCACTTCATAAATTGTAATTTTATCCAATGATACCAGAGGTGGTTTATGGTATATGAGTTTATAAAATGTTTTGATATTATTGTGTAATTACTGGTATAGTATTATTGTCAGTTACTTCGTGTTAGCATACAGTACAGTAGTGTGTTATTTTCAGGGGTGACTTCTCTCCTGGCTCTGGTGGCTCGAGAACGTGATGAAGACACCCCTAAGCTGAACCTACTCCTTTGCGAAGCTTTTGTTGCTGTGTATCTCAGTCTTCTGGTGCACGGCTTGGCAGCGAGTGATGCTTACGTCATGTACCGTCTTGTTGCCCGGGCAGTAACGGAGAAGGACTGGGCCATGTTGTTTGGTGGAGGTGTTAAGAAGCTGGTCAAAGTTATCACCAATGTTTTGCCAGTAAGTTGGTATAACACACAGATTCAGGATATTAGTTACCAAATACCTACACATGTATTTACTCTCTCTGCTAATATCTGTTTTGTTTATTTATAATGTTACCTTGTTGTGAGTGTTCCTGCTGTGAGAAAGTACTCACAGCATGTAGAGTACAGTACCTAGTTTATGTATATTTTTTCTGCATTAATTCCCTTCACTCAGCGCATCTCATGACCAATCAGCTGTTAGGAAAAGGAGATAGTTAAGGAACATTCTTCTTGTACTACTCTTATGTTAAATATATATATGGGTTAATGTAAGTTTGGATTTGTCACATAACATAAAAGCAATGGTTATATCACAGCATAAATGTAAAAACAATTAAATTTATGTAGAAATACAAGCACGTAATCCCCCTCTCCTCAGACCCAGACCTCAATGGAGAAGGAAGGCATGGGAGGAGCTTCGGTCAGCGGAGAAAGGATTCTGTCTACGATCTCGAGCCTCCAGAAGACCCGCATCAAGTTCAACATGAAGCTCCTCGGTCAACTTGGCTTCCAAGACCCACGTGGCTCCTCCAGCGATGGGGAGGCCAAGCCAGCATATCGAGAACAATTTCTACCTCCAGAAATGTCTATTGTTTCACTCCTTATGAAAAAAGTGAGTTGCGTTTGTTTTTAATTCTCTGAGACAACTTTAGAGAAGAGTGGAGTTCATTAATGGTAGTAAGAGTTGTCCTAAAGTAGACAGAGGAGTGAACAGCCATGTTTAAAAAACGATTGATGGATTTTTTTAAATAATTTTTCTGGGAGCTTCATCGACTAAGGCTGCTGGGTTAAGATTTTTATCATTATACAGAACAGGTGAAATATCCTGTACTGAGCTTGTAATGTGTGTCAGAGGATAATGCATGAATCACTCTCCTGGGTTATGGTAATTCCTTATAAAAAGATTGAGGATGTTACAGTCTTTAGAAAAATCCTTTCATGAGTGAACTGTATATCATCTTTATTAGGATTATGTTATGTATTGAGTTGCCATTTTACAGCCCGTACTGCCGCCAGTGTACGAGAACATTGATTACGACTCCTCCGCCAGCGACGACGAGGAAGTGGATATTGATTACGAAGAGGACGAAGACGTATTCAAGGAGCCCAAGGTTAGTGGCGAAGATCCAGAGTTTCGGTTTATGCGACGGAGATTTTTATTTATTTTTTAATGTGTGAGAAACGTCCAATCTCTCCCAATTTATACCTGGTGATTAATGGATAAATATGTTTTGATTTACGATGGTGAACTGATGCTTGTGGAGATGGTTCTTTTGGGTCTTGTTTGTGATGGTAAAGGACTAATGTGTCAGTAATTACTCTCAGGTCTAGGGGATAATCTTGGCCTTACAACCAAATACTTAAGTTTCATAACAAGAGTTGCCTAAATCGTGGTTCAGTCATAATGTGGGATTTCATAGCCAATCCTACATTTTTTGTATTTCATATTTTTATTTGCAGTTTTGCCTTTGAACAACATATATATATATATATATATATATATATATATATATATATATATATATATATATATATATATATATATATATATATATATATATATATATATATATATATATATATATATATATATATATATATATATATATATATATATATATATATATATATATATATATATATATATATATATATATATATATATATATATATATATATATATATATATATATATATATATATATTTTTTTAATAAAGTATATTTTTGAAGACTTATTCCTTGCTTATATTTGTACAGTCAACTACTAAAGTCCGTTTACCTCTCCCCCCTGAACCACGAACCCCAAGATTCAGACTCATGAATCCGAAGTACATTAATATCAACTCTTCCTTAGGTTCTGGCTGAAAACACAGAGCACAGTGACCCAGACTCGTACTCCTGGTGCCTGCTGAGGCTGGCCACCGTACGAGCAGCCAAGATAGTGGTCGAACGGTTCCTGGAGGTAGCTGGGGTGGAGTTACTTGGTAAGGGGAAAAAAGGTACACACACATCACACTATTGCCACCCTTCTAACATGCATCTGCTGCTCTCTCTCTCTCTCTCTCTTTGACTAAATAGTAGAACAGATTTTTAACATTGCTTTATCTAATTTATTAATTTTTAGTTAAAGGAAAATTTAATTGATTTTTTTGTGCATGATGTACTTGTTGGGTTTAAACTATAAATGATTTGTATATGATTGATGGTGTTTTGTTTTTTGTTGCTCATCACCTTCTGATTACACATAGATTAGTAAGTTGCATGTAATATCTTGGAACCTAATCACACCTTCACGGTTATTTCTTGCGTTTATATCAGGATCCGAGGTAACATGACACTCCTACTTGTGGTAAAGTCGTCTTTGTTCTTCTAAGAAAATGGTGTTTCCTTCTTTATTACTTAAGTTACCCCTCCCCCTACCCTCACTTAAGATATTGCTTTGGTGTATAACTGTGTATGTTGTGAAAGTGTATAACTGTTTGTCTTATGAAAGTGAATAACTGTGGATGTTGTGAAAGTGTATACAGGTACGCCTCGACTTACGACCTACTCGACTTACGACCACCGCATTCGTATAAAATATTTTTCAAATTACGTATTTTCGAGTCCCGCCGTTAATGATCGCGCTGTGTACGGACAAAATTTTTGTTTGTAATTCCCTTTAAAATTGCTGGCATGCATAAAAGTGAGAGTTCTCGTGGTGCTGAGAAGAAAAAGAGACAATCATTTTAGATTTTCTATGTATTATTTTCGCATTTTCGACTTACGACCTGGTCGTCGGTCCCTAACCCCGCCGTAAGTCGAGGACTGACTGTAACTGAATGTTTTGAATGTGTATGACTGTGAATGTTGGTTGTGAAAGTGTATAACTGTGTATTGTAAAAGTGAATTTATCGACAATTCAGTAATTTTTGCCTCTCAGATTTGGTTCTATATTATAAAGTATTGTTGTTTGCATGAGGCTCTTAGTATTGTTTAAGTTTCCCTTCCTGTCCCACCATAAGTGTCATGTCCCTCAGTGTAAATATTTTTAGGTGAAATATGTTCAAAGTTATTAGTCTAATTTTGCTTTGCTTTGGGATGGCAAAACACTAAACTGACAGACATACAGACACACACATGCATATACACACACACACATACATCCACACAACTGTATATACTGTATTGTACATCTTGAATTAATATAGATAATTTGTATACTCATTTGTATAAAGAAATGTATAATAGTGTATGCTCAGTTGTATTAAGAAATGTATAATAATGTATGCTATGTATATGTATTAACAGTTTTAGGAAGTTTGTTAAGCTCAGGATCTGATAAATTAAGTAGAGTAATTCCATATAGCTTCCCAGACTAAACCATTGGGTCGTAGTATCAACTCGGGGCTGTATTTGTCCACCTATATACATCCGCTTTCTTGCAATATTGCACAAATAGTCTAGACTGCACATCCTGCCTGCTGTAGTTGTCATTATATCGAGGAAATTTCATAGGTTTTTGTTCTGATTTGAATGTTATGCTGTGTTCATTAATCATGTTGTCTCAGCTGGCTTTTGGAGGCAGTAATGAGTATTCTGATTCTTTGGTTAATAATTTAATAGCTATGAAGTTTCCTTTATATATTTTGAAATTGGTTTTCATCCATTTTATCAACGATCGATGTAAACATTTGGAAATTGATAACACAGAATAGTAAATTACAGACTTGTATTTATTACTTTGCCAAACCTACTGGTCAACATAGAACTACCAATGCAAAGTCCGCTGCTGCATTCCATTTTGCGAACTCTGGACCAATGGCTCGCTGCGCTGGTGATGCACATCGAGAGCAAGAAGGGCCCACCTCCAGAATATATCCCTGGCTGCTTTGCCGAGACCCAGGTCATGGGTCCGGCCATTCTGAAATACCGAGGACTGCTGGAGACCCACAACACTCCCTTTGTGTGAGTATTTGTCCCTGTATTGATGTTTGTGGTCATTGTAATATATTCTCTTTCTTCTTTATTTTATCTTATATTTTTTTATACTTTAACATTAATTCTTTCTCTTGTAGAGAGAGGGAGAGGTGGAGGAGGTATGGGGAGCAAAGGGCGGTTGGTGGATGGTCAGTTCCTCCCCAGCCATTACATAATTATTCGACATACTTTACTGTACTTAAACTGTAATGTTGGTGGCAGTTCAAAGTTAAATTGGATTATATATACATTGGTAGGTTAGGTTAGATTAGGTAGCAAAATAATCAGTATCACATTACTCCTGATATGAAGGAAATAAGAAATCACTTAAGTGTTTTCATTTCATTCAGGACTTCATGGCAGATTTATCTTTTAGTTTCTTCCTTTGATTGTCTGTGTAAATGTAAGGATAAAAGATGTGATGAAATAAGCAATTAGAGAGCCATTTTCAATCATGCTGTTTGTATATATAGTGAAAACAATTTACATACAGGTACAGATCAATTTATGGATTACTGTATGACTGTATGGCCACCAACTCATACTGATTACCCAACAAAGTAAAAAATACACATGGAAGGCTGGTATCTGTATCATGTATATATTGATATGCAAAGACACATAGACTGATATGCTTGTAAAGTTTATTAAACCAGTATGGGGGCCCCTTCCTGCCGAATATAATCGTCTGGCGTTAGGAAAAGAGAAAATTAAAAGTGGCGTACCCATAGTGAAGGGGTTAGGGATGTAACACCCAACTGTAGTACTCAGAACGATGCCAATAATGAAGTGAAGAAACAAGTCAGTTAAAAGAGTTAGAAATATTAAAATAAAATGTAAAATTAATAAAGCCTCATGTTTAATTCAGGCGTAACAAAAAGGGAGTCAAGTCAGTTGAGCGGCTTTGGAACTACCTCGTAAGGCAGGAGGAGGTTCAGGACGTCTTTGTGAGGTATATCTTTGGCCGCAAGAGACCTGCACCCGATCCCACCCAGCACTCAGATCATGGTAGGTGACGCAGCCTGTCAACCATTACACTAAGGGGTTTATGGTTTTCATTTTACCATATGTCTCGGCTTGTTGCTGAGGTGAGTTACATCTTGGGTGGTTGATCAGGCTTGAGTGTTTTGTAACTGATATCAGTGAGTGGATAGAGTGTAGCAACTTTCTTTTTGTGCTCATATTAAAACGTTCCACTTTTTTTTCCTTTTTTTGGGTACCTTCTAGTGGGTGTCCTGATATATTTTAGATCCGTCACAAGTTGGGGCACGAGATCCTAGGTACGTATACTGCCACTAGACTTAATTAACACATAAATTTAATCACTCCTACTTCAGGTATAAATGGGATCTTAGGACTGATCTTCCATTTACCTCTCAAGGTGACGATGCAATGAGTGACGCGGGTGAGGGCGTCGACGGCTCGGGAACAGGTGAAGGAGGGTCAGAGATGGGCGCAGACAACCATCACGAACCTTCGGAACACGGCGGCCCAACCTCGGAAGCAACAGTTCAGTCTCTAGAACCTGTACGCATCATCCACAAGGAACAAGACTCTATCACTGCTTTCTGTATCAATAAGGTGAGTTATGGGATATTTTTGAAGTGAAAATTTATCTAACTTAATGTTTTTTTCTTGGTTCAGGTTGATTTAGTTTAGATACCTACAAATACAGTATGGTTTATATGCTCACTCACCATTATAAATTGTTACTGGGATTTTCTTTTTCGCAGGAAGAAATATTACCAGTATTGTAATAATAATTTTTTTCTTCCAGGTGAATGCTGGCTTGATGGCTGTTGCAACTGTGCGTGAGGTACAGGAGCTGGATGTTTCACTGCTGTTAGACCATCCTAGTTGGCTTACTAATGAATGTGAATTGGATGTGTTGTCACTGAACAAGTAAGTTGGAGGTGTTGATAGACATACCTAATGTGAGTTGAGAGTTCCCTTTATAACTGTTATGCATTGTGTCCAGTCTTGATGAAGTAAGTAAAGTAGTGTAGGAAATGCATGATGGCTGTCTCTTTGTTGTGGTGGGTCTCTCTTGACCATTGTTTTATAGGGAGATGATCCTTTCTTCCCTGCTGTCACTGTTGGTTTATACAGAAAGGCACTCCAATAACTATCTTTACAGAGTGGTTCGATGAATTTCAAAATGAACACTGCGATTCTTGTTGTCTCAAGTCAAAATCCTTCATCCATTGCATCATATTGTCTAACACAAAATTTTAAAGATACTTTTTTGGGGTTGTGTGTACAGTACAAATGTAAATGGTTACAGAGAGCCGGACAGTGTGCCGTCATCAAACTTCCTGGTCGTACACACACCATTAGACAAAAACGTCCTCGATCCTGGTAAGACAGGTGAGTGTTTTTATCATTATGGTTTTCATCAGGAAAGTTGATAAAAAACTATTCCAGTAAAGACAGACATATAATACTGATACAATTTTTTCCTGACATTTCTCTTGACTCTACTATATACCTCATGTTATTTTCATTGTTATCATTTTAACTTTCATCAAAATTAGATGAATGGAACAAACTCTCCAAACTTTTTGAACCAATTCTATCCAGAAACTTTCACCATAGTTGCTAAAATTTACAACAGTAGATTCTCTCTCTATCTGTTTTCACATTATTTATAACTTATTAAAATAAAGGACCCCACAAATATATGTGAATTGATCTCCCTCTTCAAATTCCACTCCATTCACACTCTTACCATTAAACTGAAGTTACAGATCACATCTTGATCAAAGGTTCCAAGGCTGATGTAGATTCACTTACACGTTCTTGAGTTACTTCGGGGATAGACAGAGAGACAGGACTGAAAACAGCCTCCACCACCCTCCTTAGTCCCCAACAGTCAATGGTTTGTTATTTGTGAGAGTCTCATGATGCCACAGTTAACTACAGGATGTACTCTTGTCACACAGCTGTTGATGGGAACCTGTCATCGTCGTCAAGCATCAACTTCTCGGGCATGGGCGGACCATCAATGGGCCAGACAGGAAGGGGCACCAATGTGGTAAGCTTAATGCAGATTTTGATATGTTATTTGATTTGTTGACAGCTTTAAAGTCTTCACATTCATTGTTTTTACGGGTATCCCTTGAGTTACAGATGAGCTACGTTACTGGAAAGTTGTCCTTAATTTGGAATCCCGTAACTTGAAATTCCGTACCTTTGATTCTGAATATGTGATCCACGGTTCGATTTCGGGGTACTGAGCAGACATAATGATGCTTAGAAGATTTAAATGACATCTTTCAATGCTAATTACGTGCTAACTATCAGTTTCCCGGGTGCTTTTTTGGTGTTGTTGTGTTATTCGGGATGTAATTAACTAGTTCAGTCCCTTATATTCCAATTCTGAGAGAAAAGTATACTCAAAATTCCGTAACTCGAGGGATAGCTGTATTTTGCATTAGGACAAGGAGTGAATGTTTTAACTCAGGAATATCAGAGTTTCTTCCTACAAATATATTACTGTACTATATACCTTTCAGATCCTATTACTAATTTCATCTTGATACACTTAACAGTTCTGAAGAAAGACAAAAGAGGTGCCTTAAAAAAACCTTAACTATTTTAAAGTGCCTTGTTACGTATGTGTGGTTGACGTGTATCTAATATTACTGTGTGAATATGAACCACTTCTTTGACTAATCCCTTGAGCAGTTAACCATAGTAGTAGTATATCATAAAACATTCAGGATTTGTTCTAAGAATTTTTGTGGTTAATAAGAGATAATATATTGAGTGTAATGATTTGATACTTTTCATTGACCTGTAGACCATGGGGTTGTGTGGTGGGGGGGGGGAGCTGTAGAGGTGCGAGAGGATTAATATATTTTCTGTACTGGTATATATTGTTTGTGGTGGTTTACTGTCTTCCATGTGCTCTTCTTAGTGTACATAGTGAAGGATACAGAGGAGGGGATACTCGTGCATTTTATTACACTCCTACAATACCTTTCTTCTTCGAGTCTTATTGCCATGTTTTTAAGTCTCATTTGCGACTATACATCAGCTTCAGGGAAGACAGGTCTTGCCACCAAATTGATCATGACAGAAGCAAGACAAGATGATATGAACTTTCTTTTAAATATTCAGCATTATTGTTTTCCTTTCATCAGCTCAGGTTACTTTACTGAAAACTTTTAAATATATCTACCTTTTTTTATGCAATTCTGAAACAATTTATCATTAAGTAGGTAGAATTGGTCAGGGTTATTTAAGAAAATCGGAGGCATTTTCTCTACTTTGTCCTTGAATAGTTTTTATATGTAGTAGAAGCTGCTGTGGGTGTTGTGTCATCGTCCTTCAGGTGTTTCCCTCCTTTAGTAGTTGGTGATACCTTAGTCATTGTGTCCCTCAGGCTGATCTAGAGTAAGAATGTCTCTGTATAGGCAGGCGGGTCATCTTTGACTACCTCAGGGAGTAACGCCCCTTCCTTGCCAGCTAAGAGGGAACTGGGAGTCTTACACATAATGACCAGTTCTCACTATGTGTAAGCGGGTCGGTGGTAGAATTGATATCCGGTAATAAAACTTTCCTTGTATGATGGTAAACGGCCACAAAACTTACTTTATCTGAAGTGAACCCAAATTCAGATGCCGTCATAGCCCACCATTGTTTAATCCCAGGGTAGGCTGAGTTGGTTCCTGCCTGCTGGGAGAGTCTGGTTAAGTGGCAGGGGAGACATATCTTGATCTATGTACTGTCAGCCTACCAGGGTGAGATGTTGTATGATAGATTTAATGTGTGTATAGATGATAGCTTTAACCTGTGTATACTGTAAATGATAGCTTCATCCAGTGTGTAAATGACAGCTTCAACCTGTGTGTAAATCTTAGCTTCAACTTACGTAGATAACTTTAATTTACATAGAATGTTTTCTTCACCTGACATACATACACATGATAACTTCAGCTCATGTATACAGTAATGGGTGACTTCAGGTTAAATATGAATGAATAATCTTTGTTACTAATATTAGACCAACTCCACTAATAAGCTGGCCGCCATCTTGGCTGTGTTATCAATTTGAATGATTTATTATGCAAACATTTGCCTCCAACGTGAGTGTATGACTAAAATAGAGGGATCACTTGAAGTTTAGGCACCCCAGTTTAATTCACCTCTGATGATTAAACATCCTAATGCTACCCGGGGAAGGGGTTAGGTTAGGTTAGGTTATTTTTTTTTATCATTTATCATTTCACCAGTTATCAGCTTGCTAGCCATTTGGGTTGTTGGTCTATCCAGCGTTAGTACAGGAGGAAACTGGAGACTGGGAAACCTGTGGTGTTTGGTAGTGAAGGTCGCACTTGATAACACCCTTCTCACGTGTGTCTGGGCCGAGCAGGACACAAACCCTTGAGAGATACATGTGTTTCCACCATACAGTACCACCAACACCCCTGTCATGTTAGTTTAGGTTAGGTTATGTTGAGTTAGGTTTGGTTAAGTTAGATTAGGTTATGTTAAGTTAGATTTTGTTTGGTTTGGTTAGGTTAGTATTAGGGTGTTTATTCATCATGTGAACTTAGCTGCAGTGCTTAATCTAAACATGATCCCAAAATAGGTTATTAAAAATATGGTAACTTTATTACTCTTCAGTTCTTTTTGTATGTGTGTGCCTGCATCCCACCAGCTTCTTATAAATGTACAATATTTACTTATTGTTGTTTTGTATCACGTGTTTGAAGCTTTTTGTCACACACAGCTGCTGTTTCCTTACTTGAGACTCACAAGCTTTAAGTTAAGACTCCTGCGTTGGCTCGTGGCTTGGCATTTGACGTTATCTTTTGTGTTTTTATTCCGTGTGTATCCCAGAGAAGTGGACATAGAAATGGCAGGTGTGGGTTGGTGTGTGTGTGTGTGTGTGTGTGTGTGTATATTTTTGTGGGGCAGGGTGGATGTGAATGGGTATGTGAGGGGTCTTTGTGTGTGTGTGTGCATATATATAGTAGATTGATAACAAAATTATCTCACATGAGTTTGATAATCAACGCTCTCAGTCACTATTTCCTGTATATTTCTCTCATTGCCAATCTACCATAACTGTCTAGTACCTTCAGTGTTGATGTGGGAGTTACTACAAGAAGTTCAGTCAGCCAGCAAACGTGTGAATGATATACTGGGGTACCAAGACCACTTCCTTAATTGATTACTCAGGGTTTGATTAAAGAGGTATTTATCATATGCTGTAATATAGTGAGAGTTATTTATGCTTTTTATTTTAAGTTTTTAGAGGATTTAACTTTGTCATTTACTCTGTCTTTGTATTAGGCTGTGAGAAAAATATTATGATAGCTGAACAGGAGCCATTGAGACTAGGTTTTGTTCTGCACAAAAATGACTCCTAACTGTGATTATGTCCAAGAAATCTCAAGCAATAACGTAGGCATCATACACTTCCTAAACAATACTGAATCGTTCACTGGCTAAGTAGATATATTCGGTAAATCTCAAACCTTCTTCTTACCTAAAAGTATATAACTTCCATTTCAAAACGTAATACAATAATAATAATAATAATAATAATACAGTAATAATACGGTACTTCAGTAATATAGGTACTAAGCATATAAAGTACAAACATGAATAATAATAATAAAATATGTTTGCTTTAAAGAAAATATATTGAATCTGTGACAATGATTAGGTGGTTTTGCTGATGGTAGTGGTGGTGGTGATAGTGAGAGGTTGTGATGGTGGTGAAGGTGAGGTGATACTAGTGGGGACTCATCCTCAGTTTCTTTTAAGGTTGGCAGCTTTATATTCTTTAGTCAAATCATGTCTTCACTCGTCAAATCGTCTGTAAAGGAACCGAGTAATCCTACCACGTCGTCCGTGTGTACATCTGTATCGTAATGTCACTTCAGTCAGGCATTTGCTACTCTGTCACACTGATCATATAAATATTTCAGTTTAAGTTTGAGTTAAATAGTTTTTTGTGGGCGAGCTTGGGAATGTAACCACTGTTTGTGTCAATGGGAAATGGTGTTATGGGTGATGAATTACCGACCAAATTTGGAACCCAACCCATTCATTACCCGGGGACAGTACTGTACCTGTATTTGTTAATATTACATGTACGTATACTGTGTTATTTACTCTTATTTTGTGGACTAATGTTGTATTGGTTGGATGTTGTTTGTACTGTAGTTCTGTCTCCAGGAACACATCTTCAGTGATTTAATATTATAGATCCAAGATATGATAATGCAACTTAAGAAGGCTGTTGGCTGACACATTCCCGTCATAACTCAGAGTTTTCCTCTATTTAGTATTTCCTGCAGGTGTTAGTTAGTTTAATGGTTCCTGGGACTTTGCTGTGGTGTGTACCACAAGTTATGCTTTTTTTTGTAAAATTTTTGGTTGAAGTTGTCTACAACTGAGAGTTGAAGCTTATGGGTGAGCTGAGTGACAGGCTGGTGTGACACTAAGACTCATAGTCTTGTACTGTGCTGTAGATGGTGACTGTTGTGTGTAAAGAGCTCTTTTCAGAGACCTCATTATACTGTACTAGGAGGGTGGTTCTAACTGATTGATCATTTCTAGTTGGCATTTTTTAGGATGTCTTCAGGTTCATAGACTTGCTGTTGTTGTTTGGGGGTAATATGTGAGCTGTCTAGTCTGGCTCAATAGTAAAATGGGGACACCATTGTGTTATGTCATGTTTTAGTTTGATAAAGTACAGTATGTATGTGGTTAACAGAAATGAAATACTGATACACATTTAGAATGAGAAAAATATTGAGAGTTCTTCTTTGTCAATCAATAAGTGTGAGTCAGTAACAACTGACATTCATGAACAAGACTGACACAACTCGGACAGATTAATTGCTGAATCTCTCTCTTGTTTTTTTGTTAATAAACCAATACCCATTTTACATTGTGCCAGTTGCTCATAAAATCACATTTTATATTAATTCCTTAGTTGTTAGTTCTCCTGACAATGTTTAGTAACAACAGTGAGTCCATTATTATTTGGCAGGGGAGATGTTTATACCTGTATACTGCCATAAGGCCGTGCTAATGAGATACTCTACCTCCTTTTCCCACACATTCCTCTTACTGAACATATTTTAACATGACATAGACATTATTGACGTCAGAAGTCTGATCATTTAATCATCAGAGACTGTTAGTATTATGTGCTGATGTGTGTTATCAACGTAGACTGTTAGTATTGTTATGTACTGAGCTGTGTTGTTTCATTACTGCGGCTCAGTTGAAGGAGTTCAAAGGGGTAAATTTCCCCGGCTCAAACAACCCTCGTTTCTGTCGCTTCGTATGGGAACGCAGTCGCCATTGCCTGAAGCCGGTGAGGAAAGCTATTTTGTCTCTCACAACAGACACTTCTCCTTATGGTTGTGTTGTGTATCTGTTTTATGGTTTAGTAAATATTACAGAAGATGTCAGTACAGTACTTATTTAGACCTTAAACACATAGCATAATATTTCTGATACTACACTGTTCACATTACTCTAGTACTCAGAGGAAAAATAAGCTGGAATACTGTACATCTCCTGTTAAATAGCTGTTGTGTGTTATTTGTTGTGTAATGTGTTGTACAGTACTGCAGTTTAATACAGTACTTGTCTCTTGTGTTTATAAATACTACTGTATGTTGATGAATACTCTGTTTTGTCTTCTTATTTTTATTTCATTTGTATCAGAATCTAAAATGCACATTAAATAGAATGAAGTTAATAATTTTCTCAGCATCCTTCACTAATCTTTTGCTATTTATTATGCTCATTTTTTTTTTTTTTTTTTTAGAAAATCGATAATTACAGTTACACCCCGACCTCCGTGAACTGTGCACAAGCTTGTGGGATATTTGCATTGGTGAATTGGGAACTGCAGGAACAAGATCACAGTCTCTGATAATTTGTATATAGGCTCAGGTCCCAGGTCTGAAAACTCTTGTGAAAATTGAAGCTGATAGTCATATTTTGTCTCTTTTTTTTTACAATCTGCTAAACCTAAGAAGGGAAGTTACAGTAAAAGAATCATTCATTCTATAATCTTGACAATGCAGTATCTAGTTATGGACGCCTAAAGTCATGATTACATTTGAGTCAATACTACACGAAATACCCCCATGTATATTCATCATTCCTTGGAGTTCTGGAAAGTAACCCAAATTCTCTTATATAAGTTTGTGGGTGTGGAGTATAGTGCATCATATACAGTACAGTACAGAGCTTCTTATTAACTTACTAACTAACTAATAATACCTGGTTTTAATGTTTATAATAAGAGCAAACTCCCTGAAGAACGGCACCGTCTCCTTGTCATCTTGTCATCTTCAGAAATACGTATCGGCCAATAATGTGAATTGGCGAAATCTAACTGAAATTCAGTATCGATTATTAATTTTTCATCGCATAAGTAATGAAAATTTAAACGTTCACCATTGTTGTAGTTGAAGGAGGTGAGGTGTACGATAATATAGCTGGAAATATTTTACTGTGAGTTAATATACACTACAGTACACCTTAAATCTCTCTTGCTATGGCTTACTATACACCATAATACAGTATATATTAAGTTGCTCTTCTAATATTAACTTTGTGGTATTTTAGCTTTTTCTACATAAAATAATACACAGATGTCAGAGAAAGTCGCATATAAAGCCTCGTAGTACAGTAAAACCTCCCTCAGGTCGCTTGGTGTTGAGGGTATGGCAGTTTTGTGGACACGCTAGTCCACATAACAACAACACTAATTCTGTATTTTACTCTTAAGTCACAAACCAAATAAAAATACAGCTATTCATATATAAATTTTACCTTAGTGATCTTACAACTTAGAGAGGTTTTACTGTGTATACTTTTAACTGTTCTGATGCTATGTTTGTTTTTATATAAATTGTTCAGAAAATTAACGGTTGTTCTTTTGCATCCAGTACACAACACAGCTGCAGAGGTAGTGAATGATTTTATTTGTATTGTATATTTTACGTATGATTATGTAATTTTTTCATCCATCTCACATGTAACTGCAGTCACTAGTATTTCAGTTATGATACAGTTTTACAGCAGCTTGAAGTAAGAATAATGTAGTGTAAATATAGCTTTTACATGTAGTGTATTCTGTTGCACAAGCACGTATATGCAAATAGTACAGTAAATACAAGCTCAAAAGTTCACTACTGTACTTCCTGTGGTATTATTTCCATACTCTATTTATTGCACCAGCACGCACATGCAAGTAGTTGCAAGCTTAAAATATCACAATGTACTTCCTTTACAAGCTCAAAATTTCAATAGGGTCTTCCTCTGATATTATTTTAACTATTGCCAACTCATCAGACAACCAATTCTTTCTGTCTGTCTGTATATCTTGGTTAGATTTCGTCCCTGTGTGATTACAAGTGCAGGGTGCAGGTCTTATAGGATCATCATGCCTCTTGTTCATATTCTCCAGTTGCTGAGTCATCGTGTGGAAGGAACGCGTCGCATGACATCTCATCCTGTCCTGCCGCTGTGTAAGTTACTAGGGTTTGTTTTACTGTAAATTGTACAGTACCTTTTATTCAGTGTACAGTGAGAAGTTGTTTCTGAGAGACATTTGGGAAGAGACAAAGAAAGAAATGTGAAAGAGAGAAAGAATTGAAGGGTCCAAATTTGCTGAGCACATCTGTACATCTAGGTCTTTATGTTGAAAAATAGCCGAGTAGTTTAACATCAGCAATATTATCTGAATTAATATGAAGTCCAAACTAAAGGGGATCAAGTGTATAGTATTTGAGTCATTATATATTAACCTTCCCTCAGTTGAATGTAATTAATTGTGTTTCACAGAACAGCATAAATAAAAAAATATCTTTCAACCTTTTCAGCTTTTTCTTTATTCATACTGTAATGTTATTTGTTATATTCCAGATCTGTTGGGTTGTCAGGACGGATCTGTGGTCGTGCGTGAGTGGCACCACAGTGCAGTGGTTGCTCGACCTCGACCCGGCGGCACATTTGCCAAGGTGGCCCGAGTACAGTTCAACCAGCAAGGTAACAAGTTTGGTGTCATTGACGGCGACGGAAACTTGTCCCTCTACCAGCTGGGTCTGGCATCACAGGTCAACAAACCATTTTATGTAAGTAATACCTTATTTACTCTGCTTTTGTTCTTTTGAATTGATTTGTTTAATAAAGCTGTTACAGCATTTTTTCTCTTTAGATTAAATTAGGAGAGGACAGGACAAGTTAGGTTAGATTAGGTTAGGTTTTGCTTCTTTGAGCTGAGTTGTTTTAGTAAAGCACTGTTAAGCCCATGACTGATGTAGCAGATATAAACCAGTTATCCTTACATTATAAACTTCATCATCATTAACACACTATCCAGCAGCAGTTGAACAGTTCTAAATGCCAGCTAATTAATTGTTTTTCTTGGTTGTTAACACCAGAACCACCAGTGCCACAACAAACATGGAAGTGACTTCGTATTTGTGGGGTCATCGAGCCTCCTGGCCACAGCGGGACAGTCTTCCGAACACCGCAACGTAGCGCTGTGGGACACGTTGTTGCCACAGAGGAAGGCTAATGTTGTATGTAAGTGCTGAAGCGTTCATTTTCACTTCTCTATGACCACTTTGTCCTACTGCATGTATTTACTGACATCCTATTGTATAACAGAATTTTCTTGTTAAATGGAAAGCCTTCAAGGCAATCTCGTGTAATGATTTAACAAACTTTTGTTTTTTAAGTTTTGACATTTATAATTCATTTTAGACAGTTATTTTTTATAAAAGCTTGGACTTGAAACAGGAATAAGTAGAACATCATCTCTGTAGTAATTGAGTAACTGTTTCATTTTTCATCAAAGCTTGGACCTGTCATGAGAGTGGGGCGTCGTCACTGCTGTACGCTCCTCAGCACCAGGTGATCCTGTCAGCTGGCAAGAAGGGAACTGTGTGTATCTTTGATGTCAGACAGCGCACCTTGAGACATAAATTCCAGGTATGACTTACAGTCTTAGCGCATGATGATACATAAAATACAAGAGATATTTCATAAAACTTAATTAGTTCTTATTAAGGATTGAACTTATAGATTTGCCATGTATGTTTATTTATTATATAATTTTTATCTATAACACCATTTACCACTATCAAGTAGATTACTATCCATTCATGTACTCATATTTAAACACACGTCTACGGAGATGGAAGTATTTGGTTATATTCATTTGTCAAGTGATGTTATGACAACCCTTAATTTCTAGGCCCACGATGCAGCCATAAAGTGTATGGCTTTAGACCAGAGTGAGGAGTTCTTCTGTACAGGTTCTGCTGATGGGGACATTAAGGTAACTTGAATAGGTTTCACATTGGCAGTAATTATAATGCTTATACCTAAACAGTGTTAGTGAAGTATTGCCACAAGTGTAATGTTACTTCCCTGTTTCTTCTTGCACCACCCTACCATTATTTCTCTTATTTATTTTAGGCTTCTGTACCCCAGATAAAGTAGGAAAGCTGTACAGATGGATAAATAGATGGTTATCACATTGCTGTAGGTTATACAGCTGTATGTGAATGGTATTATTTTCTCTCATAGGTCTGGGGTTTGACCATCCACAACCTGATATACAACCTGCCTGGAGAACATTCTCGTTCTTCTCTCTTCAAGAACTTGAGTCAAGGTGTCACCCAGCTGCAACTTGATACAAGCAACAGACTTTTCTCTTGTGGTGCTGACGGGTCCATCAAGTTGAGACAGTTGCCAGATAGAGACCTCAATGTTAGCCATTTGTAACTGACTGAAATACAAGATGGGGTATACAGTACCAGCTCTTTGTTAAATAAGAAAGGTGACTTATTGACCATTTCAAGATATAAACCTATGGGTCAGTAAGTATATTTTGCTTGATACATGACACATTAAGCATTTCATTATTTCTTTTTGTAGATAATCTGGTTCTAAGAACACCATCTTGAGAAAAACACCAAGACGTGTAAATCATTGAGAGTCATCCTGGTTTATACTCTGATATTCTTGATGTGTTAGTGGAATATAGGTTATTTGCCTCACACCATTAGTCACGTGATTCTCAGCTTCATCGATACTTATTAGTTTTACCATAAAAACACACATTTTATTCAAATTAAGTTATAATGACCATAAAACATTACCTTCTGTATCTTTGTAATCTTTCAAACAGTATTATTTTGTCTTGCTTTAATCATATATGGTAAAGGGCAAATGTTGTTCCTCACTTGCAGTCATCTAGAAGCAGTGCTTAAAGTGCTAAAAAATCTGAACCAACACAGTAAGTCAGTGCACTCGACTACATGTGTGTCTTCACATACAAAAGTTTGCAAAATGATTGTCTTTGTTTGAACAGGAAGGATGCCACCTATCTCAGTAGGGTCATTTGGCTGAACCACCACTGCATTACCGAGCATTCCTAGTATCTGCATCTTTCTCTATCATAGGTTGTATGTATTCATGCTAAAGCTTCTTGAACCTTTGTTGTTGTTGTTGGAATTTATTTAATTTACCTGTGTCATCTTATTCACATGGGAAGCTGCCCTCTGAGGGGATAGGGATGGTCCTGACAGAAATGCCTCCATATTACTATTTTACATCAGTCTCTTATACAGTTAAAAGAACAAGTACTCATGTCAACATTATATACAGTATCCCTGTTTGTGTGTGTGTATTAGACAACAAAGAACCAAAAATTATGTAAAGGAGGGAACTATAGTACCTTCTTATATGTACATCATCCATTCACTACATCATTTCTACCAGGTTTTATGAAGTTCTGTTGAAAACTGTTAGATGAGTCGACTGTAGAAGCCTTTCATTACCGGCAGAGAACATTTGATGGCAGATAGTCATTTCAGCTTCTTCTCTGGTAGAGGGTGAGTATATGGTACAGTATTTCCAGTGGGACTACGAGACAGGCAAATTTCTACCTTATTTTGACATAATGGGTAATGACTTGTGAAAGTAAAGGTCGCTTGGACCTTTCACTGTCAAAATAATCATTGTAACTAAAATACCAGATCTCATTTACTTGTACAGGATCATTGTTGCTATATAATGGAAGAATATTTTCCTGGTGTAAACTTTCAGCGGCTCGAGTTTGGTCTTATAAAATTAATGTCAAAACAGTTACAAGTCTAGTTTATCCAGATTTAGTTGAACATGTTTGGCTTACAAGTTCCAGGTATTCTTTCTCATATTATATAACAAGATATACAGTATATACCTGGTACAGTACATGCAGTATACCTTGTAAGTAATGACCCCTTTTAATTAATATATTTTATAATTTTTCCTTCATCACTGACACATTAATTACACTGGTTGTCTATTTCAAGTTTACCCAGTACTGTAGTCAATATATCTCAAATCTATTTCAATGGCTGAACAATAATTCAGATCTGCTTCTTTCATTCTGCATCATTGTGGGTAAAGTCTTCCTGTAGAAAAAAACAAACAAAATTATGTTGTCAGGGTAGATGATGATGTGAGTCCAGCTGTTAAATGCGTTAGATGAGCCACACACACACACACACACACACACACACACACACACACACACACACACACACACACAACTATTCCAGGTAAACTGACTGCTGTACTGTACTTTCATTCTACCCAGGCAAAAGTCATTTTAGATCCAGCAATTTTTTTTTTTGCCAAGTATAATTATTATACTCATTGAAAGCCACCAGTTGTATAAATATCCTTCATATATAATTACACAGGGCCATTTTATTTATTTTTTTTAATTCAAGAACTCTTAATAATCACTGCAGTGTGTTTTAGGACGTGCAATAAACAGGAACCCCAAAACTAGTAAGACTAAAGTAAGAAAAATGTCCCCTTGTAATTATATATGTGGTATACTACACACTAAGAACTAATGAAGGAACTATTTTAGATCGTTGATGTAACCTGTGCGTCTGATTATATACACTTTCTGTTTTAAATTAATGTATTAGCGACTACTATAATTACAAGATAACTTTATGCAATGTAAATATCTTACAGAAAAGAGACAAATGTAATTGTTGGTTCTTTTTTTAATATAATATCTATAATAGTGCGGTAATATAATATTGTAGCGTATAATAGTGTATACATTGGCCATAACATAAGCAGTACTGTATGTAATAGCATAGGCTAGTCTTGGGTTAACTAATGTTGTGACTACCTGTGTCTCTGATCCTTGGATCCTAACCCTATCATAACCTGTGCATCAATCTGTTTTTGTTACTCTACTGTATTATTATTTTTTGTTGGGAAGATGAAGGGTACATAAACTACAGGTGAGGTGGGGGGGGGGATACAGGTACTGTTAAAGGAGAGAGGGATGAAGACAAAAGGGAGAGATATTCAAACATACTTTTATCATAGTCTCAGTTTACATCCACAGTATAGATGGTGAACACTTTCTTAACATTCATATGATCAAAGTTAACCAGAGGAATGGTTTAAGTAAGAATATTTAAGGGGTTATAGAATCCAGATCCAGGAATGAGTTTTGCCCAGAAATGTTTTAATCTTACTAATACTACTACTACTACTTCTTCTTCTGTACTACTATACACTACTACTGCTGCTGCTACTACTACATGTGAACTCTTTTTAAGATTTAGGAAATTAAATGCCTGATCATTTTGTAGTTAATATTTCTTGGGCAGAATTTGCTGTGTATCAATATGTGATGAGTTGTTCTGTAAATAGATACATGTTATATAAATATATAAATATATAGAGGTAGTTAATTTTTTCTAATAGGTGAAATATATTATAAAATACTCACATTCCAGAATTACACTTGTGTTTACATGGTATGAAACACTGTCTGTTGACGGCTGGTGTGAAACACTGTCTGTTGACGGCTGGTGTGAAACACTGTCTGTTGACGGCTGGTGTGAAGCACCCTCTTTTGACGGCCTCATTGGCAAAATACAAAGCCCTGAATTATTTAATGAAGAACAAAATGGTAAAAGCAACCATTAAGGCACAATGAATCATAGTCTGGGGTCATAATTTACATCACAATAGACTTAAGGTGGAAATTTTTGTAGGGTCAAGAGGCATGAGGCCACTGCTTATCACCACCATCAACAGACCTGTGCTGCTGTCACAAGTATATGTATAAATGTTATTTGTAAATGAATTATAATATTGTGTGACATGTGTTGGTCTTGTGTAAAGTTGAATAAATATATAGGAAACCAAAGTTTTTATGCCATATACTGTAGTGTTATGTATTAACATTAATATCCAGAAGTAACCTAATGACCTTACTACTGTAGTTTGTATTAACAATAACCTTTTCACTATGGCTGGTAGATTCAGGGCTTCTGCCTTCAAATTTCACACTTGACAATGATGTTCTACTAAATACAGTGTAGACTACTAATATTTGTCTTCACTGCTTCATAAAAATATCATTGATTGAGGAATTAATTTTTCACAAATATGTACTGTACAATTAATGTAATGTTATTAGGGAAAAAAAGGAAAAAATAAACTGATAGACATTGAAGGGAGACAAAGTGAAGATCGTCGACTGACCCAGATATGGCTGGAGGCTTAACATCATCTCGGAGTGTTAGTGAAGGCCAGAGAGACTTATCACACATGAACACACACACTGAATAAGATTGAAAGGATTACTGTCTAGTGGTGTAGTGTCTCTATCTTTGATTAAGTTGCACAGGAACAGTAGGACAAAATCCAAACACAGGATTGCAATAGTGACTTATATTATAATAAATACAATCAGGATTCAGTTATGAGTTACAAGAGTAATATTTATATAAGTGTTGATGAAAATAGAAATTGGCTGAGAAATTGTATTGCTGGTGTGCCTCAGTTAGTGATTGACTTCTAGAGACTTAACAGGTTATAAAGGTGTCATTATTTTATTCGTGTAGCGGCAGTGTGAATCTTAAACAGAGGTGAAAATAGGTGAGATGATGTTGTGGTGCGCAGGAAGATGGTGAAGGTGTCAGAGGAGTTGATGTGGTGTTGAAAGGTTCTTAGCTGATGTGAAACTCCATTGATATGAAAATGAAGAGAGACTTGAAACATTCTAACATTAATGGAAACTACTCAGAAGTTTAATAAGAAGAAAGATGGGAAAAGAAAGGTTTTATTAGTGTCTGAGGGACAGTAACAATTATCAACATAGTCTTGGTAAATGTTGATCTCTATTGATTCACTGTCCTGTTCATTGTTGTAGTCTTAGAAGCTAAATGTTGAACGTAAATTAGGGGCAAATATTGAGATTGTCCACCGTTTGACTCTCCTTCAGGGAGCTGCGGTACTTTTCCTTAACTGTGTTTATGACCAGCTCTGCCAGGAAGGTCAGTAGGGCTACCAACATCCCTGAGAAAAAACAGAACAACTTTCAATGATCAATACACCAAGTAAATGACATCAAACAGTTGCTACAAATACAGTGTAACAGAAGCAGCTCATTAGTGTAAGAAATATCTTATCACCGCCCAAAGTGGTAATGTAGTTTATCAGAACAGATTTTGTCGTGTATCTCACAATGGCCGAGATATTGGGCTCGTCATGCTGTCTTTTATTTGAGGTTAGTGTATAGCTAATCTGTCGGGTACATTGCTAATCCTTACAGTATAGCTAATCTTTTCACCACAAAGGAAGAAGATGTTTCCTCCACACAGACAGAGAAGAAAATTCCTCACCTCCAATGTAGATGGAGAAGATGCCCTGGAAGTCGCCAATCTCAAGGGGTCGGAGGACACCGGTGCCAAGGGTGGAGGAGACGGGTTTGAGACACTCGGTGGCATTGGACACTTCCTGTAAGGCAAGATGTTCCAGGATCCCAAACTCCTTCAGTCTTAGGATGCTATAGGAGAAAATAGGACCACTGTTTGGGTTTGGCATCTAGTGTAATTATTAATCGAGTTACACTCTTTCTATTCACTCAGTTTATGTAGAGTTGGTTATATCAAACTCTGTAGGCCTTGTTTCTTGGTTAGTTTCAGACTATTTACAGTAGACAGTTCAAGGGTTCCCTCACACTAATCATTGTGATGGCTTAAGTGTCTTAAATGTTCTTTGTATCTTCCACATAAATATCCTCTCACCTCTTATGACCTCAGCTGATATATAAAATTCTTTCTCCCTTGAGGTAGGTAGTCTGATTACCTCAATTAGTTTTGACTTTGCCTTGCTAGCTGCTCCCACCTTGTGGGTTGCTGTTAGGAAGGGCATCCAGCCATAAACTATGCTTCAACATGCTTGGTGTCAAAATTGTCATAAAATAATCATGGCTAACCCATGCAAGCATGGAAAATGGCCTTTGAACATTAATGATGATACTGATTGCATGCTGTCACACATGCATACATCTCACAAATTCACTCTTAATTACTATACACTTAGAGCTTAATATCCACCCTTCCCCCTCTAACACCATTCCATCCCCTCTTCACCATCCCCATCATACAAGATTAGATTTATTCTGCACATACAGACAGTGCAGGTATACAAACAATGCACAAAAACAGTGTAGGTATAAGAAAAAAGGTAAACAGTAAACTAATTCAATCAAAGGTAGCCCATTAAGGCCAAGTTCTTCCAGTCCTCCAGTGTTAACCAAGCTGAGAAGATAATATTTATCACTGGTACTGTAACCATGATGGTGGCTCTCAAGATCTCCAGGAGTAGTTCAGTTTATCACAAGTGAGAGATGGTGTTTCTTAAGTCTAGAAGGTGATCTATACATAACTCATAAATAATAATGGTTGTCCCTCGTGTAACGAGGATGGCCGACCCAAGGGCCACTTAGGCGTGAATTTGTTTAAGGTGTACAAGCTGTCGCCAACACAACAACCACACCCTGAGTTAGCGAGCTGCATGACCCAGCGTCGAGGAATAGTCCGAGAAGACCGGACAACTCGCCAACTGCACTGGCTAACCATTACCCCGGAATACGATCCACAAATCGATTAACATCCAGGTACCCAATTACTGCTGGGTAGACAGAGGCAAATGGCATAAAGAAATTTGAACATAACTCATATACTGTACAGGTAAGCTCTCTTCTTTCAAATTATCCAAATCATTAAATGGTAACTCATTACTTGAATGTATTTCATGCATTCAATAGAAATGTCTGTGTTCCATCAATACAAACTCTATGTATTACTGTGAAGTAACTTTATTCATTGATGAGTTTGGAGGACATGCATTACAAGAAATTGTTCAGAGGCACATCTATGTAGAATATAAAGGTGTATCTAACTCACACAGTATTGACTCTGGCCTTTAATGGAGAGCCCTTTGGGAAGGCGAGGCTCAGGGAGGTAGGTCCCAGGAACCCTTGTGATATCTTGTATGTGTCACACACACCGTCCTGTAAGAATGACTGGATATTACAGTATTTATAAAAAGTGATCAACCTTAACAAGTACACTTGACAGTGTGACCTCAAAAGACACTACAGGGTATTACCATTGTGTATGATTTAATTGTGTTGTAGTTATGAGGTGGGTGAAAGACTTACATTTAAATGGTTGTACATTTATGGTAGATAGAGAGAAAGCAGCATCAAGATTCAAAAGTTCATCATATATAAGTGCTTATAAACTCTAATACCTCTACAGACACACTTGAAACATTTTTAAAGACAATAACTTCTTTTATTGACTTTGTTTCAATGTCATCATTGATTATGTTTGCTCATGTCGGTTTTAATAAAGTACTTCAGCAGTGTTGGTTTATTTCTAGTTGACTGAGTAGAACAGTTAAAACATAACCATATCTGAAATGTCTCACACTACCCAAGATGCCTCAGTCACTCTATACTATTGCTACTTCATACTTATCTCACACTATAACTCTTCTGTTTTTTACTTACTATTCTACAGTACTGAACACTAATACTTTATCCATTGTAAATTATACTGTTATGTAACTCTTCCTCTCTCTCACCATGGAGAAGTCCAGGTTGAGGACAGGGACGAGGCTGCTGGTGGAGGCAGCACCGGCAACGACCCCTGCCAGGGTGTCACTAATACCTTTCATCTGGTTAGTTATGAGTACCATCTGCTTCTTCAGGCGACCCAGGCTCGAGTTACTTTCCGCCTCCTGTGTAAATATCATAGTAAGAGTATTGTGACTAATAACACGCACGCACACGCACACACACACATATACACATTTGCTCTTAGGGATACATACACATATATTCACAAACATATAAAAGTAGGTCCCATTTACTTTACTTTATCTTCTTCGTCACTGATTGGCCTGTTATCCGGCTTGGGTGATGAGACACATCTCTGTTATGCATTGTTTTGTTGGCAAGTAGTGGCACTCAGTAACACACTGTTGGCAAGTATTGTACTGGACAAGTCCTGGTACCTGTGTTATTGTTGGTCGTCTGGTCTTGAAACAGCTCACACTCAGTGCTGTCACAATACTCTGGCAGATTGTTCCACAAAAGTTTGCCATGACAACCTTGAACTGTGACCCCTAGTGAGGTGGGCATCCACCAGTACCAGGTATGAACACTTGACAGTGTCATGGCCTCAAAAGTGTTTATAAACTTCTATTAAGTCACCCTTTACCCACCTATAGTACTGTATAAGCTAGACATATTTGTTGGCTATCCTTAGACAAATTGATTTACTATTTATTATTGTTGTACTGTATACCTACACTGTCTAGGTACTGCACCTTGGAAACTGTATACCTGCACAGAGTGAAGCAACACATACAGATTGTACTGTATTGAGAAAATGGAGTTAATAAATTACCTCTATAGTCTGGTGAAGCACAGATGACTGCATGACTATAGTGCTGATGTCTGTCTCAACCAACTGCTCCAGACTGTTGAAGGGTAGAGTGATTTTGGGGATAATGAGCATGGCCTTGAGGTTGGAGCGATACACAGTGCCCATTATCAGAGATCCCATCAGCCACAGTCCGGCTATCACCCGCAACGAGTCTCCTCTCGGTTGCCTCGGTACAGCTACAGGTATAAGTCATATACTTAGGTGGACAGTTCAAATGTTACGGTACACAGTCTTATATCATGTTGCTAATTGTACCGCCATCTGTGACAGGTACAGATAGAAGTACACAACATGGAAGGTGTCAATTAATCTCCAGTTTTTATTATTTTCTTATGTTTACATTCTATTATCTCATTGATTTTCAGTTATGTTGGTGTAGATTGACTTTCTGTCATCATAAATTGATTGAAAAAAAAATACTGTAAATTTGATATGAACAGGAAAGTACTATAGGGTATAATTATTCCTTATTAGAACTATGACTTACTGTAGGTGTCATCTGTATCAATCCCATTAAAGTCTTCAAGTTTATAAACATATAAATTAATCTGTCAAGGAGTACTGTATTATGCGTATCTTTGTGGGAATTATTGTTTACCGTTAAGTACCCAATTTAACTACATGTCGACCCATACAATATTTTCTCAGCATGGCCACCATCCTTAATATGTCTGCCACCTGAAGTTTACCTACCCCGACACTAAGTGGAGGGCTAATCTGCAGGTTATGACCGAGTTCAGTACAGAACTCCCCTGAAGATTTTCTCTCTAGCATATCTGACCTGAAGTTTAATACTTGGGCTGCTATATAACAAGAGATGAAAGGGGCTATAAAGCAACAAGCACCAAAATGTGAGACTTACACTGAGCCAGCAGGACTCTGAGGGTCCACTGGTAAGCCTTGTCAACATTGCTCCTCAACCCAGACTCCTCACACACTTCCACACTGCCACTGTAGAAATTAAACAAGACATTTAGTTATTCTTCTTCTTTGTCTGATTTTGTATTTTTTTAAGATTATGGAAAGAACTCTGCCTAAGGGTTTTGATCAGTTTTTGTATGAATGTATAGTAAACAGACAAATAATGTGGAAATTGTCAAAATATTTGGTCAATGGGAAAGTGTGGAATACTGTCTACGAATTTTGTAGGCAGAATAAAGTGCCTGAGTTTGCCTGCAGGAGAGTGAAGGATGTGTACTGTGTAGTGTTGCCATGGATGTGAGATGTGGAAGTGGAGGGTATGTCAGGCAGAGTGGATTCCATAGGTGTGGCAGTACACATCCAGACAGTTGTGAATATCTTAGGAGTATCAAAGTCCAAAGTTACCTGGCATGTAGAAACAGGGAGGCTTAACACTACAGAACGGGGACCTACCTGAAGGCGGTGAGAAGGGCAGTTTGACTTGGTAACATGAGGACCTACCTTGGGGAGATGGGAAGGGCAGCATGACCTTGTAAGATGAGGAAGGTGACCAGGAACACGACCAAGGTACTCAGCAGCACCAACAGCCATATCTGTAATACTAATCCTCATTCAAAGTGTATCTGATCACAGCACCCATCCTACACTTGTCCTGCTACAACACACTACTACTGTACTGTGCTGTAGCTTTTTCTCACCACACTATCATCTGACCTACCTAACCTAACACTATTATCTTTCAGCATGTCACCACACTTTAATTAACATATCATCACACATTAAGTAACATGCCACTGCACTATAAGTAACACACACAATATTATTTACTGTATGTATAACTTATGTAATTTTTATTTTTATTTTTAGCTTGCACTATGATGAAGGAACAGCCAAGAACATCAACACCTCAACTACCAAAGAGATCATCAGATACATGTAAAGAACAATGCAGGAAGTAGAGTTTAACACACTAACTTACCTGAGTGGAGTAAGGCTTGATGAATCCAGTGAGATCAGAGGTGTGCACAGGGCGGGTGTAGAGGATGGTGGTCTGGTCTATGTAGAGAGGCTGGCTGAAGTCCACCACCTGAGACCGCTGTTCAGATACCGACAACACCACCCCAGACATAGCCACCTCCTGTATTGTACCATTGAGTTATATTATGGTTTATGTTGTTACTTAAAGACAAATCTCCCATCCCATCAACCACTGCCCCACTAACTGCCCCCCATCAACTACCACTCCAGTAAGTCTCCCAATACAGTATACACACAAGAAATAACAGAGGTAATCATGTTATATATATATATATATATATATATATATATATATATATATATATATATATATATATATATATATATATATATATATGATTAACAGATAACATATATAATGCTAAAAAGATGATATAAACATGAACAGTAACTTACTTTACGATGCACCATACCGATAACACCCGACCAAGACCCGTTACCAAGGTTTTGGCCGTAAACTGGTTTAGGCGGCACGACAAACTGGTAGCTGTCAGTCAAACCCCGTCATCCATGATACGTCAGCCACACCATATGTAAATTGATGATCATACTGATTATAACAAGGTAGCAATGTTATATACTGTACGTACATTGAAAAAAGTAAATGCTACTATTTTTTGGTTTTACGCTGTTCTGTACTACTGTGCAGTCTTTAAAATGGGTGTTTATTGTCTGTTCTCATATTAACCCTCTCGAATCTTACCCAAAATCTCAGTATAGATAGTCCTCAACATACTGTTTCAGGAACTGTGGTTGAAATGTTGAAATTTTGATAATTGTGTTAATAGTCATCGGACTTTAAAATTTTCTTTGTATTAAAAGGGACGTCCATACGTACACCTGCCACCACCCACAGCCTGCCACACCTGTGAGGAAATTTCAACTTTTGTTGTATAAAACTGTCAGTTGGGAAATGGCACCAGTCCGCCAGCATTCATCAGCCTCTCAAGGCATTGTTGGCCTACTGGAAGTGGCACCAAAGGGGAGGATTTAATTTTGCCCATATTGTGAACTAGCCAATCAGTGAAAAAAGTGTGCCTGAAGAATCTTTGAAAGACAGATTCTGATTGGATAACCTAGAACTTCAAGGCTACAAGCTAATGTTAGTCATGAATAAGTTAGTTTGGCTTGGGGTGTGATGAGAAACTTGGACATCTGTAAGGTTTACATAAAACAGTTAACAAAATAGTAACTTGAATTCCTTCTTAATTTCCCGATATAAAAATTTATGTTACAAAAAATTATTTTCACTTGTTCTAACTTTGTAAATATTTGAACTTCTTTCACAATACTTTATTTAAGTTTTGTACTTATATGTTAGGGGATATAAGGTACTGTCTTAACTCACTTAAATATTATAAGAAATATTTGTCATTCATAAGATTTTTCCTCCCAGATGACAGATCCAGTTGCTTGTGTTAGTTACTGTTGTGTTGGAGAGGAAGACTGTTGCTGCACCAGATATTAGAACTACACACCAGTGATGGTCGAGGTCACCTTATATGTTGACACTTGACATTACTCAAGCTCATCAATTTGTTGATTTCATGAGGTAAGAGTTTCTCCTATAGTGAAATGTAGTACAGTACAGTACAGATGGTAGTTAATCTAGGATTCTACATGAACTAAACTAGCAGGCAATAACTTGTTATGAGTGTAGGACCCACCAGATGCCGAGGTACTGAGCCACGATGTCGATAACAGCCACTAGTGACCCAAACACTTGGTAGGGCGGGGCTGTTCCCTTCACCACGATGTGCGGGTAAAACTGCCGATACACAACACCCCGTTACCCCATTATAAACAGCCAACAACACCCACTCTAATTATACAAGTATAACACCATCACTACATTAATGTTTTGTGTAAATTTACCGAACCATAAATAGATCATCCAGTCTATCTTCCCAAACCAGAAAAAAACATGAAAGATGAATATTCACATTATTAATCGAAAACAAGACATCAGAACAGAATGACATTTACTCAACATAAACAACTGACTGCAGACAAAACTTACGCCTACTGTACTGAGATTCAAACACGGTGTGGACGTGTGTTGGTCCATGTTAGCTTCTTGAGAAGCTGAAGTGACCTGTGTGAACCCTGAATGGGGAAAGATATAATGTATAGATAGATAATGAATGACGATGAAGAGTTAAGCTAAAACACAATGAATGTTAACTTACTAATTAGTCAAGGATAAATCAGAGTTAAATATGACAAGACAGAGGTAGTGTACGAGTCAAACCTAAGACTCGCCCAGCTAGAGGAGGAGGAGGAGTTTGAAGGTCGAGGGTGGCAAGTGGAAGAGAACTAAGCACGTACTGAAAAGGCTGGCACTCCTCCTCTCCTCTTTATAGAACCTCTCCCACAGATCAACACACTACCCATACCGTTGACCTTCACAACCACCATGAGACACAACATTACCACACTCACCTCACCTGAAATTGGAAGTTGATCGTAATGTCAAGTTTTTCATGATCTTTTTATCCCTCGCTGTCCCAAAAAATTTAATGACTGTTGAACATTCAATTGGTATTATAGTTTTTTCTTCTGTATTTGGTGTAGTTTGGGTGAACTGATTGTCGACATGAAGAGCATAAAAAATAGTGACTTTATACATTTTAGTAGAAACCTCTTATGCTAAAAGGTAAACAAAACTAACATGATGGAACTAAAATTGTATTAGACGGTGAATGTACTAAATGTTATACACTATACATATATCACATTATACACAACACATTATATGCTAAACTTTACTCACTAAAACCTGGTCTCATTGTTCAGAGTTTAAGCTCACAACACAAGTCAATAGTCCATCTGATAAAACATTTCATGACCTTTACAATAAATTACTTCACAGGGTATTTTATTTCCCTGTGGCTCTCAGGTAAGATAAAAAAAAAAACAGTATCAATTTAGTCCAGTTAACAAGTTTCTGAAAAGTTAGATGAGATTGAATGAGAATTGTGTTGTTAAGCGGAGGAACTACTCTACTGGACTGGACTCTGTGGTGTAAATAGTCCCTCACTATCTATTTGTTGATGCCAAATACAATGTCACAAAACACTCACAATTAACCACATCCTCATATAATATAACCATATATGAGCATCAATATTGTAACAACCACTGGTATTTGATCTATTAATGTACTGTATAGACACAGTATTATATGGATAGTATCTTTATAGTGTTCAAGAGTACCAAACACACAGGGGGTAGTGGGTAGGATAACATCACCACCAGTTGATGGGAAGACCACGAGTGTTAATTTGAACTCATTCCAAGATAAACTCCATGTGTAGCAATATAAATTCAAGAACATTATTTAACAGTGGGTTAAGAAAATTATGGGAATCTTTGTGAATCCTTTATTACCCAACACCTAATTCGAATCCATTTACTTCAAACAAACAAACAATCTTCCACCAGTGAAACATAAATTATAAATCCTAAGAAGAAAACCTTTCCTAGTAATACAATATCTGTTCCAAATAGTTAAGCAAAAATCACATTCCTTTTACAATAGACAAACATCCCTCAGTGTCATATAATTCATCTGAAGGTTATTGAATGATCCAAAAATACACACAGATACAGGTTAAGAGGTCATCAGGTCATGGTAACATCAGGTCATGGTAACATCAGGTCTTGGTAACATCAGGTCTTGGTAGCAATTTTATCATTTGACTCGAGTTACTGGATTTCGAATTACAGAATTTCAAGTTAGGGAATGTTAAGTTAAGGGCAACTTTTCAGGAATGCAACCCCTCTGTAACTCAAGGATGCCAACACTTATTAAATTAATTTTTTTTAGCTGTAGAGTAACTCATTATCAAATTGCTGTGGTTGGTGTCAGTAACTTTTTAACGGGATTCCAAATTATACACAAAAGGTTAAGTCATTGTACTTTTGTGGTCTAATCATCTGAATCGAGGGGTTGTGTCATTGTACTCAAGGGAATAGTAAGACAAATAAATGGTGCATACCTTAAAGTATTTTCCTTACTCTTCCAAATTACCACACTGGTACAAGAGATGTAAGGAACAGTTGTGGGTAACAACAAGAGAAGAAGATGAATTCTATATATGAGAAATTTACCAGTGATGAAATAATCTCAGATATAATGTAGTCCTGTAGGAAATATTTGAAACATTCTTCACTTGTTTTGGGATTGATACTACTCAGTTCCTGACAGCTGCCAGAAAAATGGAACTTTACTCATTGTACTGGGTAGTGAACATGTTTTCAGCAATTGGTCCACAGAGTTCATTCTTCTGGGCATATTTGTGTAGGTTGAACTTGCCTCGTTTGGAGATGGTCTGAAATGTAATATCCTTGTTCGACTCTTCATAGAGATAAAATATGTATCGGTGAACCCCTGTACCAGATGGTGGTGTAGGTCGAGCATAGCCTGTGGGGGAACTCGGAGTCAATCCATGTGCAGTGAAAATCTTCAACAATATCACACACAAGCTAATCTAAAATTTTCCAAGGCACTACAATAATTACAAAAAGATTCTGAAATGATAACTGTATTGTATTTCAGTTTAGGCACTCAATTACAAATAGACTTTGAAGTTACTGTAACTTTAAGTTACTCAAGGGAAATGGAACTATTGCACTACACACTCGTTGGTGACATCCAAAAGGCTATTGATATAATTTAATGACTTGTTATTGTGTAGAGAAAAGTTTATTTTTTCTACTTTAAAACCAGTCTTTCCAAGCCACTGATCTATGCATGTATCTTGTTAACTTAGTGACTCAGGCATGTGTCTTATTAGCCTCATGATACAGACGACGTGTATCTCATTAACTTACTCATAATAGTGTTTCCAGAAGTGATGTTTCCTTGAGCCAAGCCGCTTCCCTGTTAAAATGAAATACATGATTACTTCACTAATATAAAGCCAAATACTGTCCTCATAACTAAAGCATACTGGATGGTAGCATAATATGGCTTTTCCCAAATCAATGAGAAATATTATACCTTGTCTTCTACTAGTGCTTAAAGACATATTTTACAGCTGAAGAAGACAATAAAAGTTCTCATCATCTCCCATCATAACTTTTGTTGTGGCACCTCAAGTCCACAAATCTGTAAATCCACTTATCTTAACAGTTGAGGATTTGAATGTGGTTTAGTTCAGTGTTGGCCTTATTGACTCCTTCTGTACTGAGGTGTAGTATACAGTGTGGTGTGTCTTCATGGACCCTAATGGCCCATCAGACCAGGGGAGCTCACTTCCACTCCACAGTACAGCTATCGCTTGAGTTACAGAATTTTGAGTTATGGGACACCTCAAAGGCATTACCCAGTCAAATTTACAGCCAATTACCATCATAACAGATTAATAACACACTAATACATATGAATAATAACAACAACACAGAGGTAACAACACTATAACATCAACACAACCACTTTACCAATAACATAAGTGTCATTTATTTACCTTGACGCCAGTGTGTAGCCAGTGGAGATAAGCCTCACCCTCACCACTCCCCGGGGCGTCAGGATCCACCATCACGAGGGCATAGGTCTTCCTCTGTAAGATAAAATACCGTACAGGAACTTTTATAGTACATATGACCGCCACAAAGTAGGTGGTCCTCTCTTAAGACATCCCAGGTGGTCCCAGTACAGTATCACAGAACCATTCCACTGCAAGACTACACATGAGTACTGTACAGGGTATAGATTAGTACAGTACATGTGTTTTTCTATTGTTTACCTTCATTTAAGGGTCCACAGTTGGTTATATTAACATGCTAATACTACCATATTAACACAAGCCTTATAAACTACAATATTAACATTAAACTATCATATTACAGTACCATATTGACACATACCTACTCCATAATACATGCTTGACTCTTCCTCTCAACTGTGGACAACATACACTTACAGCAATACTTTTTCATCTACTTAATCAAAGTTTTTTCCTAATCCATAAATACTATAAGCTAATTTTCTCCAATAGTTTCCATGTCTATCAGTTTTACATAATTAAAATACACAGTAGGTATATGTATCTTGCTGTAAATATTTTAAACTTGTTAAGTATCTGTGGTACTATAGGGTAATGTATTCCTTATATTTACTATCCTCCGAGACATAAAAGACAAATAATTCATTGCTACTTACTTCAGCAAGACCATCGAAAGAAACTGCCAGTAGCTTTGAAAACAGTGTCTTAGTGTGATTGTTGCCACAGCTCTCTATGGTGACCTGCAGAGACATTTTTATATGAATACAAGATGGAATATAGTATAGATGATCACCACATAACCCCATTGCCCCATATATGGTATTACATTACAAGGTCTTGACGTAACCTCAGCTGTCATTTAGCACAACATACCTCTTGTCTATGGAGGCGACTCAGTGTGTGTAGCCAGTTATGTCTTTATGGAAACTAACATTACTTTATTATTTTTTCTTCCTATTAGATATTAACTGTACCAGAATAAAATCACTAAACTCACTACCACACATGCTAAATATCTAATTAAAGTCATACCTGTTCAAAGTCGACTGTGAGTTTTGGTAGATTTGAACACCCAAAAGTTGGTTTCTTCAGCTGACAGGTAGTGGCCAGGACAGGACTACACACTACCACCACCAGAAGTAGTGTCTTGATGCTGTCACACAACATACTGTACTGTAGCACGTAGGGAGGCTCTGTGAAACGTGGAAACAACCTTACATGAGAATACAGTATTAATAACATAGAACTGTAATTAATAAACTAATAATACAGTACAGTAATTATCATGGGTCTAAGAAAACCAATAATTCTGTAGTGGTAGACAAGTGAATGTATTAGTGAATCAACTTTTTTAATAATAAAATCTTTCTTTTTTACAGGGTTAAAATAGCATTAGGATGGTTAATCTTTAGGTGAAATAAGCTGGGGTGGTGATTCTTCAGGTGATTTAACCCATGTTTTACTGGTGGTTATGCTTGAGAGGGTAAAATATTAGTCAAATGGTGGGGGGGGGGGGTCATACAAATTTCACCAGTAGCCTATAATTATGTCCTGTATACAGTATATCATAACCATACCCACACAGCCACCACACCCACAATACTCACCACACCCTCACATCATACACACTACACCAGCTAGGATATGAAGCAAATGTTTACAAATAACGCCATACATAGGTAAAGCCTGTTTGTTCATGGTTGTTTGTACATAGGCAGGAGGGACACCCTGTACAGTGCTGACAATCTTCTCGTTATCATTAGTAACGTTCCTTGGCACACTGAAGAGTTTCTAGAACACAGGTTATATGAACGTGTTCTCATTCTACATCACATTACACATTAATACAAGTATACAATCACCGCTTCATTACAACATTTATAAATATATGAGCAATAAATATAACTTGACACCTGCGCAAACCAAATACCTTTCACAGACATGATAAACTTTCACCATGTCATTGATCGTTTTTGCCTGCCTTTATCACACCTGATTAGATAAAATGCCACCAGATATTCACCGCTGACTATAGTAATTGATGTTGATGTATACCTGAAGAAATGATAAGATCTTCGCTCCCAAAGAAGATAATATCTAACCTTCCTGTGCTCGCTGAGGCAATTGACGGATGTAATGCTTGGTGAGTGGCCATATATATATACACACCGCTGAGTTAAGCTTGGTGAGTGGCCACTAACACCTGCCCCCACGGAGTATGAAGGACAGTGAACTCTCCTTTAAACCTATTATTTTCTTCGTGGAGTCTGACGGGTGAGTAAGGTGTTTGGTAGGTGATTCAGTTGTTTTATTTTGACCTATAATACATTTCATGGTGGTTACTTGCTTATATATTTATGTTTGTTGCTTTTAGTGGTTGTTGTAATTAATAATAAACATTCTTGTACTTGGAATATTTCATGTAGTTTATATAGCCGGCCAAAAATTGCTTTCTTTCTTTCACAATGTTTAATTTACTGAATAATCGTATTTTAATGAGTACCTGTTGTGTACTATGACAACAAGAGCCAGTGATGAGCTAAGAGTGAGTTACATATTGTGACTTATGTATTTTGCTTTGAATAAGTGATTTTTTCAGGCATATTAATAGTTCTTCGCTAATACTTATGTAAAAAAATATTATATTAACCATTTTATATATTTTAAATATATACTTTTTTAGATTAAACGACAATATAATCTCCTTTACGTGACCCGGTAATGGTAAACAAAGCCACAACACAACACAGGAATGAGTGAGACAATTTATTACTCTTTATAACGAACGGCACATGAAGTTGACGGTGGTGAACACAAACTGTGAGATTTTACATTATTAAAAAGCTGTTACGTTAAGGACGTCTTAATAATGGCCAGAATATACACCGTATCCAAGTTCCCAAGACCTGTTGTTGCCAGTTTAAATGGAATTATTGAAAACAAAATAATGCTCCTGAAAACAGTGGTAATGAGTGATCTTCCCGACATATAAAGATTTTGTGTGTTAGTACCATTTAGAATATATTTGTTGGTGATGTACGGACACTGGGAAGAGGCAGCGTAAAAAATATCAAGGTGTGTTCATGAGGACTTCTTGCAGATGAGATCACCCAAGAGACTTAAACGAACAGGTGAGTGGAAGTTTACTTAGTTTAAAGTAAAGTGTTGTGATAGACAACAGTGTGGCTTATGACGACCACATCCTGTACTCTAATGACCACACCTCACTTGAATAGTGTTACGTGTGAACGACCTTCTTATGAGACGTATACAAGCTTAATTGCTTAATTCACCTTCATTTATGCTAATTTCCAGCCATTGGGGAGCCTTTGTTCATCCCAGCATCTATACAATAGTATCTCAAAGTTTCTGCGAGCTCATTGCACCAATTGTCAAAGGAATTTACCATAAAGGTCATAGGTTATGGTCAATTATCTTGTAACTCTCACGCGAGAATAACTGAAATGAGGCACATGATTCCCGTAGACTTTTGAGGAATAGCACCAGAGAAAACGATAAGCTGTTGGATGGGAAACTATACTAATGTACAGCACCTCCCATATTACACGTTTACACATATACTGTTAATACAAGAGGAGATAAGAAACTTTTAAGATCTTTATTGGTTTATCCTTGGTTGATTAACGTACTGAGACCACGAAACAACCACGTATCTGTTGTCTTTCTTGTGCAGGGTGAGATTGAGGCTACACATTGCCATGGTCATTTGAAATCTTTTAGTTAGCCGTTAATTATATTATATACCGGTACTTATTATTCTGTTTGCCCCTGGTGGGTGGGTACATCACTGTCAGAAATAATAAATTCAATCTTTATTATCATAATTTATTTCATTCATTCATTCATACATGGTAGGTCATCAGATGGAGCAAATTAACTTCCTTTCCCTTAACACTGACATCTTTAAATTATGTTGGTAGGTCCATAACGTGATGTATGTACGGTGACTATTTTTACTGCGGTGTAATATATTAATGTTTATTATAGTATTAAAGGAAATACATAAACTTATTCTTATTAGGCATTGTTTACCCCCAAATTTATGGAAAACAAATTCATGGTAAGAATCGTATACACTTAGGGCTTGAATTTATATGCCAAAATGTAGTACCATCACCACACCACTGGCTTAGTGGGAGATCACTATCGTTGCCTTTATGGACAGCTGTCGATATCACAACCCTTGACTAAACTGGCTTTGATTCTACGGAACGACCACAGGTGTCAGGGTAAGGTGGTGGCGCCATGTCCTTCATCAGGGTATTGGGGCTGGGTAGGTCAGCTTGGGCCTTTTCATTTCTGCAAGAATAGGAACATAGACGTACCATTACTAGACTATAATAATAAGGTACACACGGAAACACTGACTGTACCGCAAAGATGATCACAGAAGAGTTGTATCAGATTTTTAGTGAAGGAATGTGAGTCCCAGAAGTAGTTAAGGGTGAATAGTAGAATGGTGTATGTCCGCAGGAAGGTGGAGGAAGGATTTGAGGAGCAGGAACATTGATATAGCAATGGGATGATTTGACAGAGAGTGGAATAAACGTAATGGAACAATAGAATAACGAAACCAAAACAAAAAAGCATCAATTAATGAAAATATAAACTTTTCTATTGGTGAAGTTATCGGTGATTGTGTTACCTGTATGAGACGACTGAGGATGAGCGAGAGAGGAAGGGCAGGGTGGAGACATCAGACCTGGTAGAGGAGTGGTGTGGTGGTGGTGGTGGTAGAGGCAGGACACAACACAACCAGGGTAGTCGCCGACCCAGCCAGGAGGCGACAGGACAGATTGTTCATCTATATCGACCGGGTCTTATATAGCCTTGCCAGCGGTCACGAGAGGGTTACCAGATTACCTGCGCAACTATGACGCAGAGAGAGGCTGTAACTTATTAATTTTGAAATTACGTCGTTAAGGGTGATTTTTACCAATGAAGGGATTATTAAACTGCTTCTTTATATATGCAATGTTTATATTGGACTCTATACATTCATTGTCTATAGGTTTAATAGATATACAGGTTACATGATGATAATTTATACATAGAATATTTAGGAAAAAGACCCAGCCAAAATTTGCAGCTGTGATTTGTATAATACAAATCACAGCTGCAAATTGTATTGAACAATTGTGATCTTTATCCACATTATTTATTCACACCTAAGTTTATCTATTCCATCATTATATGTCCATCAGTTGTGTTTTTCTACGTCTGCATGGGTGATTGTTTGTCTAAATACAAACACAAAGGATTAAGGACGTGTTTCTAGTCATCTCGGTGTTGGGGGTCGATGTTCCCGTCTTGGTTAACCTTTACATTCGAGTCCTTGTTAACAACGACTCGTGTTTAGAAATGCTGAAGGTTAAGTCAGTGGATGCTGCTGTGGTAACCATCCAGCAACGTCACCCAACAGATTCGATGGTGGTGTGGTCATAGTCCAGACATATTAGCAGCAACAGTCAACTCACACAGAAACACAGCAGTAGCCAACAGCAGTCCACCAGCGAACAGCACAAACACCCCCTGATTACAGAGAGGAGGCCAAGTGTTAATCACAGATGAGACGAACCTATGAAAGAAGTACAACGTTACTTCACTACTTTACACCTCTGGTAGCATAAACCTGCCTGAGGGTGTGTATATATTCATCTGAGACTAGGAGCCGTGTATGTACCCTAAGTGTCAGGTATACCACCAGAGTCCACAGAGCAATGTGCACGCACCCAGAGGCCGGTGAGGTGGTAGGCCTCATTGACGGTAACGCGGGTGCTGGCCTTGAGGCACGCCGTGGCGTTGGGCAGCTCCTCCCCCAGCCACTTGAAGTACAGGTCGTGGGACACCAGCCGCTCGATCCTGAAGCACGACACCTACTGTATATCACACAATGATTAATGATGTGCGAATAGACCATATCAGTGCTTCATCTCCAACTACCGTGAAGAAGGTACAGTAAACACTTTCATCTTCAGTACCTGGCGCTGATGGCTGGCATGAGTGGCGAGCCTTTACGACCTATGAGGCTAAAGATGAGCGGCCAATACTGTTCCTTGCCTATGTAGAAGTCACAGCGGCCTGACCACACACACAGCCAACATTATACTGTAAATAATATCTCTAATAACAGTGTTTAGAAAATGTTTAGTTTAAAAGATGCTTACATTCGTCGACTTTTTGTACTACAGTCGTGTGATCATGGTTCCTGAGAGTGGAAAACATTCAACAGTTAAGAATAAAGTCATGACACATTGTTTAGCTAAAGTTGACGTGTTACTGATCACTTATAGTACTTTGTTTTATTTGTTATGCGAGAGATGGAGGTATTTTTATAACACGTGGACACTATCACGTGTATAGGATCAGCTGAGGGCAGTGATCAGGGTGCAGGAGCAGTGACGGGGGGACCACCCACCGTGCTTGGTGAAATCGTCGGAGTAGACCTTCCTGCAGGTGGTGTCCTCCACCAGCAGGGCGTAGTGGCTATTCCTTACGTCTGTGTACGCAGCATCGTACAGCCGCGAAGATGCCAGGAAGTGAGCTCGACCCATCTCCTGGGTGTCTGCCAGGTCCTTGTACACCCCCTGCTTCACCTTCTGTCGGAGAGAGGTCGTAGGTAACAGGTCACTAGGTAACACACAGGCAACAAAGAAAGATAAATTCATGATGGCGGCGTGAGTAAGCGGAAGAAAAGTTTTACTCTGGGGTTCCGTCTAAATAGAGCCGGAGGAACATACAAGGTGTAGTTACCGACATGTGCTCGACGAGGGCGGTGGCCTTCTCGAAGATGAGGTGGACCTGCTGGTCGGCGATGACCTGCCTCAGGAAGTTGTACTTAACGGGGACGGTCCTGACGGCTAGCAGAGAGGTCAGGGCCGAGCTGTAGGACCTGGCTACAATTAGGGCCACAATCCACCACGTGGCCACCACCACCCGCACACTCATCCACTGGGCGACCCAAGTGTACGCTGGGGGGAAGGGGGGGGGGGTTACACCATGGCAAGACAAGACATACCAACAAGGTTATTTTTGACAGGTTTTTTGTCATTCGTTATTTAATGGTTGTCCTATTTTGTGACACATCTGAAATGATAATTGTTTTACACACACACACACACACACACACACACTTACGTTGGCTGAGGATGGCCCCGTACACGGCCCACCAGTGAGGCAGAAACTGAACCTCCTCACTAGGCTTCATCTCCTCCCCAGTGTAGAGGTGAGATGACGCCCGCCTCACGTTATACAGCACGACGCCCATCAGGGCCAAACACGCCACCAGCCCCACCCACACTGGCCACCTGGGGACACACCATCACGTTATGTAGATTCCGGCTCCTCCAGTATTTACCTGTCAGCTGTGGGTAAGCGTCTATTTGTGTGTATTTTTGTTTATAGTATGACCTGAATAATGGTTAAGGGTTTTCTCGTTTCTGCCATCACAATCTTCATCCTCAGAATCGTTTTCCAGACAGATTATACAACAGAAATTATTAAAACAAAGATTAAAAAGAGACCGACCTGAAGGGTCTGAGGAAGCCCAGAGGATCGGGCTCTGAACGGGGCCGCCGGACCAGGATGCGGTAATAGTCGATGAGGATGGGGGAGGAGAAGTCCACCACCTGTGACCTGGAGTATGTCAAACCGAAAGGACCTAGAGCCAGGTCGGCCTCCTGGAGTGATACACGGAACACACTGTTAGTACGGGGGGGTAAGATGGCGTATTGACCACACACACACACACCTGACGATGTAGTGGCTCAGGAGTAACGTTAATACTCACGTTTCGCTTCACCATGCCGATCATGCCGTTCCAGTCCCCTCCCGACGTAGGGATGCCCCAGGCTCCGTCAGGCGGCCGCACCAACGTGTACCTTTATATGACGAAGCTGTGTTTACTGCCTTGTGGGGACGAAATAATCCATAAATATGTTTTAACCTATAACTTGACGTATCCCACCATACCTTAACCTAACCTACACCCACTACACTATCATCTACATAACACCCACTGCACCATCTACACTATAATCTACATTACTTCCCCACAACACAAAACTTAAACCTCTACAACCGAACAGTGTCTTCCCTACTCAATTCCCGTCCAGTACCTTAATACATCCGACTTAAATTATTAGTTACTAAGTAAATTACAAAGCAGTGGCTACTAACCTGAAGTTGAGAGCGCTAGCGAGGGCATGGAGAAGGTTGGCCATGGGTCCCCTGATAGTAATGTTACCGTGGTTATCCTCCGTGACGGCTATATGCGGCACCCACTCCTCCGCTGCTACTCTCAGTATAACAGCCTCATCGAATCTGCCCGGTGTCAACAATAATATCACGACCCATTAGTATGTAGTGTAGTGTAGTGTTTCTCGTAGTTGTATTGTTTTTATCGCTTGTACATTGTTTTGTTTGAAGAGATAGATGTGTGGTAAACAGTATCTTTGTCACGAACATTTGTTGGAAAATTTAGTCGTGTGTGTGTGTGTGTGTGTGTGTGTGTCCAAAATAGTGATAATTTCTACACATTTTATTTAAATATTAACTTAACCTAAATTAACCTAACCTGACCAAATTAAGATATAGTTTGGTTAGGATACGATTATAAGCGTCCAGAAACAGGTTAGAACAGGTCAGTGAGCGTAAACTGCTTCCCGCTGTACAGTTTATAATATATAGTGTATACAAAATATAAATAATCTGAGGTATGGACAGGATGGAGCGGAAATTCATTGCTGTTTACCATAACTAATTAATTTACTGGAAGACATTTGCGGATTAAATATTGGAAGACGTGTTCATGTTTTTGTTGATAATTAGTTATTGTTTATCTTGAAGGATTTTATACAGTTGATGTTAACGTCTCTCAAAGTTCTTGTGCAAAATTAAAAGTTTTAGCAGTGAAAGGTGGTGCGCCACTGACCTAAAAGTTGCCGGGTCTGTCAACGCCACCTGCGTCACCCCCACCTCTCTAGGCTCTCTCTTCCTGGTGGCGTGGCTGGGAGCCTTACGTCCTCCCAAGGTCACGTTGGACACAGCGTGAGGCCATACTGAAGAGGCACCACAACATTTGTAGTGAAATGACGTAATTTCTGCCAACATCGGAATCTAACATCACCGATCTATGATTTCTTGACTTTATCAATTTTATTAAATAAATAAGGCAGTTAAGTATCATACTGATGTATCTCTCACACACATACTAGTTAAGATGTGATATACCTGGCAGACGAAGAGAAGACCCAGGGCTGGGACCATCATCGTGGGTGAAGGCGGACAACACCACCAGGCTCACCACCACTGCCATCCTCATCAACATCTACCTGTAAAAGACAGAAATTTTTATATGTGACTGTTTATAATCCCAATAGTTGAGAAAAATATATCGGTGAAGCCACGAATTTCCGAGACTATGTAATAATACTATATATTTTAACTGAACATGACCAATTGTTCCAAGTCTAATTCAATTTAAAATGACAAAAGAAAATATACAAAACCTTAAACAATCTTTGAGTAGCAGCAACAGCAGAAGAACCAACACAGCGGCAGCACACAGCACAACATACAGGAGGTAGTTGCTGCTGGTTCTGGGTCTTTATACAGGAGTAGTCATCCAGAATATGAAAAAAGAAAAAGAAAAAAAGAGAGAGCAAAGCCTAGTCCTCACCCTCCTCACCAGCCCTCACTGTTCTCACCGCCTCCCGCCCCTCCCCTCACTCGCCCTCATTCATAATAACACCTGTCCACGGCCAGTTCTGAAGTTTGGCAGTGAGAGATTGACATGCATCTCAAAAGTATCAAGCGCATACTTTAATTTATTTGTGATTATCAAGGGAAGAAAAACAATATATTTATCAAGATTATACAGTATATTTCCCCCATCTACAGAAGGCTAGGTCGTGGAAGCAAAGTTGACGGATAGTGGTGAGTGGCTTTCATATCTTGAGCCAGTTCCCAGCATAAAACAGTCTGAAGACGGGACCACATGGCGGCTCCCAGCGCATTTTTACCTCCAACCCTTCACAATGTCTTTACCTTTTGGGGTATGTGCGTGAGTTTCGATTTATTGAACTATCCAAGTTTATAATTTACCGAACCATCCACCAGCCAAGATATATTGAACTATTATTGTTGAGTTTATGAATCGTGATGGTGATTATTGTTGTGTTCAAGACTCAAGATGATGATTATTGTTGACGGTAAAGAAATAAAGTGAGGCATATTGTCAAACTGGAGCGTCGGCCGTCCAGGCATAAAACCGTGCTGGTATTTCTTTACACGGTTTCGTGGTCTCAGTAAGTTGATCTATCAAGGATAAACCAATAAAGATCGTAAAAGCTTTTTATCTCCTCTTGTATTAACAGTATATGTGTGTAAACGTGTAATATGGGAGGTGCAATACATTAGGATAGTTCCCATCCAACAGCTTATCGTTTTCTCTGAATCCATTTTTACCGAGTCTACGAGAAATAGTCGCTGACAGACGGTTTATGTATTACTTTCATATCTTATCCACAAGAATGAATCATTTAATATTCATCAATATTTTTTTTCAAACATTACCAGTTAAATTATTTGACTTCTTTTATGACTATTAAGACTTTAAATATCCTAAAAATTACCGCTATAGGGTAAAATTGGTTAAAAATATATATTTATGTATGTATATGTGGTAAGAGGAACTCGAGAGACAACTATTTTGTGATTTAGAATATTATTGATATGTATATGTATTTTTGTAAGCTCCGAGGAGGAAAACCTAAATATATTTTGTGGTTTTGAAATGGAATTTGCGCCGGAGCGAATGACTCCCAGCCGGGGGGGAGAGACGCCATGGCGTTGTTTACATAACGAAGACGCGTCGGGGGTCCCAGTAGCAGGTGTGTCTCATGTATTTCTTGCTCTGTTAGTGTGTTTGATAGATTGAGCGTAATAAATGTTATATGAAGAATGTGATGATCTCGTGGAGGTAGTTTGTAAGCCAGAATAAGGCTAATTCTAGCGTTGCTCTACATTCACCCTGGAGTGAGTCTACACCACCCCCGTGTTACACTGTGGGTTGGGTTTATTATCTATTGTTTAATTCCTACTACTGTGTGGTACCCATATGTGAATATGACAACAGTTGATGCTTGTTTTGTAAGTATAATAACTAGTTATGTCTGATCTAGGTCCCAGCCTTTTCCTTCTCGGGTGATTAAGAGAGTAAATAATTGAGAGAAAACTACAAGTGTGTCCCATCCCTGAATTGGGAGTTCCCTGCTTTGTGCGTTGCTACACACGTGTATATATATATATATATATATATATATATATATATATATATATATATATATATATATATATATATATATATATGTATATAAAGTTAAAGCTCATAACTTACACCAGCCCCTGAGGCTCTGTAACACTCTCACTCCGGATGTAGTAGTCACTAATTCCTGATTGTATAAAAAATAATAATAACATATGTTGTAATAATGCTTGTGAGACTTGTTTTATCATAGAATAATGAAGAAAATGTTTTGTACATCAACATACTGAAATATAGTATTTCAGTTGTTCTTTTTCGTAAAATTTTTGTTGCAATAATACGAGGCTTTGAGTGTTTGTATTTGGTGCAGTTTGGAAGAGATGCATCTTTTGTCTTCTTACAAATTATAAAGTATTTTTACCAAAACAGAAGGTTTGTATTGTTCACACTTAGGGAAAAATATGTTTTATGACTGAGTACACTTATAGATAGACCTTATTAATGTTGTATAGCCGTAAATATCCTTCAGTAATGAAAGGTGAAGTGAACATTCCTGCCTAGACTTTGCCTTGTTTTTCTAATATGCAACCAATAGCCTAGCCCTATTTTCTTATGTATATGGCTTATGATAACATGAAAGGCTCTAAAGGTTAGCCAAAATTAAATGATATGCGTAAAATATGGATTGCAATAAACTTGATTAATAGGGGCATATAAAACTCCTTTTTCATTCTTAGGCCAATAAATGTTTAAACGTGGGGCCTACTCAATTTAGTTATAACATGAGGGATAATTAAATAAGAAATTATACCAATAGGTTATAGGTTTGGTTTGGTTAGGTTATGTTATGGTATGGTATGTTAGGTTAGGTTAGAGAATGTGTTCAGTACATGTTTTTTTGGTGAGTGTCAGGCTGTCAGTGAGACACTTTGTCTAGCAGCTACCTTAGGCTTAGCTCCAGACTTTTCATGAACAGTATCATAGGGTAGAGTATTAATTTAAGAAAATTTATGGATAATCAGATATATTTTTAGGTTTTAAATTGTTGTTTTTTGTATGAACTTGAAGACAATTCAGACCAAATGACCCAAACATTGAAAGGAAAACACCATGTTCTAGGCTAAATTTCCCGAAAATTATTTTCTTTCTTTTGGCGACTTCACACACCATGGCGCATACTTCAGTCTCACTGAAATTTGGTCGTTTCTTCAGGTGGTTGTCCTTCCATCTTTTGTTTACAAACTAATATCAAGTGCGTCGCTCTCAGCTCATTTCTCCTTCTCTTGTGATTGAGGCCTTTGTGCCACATTATCAAAAGCTTTTGATATGTCTCTGAGAACAATATTGCACTGGTTTTTATTGCTGATGGCGTTAGCTATTGATTCATAAATTAATGCAATAGCCGTGTTTGTGCCTCGGTTCTTTCGGAATCCATGTTGTCTGGGGTTATATCTGTTTTCCTGTTCTAGATAGTTTCTGAGTCTGCTGTTGACTATTTTTTCTAGTATTTTCCCTGGTGTTTCTAATAAGGATATAGGAATGTAATTTTCCGGCCTTGTTGGGTTTTTCCCGGGTTTGGGTATGAGTCTGATTTTGGCTGTTTTGAAAATCTTGGGTAAGTGTCCTGTTGCTAGTGAAGCATTAAAGATCTGTGTAAGTTGTTCTATCAGTATTGTGGGTGTGTTTTGAAGGACCGTTTTGTTTGTCTGACTTAGTCCAGGTGCTTTACTTTTAAAACTGGTTATTATGTTTGTTATGTCTTTTGTGGTGCTTGGCGAGGTTAATGTGGCTGCATTGATTAGTATGTTGAGGTCTATTGTGGTTGCCATTTCTGTGTGTTTAGTGTAAGGTGTGTTGTTACCATCTGTTCTGTTACTCTACACAAGTTTCTGTTTTCTTCTGTCATTTTATATATGTTGCTCCAGAAATTTCTGAAGATCAGTTCTTTGTCTACAGATTCTGTAGCTTTTACCCCGTTGTCGTCTATAAGATGGCTGTTATCTATGGAGTTAGTGCCCATTAGTTTTTTTTATTTTACTCCAGAAGAGTCTTGGGTTGTGATAATCGGCCTCTGTGTTTGTGATTATCTGGTTCCATTTGTCGTTGTGTGATTGTTTACATATTTCTTTCAGCTCTTCCTTTAGGTTTCTGAATAGAGTTATTGTTTCTTGGTTCCAGCCGTGTGTATGTTCTGGTATATTATTCAGTCTTGTCTGGATTATCTTCTGTTCATGTGTTAATTGTGTGTGGGGTAGTGTGCGGTAAGTTGTTTTGGGGGTGTTATTTTCCATGGCTGTGGTGACTTTAGAGTACCATGTTTCCAGGGCTATGTCAATGTCTGCTGTGTTTTTGTTATGGAGATGTATTTGTTCGTTTGTGTTGAGTTCTGCCTTAAACCCTCCCGGTTTGCTCTGTTGAAAGAGAATCTTGGGATGGAGGGGATTTGTATTGGTGATGTTGATAGAGTGATAATTATGGGCAGGTGATCGCTCGTGGTGGTTGGTCCAGGTTACATGTGTGAATTCAAATTGTGGTGTCTATTGGTCAGAACTATATCCGGCTTCCCGGTGCTTCCTGCAGTTACCTGTATGTAGGTTTCGTAATCTGGGCCCAGGTGTGTGATGTTGCCGTTTTCTAATAAGTCGTGTATTATCTTCCCCCTTGGGTTTCTGGTTCTGTGTCCGAGTATGGTGTGTCTCGCGTTTAAGTCTCTTATAAAATATGCTGGTGTGTTACGTCTCATTAGTTTTAGTAAGTCACCAGTCGGGAATGTTTGTCGTCGGCAAGGTAAATATGTTGTTCCGATTGTTATTGGGCCTTTAGTTGTGTTGATTTAGACTGCTAAGAAGTAGGTTTGGAAATTGTCTATGAGTGTATGTTCAGTTGATGTGTGTAATAGTTGAAGAGTTTTATTTTGTCACTTTTTCCGTTGGTGTGAGTATGAGAATTATGTCTGGGTCTATGCTGTTGTATATGTTTGTTAGTTCTGTTTTTCTAGTATGTGTCCAGGCCAGGACGTTGTGTTGTATTATTTTCAGTGATCTGTTTTGCGTAATCGTGGGTCGCATGAACTTGGTGCGTGTTGTTCGGTTGCTCGGGTCTCTCCGGGGGAGAGTCTGTCTCTCCTCCTTCAGTCCTGTTCTTATTTTCTTGAATTTTGATAGGTCTACACTCTCGATTTTGTTATATTTGCTGCTTATTTTTCCTCCACGTATTAGTGTTTCTATGAGTCCCTCTTCTACTCTGTTGTCTTCGTATGTGTATTGGGTTGTTCCTTCTTGAATATCTTTTAACAGTCTCTCATTTGATATCAGCCTTTTCCTGCTATGGGTGGAGAGCAACTGAAATCAAGTTGTCTTCACTCCTTCTACTTTATAGTTAAGATTTCAATTGTGTTTAATTACCTGTTTCTGAAAGAGACTTTCTTGTTGCAGGTGACCTTCCTGGAAATTACCGAGACTTAGTGTGTTTTGAAAAAGTCCTCTGGAGAGTGGGTCCAGGACTTACACCTGCAAACTTCCTGTTTCTTGGGTTGAGGTGAGTGTTCTTCTTTACTGACAACATGTTTGTTTATTTCTGTGAATTAATATGTAGTAATATCGAGATAATATGCATGTTATAATATATTTTGGATAAAATTAGAGCAATACAGTCATGGGGCGGGGCATCTTTTCTCAGCTGAGAAAAAATGCACTACAGATGCTCCTCTACTTGCGAAAGAGTTACGTTCTTGAGGCTTGTTTGTAAGTCCAACTTTACTCCTGTAGATACCAAACATATTGTAAAAAATGAAAAGATTATGGATATTTTAACATTCACGGATATCTCTGTTACCTAACCCCCGCGTATGTTAAGGGCCGACTGTACTGAATAACTATTATTTAATGGACATATTTTTATCATAAACTGTTGTGTATATTAAATGTTTTTGTTTGTTTGTTACAGATGAGTAACGACTAAACCCTTGAGAAATTAACAACTGGATCATGGAGACACTGCTGTTACAGGTATGTCTGTATGTCTGTCTAACTGTCTATCTTCATCTATCTGTGTTTCTATATCTTTCTATCAGTCTTTCAATACCTGTATGTCTGTCTGTTTGGTATCTATATCATCTGTCAGACTGTCTTTATACATACAAGTATCTGTCTTATCTATATCTATGTTATCAGTAAGAAAGATATTGACAGTGAGTGAGGAAGGTGGGTACACAAGAGGTACAGTGAGTGAGGAAGGTGGGTACACAAGAGGTACAGTGAGTGAGGAAGGTGGGTACACAAGAGGTACAGTGAGTGAGGAAGGTGGGTACACAAGAGGTACAGTGAGTGAGGAAGGTGGGTACACAAGAGGTACAGTGAGTGAGGAAGGTGGGTACACAAGAGGTACAGTGAGTGAGGAAGGTGGGTATACAAGAGGTACAGTGAGTGAGGAAGGTGGGTACACAAGAGGTACAGTGAGTGAGGAAGGTGGGTACACAAGAGGTACAGTGAGTGAAGAAGGTAAGTACACAAGAGGTACAGTGGAGTGGATGGCAGACTGCTGGATGTTGCTGACTGTAAGTGTTGTGTATGTGCAGGTAAATATGTGTCTACAGCAAGACTGAAGAAACTCAACACTGAAGATTATCCCTGGACTGTGTGGATGAGTTCGGCTGCCTGGGTGACGTGATCAGTGCTGGAGGGGGTGCTGAAGGCTTGCTGTGTTGTGAGTCATGGATGAGTTCTGCTGTCTGGGTGACATGATCAGTGCTGGAGAGGGTGCTGAAGGCTGCTGTGTTGTGAGTCATAGATGAGTTCTGCTGCCTGGGTGACATGATCAGTGCTGGAGAGGGTGCTGAAGGCTGCTGTGTTGTGAGTCATAGATGAGTTCTGCTGCCTGGGTGACATGATCAGTGCTGGATGGGGTGCTGTTCATTTTCAAAAGATAGAAATGGCTGGAGGAAGTTTAGGGAACTGTTGTCTTTATTGTCAGCACGAGGACTTTCCCATCACATGAAAGGAAGAATGTATACAACTGGTGTGAGAAGTATGGTGTTATATATCCGTGAAACATGGGCAGTTAAAAAGGTTGACACATGCAGTCTTGAGTGAGCTGAAACGAGAATGGTGAGGTGGATGTGTACCTTGACGCTGAAAGATAAGAATCACCGTTCAGAGCTAAGAGGACGGCTGGGTATTGAGAGTATCGGCCAAGATTTACGTATAAGTAGACTGAGATTGGGAGTGGGGAGAGAATGGATGAGACCAGCTGGGTTAAGTGGTGCATGACTCTAAATGTGGTAACGAGGAGAGCCAGTGGTAGGTGGCCAAGAATGACATGGGGAGAGATTGTAAGAAATGATCTTAGAACCTGACAAGACAGACTGCAAGAGATGGTGTGCAAAATGGCTGTATGATTTGGATGGTGATGATGATTTGTTCTATCTTTCTATCTAAGCTTCAGGCTATCTATCTATCTGTCTATCTATCTATGCTACTGTACTGTATTTCTCACCATATTAAAGGCAACCACAGATATAGATATAGCATGAAAGGTTTATAGTCTCAAGAAAGTTCACCTAAACTAAACTTTCATAAAAGGAACAAATATTTAAATGAGAAAAAGTGCAATGTGTTCCATAACCTGTACAGTACAGTTGACCCTCGCCAATGTGAGGAACAGATAAAAATAATGATAATAAATAAGAGGAAGGACAAAATACTGCATGCCATTTGACAACTGTTTCACTAAAGATGTGGGAGACAGGGATGTGCTCCCCCCTCGTGAGCTGACTCCTGCCGACGTAATAAAAGTTTATTGTGTTTTTTTTTACCTACAGTTATATATGATATAGGGTGAATTATAGAGACATTTGTTAGGTTAAAAATATGTCTTATATGGTGGGAAATATGGTATATCTCTCTCTACATCTTTCTGTCCATCTGTCTACAGTATATCTGTCTTATATGTACTGTAGACAGAACTACTGTACTAACCATGATAGACAGTTGACAATGCATGTGATTAATACCTGGAATACAAATATTTGCAGGAAAATGTCCAATGTATTCAGCAACTAGACCACTTTAGTGATATAGAACCATGAAAATATTGTTTATTGTTTTTATACCAAAACACTGGTGATTGTCTCTCAGATACATCAGGAGTTGTATGTCTTTAGTGGTGCATTACTGTGTCCTGGGTTCATTGCCCAGCTTGGGACAGATGTTACCCTCATTAACAAACATGGCAGGTTTTCTGCAGGCACAATACTACAGTTTCCTCCCATACTGTACAGTTTTAACAGACCAACTGCCCAAACGGCTCATTTCTGGTAATTACGACGTCGCTATGTGAATCCTAATTTAATGTTGACTCGGCCATAGTGAGCTTTAACATTTATGCCACTGATGAATGAGTCTTGATCACACACAACTATAAGGCGGCCTTCTCTTGCCACTCCATCTCTCCTCTGGCCTTTATTGTGTAAAAGCCAAGAATTATTATTGTGTGAGGATGTAGTGGATCTCTGAGGTGACAATGATAAATATTTTGGCGTTAAGTCGGTGGTGTGGTACTGTGCAGGTGTGACCCACCTGTTACAAACTACTGCAGGGAGTGAAGACCTTCCTTAAAAGGTTTAACTTGGCAGGATTCAGAAGGTCACAACACAGACGTCCTCAACGGCACTTGATGGTTTATAACAGCCATTTATTATTACTTACTTTTGACCTTGATGATGTGGTTCAGCCATTATCAGCTGCAGGTCAGGAACACTAAGGACTGTTCCTCTATAATGCTCACTGAGTAAATGAGGATAGTTGCTTCAAGGCTCCACGGGGCAGGTTGTTACCAGGTTTTATTTACAATTCACAATTATTACATGGAATTATACATTTTCCACAATATATACTGAACTGTATACCTGTGTTGTCTATATACATGGTGAACTGTATACCTGTGTTGTCTATATACATGGTGAACTGTATACCTGTGTTGTCTATATTGTTTTAGCTGTGGTAAGATACCAAACTATCTCACTTGTTAACACTTGCCTGAACGAGTGTAGGTTAGTCGCTGGTACCTTTGATGCAGCTGAGTGAGATATAGGGTCATCTCACGTCATGTCACCTTTGATGCAGCTGAGTGAGATATATGGTCATCTCATGTCATGTCACCTTTGATACAGCTGAGTGAGATATAGGGTCATCTCACGTCATGTCACCTTTGATACAGTCGTAGATAGTTTAAATCGTCACAGCTGTCCTGAGTTGTACTTGTAATTATCTTAGCTTGTAAGTTAAGCAAGACACAGGTAATGTTCTCTTCACTCGTTGTTCCTTGGTTTAATGTAAACACACATGCTGATTTAATAGTTATATTGGGTAGTAATGTCTGTACAATTATTTGGTATTGACAGACTAATGAGCATTAGCTATTGGCTTGTAATTAGCTGATATAATTAGAGAGAGGTACAGCCCAGACAGCTGGTCTCACTTTAGGGCATCGTGTCAGGCTGTGAACTGGGCTGAACTCTCTTGAGTCTGGTGACTGGACAGTAACCACACTTCAACAGGTCATTAACTAAACAGCCTACCACACACTGAGGGTTGAGTCTGTAGTTTAATGGGCTGTACACCCTAGGAGGTGTGACAGAAGAAATGTTTATGGGCTGTACACCCTAGGAGGTGTGACAAGAAATGTTTATGGGCTGTACACCCTAGGAGGTGTGACAGAACAAATGTTTATGGGCTGTGCACCCTAGGAGGTGTGACAGAACACATGTTTATGGGCTGTGCACCCTAGGAGGTGTGACAGAACACATGTTTATGGGCTGTGCACCCTAGGAGGTGTGACAGAACACATGTTTATGGGCTGTGCACCTTAGGAGGTGTGACAGAACACATGTTTATGGGCTGTGCACCCTAGGAGGTGTGACAGAACACATGTTTATGGGCTGTGCACCCTAGGAGGTGTGACAGAACACATGTTTATGGGCTGTGCACCCTAGGAGGTGTGACAGAACACATGTTTATGGGCTGTACACCCTAGGGGGTGTGACAGAACACATGTTTATGGGCTGTGCACCCTAGGAGGTGTGACAGATCAAATGTTTATGTAGCTGTATGCTCAATAGTCTGGGTGATAGAATGTATATAATGAATATATGTCCTTAGCTCATATTTATATAATATTAATGTGAGAGGCTAATACAATATACAGTATTGTCTATATACATGGTGAACTGTATACCTGTATTGGCTATATACATGCTGAACTGTATACCTCCATTGTCTATATGCAGGTTGAACCAATTGTAAACTTATGTGATAAGTTTACATAATATATATATATATCTATCTATCTAAAGTGGTCTAGTGTATGTAAATATGTTGATCTTTTCCCTGATAATGTTGTTTCATCACAGGTGTTACTCTGTTGTAGTGTGAGGTGGAGGTCAATATTAAACTGAGGTGTTTAGCTGTGGCTCTGGAAGATTGACAATTTGTCTTATTTTAATTATAAACCAGAACACCTTTATTTCTCACTGTTTATCCAGGTATAATTTGGCTAAATTTATATTTTAAATTTACCTGGACTTAGAATTCCATCACAATATGATTTGAAATTAAAGAACAAAATTGTTTTTAAGGACTTTAGAATTAATGTGATTTAGTGAGACTGTTGAACCGTTCAGGTACTTTACATATATTTACCATTTAGGTTAAACTAAACCATAAATACATTTTATTGTTCGTTAAGGAATTCTATCTCATTAGTTCGGCGTCATTTAATGTTGCCGTAAAATCTGTCGAGTGACTTGAGCGGCAATTATTGTGTTATAGTCATGCCAGTTAATGTTGTTTTAGGAGATGACAATTTATTGTGTAGTGATCTCCGTTAAAACAAACTATTTTTATTGTCCAAATTTGTCGCGCTGGGTTATGAAGGTGTGCGTGGTGGGAAAGGCTTTGGAATAAGGAATACTGAAGGTGAAAGAACACTTGAGTTTGGGGATGGTATGTAACATGTGTTTAAGAATAGGGCAAGTAGGCTGACCGTGTAGGCCTAAGGCAGGTGGCACAGAAACCCAGATTGGCTACATTTTGGTCAGGAAATTAGAACAGGTTGCTTGTGTGTGTGTGTGTGTGTGTGTTACTTAAAGATGGAGGGAGAGGAAGAAGGTGGATGTTCCAAGAAGGAAGGTGTGGGAATTGTGAAGGAACTGAATGTAAAGGAAGCATTTTCTTGTGAGTTGAGAGGCTAGGAAGCAGCCAGTGAGGGGCAGTGTACCAAGACGCTGGGCCATAATAAAAAATGTTCCGTTGAGTGTGGTTGATGGCGGGAATGATGAAGTGGAAAGAGAGATAAAAAGAGAAAAGAAGATTGTGTGAGATGTGGAAGATGGTTGGCAACAGAGAGAAGTACAGTACCTGGAGGCTAAACTGAGATGGTTCAGGAGAGAAAGGAGGAAACTAACTGGGTCAAGAGATACACGAATGAATGTGGAGGGGAGGGGAGTTAGAGGTAGGCAAAGAATGACATGAGGATAGGTTGTAAAGAAATGTTAGTGCTACTATAGTACCTGAGTATGTTTGTTGGTTGGAATGATGAGGAACAATCTGAACAGAAAACAAATGAATACAGTAATTGAACACAAAAAATTTAGGAATTGTCGAGTAATATCAAAATATTCGGAACTCAGTTAATTCGTATTTTCAGTAACTTGAGTGACGCAGAGTCTCTTTTGTCAAATCAATGAGGGTGTAGTGCTGTTTGTGGTCCACCGAATTTATGAAAATACAAATTAACCGAGTTCCGAATATTTTGACATTATTCGACACTTTCTCAATCTTTTTGTTCAATTATTCGTTCGTTTTCTGTTCAGATTGTTCCTCATTATTCCAACCAACAAACATACTCAGTTACCATGCCTTGACTGCCACACAAAATAATCTTATTTATAATTACTGTGCAAACAAATATTTTTTAAGTGCACAAACAGTAATAATAAAGTAAATAATACAGTAATAAATAAATGTAAGACTTACTGTACATTGTGAGGTGAACTGATAATATGTGGATGATATTCAGAAAGTGTAATAGTATTGAGGATCAGGTCTGGGGTCCACTGCTCTCATCAAGAAGATTAATCCCCAACCTACCTAACTCAGGAGACTGTTCCTTTGTTCTATGTGTTTCTCCCTTGTTTTGTTGTGTTAGTTGGCAGAAGAGGGACCTATAGTGTGTTTTATCCCAGCTGAGAAGAGATACGTAATTTGTGTATTATTGTGGGTAAAAATAAGTATATATTAAATGCGTCCTCCGAAAGCGTCAATTTGCCACCAGAGTTTAACAGTTAATTCTTGTATAATATTTCTGATAAACTTCCTACGTGTTTATGTTTGATATAATTAATGTATGGATCTTTATATAATTTAGCTAAATGTCTTTCTCATCAGAAATGGTCATTATGAATAAACTCATTTAGAAATACATCATTACTTCAGGAGGAAATCGGACAGATTTGCAACAGCCAATCAGGTGTAACTCTTGATAAAAAATGCACTATAGTCAAATCAGCTCCAAAATTTCATCTTATATTTCTCCAATGAGGGTTTTTACTTCATTTACCAATGTGGCCGTTACACTTATGGAATATCATCTACGATCTCACCTCTCATTATTTATTACTGTATTATTTACTTTATTATTGTAAGTACATTTTATAACTATTTATATTTGCACAATAATTATAAATATGATATTGTATATGACGGCCAAGGCAACTTTTTGAACCACTCAGTTATTTCATATTCATTCCAAATTCAAATCGTTCAATTAATTTTTTTGAGAAACATACGAATTAAACCGAAGTACGAATTACAGCGATCCTATTCAATGAAAGTCCAAAAATTCATTGTTTAAAAATATTCAAAGTCCAAAAATTCATCTTTAAAAATATGCTAAGTCTAAAAATTCATCTTTAAAAATATTCTAAGTCCAAAAATTATTATAAGTCTAAAAATTCATCGTTTAAAATATTCTAAGTCCAAAAATTCACCGTTTAAAGTATTCTAAGTCCAAAATTTATTCTAAGTCCAAAAATTCATCATTTAAAATATTCTAAGTGCAAAAATTCATCTTTAAAAATATCCTAAGTCCTAAAATTCATCATTTAAAATATTCTAAGTCTAAAAATTCGTTTAAAATATTCTAAGTCCAAAAATTCATCTTTAAAAATCTGCCAAGTCTAAAAATTCATCGTTTAAAATATTCTAAGTCCAAAAATTCATCGTTTAAAGTATTCTAAGTCCAAAATTTATTCTAAGTCCATAAATTCATTGTTTAAAAATATTCTAAGTCCAAAAATGACCAAAATTATTCCTGGGCATATTTTGAGTAATAAATTTTTGTGTGGTTTTAGAGGTAAAACATTTGTGCCATTCTTACGAGCTCCAGCTTGGCATCTGTGTATTATAAGGCATAACGGACTACCTGGTCGTGGGGAGAGTAACTCACTGGGCCCCTACTGAGTTACTCTTCCCACTGCCAGGTAGTCCGTTATGCTTGTATTTTTTTATATTATTGGTGAATGATAATTTGAAGGCTGTCATCCGGAGACTCTTCCGATTATCTTTTACCAAATTTTTTCAACGTTAGTCCTGGCAATGGCAAACTCAAAAAACACTTAAGGGTAAAAATAGGCCAATTTTTCGGCCATTTTTTGCTCAAATTTGGCAATTTTTAGCCATTTTTTGCTCAAATTTGGCCATTTTTTCATATTTTTAGCTATTTTTTCTGTATTTTTAGCTATTTTTTCTGTATTTTTAGCTATTTTTTCAGGTTTTTAGGTTATTTTATTTATTTTTTTTATTTATATATATATTATTTATATATATTTTATTTATATTTTTTTATTTATATATATTTTATTTATATATTTTTTTATTTATATATATTTTATTTATATATTTTTTTATTTATATGTATATATATATATATATTTTTTATCAAGTTTATATATATTTTTCATTTGTATATTATATTTGTATATAATGAATTAAGATATTTTTTCAAGTCTTTCATTAAATTATTTTGCTTCAAAATCTGAAGCTGAACTTAGTCAATTTTCTGTAAAAGTTGAAAATATTGTAAATCCTAGAAAAGGTTAATAAAGACGTAATGACATTTAGACATTTATTAATGGAAACTTAATGGCTCTATAAATTTGCACAGAGGAGAGCAGTCCAGAGCAGCAGCCAGCAAGCAAGCACAGAGCAGAGCCATCCAGGGCAGCAGCCAGCAAGCACAGAGCAGAGCCGTCCAGGGTAGCAGCAAGCACAGAGCCGAGCCGTCCAGGGTAGCAGCCAGCAAGCAAGTACAGGGAAGTCCAAGGCAGTAGCCAGTAAGCACAGTCTAGGGCAGCACTGCACTCCAGTGTTCAGAACAACATTACTGTACAAAATAAAATGTAAAATTAATATTCAAATTTTTTAACCATAAAAATGTTTTAAATATAGTAATGACAAAATGAACTGTAGTATTTTAGACAAAATTCCTTAACACTTGACAACCAAATTTATAAACTCAATAGAAAAATAAGAATTTTTGTTAATTTGAATTTTTCACCAAATGATCCTTGAGAACAAGTGTCTAAGGGAATATTATCAGTAACTGTACAGCAACTTAACCTAACTGTACAAGTTATGGTTCATATTAACTAAACTATAAAAACCAAAAACCTTTCATTACAAAACTTACCCACAAGTGAGTTTAGTTTAACCATAATAGTTATTGATGCTTAACTACAATATTTCCTGTATCTTTGGTTCATAGTTTTGTTAATATATTTTAAATGTTTTCTTTCAATGACTTGACCCAGAACTTATTGATTTGTGATGAATATTTTTACTTTCCACTAACTTTACGTCAATGAATTCCTCGAGTGGGTCAGTCACAGTATTACAAGTGAATGTTGCTAAGAGTACTTTATTATTTACTAAACATACTCATCTTGTAGGTAACTTTATGTACTTTACTGAATTAATTAAAGTCAAGCATAAACATGACCAATAATTATTTCTGGTGTTATAAATTTGATGTATTAAACGATTGGTTGAGAAGTTATAAGTAGTTACGGCCAGAGTCCAGTTTTGGGGCTTTTAACTTTGGTCAATTGTTATGATATTCCTGTCATCAATAAAGGATCATAGGTACAGTCAGGATCAAAAGTGTTGAACACTTGGCAATATCTGTCATCTACTTGAGTTATATGATTGGGATATACTGTACTAATAACACAACAGTACTATCATATTATGCCTGAACCACAAAATAGGATTAAACTCTACTTAATACCAAAGATCTTCGGTACTTACATGCCAAATACTGTCAAGTGTTCAGCACTTTTGACCAAGACTGTACATCAATTCTAGCCCCATAATCCCCTTTCAATATTCTCGACCCTTTACACATTTTCTCTTATAAATTGAAGTATAATTTCTCCATTACTTTCTATTTTGTCTTGAAATTTATAGCACCAAGAAATCTAGTATGGTCATTGAATATCCCAGAGCAATTTGTTTGCCTTTGGTTTTAAGGATAAACTGGCAGAGAAATTCCAATCAGTGTTGGAAAAGTTCATTTTGACACAGGACGATAAAGTAAACTTTACTCCCCTTTAAGTGATCATTCGAGGCAATTTTATATGTAGTCTCTTGTTTTTTGTATATTTTTACATCAACTGAACTCGTTATATTCTTTACCTGAGGTAGAGAGGAGGGGTGGATGGCTGGGTCTGGGCTGTATCACCTGCTTCCTTTAGTTGTTTTGTGAATCACTTGCCATCCTGATATTGGAGAAGAGAAGCCTGGTACAGCAGTACAAGTGAGGCAAGATGTGTGGTACAGCAGAGTGCACACCTCTCCTTGCCAAGATCCAGAACCTACTGGAAGTAAAGTCAAGTTATTACCTATAAAAAGTTTCAATAACATTTTCACAATACTAATTTATCCTAATACAGTATTGTATAACATGACCCTAAACTGAAGGTTTTATCCTCTATGGAAGTACCACATTAATCCACTTAGTCAAGTACAGTAATTGAAGAATACATTAGTGATGCACCGCTAATAACCAGATTCAAAACTCTCCCAATAATCTGCTGCCAGAGTTAATGCTATAATTTAGGTAAATTTTATCATGCAGGTAAAACAAGTCACTATATCGTCTCACCACCAAAGCCAGACTATAAACAAAGTATTGGCCAAATACAGTATTTAAATAAAACAAACTTGCCGTTAGTCTGTTCATCAATGTTAAATAACCCGGCCCTCGTCTTGTGTTGGTAAACCAGCCAAGGTGCCCAGGAAAGTCCTTACTATTGGGTGTGAAAATGAAAGCAATAAGCGTCGGGTCAGAGGAGCATCGAGACAACAGATAAACCAGACCAAGACCAGAAAATATTAACTTGCGGTGTTACTAAATTAATATTTATTTATTTATTATTGATGTTAGTCTCTCCTCGTGACGGCCATTTTTGTTGTATTATCCTCAAGTGGTCATCATCAGCTTAATGTTTACTTGTACAGAGATGGTGGTGGAAAAGACACGCATTTCTAAGCAACAGCGACTTTATTCTAATATTTAACTTATTTTGGAACATTTATTCATTATTTACTCATTCTTTAATAAAATAGGATTTAAATCATGTTATTTATCATTTTGACTAAATTTGTTACAAAAACTCCTCTCCAGCCTCAACAACCTATGTCATTTATTCTAAGAGTTATGATAATACTGTAGCAAGTCGTTCTTAGTTCTAATTTGGGTAATATTGGTCGATAAAATATCGAATGTACCTTACCGATGCTACAGTATGTAAAACAATCTTTCTCGTCAGTGACAGTCTTTACCAGATTATTTTTATCCTCACATTAAACAAAAGCTATTTTGTTGGCCTGTTAATATATCCATTACCTTACAATGAAGTGCTATAGACAGACTTTCACAGAGGACACTGCCATGTTATCCAATAAAACATTATGATTGGCAGCCAAGTGTGACCTTCCCATAATAAGGGAACAGATTACAGTAACTGGTTTCCGTAATTACTATATTTTGCCGATAGTAAAAATGTTCGAGTAATTTATTAACCCAAAACAGCAAAATGGCATCAACTAATACTTTGTTTACAGATACTGATTATTCAGCAAAATATTGATATTATCTGTAGCTGATATCAATTCATTGGTGCATCCCAAGTATTGTACAGTACAAATACTCTATTGATATTTACACTTAGAAGAGTTTACTAGACAAGGCAGCCCATGGGTTACAATTACTGTACTTTGTCAAGAGTTTAGTGAAGAAACCACAATGAGAGATGACCTGTACTGTACCTAACCTGACTTGTGTGTCTGGTGCATCATGAATCAGGTCACCAGAAGAACTCTTGTGGTCATCATTTCCTCCATCTTCAAGTCATCATCCTGGAATGAATAATTATTACAACTGTACAAATATATTAAATAGTATACCTACAGTAGAGTACACTGCCTATATACACTACAGGTATCCCCAATATACAGTATGTACATAAACAAGTTTCAACAAATGTCTACACTATATAAGCAAACAAACAAATCCCATTTTGTTTTTGTCAATGTAAAGATTTTCCCTCACAGGAACAGAACCCCAATATATAAATTACTTAAACTTAATTTAAGAATTTCCAGGAACAATATTTTAGTATACTAAGGAACACCAGTGAACTAGATTACCAAGCACATGAAGCATTACACAGCACAACTTAAGCACCAGATATGAAAAGTGGAGAAAAACGTAAAGTAACAACCTTATTTTTACCATAGGTCTAACAGTAGTGATAAACATTGATAAATAAGTTTGATACAGTGTACAGTAATATGTAGTCATCTACCTGATTATACTGTTAACTGCCCCTGCAATGTTTTATACACTGTACAGTACTAGATTATTGATGATCATTATGCAAGGCATCTGTTGGTGAAAGAAAAGGTTTATTAAGAACTGTTGGTAAGAGTAAGGCAGAGTAACATTCAACACTTTCTCCATCAATTTCTTTTAAGAATGTGGCAACATTAAAAAAAGTAACCCAAAATAATCAAAACCAAGTTAAAATTTGAAGAAACTAACATTTACAATTATGTGTTAGACTAATCCAAGGACTGTGTACAAACATCAAGCCATCAACCCAGAACATTAATTTACAATTCTTTACAACTACATAAAGTTTCTTGTACAGTTTAATAAATAACTAGTAAAAAACTTTAAATTCCACCATCTATAACAGGTAATCACATTCTTCACGTGGTGTAAAGTTTATATAGAATACAAGTATAGCATTTCCCTGCTAACCTGACCTATAAGCCACGCCCCTCTTCTATACCTATAGCCGATTGGTTCCCGAGCATTTTACCTCCCCGGACTGTGTATACAAGCCTGTATTTATATCAACCTTTTATAATAAAGATTTAACATTTTCTAACATCAACTGAAGAGCTAATGACTTGAGATCTTTTACATTATGATAGTCCAGATAGTTAACATTATTTTATATATTAACAGGTCTGTTTACCTATTGTGAACAGTTTGGATTTTCTATTTACCAATCAGCTGTTAGTATAGAAGAGGGGCAGGGCCTACAGGCCAGGTTAGTGTAGCAAGAGTGGTTACCTGTATTAAGTATAGTTACCTGTATTAAGTATAGTTAACTGTATTAACTGAACTGGGAACAACATATTGGACAAACTGAGAACTAGAGATGCAGGCAAGTCAATAATGCCAAGGTTGACGGCAGTTATTTAACTTAAGAGGGATCCAGTTACTGTCAGGACCTTAGAGCCAGCCAAGTGAAGGTACTTGAAGGATTATGAATATAAATGACAATTAAACTAAAGGTAAGAGACTTAATCTTTGTTGGATGTATTTATAGATCACAGAACTGCAGTTTATTAAGCCAGGTCAGTTTACAGGCATTAATACTCAACACACCATTATGGGTGACTCACTGGAGGAATGAAATCACCGAGAAACAAATGCAAACACTGTTGAATATAGCCAGTTAAGTAAACTATTGGACTGATAAAATATACTGTATACTGCAGATCAAACCCACTGACTCATGAATAAAGAGACCACTCAGATTGTAGAAAGACAGTAAGATTGCCAGTCTGATTCCAAATGAGGTCAAGGCAAAGTCCCAAAAGCTTTCTACGTGTGGGCAAATCGGACCATTACAAGATCGTAGTTACTCTGATCTGGGCAAGACCAGAGGCGCCAAATAGTGTTCACCAGAGGCTGCAAACCTCCATGTGTTTGAGGAGTAACAACACAGTATTGTTCGCAGTCAAGTATTAAAACAAATCATCAAAACTAAAGGTACATAGAGCCCTGATGGGGAGCTTCCAGTGTTAAAGACTTGGGCAGTGAGCTCCCTAAATCTTGTTGTATAGATGCATAAACAAGCAAGACATCTCCCAATGACTTGAAAATGGCATTTGTAAGTCCTATATTGAAACATAACGTATGAATAATTACAGTGCTGTATAGACCAATGAATGACCGGCATATTGTGTAAAGGATAGCCAATTGGTTTATGCCATTGTCCAGCTTATAGGCAGGCAAGGGGGGTGACTTGAGACAAGTTTATATACCTGTAATAGGGCATTACTTAGTATAGTGTTCATAACTAGCAGAAGCCCACCCCACTAGAGGTCACAACTTATGGTTAATGACAAGCCCAGAAATCTTTGGGCAATTTTTTTTGTCGCGTCGTTTACTCTTGGAATTTTGTGACTACAGTACTGTACTTGCCAACAGTAACAGCCAGTACGTGCCCAGTACTTGCCAACAGTGTGTAACACCCAGTACATGCCCAGTACTTGCCAACTGTGTAACAGAGCCAGTACATGCCAGTGTTCAGATGCAATCGACCACACCTTGACCCCAACTGCAAAGTTAATGCAACAGACTTGACATTTCACTATAGAACACACGGTCATTTTTCGTTAACCACCCATCACCTTTTAATGGGTTTCTCTTACCATTTAATAGATCGAGAAACTAACGTAAACTTTAATTTAGCGGCATTCCAAAATTAAACAATATCCACGATTTATTTGTGGTAATGAATTTTAATTTGATGTTATGGTGACAAACGTCGCTCTCGTTCGTAAAATACTAAAAAGAACACCAAACAAACCTTTGAAAACCTGACCTAATGTTTCCTAACTTGAGAAAATGTTAGGAATCACTTAATTTATAAATCCCTCATCTTACCACCTACTAAACACCAAAAACGTGAATAAGATAAACTTTTACCTTTGGATTTTTAGAAGTGCAAACGTTAGGTCAGGTTTTTAAGAGTTGTTTGGTGTTATATATAGTATTTTACCCCACATTTCCCTCTACTTTAAAGCCCTGCCCACTTTAAACAAATATTGCTAGTAATCTCCCCTACAGAACATCACTGGGGTGGGAATAAAATAAGTGATTCGCCCCAAAGATAAATGTTAAGAATTTTCCAAATCTAGAAAAGTAGAGAAAAAAATATATGGAAAAAAGGTGATTGGTAGTTAACGAAAAAGTATCTCACAAACTTACCTCAATAAATAAGGAGGTACAGTACGTATCCACGCTGACGACCAGTGGTGCACCAACCTGGCCTTTAACACAACAACAACTGGATCCATCATCTGTAAAGAAAAGATAACTAATATTAGTCCATTGGCTGTCCTCAGGTTTTGGCAAGAGATTTTTTTTCCTTATTCAGTTATTACTCAAATCTGACCTTTATTTCATTAGCAAATTATCGGTTTCTGCAAAAAATGAACATTAATTTTTTAACAAACTGCTGATTTGCACAAAAAATAACGTCAAATTTGAGTAAAAAAGCCAAAAATACACAAACCAAAGGAACCAACCAACCAACCTAACCAAGTGAGTAAGACCTCGGGTGAACATGGCGGGAACCTATGGACAGCCAAAGGTCCAGTGTTACCGAAAATCTTACGAGTAACATACTTTTAAAATAAATCCTGGAACATATAAGACCATGACAGACACTCGGGTATGAACACCGCCACTATGAACTGGACAAAACTTAATCTTATTTCATTAATTTAAATAAAATCATTGAGCCAAAATTGTTAAGTATTCTTTAAGGTAACTTGTCAATGTGAGAGTAAACGACCATTAACCTATGCTTGTTCACTAGTGCTTCTTGTACCATTTAAAGCATTTCCTTTTAAAATAAATTGGTACAAATAAATAACCTTAATATATCGTCCTTTACACAATTATAAATTTAACCAATTAAATACATTAAAAATAACACTTACTATCAAAGGAAGGTTCTGGTAAGTGAGAGAGACGACCGACAGCACCTCCCCCCTCTGTGTCTGTATTGGAACTGAGGCGTCGACGCGTCAATCGCCTCCGCCTAGTATTCTTCCCGCCAAAAACCATATCCGAATAAGGTGATCTTAAAAAAATAAATCCAACCTTAATAGAAAATACAAGATTTAATTCAAATTTTAGGTTAAATTAATTAATATCGTAATAAAGAAAAGAAACAATAAGAAAAACTTTACGGAAAAATAAACAGAAATAATAATACTGTACATTACTCTAAATTGTTCAGCTTCGGATACACTTAAGTAGGACGGAAAAGTTACCATCTATATCGATAAAAAAATGTGATGTTTTAGATCATCCTAGCAGCGCCATCTGTTGAGCTGACCCCTTACTATACGAGAAACTCTTTAAATATGGTATTACTCATTATCAAGTTTGTTTTGAATTTGAGTTTCACCCGTAAGATGATGAAAACAAACCATAGTATTTGTAAAAGGCCATAGTATATGTAAATAAACCACAGTATAAGTAAACAAGCCATAGTGTAGCGTACTGTATGTGGCCAGTTGTCAATTATCTTAGTATGGGCACACAAACGTACGTACATGTAGATAGCTCACACTCAGGAATTAGGTAGAATAGAAACTCACAATGCGCTTTCTGTATATATAAGAACATAAGAAAATAAGGAGTCTGCAATAGGATGGTTGGCCTGTGCATGGCAGCTCCTGTCGAGAGTTACTACCACTCTCTATCATCCATGAATCTATCTAGCCTCCTTTTAAAACTTTCCAGAGTTCCCGCACTTACTACAAAGTTGCTAAGCTTGTTCCACTCGTCCACCACCCTATGTGTGAACCAGTTTCTTCCTATCTCCCTCCTAAACCTAAACTTATCCAACTTGAATCCGTTGCTCCGAGTCCTATCCTGCTCGGATATTATAAGAACTTTATCTATATCCCCTTTATTGATTCCTTTCACCCACTTAAATACTTCTATCATATCTCCCCGCACTCTTCGTCTTTCTAGGGAATGCAAGTTAAGTTTCTTTAACCTATCCTGATATGGAAGGTTTCTAAGTCCCGGAATCATTTTTGTCATTCTTCGCTGCACCGACTCTAGTGAATTTATATCCATTCTATAATAGGGGCACCAGAACTGGACCGCATAATCGAGGTGCGGCCTGACTAGCGCAAGATATAGTTGCAATAAGGCCTCTGCACTCTTGTTACTTACACTTCTAGATATAAAACCCAATACTCTGTTTGCCTTATTTCGAACATTAACGCACTGTTTTCTAGGCCGTAGGTCCGGGCTTACAAGTACCCCTAGGTCTCTTTCACAAGTCGACTTCTCTAGGTTGATGTTGTTAAGGCTGTATACATTTTAAGTACAGTGAAAATTTTCTGATAAATTTAACAAGCATTACATTGTACTTGGACTAACCGAGGTTGGTAGATCACTTCAACAATACAATATTTTGTGGTTAATACAGAAACAGCTTCATCTGTTATGTATATCTTACTTTTAGCTATGAATTGTTTCATACAATTACTGGTTTTGATATAGGTTGGTAACTTGTTTCAGTCTTTTATAGCTGTGAAGAAGAAAGTGTTTTTTGCTTGACTGCAAACACCAGGTACAGTACAGTAAGTACCACAATATTATGTTACCAGTTCATATCTCTAATCCCTACAAAATTTGGTGTTAAATAGTTTGGCCACAGTCCCTTGAATATCTTATAAGTGTGATTCAGACTTTGTTGCTTCACTCTACCTGCCACACTTAACATTTTCAGTGATTGTAAGACTTAAGACCAATGTGATCTCTTGCATTCATGTCAGGAATAAACCTCCCTCAAAGGCCCTCCCAGGGGCGGTGCCCTCAGCGGTTCTATAAGGTTTTATGGGGTTCTATAAGATTTTATGGGGTTTCTATGAGGTTCTATGGGGTTTCTATGAGGTTCTATGGGATTCTTTGAGGTTCTGTGGGTTTCTATGATGTTCTGTGGGTTTCTATGATGTTCTATGGGGTTCTATGATGTTCTATGGGGTTAGGTTAGGTGAGGTTCTATAGGTTCTATGGGGTTTTATAGGGTTCTATGGAGTACAATGTACAGTATACAAGAACATTATACTGTACAGTAATTTAAATTCTACAGTTTACGGTAACGGTAATACACTTCATTTTTCTCTCCCCTAATCACTTCGGTATAATGAAAACACTTAGGAATTTTTTCTACCCAATGTCTGGTTTAATTGAGCTGAGGGCAAGCCCTTGGTCTGATGGTCTGATGGGGCTAATTTACAGTGGTGTATTATTGTCATATGTGACCTGCTCTATGTGACTGTATACAGTACAAAAATTACCTTAACCCCTTCACTACGGGGATGCCACTTTTAATATTTTATTTGGATAACGCCGCCAGAAAATTTTATTCAGCTCCGAGGGGAGCCCGTAAACAAGGAGTTAATGTGATTACGACTGTACAGTGTAAATGTAGTTTAAGTTCCTAGAGTAAATACAGTAATCTCCTTATTAACCAGAATAGCTGGTGCACAATGGTTCTGGGTATGGAGACAAATTTTCTCATCCCCGGAAAAAATCACGTCTCTGGAATTTTTTCCGGATACTGGTGAAAGTTTACAGTCTAAACTACGCACCTCGCACGGAGCAACTAAACTGAAGCCGGCCAAACACAGAGCTATATTTATTTAAGCAAACAGCACCACACACATACGATATATTGTACTGTATTATGAATTAACAAAATATACTACTGTACTGTATACACTATATACTGTACTCACCAGCAGGTACTGTCGTTTTAAGCTTGCAATGTAGGCAGACCAAATGGTGATATGATGATTCAGGAAGGCCTGCCTTAGTCCTGTACCATCTACTGTAGCAGGTGTTGCTAACTGTCCCTCTTCTTTCCCTCCATGAAGAAGGGATTGTACACACACTGTACAGTATACTGTACATACACCTTCTACACACTAGCTTACAGTTGGCATACACAGTCTACTCTTCTATTTACAGGCCAGTTTACATAACTGTAGTCACTTTTTACCTCTTAACACTACTTTAATGATATTTGTGGCTGATTACAGTAGTGTAGTGTACTGCCAAAACAGCAGTGAGCGAGCAAAGAAGCATGTCTAGTGCAATGGCAACAGACAATGAACTAAAAGTGTCATGATGCAAGAGTTTGAGGAGATAGGCTGTGAGATACATCAGCCAATCATAGGCATCCCTTGCAGTCACATGACAGTAGTGGCCACTCGTAACTCACAAGTACCCCTGTACTCTGAGCCTACCCATGCACACATTTCCAGGTTGCAAACATAATGCAATCTCTAAGAATTTTGTTTAAATGCACCAGAACAGATATTTTATCAGAATTTTCTGGAAATGCGCATGATGCAATCCACAGAAATTAGTTTGGATACCTAAAATGGAGAGATTTTCCTTAAATTTCTCGAAGGTTAAACATAGTATATATAATATTTACCTTCATTCTCTTTATTGGACATCCTTCATACTATGTACAGACTGGTGGCACACACTCCATGGTTGCCAACAGCAGCAAAAAGCCTCTCTCACACTCTCTCTCTTTCATAAAACACACAGGACAAACACAAGCAGAGACTGGACAGCTCTACACCAATATATTCATTGTATCCTTCATGAAAGACTCATACATATTATTTCCAATATTAATCACTAAGATACATAAATATTTTACATCCATTTGTACAGAAGTATATTACATGAAAGTTGTACCAACAATTAAACATGGTTAACTAACAGAAGTGATTCCACCCTAGAGTACTGTATTGTTTCCTAGTTAATACATGTTTTACACCACACAATGTTTATCAAAATGAGGATATCTCTCTCCCATATTTCTCTTGTTTCATTTCTACCAGTTTAAGTCATAAAAGCTGTTGTTCAAGATGGCATTGTTTACTGGGTAGCAACTAGCTGGTGAAATCCAAGCCCTGGACGACAGAGTGAATACCGTGCGTGAAAACCACCTAGGATCAACCACAAGTTCCCTAGCAGTTTTCATTATGGCATTGTTGCAAGGAGGACAAGATTAGTAAGTGATAATGATTCACGTCTTAGGAGGAGCATCACAGAAATAATCCTCTGTTTTGTATTGTGCACAAAAAGCTCAACTGGATCACAGGCTCTTCACATATACAGTGCCAGGTATTTTTATCAACTTTTAACGGATGAAGTAAGAAACATTAAATTATTACCTCATAATCCCTTCACCACTTTAGGTCACAAAATTAACACCAATTTACATCTAGTATCCGGTAATTTAACAAATACTGTATACTTCTGATTTGTATTTTGCTTTTGAGATCATAAGATTTTTATGTAGTAATTTAAATTTTAACATTCTACTAATTAATATTCGATTATTACCAGTTATCACATCAGAGTCTTGATTGTGGTAGAATATATCCCCAAACTCTTATATTACATTAACAAGGTGTTATGACAAAAGGCGGACTGGAATGCTACCCTCACCATATCAGTTTGGAATGGTAAATACAACCTATAAACACCAAATATTCTATAAAATATGTACCAGAAGGTGGCACAACATACTCTGCATCAAGTACAACATGTTGACACATACATAAATGTACAGGAAGCCTCAGGATAATGTATAAAGCAGGTTACAGACTTTGAAAAATTTTCCCCCCTTGCAGTACAATATTATACTGTACATTCTTTCAAGTTTTTTAAATATTTTCTTTTTTATTAATATATTTGTCTATTGTTTTTCACATAAATATGATAATAATCTGTTAACTATAACTTACTTAATTCAGTGTATGTAAATTGGTATCTTGGCAGCTTGGACTAATCCACCGAGCCACTTTACTGAGTTACCTGTACTACCACACTTCCACCTCTGGGGTAAACCTTATCCAGCAGTGGACTGATAAGGCTGTAACATATAACTATGAATAAGTTTATATACATATACAGTATATGGGTATATATATATACAGTATACAGGTATATATTTACACTGTATATATATAAGCATACACACACAGAGTAGAATACCACAAACCCATTTGCCGATGGTTCTATATTTTGTCTTAGTTCACGTTGGCTTCACTTACTGTCTACTCTTTGTTCTAAAACTCCATAAAAATGTAATGAAGTTCAAAAATTTCAACCAAATAAAATAAAATAACAGAAGAATCTAATACCAACTGGTTTTTTTTTCAGGACTCAGTTTTAAGCCCTAACTTATGGTAAAATCAACGACACATTTTTACAACCACTACACACACGTTTGAAAGATCAGGCATGTGAATCTTTTATAAAGGTGATACTGTACTGTACAAATGCAAGATAAAAAACTAAATTTAGAGATCTACTGTGGCATTATCTAATACATTACCTCAGGGGAATCAACCATTAAACAAAATTATGACTGTGAGGGGTAAATACAAGAGAAAGTGTATATCCAGTCTGCCTGGCACTAAGTTCTGACTGGTATGGGGCAGTTGTCAGCCACCCAGTCACTGAGGTACTAACAAAAATCTCAAACTTAAGTATATTTTTACCAAATAAATGAAGAAAAGAGTGTGATTAAAACCAAATATACTGTATATCAAGTGTTCAATATGATCAATACCCAATATACATTTAATTTACCAAGCCCAGAGTAGATTTGTAAAATGGATTTACAAACATAACCACACACACACTGCATAATGGCTACTACTCTTCCTCCGTGATTAATAAGTACAATACCAATACGTACATACAAAATAAAAACAAGCAGTAATATTTGGTAGAATATCTTTTAAAAACCCTTGTTTCAACTTAACCATTGATTAGCAAAGTTGTCAAGCTTTGCCACCTTTTCAATCCCAAGGCTTTGAAAACTTGTGTTTTTCTACTCTGTGGGTGTGTGTGCTTGTGCAAGTGTCATGTGAGCTTGTATTTGTGGCAAAGATTTCTGAAAGGAATAAATATTTCAGTCAATTGTAGTTGTGCATGTGAAACAAGCAGTGGTTTATAACATTAGAATAACAAGTCCAAAGAAGGTTATGATAGAATTCTGAGAAAAAGACTGGAAGTTTGGAATGAGTATAAGGTAGAGGAATGAGAAAACATGAAAAAATGCAGCACAGTGGCTGATGGTGGGAAGCCATATACAGAATAATAAAGTACATAAAAAATGGGAAAAACAAAACAAAATTACTTGCAGAACTACACAATGTGAATGAGGTACAGATGACATTTTCCTGCAACTGTAATGTACCTGATAGTAAAGCAAAGATGTGGATTTTAAGATTTATGCATATGATAGTTGTTAGCTATGGTGAGTAGATACAATGGATGGAAGGAGAGAATTGATGCATGAGGGGTGATAGTGATGATGAGAGTTAAAGGAAAACATGTTAAAAGGGTGTTAGTACTAGTAAGAGTTAGTAGGATGGAAGGAGAGAAAGTGAGAGGGGAATGTGTTGAAGAGATACTAGTGCAGGTCGGAGTGGGTGAGGTGTGGTACAGTGGAGTGTTTGGTCAGAGGTCAAAACACAGTACTGTACTAGCTCAGACACCTGTGGATAATCTGTCTAGACTACCTTGCAGAATAACATTACATAATTAATCATAAATACTTACATATTATGAATACTGATAACAAGTTCCTTCATGTATGCTGCAAGCTGTATGGATATGTTTGGGGTGGGGGGCTTAGGCTATCAGAATTGAGCAAACCCAGGCTTATTATCTTAGGTTAGCTACTGCAGAACCAAGCTAAAACAGAGTATAACAACACAGTGTAGTTAATCAAAATGGTAAATAAAATACCGGTAAGCACATTCTTGATATAGTATAGAAGAAAGTTAAGCTTATGGGTAATTCCTTATATGCCATTATATTTCATTGTTTCAGTGATCTGATTCCGAGTGTCTGGAGAAATTTTTTTTGACAATGTACCATGATGCTGATGAAGAGTTTGGAAGACAATAATCTCCCCACTACACATATATTCATTGTGTTGTTTAAGTCTTAACAGGGTGTCTGTCTTACACAAAATTCTCAAGAGATCTCTGTACACAGTTCCACTTTACAAACAAGAGTAATCCACTTGCATAGAGGTTTTTAATTACCAGTTGCATTTACTCAATTTGTGACCAAATTTAAAATCTTGTGCAAGCAGAACAGATTACTGTATACAGATATCCTGTTAGTTGATGACACAAAAAATATTGCCACTCTGTGTGATGTTATGCCTCCTACAACACAAGAGTACTCACAGTGGATGACAGGCACCTTAAAAAAAATAAAATAAAAAAAGACTAGAAAACATCCGCCCTATTGATTATCACTGATTATCCACTGATTTATTTATGTTATTTCCTGTACTGTATTCAACCCAGGATGAAGTAGTAGGTGTTCAATGAATGCTTTATTTTTTTAATCTTCAAGATTTTTAATGAGAACAAATCCACAATGGCAGACAAAATGTTTATTCCATTCTGTGGTTCCTTCTCACACACTTGTTCATGTTATGGTGACTCTCCAGCCAAGCTGTTTAATGTTAGGTAGCCAGATACAAGAGTGAATGGATGTACTGTATACACACTACACATTTACTTCGATCACTGTCATTTTACCCATTCTTAGTGTTGTAAAAGACGTGTTCTAATATAGTACACCCTTTTCCATAACAAGGCCGTAAATTTGATTTACATACTGCTTCACACAAGCCAGCATCATCCTTCCTTCAAAAATCACTAACACCATACACTGTTGCTGCCTCCGACCATCCACCACTACATTATACAAATATTAAACCAATCTTTCATTTCCCATTGTCTCAAGATGTTCATAATGACCACAGACCACCTGACCAGACCCTAATCCACTCTTCCCAAACACTTCCTTTACCTGCACTCTCACTCTCTTCCCTACTTTACCCCATATGTTGCTCTCCAGTGAGTTTTTTCTTGTTATTTTAATATATGCTGTACTATATAAATACCTTGAACATGTAATCCCCAAATGGACATATTAATATTAACAACTATCTGACAGTTGACCAAACAAAGTCCTGTGTGTTCACACTAATATATTCTAATTTAATTTGATTTTAATTTTGCCCAGTGTAATACATTCCTGAGGCCACAATACAACATAAAAAAATCTAAAGTAGTCGATAAAAAGCATTACGGTTAAATTAAGTTTGTCATCCAATAAGAAAAGAAGCAATCCAAAGATTGTACAATGTTCAGTTGTATTGTGGTATCAAATAAAGAAAAAATCTAGAATCATTCAAGTTATGTTCTCAGGGTTACTGATGGTTATAAACAGTGAAACAGGAAGGCAGAATCTTCATAACAAGTGTTAAACGCAGTACTGTACACTGACTCTACCTCTGTCTTCCAGAGCTCACCATTACCAGGCCAGGATGTTGTTCCCACTAAAGCAACACAAGTTGATGCAAGCGAGTTAGCTTAGTATTCCCCAACTGACGTTTCTTTGTGCCGCACGAAGCACGACGACTACTGTATGTTCAAGAAGCTACATCCTTTAACATTCAACAGAATTATTTGATATTCTAAACAATAATAACATTATCTTACAAGTCAACCTTTAACAATCTCATACAGACTAATTACACAGATGTAAGACAGTTGATGTATATCACGATCATGCTTAGTAAAATAAAAATAGTGTATCTATGGTCGCCTACACAACAGTATAAGCATCTAGTTCATGATACTAAGTTATCTTAACATATAGGCAGAACATAATGTTTCCTAACTCTTATATTCTGAGTGATAATCTCACGAATAACATGTCTAGTAGATATAGATACAAGTAGACAGATAAATACATGTACACAAAAACAGACGGACAGATGAAGACAGAAAGAGAAAGCAGATGACAGAATCACATGGAATGTCCAACAATTCACCTCACAAATATTTAGCCCATCATTACAATATATTTACAGATAGTACTGGTCAAATTACAACATTTTACTCATGGCAGCAGCAAGACTAGGAGACAAAACTAAGATGCTCACACTGTTCATACAGTAAAATGATTCATACAGTTCATGGTACAGTACACTACAGTACCAGCTGGCCTTACCCAACCTCTACCACTGACTCCAAACATCGAATATACTGTACCTGTACTTCCAACATTGTTCATCTTCATAAGTAAATAAGAAAAAGTTGTAATTTTAAATCTGAAGCTTTCACAATGACTGACTGACTGTACTTCCATCAAACACTTACATTATGTGGGACCCAGTTGCCAATAACCATCATATCCCATAAAGAAATGGTTAAGTGATTAGACCTATGCATATACATTAGCCAGACAGATGGTAATAATAATGCTCAACTAGTATTATCTGTCTATTACATTGCCCTTCTTGTGCTACAGGTTAGGGTGGCATATGCAAAACCTCAGAGACTACATAGTCTTGGCACATTTCTCAATGGACGCCTCCCTCACTAGTCTCTTATTTCACCTTTATATATTCTCTCTACTCCCACTTACTTCACTAAAATATGGTAACATTATCTCCATCTACCTGTTTCGCTATACACACTATGACTTTCTACTTAGTGGGATTTATATTTAACGGGATGGTGCTGCCTCGATAAAATGAATTTATTGTTACTGTTTCTGTACTACATACTAATTATAGCTGTACTGTATAAGAGTGAGATGATCTACAGTAATTATTTAGTTTTGTGTGTGATCCTCAGAGTTCTACAGTGCAATATATGTAGTTTTCCCTATATTATATTTTACAGTGCATATGATGAGCTCCTATAAGCAGTCAATCAGTACTGAGGAGTGTTGCATCCTATAGCAGACCGGGTATTGTGAGGTCATCGTGTGTAAATCAACAGAGACTTGTTTACAGTATGTATATAAAGTGCTTGTGTATACAGCAATGACCAAGACAGCCAAGAAAACATATTTTATTCACAAATGTAAAATTTTATCACCTATATTGCATATTCTCCGGTTCAGTAAAGTTTAATATATGAATTGTACGGTATATATATTATTTATACTATGCCTGTATGTCATGAAATGTGGTACAGTATTATAAATTATATAAATACCAGCTATAGCTTATTTAAAGAGAAGTTTAATGAAAATCAAGGTCTAATTTCTGAAAGGTGTTCATAAACAGACCAGAGGGATGTATGAACAGTGTCCCTCAGCCTCCATAGTGTGTGTGTGTGTTCCGTGTTCACCTTAACTACTGAGGCAGGCAGTGGCTTCAATCCCCCCCCCCCCACACACACACACACAACATCCGTAACTCCAACTCTAAATTTGGTACAATTCTATGATCCACGGCAAGTTACGGAGTTCACTAATCAATTAAGGCCTTTAAAACTTTGAAGTGAGATTTTGTAGGGTGATAAGATGTCTTGGTTATCTCGGATTGCACTACTCTATTTCCCATAAGAGGTTAGATTTGTGCAAATTTACTATACAAGAAATTTTTTCACTATAATTCTACTATAAATTGCCACATATATTGAGGAGTTAATGTATACAGGTATACAGGCTATGTAAGAGCTATCAAGGGTTTGGTTGTGTCACAGTCTGGGTCCCAGTAATAGTGTAAGGATGGCCAGTCAAACACATTACATATATATGGAAAATGTAGCACCAGAATCATGGAATCATTTCTGTTCCTCGAGTTAATGAGGAATTTTCCAGTGTTCTTATCATTTGGACTAGAGATAACATAAGCTCTGGAGGACACACTCAGGCTATTGATCAACCATATGTAACAACCAATTAAGCACCTGCTCCCACAGATTAGGAATTTATCTCTTCGTACTTACTCATTGTGGTTGTCGATAACTAAATTTAACCAATAATTTCAATTCAGAAACTAGGACGTCATTCCTCGCCGTCCTAAACATATTACACGTCGGCCACTCTTATTTTGACTTAAGAGATACAGACATATAAAACTGACTCTGATGACACTTATCTATGCCATTCCCACAAAGTAAATCGACTAATTCCTACAAAAACTGTGGTGGATTGTTATTCGGGAATTGTAACATTCGCGTGTTATTCTTTGTACGGCACCATACGTTTCATAAGCCTTCGATAATCCAGTCTTATATCTCATCATTTACAACCAATATTTCTTCACATACCCAACTTAAAAAAAGAAACTAAGACCTTTTTTTTACATATGAATACACTGGGAACCTTTAACAATACATGCCTCTTTTATACATTCAGTAGGGATTTTATACAAAAAAGAGACAGTATTGGGAGAATGGCATTTGGTTCACAACTGTAATGACCAACAGAAGGTTAAGGCAACTCTGTTCCTACATTTCAAAACATGGGAAAAAAGCCCAAAGGCACCTGCTACATGCTACTGCCAACGTGGATGATGACGTACTGTACATGGCCGACTCTATTCTCCGCTGCATAAAAGTCTTTCGTGTAGGGTCCCTTTACACTGTCATTACCTATTACTATAACTATATGAAACCCAAGCCAATCTTCTGTCACTGTGTATCTTTAGCTGAATGTAAATTTGTTCTCATACTAAACGATTTCCTCTCCTCAGTGATAGCCTCCTCCTCCTCTCATCTCACTGCCTACACCACATTCCATCTCTTCTATTTCTACTTCTCCTACAGTGTATCTAGTTAGTGATACAATTAAAGAGTCGCTCATATTACCTCTTTTAACGTACCTCTTGAACCCTTCACTATGGAGACGCTATTTTTCATTCAGCTCAGAGGCGACCCCAGACACAAGTCCTTTAACCTCTATTCATATTCTGTCACCAAGGAATCAACCAAGAATGAAAAATATGAGAACCTTTTAAGTATTTCCAGCCTTTACCGCTAAATTATCAGAATATAGTTAAATAATGACTAACCACACATCAAAGTTATTCAATAAATTCTAAATATAATCTTCTGAGAGTTGTAATATATCTATTAAAAATAAAATATATATTCAATTCCTATTTAGCACTCCCTTTCATAGTGTATTTTTGGCATGGATTTCCTCTATCTCTCTTTTTTTAAATTCCTCTGTGAAATATTAGTGGGTAAAGAGCCTGTGGTGTACTAAGGCTCTGATAGAAAAGTGATTCAAGACACTTTTCCAAGCAGTAAAAATCACACTATGCATCACCAACACTTTCCAGTTACACAGTTAACTTATACGAGTCTTACAAAATAAATACGCATATAAATAATACACCTCAGAGCAAGACACATTGTTACAAATTATCTTTCCATCTGGTCTGAGACAATAAGAACAAACCTCACGTTCATTCAAGGCCGAACCTGTCAAGTGAATCTCATGCCACAAGTATACTACAAGAACTTTTTAGACATGTTAGAATGTCTTTGGTCTCCTTCAGGTCTACAACATTACAGGAACATCTGTTGCAATTCACAACAGACAAAATGTTAAGATGAGACTGAGGGCAGAGGTAGGAAGTGAAGTACAGGCTGCTTGCTGGCAGATGTGACGTAAGTTGTGCCTCATTCATCCTCCCTGTTGACTTGGCTGAGGATATCACCCAACTTTAACCATGAAGTCAAATGAGAGGTTTTCTTATGTACGTTTAGCCTCGTCTTTACTCGACTCTGGTTCTTATAGGATGTTAACTATATGTGAAGCAAAAGCGATACATTACTGTACTTATATCTTGCACAATATGAAGTACTAATTGGTAAGATGCATCAAATAAATGAAGAAAAAAAATTGGAACACATAAAGAACTCCTGGTTTCTTTACTCTGAGTCTGGAGTGAAGTTTCAAGGGGAGGAGGCAACAACTAAATGCCTCATCCAGCAGCAACACACACCTGGGAAAAAAACTTACAGACAAAATATTGTTGAACACAGCCACTATGACATTCTCCTACCAAGTGTGCATGCTGAAGACCTCCTCAATTATCACCCTGAGAGAGTGAGGGATAGAGGGCATCTAACGGTGAATTGTGTATCTAACGTCCAATATATTTATCCTTAACAAAAGACGTAACAGGTGATTATAGTCCCACTTTGCCATTTACCCTCGTCTAAGACTCTCAAGGCTCACACCCAGACCAGGCAGACACGGAATAAAAGTAAATCGGTCAACAAAACAAGGCCATAGACAGACAGCTCTATAAACACAACAGGCAGGTATGTAAGGCATGTTATATGGGCTCCTGTAACTTCTCAACCACTGTACTGCTGCGTCACACGTGGAAATTATTAGGAGCCTCGCAAAAAAAAAAAAAAGCAGCAGAATTTGACCCCCTTTTCTTTTTAACGAAACCGAGGAACCACGTAACAGTGTCACAGATTTGAATGAATTCCTACTTTATCACTCAGATGTGTTAAGATGCATTAGGAATGATTAACCAAGGAGACTCACACTAAAAGATTGATACGATATGATACAAGCGCTAGTACCTTCGGCCACGTCCGTAAATGCACCTTCACGTCGTTTGCCCTCTTGTGATGTCTAAAGAACAACGAGGAATTCCATTATTTATCACATCACTAGTAACAAGATAATATTAAATGTTTCCTATGTTATTTAACTGCAGTTTAACTAACACTATGCGTTAAATCTGTGCTCCGTTCCATCTGCCATCATGTGGACAACGGTCTTGTTGGAGATCCACACCAACTTTGGAAGGCGGTGGGGGTTCATACGTACAATATCGGGAACTGGTACCGTCGAGTATGTCTTCGTGCATTTGGTCTGTGACGCCCCCAACCCAAACATCCCCGATGACGTCTGCAGTAAAGAAGGAATAAAAAATCTTGGGTTACATAGGCTTACAATTCTCTCAATTTAGGTATCACCCAACTTGACTGTAAGATCAATGTTAAACGTCTTCCTCTCTGATACATTCTTTTATCCTCAAGTTATACTGAGCAGTGTGTATTGATCTTAAGGGTGAGAACAAGGAATCATGTTTTTTTCTACACTGGATCTGGGAGTTTAGAACCAAGAGCAACACAACTGACTCTCCCTCACTTGCTGTTAATTATTCACTCTAGCTGCTTTATCAAGTGTGTTCTGTTATGATGTTCCTTCCCACACACACAAAATCTTACACTGGAAAATGGCAAAGATTGATTAATAAATAGAAATAGATTGGCATATAATGATTAATTGCTACATCTTGCTGAGCCACAACCCCAAGACTTACCTGCCAAAAAGAGAGTTTGTTTTCCCCCATAGAACAAGATGCCAAGTATTTGCCATCAGGAGAGAAGGACAAGGCCGTCACAGCTGTGGCGTGTGCAGGAATCATCTGCAAGAGAGAAATCATGTACACTTCACAAGAGAAAACTTCACTGAATTATATCACTGCTCTAAACTGTGACTCAACACCAATCACTGCATCCCCAATGGAGAGAAGGAGAACCAGCCACCAGGGAGCCAGCTAGGAAGTGTGTAGTCTAGGCTGGTGACAGAAGAGCTTTGATGCCTGAAACTCCACCAAGGTTAAGCTCAATGTTTGATGAGGTGGCACCCAAGACTCATTACTTCTTACTTTAAATTGTGAACTGCTGTCACCTTATCCAGGACCACTGTAACATTAAATCTGGTCCAACTGTGATTTAATATTAATTTTTCAGCCCAAACTATTACTCTGGGAGTGGTCAAAAATTATTCAAATTATACCATTAGCCTGACCATCTGTTTTCAACATTAGTATAAACTTTAGCATTAAGAAAGAGATCATTACTAACCTGACATTTATATGCTCTAAGTTCATACATTGCAATACTGCCATTTTTAGCCCCAGTGGCAATCCGTCTGGTGTGTGGACAGTGAGATACTTGGGGGAAACCACAAATGGATGGGAAGACCTCATTAAGCCCCCGACTCTTGAGATGTCCCGGGTCAACACAGTGCAACACAATGTCCATCACCTGCAAAATAAATACAGTGAAGAATAAAGAAATGCATGTTAACTGACAAGTGTCTTATTGTTGTCTTGCGTGCCTCCTCTTCCTGCTTATATGATCAACATGTAGTAAAAAAAAATAGGGAAGGGGGAGGCACATTTCCAGCAGACAATAATTCTAATACTCAAAAACTCCTTCATTCTCCACTATGTTACTAGAGATTATATCACCACCATCTAAGAGAGTAAAACTCTTAACTGATCCACACCAGTAGCAGCAGATATACAAGGGGTTAAGGTCACATCATCAGTGACTGTACAACACGCAGAAAATAGACAAGTAATGAGACACACCTCCACCATAAGGTCCATGATGTGGCATCTTTTATGTACAATGAGGTACTCCATCACTCGGAGAATCTCTGTCTTGGCGCGGTGAAGGACAGTGTTGTGGATGTTCAGTTGTAGGCTCTGAGCATTCTGCTGCAGGGCGTTAAAGCGGGCAACTTCACGGGCCATGGTCGTGATGAAGGCTGGGGGTCTGGCCTCGGCAATCAGCGTCAGTGCATTGGAAGCTGTGCGACAAGAGTCTGCCTCTGGTATGAGAGGTAACCCATATTTCATGCTGTGAGAAAAAAAATATTTAAATCATGAATCGATGCTACGCCAGTACCCACCACACCATTAAAAACAATCCACTTTTTTTCCAAAGCAATTTCCCACATAAATGCCAGAATTAGGAGTACAGGATATACAGTACAGTACACACTTCTGCACTGTTAACTGTACTTCAATCACTCTCATTATGATAAATGTGTTCTGCTGAGATATTTCCTTTCCATAACAAAGACCCCAAATACCCAACAGGTTTACCCTGCACTTCACACATCCCAGTATCACCCATCAGTAGCAAAGTCACTTGTCCATGTCCTGATGCTGAACTATTTTCTACCATAATAAAAACTAGTTGCATCATGTTTCCAGACATACTGTGAGAAATTAGAGAGTTTCTGTGTAGCTTTGTTTTATAAATTCTGTTACCAAATTCTATGTTGTTATCATCCAAGTATACTGTACAACTGAACTTATTTTTAAAGGTGAATCAAAATAACTGATGGAAATATGAAAAAAAAAAAACAATAATGGAATGATAATAACTGGTTCCTTCATTTCCATATACAAGTATACTCTATGTTGAACAAGAGGTGATGAACCTTAGAGTAACAGAGAACGTAAACACAACTAAGAATAAAGTATCAACACATGAATTAAAAAAGTAACAAGCTTCACCCACCTGGGAGCCAACCGGTCAGTATCAGCACAAAAGTCCAGCAGTGCCAACAACACCTGTGGTCAAGAAGTGAATAAAAACTCTCTTCTGATTGACCCAAATACAAGTACAGTATTCCCCATATAAGAAGGGCTTGTGTTTCTGGAAATCCATCTATTTAGTGACAAAATGTGTCGAAAGGTAGTGTTGTTGAGGGTTGTGTTCCAGGCTGTCAAGACATGTGATAAAGCTGGCCTTGGGGACCGCACATAATTTAACCATCACACAAGATATAAATTAAAGCTTGTACAGCACCAAAAGCCAATGTCTCCACCATACATCATATACATATAGTCACCTGAATCATATACAGTATAAATATCTCTATTATAAACAAATACATTTTATGTATCGTTCACCAGCACTCATTATCATATACTGTACACAACGTGCACCATACACCAAGTATCAGAAACCTACACAAACACCCCTATGCACTGTACATGTATTTTAGAAATTTTTATCACACTTACATTATACACTGTAAATGACTCACTAACCTTAGCCACATCCAGGTAGGGTTCCCAGACGGGGAATCCACGACCTATTAAATCAATGGCTGCTCGTCTCAATGGTGTGTGAGCCGGTAGCTTGGGGCCCGCTGGAGCTAAGACTAAGTAAGCAAGAGCTTTGCCTGGAAAACAGAAAACAAAAAATACATTGTAGAAGGATTCCTCCAGGGAAGAGTATGGAATCTGTATTGAGGTGTGGGCTTTAATGATCCCCATGTAGTGTATCCTATTATGGCTATTAACACTATGTTTTCCTTGAAACATTATCCTGCTTTTGTTTCTGTTTGTCCTATTACCTGTATCATAGATTTTGTTAGAGAACAAGAAAGTGGTGCTTCCCTTGTGGGAGTAAACGCAAGCTTAAGAGTTTAGTATCAACCATTAACTATGAAGAAACCTTTCTGACATTTTCCTGTGTTATTTATTGTCAGGGTAAAACAAATCACCATCACACACTTCCTCCTTACTTGTTTGCATTGCAAGATTGCCTAGGCCAAAACCTTCAGCCGAGTCCTGACCATGGTATGCCCCGATGACTCCCAATAAGATGATGGCTGTTGCTTGCTTCCTCCGGCCTTCTGACTGGGCCACCACTTCACGGCATGTCTCTCCTGCTGTGACAGGAATGTGGCATTTAATATTTGTACAAGACTGTATAAAGACAGTTCCTCTCAGTATGGTATGAATAAAATAAAAATTACATGAGGCATTTAGTATGATATGGTCAAACAAGCCAAATGAATGTTTTGAGTAATCGCTGTCATTCATTATCTGTGGAGTTACTATGACTATTCCACCCCTCATAACTGACGGTAATTTACACGTGAATAATGGTGAACTTCCACTCTAGACCTCCCCTCCATCACATAGAGAATGGATGGAGTTTTCTGGCACCATAGAAAACAGTTCCTCAAGAGAGGCCTCATGTTTCCATCACAACTAAAGTGTTCTACACTTACCGTCCATCTCCTCATCATAATGGTCCTCGTCAAGATGTGGATGTGGCTCCATCGTCCGTTCACTGGTGGTTCCTCCGCTACTGCTGTTCCCACTTGTGCCGTTCACTGTGGCATTTACCGACGGTGTCCCTGAAGTGGTCTGAAATGTGATGGTGAATGGCTTTACTGTGGAATTCAAATCACTACTTGATATCAAACAAGGATCAATAACAAGATAAGCCAACACTCCCTTTCCTTTCTTTTTATGTTATCATTTATTACTATGAATTTCTTAATCTTGCCGGATTAACAGAGTAATGAGAGACTGAGGCGGCAGCAGCATCAAAATATAATTCTTTCTCCTTCACCATGATGAAGCAAACTGACTCAATCATACAGAAATAATTGTCTATACCAGCACTAGAGGGATTGCCACTTAATTACCATAACTAATATTTGCCTGCCAAATAACCGAGCGTGAAATTTGAAGGCAAAAACCCAGTATGTACCAGCCACAGTGAAAGGGTTACAGTATACAGGATCTGGGATTTTTTTTACAAAGTCATTATCTACGTATTACTACAAGATAATGAACAGGATTGACAGGTGTATAATATCCTCAGAACATTAGAACCCGTCAGATTTTACCTTGGTAGCTGGGTGCTCAGGTCGTGGTGGATGTGGAGTCTCTTGGTTATTGTAGTTGGTGGGACCCGTGGGCAGAGGCTCCGTGTGTGTTGGCAAGTGCGGTGACCAGATTTCGATCAGTTTCTGCCGACCCTCAGGGCCCATCCGAGAGAGCTCTGTTTTTAATAAAGCCTGTGCTGCTTCCCTCACCTAAACGTAAATAAAGAAACTTAAGTTAAAGCCATGGACATAATTTATCTGTTTTGTCAATGGGTCCACCCTGATTTAAGCTGAACCCAGACTCAGACCCAACACAAAAACTTTTACGAAGGTACAGTGTCATTAATTCAACACGCTGAAAAACAGAACTCAATATACTGTATCTAACTTTATATGAACACCTTATAGAATGCAAAGTCTGATAATGACAAGCAACTGTACTGTATGAATAAACACAATATACCGTATAAGGCAAGTTACCTCCTGACAACGATCCTGCCATCTGCGAGCAAGAATTTCCACCATGGGAGGTTGGTACGTCGGGGCACCAGCAGCCACCACACAGTCAGGTAAGAGTACAGTGTGGAGAGCTGTGAGCGTTGACCAGCCTTGTTTTATCACAGACTGCTGCCGGGAGAACTCATCTTCGTGGTTGGTCACCGACTGGTTGGCTCTGGAGCTTTGGCTGTACAGAATAATACTTATAACCTTCACCTGTTTCTCAAATTATTATTAAGAAATACAGCAAACATAGATCCACCTCACTGAATTACAGGAACTCAAAGGAATGACTATTTTCTGAATACTGTACTGTACATACTTCAATAATAGTTCTCTACAAACATGTATACACAGCCTATAAGTTTTAGAGACTGGAACACTAAATGACTACAGTACTATCTCCAACATTAAACACACATCTAAATACAGTAGTTAAATCCACCTTCCTTACTCCTACACTTCAGCACCCCAACTGCACATCTATGCCACTGCTTTTATACCTTCACTCTTCTCTACTAATGCCCAAGGATCATCTTAAGGTTTGGATTTCTTTATAATTTTGAAACATATATTTCATTCAGTGTGTCAAACAAGTAGTTACAACTCACTTACATGTGGTTCTTGCGGCGGCGCTCCTGTTCAGGGATGAGTGTGGCAGCATTCATGTCTTGAAGGGTGTTGGCCACTGAGACCAGGGCTAACAGGTGGTGGGTGGTGAGTGCTGGTGACACCTCCCAGTGGCCACGCCCAGTGAATACCTAGAAAACCACATTTTTATTAGTACTCCATAAACATTACCCAACTTCCAGTATAATATTATGCTTCACAGTATTTAACTCTGAGAATATTAAAATTTATTAAAGAAAATTATTTGTGTATTTACAGAAAGGGCTGTCAATACTAATTTGCAAAACATCTATCCAGAAAATTTACAAACATTATACAGTTTTGCATAGAATGTTTCATGAAAGATTTTGTGCCTAGAGATTATGCAACAAAACGGAATGGTACTTATATTCTACAGTGTAACCATAACTCAAAAGTATAAATAAATGGATTTCAACATTCAAAACACTACTGACTATCACTGCATGAGCCCACTAAGGCACTGGTATCACTGGAACAGAAAATAAAAGTATCTGACAACATCTTGGCTCGGTTTAAGACAATCAATACTTAATCCATAGCACGCAGGTCGCAGGTCCCATACATGGAAAAAAAACAAGAGTAAACACCTTGGAAGCGCAGTACCTGTGTCCTGTGTTCCAGTTTGACCATCTCGGGTGGCAGTTCAGCAGCCAAGTCGGGTGGTAAATTGATTTGGGGCATCTCTGCCTCTCGTACTGGGTGCCAAGTGGGCATAAACAGTGACATATAGCCTGAAAGTCATACAATAAAACAATGAATCATAATTATGCAACAAAAAAATATTTCATATGCTATTGTCCACACTGATGTATAACGTTTATATGTAACATCATAACTGACTGACCAATCCCTAAATCAATACTAATCAATGGACATCAAACTAAGTTCCTATTGGCAGCATAAACACACAAGAGAAAACCCAGGGGATACTACTATAATGCTCCCAGACACAGTGGATAATAACCATAGGCTTAGAAGATGGTGGTGACTGCATCTACAGGGTTATATGAATTCACTTTATTAAAGGTTAGTCTAATATCATGGTTCCTTACAATATAAACCATGTGAAAATTATTTTATCTTTTCCATTAATCCGTAAAAAATTATTCTGGAAGGAAGATTATTTGTTTACACCAAAAAATAGTATCCAAACATTCTTGACATTGTAAAATAACAGGTTAAATTCGTTTCATCAGTAAGAATGAATAAATGACAATGTTTGAAGGGAAAAATGTGTGTGTATTTATTCTTGAATCTTGTAAAAGGCTTGAAAAACTGAGAGAAAAAGAAAAAACACATTTAGTATCCAATGGTCCCTATGTCAGTGAAGAGTTTAAATGGTACAAACTGACCAGACAAGAGAGGGTTGAAGTATCATGGACAACAATTCAATATTCATTATCTTTGTCTATGTTTGTAAGGCAAGAGAGCTCACTATACATTATGTGATACTATCTGTACAACATCACAATTACAATTAATTTTTATGATTCAAAATCCTTAACAAAATCTTTTAGAGTTTCAATATATCGAAGAATTATGCATTAATTAACAAGATTACTATTAATTATTCATTATTTTTCCATAACTTTATACCGAAAAAAATTTACTTTATACATCACTACTGAAATTTGTTGAGCGTCAGATCCAGACAACTCACCTGACTTGGATATAAGGCCATAGGAAACTGGAACTCTGGGTTTGAGAAGACCGAGGATGTTCTCACACGTCTGGTCTAGCGAACCGTCCAGACCCCACGAGTGTAACAGTGACATAAGCATCTGACCAATCTGCAAGGTCTGTGCCGTCACGTCCAAGTGTCGGGGGATCTGTACCCGGCCGCTTCCACTCCCATCTGTGAACAAAGGAGCATTATGTCACTAAAATAACTGATACATACACTTATAAACTCTCTATCAAGGTAAATATAAAGACAATTAAAGTTTTAACATTTCATGGAGGAAGAAAGTGAAGTGGTGAAAGTAAGTAGAAAGTACTCCTCTACTCCTCAGTAACACTGGGTAATGTTACTGGTGTTGTAGATGAGGTGGTGTTACTGGTGTTGTAGATGAGGTGGTGTTACTGGTGTTGTAGATGAGGTGGTGTTACTGGTGTTGTAGATGAGGTGGTGTTACTGGTGTTGTAGATGAGGTGGTGTTACTGGTGTTGTAGATGAGGTGGTGTTGGTGTTGTACTGGTGTTGTAGATGAGGTGGTGTTACTGGTGTTGTAGATGAGGTGGTGTTGTAGATGAGGTGGTGTTACTGGTAGATGAGGTGGTGTTACTGGTGTTGTAGATGAGGTGGTGTTACTGGTGTTGTAGATGAGGTGGTGTTACTGATGTGTTACTGGTGTTGTCTGGTGGTTGTACTGGTGTTGTAGATGAGGTGGTGTTACTGGTGTTGTAGATGAGGTACTGGTGTTGTAGATGAGGTGGTGTTACTGGTGTTGTAGATGAGGTGGTGGTGTTGTACTGGTGTTGTAGATGAGGTGGTGTTACTGGTGTTGTAGATGAGGTGGTGTTACTGGTGTTGTAGATGAGGTGGTGTTACTGGTGTTGTAGATGAGGTGGTGTTACTGGTGTTGTAGATGAGGTGGTGTTACTGGTGTTGTAGATGAGGTGGTGTTACTGGTGTTGTAGATGAGGTGGTGTTACTGGTGTTGTAGATGAGGTGGTGTTACTGGTGTTGTAGATGAGGTGGTGTTACTGGTGTTGTAGATGAGGTGGTGTTACTGGTGTTGTAGATGAGGTTGTGTTACTGGTGTTGTAGAAGGTACATCTACCATCTACAACACCAGTACAGTAGACAGTACCATTTAACACTAGTAATAGAGTAAGTCAGTAGGCTGCCTGGATTGGTGAAACAAGGCCATGGTTATGTAAGGAGGGAGTGAGTAGCCACGCCTTTCACTACCATACCTGTCACATGCTGTACTACACTGACCACCTCTGCTATCATCATCATCATCATCATCATCATCATCATCATCATCATCATCATCATCATCACCATCATCATCATCATCATCATCACCACCACCAAAACACTCATCACCTGACTCATTAAGGTCATAACAAGGTCGATTTATATATTGACCAAATGAATTATATTGTCATTCAAATGTGGCAGAGAGAGAGGGGGGAGGGGGGGAATGTGACAGTGATATTGGCCAAGGTGTGATGACCCTCACAACCCACACTAGGCCACGTGAGGCACCAGTAAGGCCATTTCTTCACTCTTCCTACACTACCACACCTCTTTTTTTTTCTCCCAGGATAGTGACAGCAATCAGTGGTAAACCTAAACCTAGGATGAACTAAGTCATCATTTACCTGTAACTCACAAATATTACTCATAACATGGAATTTTGGTTTAGTAATCTTTTATAACAATTACTAGTGTCCTTTACCAGGTAATGTGAATAAATCTAAAGTGTCCATCTTGCTCTGCCCTCTGCCCTGCCCTGCTCAGCATACATATGATGTTATCTTGTCTATTGGTCCACTGAGTTGGGTGTGACCTCCACTATATTCCTTCCCATCTCTCCTTGCCCTCCTCTCTCTTCTCTCTCTCTCTAGCAGTATCATACACCAGCCTTGAGGTAACCCACACACACATAAAGACAGACAGACACACACACACGGCCACACCTCCACTGTGAACACAACAGCTAACTAAAAAAAAAACAATTACTGACCTCACACTCCTCCCCAGTCTCGCTAAGCAACAAGACTGTGACAATGTGACACTGAACTGACTCATGTTTCACTATGTAATAATCTACACTAAGGTGACTGACCAGTTGGTGTTCCTCTCCTTGAGTACGATAACATAATCCCTTGAGTACGTTTAGTTAACCCCTTGAGTATAAGTTAATTAACCCTTTGAACTTATTTTACTCAAGTGGGTTAACTTATCCTACTCATGGGGTTTATTTATTGTACTCAAGGGGTTAATAATGTCTTAATTTCATCATAGTGTGTGTGTGTGTGTGTGTGTGTGTGTGTGTGTGTGTGTGTGGTAAATATTGAGGCAGATGATACACCCATCTACCAAATCAGCCACACCCAATGAAGACTGGCACCAACATTCCTCCCTCCTCCCCCCCCCTCTTTCTCTCTCCTCCAGTGACCAAAGATCCTCCCTATCCTCTCCTCCTGCCTCTGGCGATGAATTCCCCCTCTTCCTCACGACATAACTACCTCACCGCACTTATTATTTACCTGCTGGCCTCACGCCACGCACCATCACCCACACTCAACCTAACACCACCTGACATATCATTTTCGATACATTAAAAGTACAGTAGCCACTATGAGTCAGGGTGTCTGTCAGCTACTTCTGACACTATGATTCTTAACAAGTCAACTATCATCAGCCATGGAAGACACCCAACACAACGGTACCCAAACTATCAATTAAGCAACCACCCCCCTTCCCCCAACACCAACCTGTTCCTACTATTACTATAACTTACTTGAACTTGAACTGTGAGACTCAACTTTCAAGGTTAACTTCTACAGGTGAGAGGCACATTCAACAAAAACTAGGAGGAGAGGTCGATGAAGCATTACAACATGTGTCGGTGAGGCAAAAACTCGCATTATGGACGGCGGAGTCACCATAACAAAGAGCTGGGTGCTGAGAGTATCTTCAGTTCAAACGCCTCTGCACTCGCTATAAATGCGCTCTCAAGTACACTATGACCATTAACTGACCATTATAACTTCTACCATTAACTGTACATTATAAGCACATCCATTCATAAGAGTCACCTGCATCTCCCACACACCACCAAACAACGTAGTTCAGCATGTGGTTCAGTATTATAACATCATTAAGACATCGTGGCTAAAGCAAGTGTAAACAAGGAGACTCCCGGTCTGAAGGAAGCGTGGCGTCCTTGTCATTATCCGGGTTACATTCTACACACACTTCATGGAGTCATCTGTGCTACACCTTTAATACAACTTGTAAAATAAATGTATTACTTACACAGTCCCCCCACGAAAGACTAATTAGAAAGGTAGAAGCACATGGCATCAAAGGTAATATCCTTAAATGGATTAGGGCGTGGTTACAGGATAGGAAACAGCAAGTGAGCATTAATGGCACTAAATACCATTGGAGCAATGTCACTAGTGGAGTTCCCCAAGGCTCAGTACTTGGACCATTATTATTTATTATATACATAAACAACATAGATATCGGCATAGACAGCAACATAAGTAAATTTACTGATGACACTAAAATAGGACGTGTTATTAAATCTGACGAGGACTCCGCAAAACTACAGGAAGATCTAAACAAATTTTTCGAATGGTCTGAAAAATGGCAGATGAAATTCAACGTGGACAAATGTAAAGTACTCAGTATAGGAGATGTAAACAGGGAAACCAGTTACCAGATGAACAACGATGCCATTGAGAAATCCGACTGTGAGTAATGATAAGTAGGAACCTTAAGCCAAGTAAACAATGTGTTTTTGCTCGTAACAAGGCTAATAAAGTACTTGGGTTCATACAAAGGAGTGTTAGTTACAAGACTAGCGAGGTCATCCTAAAACTGTATCTTGCGCTTGTGAGACCACACTTGGATTACGCAGTTCAGTTCTGGTCACTGTATTACAGAATGGATATAGAATCCTTGGAAAGAATTCAGAGGAGGATAACAAGATTAATCCTGGGCCTTAGGAACCTTGAGTATAGAGACAGGTTAAAGCATCTTAATTTGCACTCCCTCGAGAGACGTAGAGCGAGGGGCGACCTGATAGAGGTGTATAAATGGAAGTCAGGGCAATGCAAAGGGGACATTACAAAGGTACTCAAACTATCCAACCAGGAGCGAACTCAAAACGATGGTTTTAAATTAGACAAATTTAGATTTAGGCGCAAAATAGGTAAACACTGGTTTGGAAACAGAGTAGTGGATGAATGGAACAAGTTACCAAATATCATCATTAACTCAAATATGCTGGATAGCTTCAAACATAGGTTGGATGCTTATATGAGCAATAGGGGTTGGGTGTAAATGGGACTGCCCAGTATGGACCAATAGGCCCGCTGCAGTTTCCACCATTCTTATGTTCTTACATATTGACTCTAACCTCACATGGGGACAACTTTATTATTGTCTGTGGCTGGTTACAGAGATATACTTTTTACTACAAACGAAAGCAACTCAAACTTTGTGTAAATTAGTTGGCCCAATACCCTAATGTTTATGTATGTAAATAAAGACAGTACTTGACCCACCAGGAGCAGCCAGTGTGAGTGTGTGTGTGTGTGTGTGTGTGTGTAGACATCCAAACTCATCCTAGTGTTTGTTTACATATGACTAAGAATGCAGTGAGAGGGTTCACCCCAGTCCATGATTTTTGCCTGTAAAACTTGTCTATCCTGCCTGGCCCCTTCCCCTCTCCACCCATCTTATTACTACCTTACAAGACAACACTTCCCTTTCACTAGTGTGCCGTTGACCAATGAGTGGGCTTATTAGTTGTCTGTATGTAAACAAAACACACTCACACACACACACACACACACAGTTGAAAATGAATTATAAACAAGTTAGAGCTAAAATGCAGCAAAAAAAAGAAAGGACAAAAATAGGAAGATAAAATAACAGTAATGAAAGAGAGAGAAAAAAAATGAGAGAGAGTAGAGGAAGAAGAGCGAGAGAGGGAGTGAAGAGGTTTGTGTGGACTCCTCAGCCTCGGGCAAGGTAACACCCACGGTCATCTCCCTCCTGCTCCCCCACCAAGGTCACCACCACGCCCATACATACCTGCCTGCCACCCACCATCCCTGCCACCCACCACGCCTCCTATCACACCAACAACATACTGGGTTTTATACTTTCACTCACAACATACCTCATAAGACACAACATACCTCATAAGACACTCACAAGACATTTTTTTATACATTTCTATACAAAATAATATCACTAAGGAACATTTTAAACCACACAAGAGCCAATAAGGAACACTTAATCACTCAGTTTACCTCAGTATCCCCTTACACCTTTTTCTTCTACCTTCCCTTTTTTTAATAGGTAAACAACAGTAAGCATAAGCCCTACTGAACACGGGATAGACGGTTGTGGTAACTGTAAGGACCTGGGCGTGGTCAGGTTCTGGGATTAGGGGCGGAGCTTGACGCGAGTACTCGGTATAAATACGGTGAGAAAGTCGGGACAGGCACACACCTTACCCTCCTCCACCCCTTCCTCAGCAAATTGGCGCCATGAACGCACTAGTATGTATTATTATTATTATTATTATTTAAGTGTCCATTAGTTTTAAAGTTAGTTCCAGTTCTTGTTTAGATAATTTCTGTTAATATCCGGTTATATGCAAGTCAAGCTTCCTAAACTAGCTTCTGTGTAGATGAAGCCTCCTAATCTACCTTGTGTATGCCTATTATGTGGTGTAAGTGAGGCAGCTGATCCGGTTTGGTGACTAAGAATATCCTTTTAGATTACAGGCTCCAATGTTGTTTATCATGCGCCGGTAATAAGATAATTCCTTTTTTTATGTTCCATAAAAAAAGTTGGAAGACCGGTATTTACTGCATTTCACTCTTATGAAACATTAAAAAAATACTCATGGTAAAATTAAATGTACGGAAATTTATCAATGACATTATATCTGTTACCTAAATATCCAATCGTATAATTATTGATACTATAATGTGTACTTTTGTAGCACCAACAACCACCATATAACACTTGGTAAAAATCTTGGACTCCTACAGGTAAAGGTGACACGACTCGAAATGGTTGATACAGTGAAGGAAAAACTGAGGAGTGTGTTAATTGTACTTGTAGAATGAGTGTGTTGTGTTTTGTAGTGTGTGTGTTTTAAGTTGTGTGTGGTGTAAGTTGTGTGTGTTGTAGGGTGAGTACTATATTGTAGGTCATGATATACAGTACTGTAGATGTAGGTCGAGTATTGTAGATGTACAGTGGTGTACATAAAGTTTGTCTGTGTTGCAGGTGGTGATATCAGCGTGCATCTGTGCAGCAGCAGGCCGGCCCCAGTACTACCCGTACACTGCCGGCTACATTGCCGATCCTTATGCCGCCGTTGCACCCTATGTAGCGTCGCCCATACAGTACACCTTGGACTACAACGTGGTACCAGACGCTGCCCAAGTGCCAGAAGCCTATGCTGGTCAGTATGTAGTCGCACCTCCTGCAATCCCCACCGAATACAAGAGCCAGCACCACTCCCAGGATGAGTTCGGACAGTACGCCTTCGGTCACGTCTCCCACGACCAGGCACACAGCGCAGTCAGGGACTACACTGGTGCCGTCCGTGGCTCCTACACTTACATCGACACTAACGGTGAAGAAGTGGTGGCACACTACACTGCTGACCAGAACGGCTTCCGCGTGTCTTCCAATGCCCTGCCTGTTGCCCCAGTCTTTGATGGAGAAGCACCAGTGGCTCTTCAGTTTGAACTAGAAGCACCAGTGTTCAACCTGGAGCAAGTTGCAGAGACACCAGAGGTGATGGAAGCACGTGCCGAACACTTCCGCCTGGTGGAAGAGCACAAGGCTGCTGTGGCTGCTGCTCTCGCTGCTGCCACTGCTGAGGAAGCCACTGAGGCTCCTGAAGAAGAGACAGCAGAGGCAGCTGTGGAGGAGGAGACAGCTGAGGCACCAGTGGAGGAGGAGACAGCTGAGGCACCAGTGGAGGAGGAGACAGCTGAGGCACCAGTGGAGGAGGAGACAGCTGAGGCACCAGTGGAGGAGGAGACAGCTGAGGCATCAGTGGAGGAAGAGACAGCTGAGGCAGAAGCTCCAGAGGAAACTACTGAGACACCTGTGGAGGAGGAGGTGGCAGCAGCTGAGAGCCGTCGCAAGCGTCAAGTTCTAATAGGTAACCACTTTGTGTTCCCTGAGTTCTACAAGTCCCTGCCAATTGAACCAGTCGTTGTTGAGCCCAAGACAGTAGTGGAAGGGGCCGTGGGTACTGCTGCTCTCCGTGATGCCGAACTTCTGCGCATCATCAACACCCCCAACCATGCCGTTTCCTACCGTGTATTGTAAGGCAAAACCCTCACCATTGCCCACTGACTAAGACGTTCTTTCTCCAGCCTGCCCGTGCCCACAACTCTATCCTCTGTTAACCTAGAGAGGGTAGAGGAGGTGCACCAAGCCACACATTTCTAAGTATACTGTATCTCTAATATTAAATTTTCAAGTTCCACCACATCTTGCATTACATAAAGGACACAAACCAAACAATACAAGATGACTCAAACAAAAAACAAGATTCAATGTACACTTAAAAATCCCCAAAATAAATCAGGAATACAAGCCTTCAAGAGAGCTTCAAATTATAATATTGGGTACTATATGAGTCACCTTTTTGTGAACATAATGCACAGCCAGGAACCATGTTGCTCATATTTCTGTACATGTACATATATTTTGTAAAATTCAGGTGACAACATAAAGTGATGAATTCATGAATTATCTACTTAACCCCAACAAACTTATACAGCGGTAATTCGCTCATCTCTCACCAATATATCAAGGGTTTGAGTCCTGCTCGGCCCAGACACACGTGAGAAGGGTGTTATCAAGTGTGACCTTCACTACCAAACACCACAGGTTTCCCAGTCTCCAGTTTCCTCCTGTACTAACACTGGATAGACCAACTGCTCAAACGGCTAGTAAGCTGATATGTGGTTCAAAAATAAATAAATAAATTAAATAAAAAAAACAAAAGAAAAAACATCCATTTCAACATGTCTATATTCAGGGGCACCGGTTATTTTCAAGATGACATCACTGAGGAACTCATCCCATGGATCAGTGTAAGAAGAAATGACAAAATGTGAAGAAAATTTTTTCAAAATTTACTCCCTTTTCCACAGCCCTTCCTGATCAATACTGCTCATGAGGTTAACAATAAAGTTTCTGTTTATTTCTCACTGCTACTTGTAAGTCCTTCAACTCTATCTACAGTACTGTACCACTCACTCACTCACTCCTAACTGAGCTATTTTCCACTTATTTATCATCACTAAAACCCCTTAAAATAAAACAATTAAACTTCCTGCAAGTGTCCCACTGCCAGATGGGTTTTGTTTATAAAAGTTTATGCCAACCTGTTCCAAAGATGTTATTTCAGATCAGGTAGTTTACATTTATATTCTCACAAAAATCACACAAAGTACTGTATTTGCTGTACTTAAGAAAAAATAACAAATCACTGAAGCACAACGCTGTAGAGAATGAAAACTTGGACCAATACCAGGTTATGAATAACTACTAAATACAGATTTCATTTACATGGGTTAATTCTGTAATGTGAAAGAAAACAGGGATGAATGTGCTAAAATCTCACATAAAATGGGCAGTAGTTCTCTGAAAGAATAGTAATAACCGTCCGCAAACCTTTAGAGAGTAGGGCTATGGTCGCCAACCCCCATATATCAGGATGGTACTCTGATCCTGTGAAGAATGTGGATATACATGCAAAAATTAAGCATGCCACTAGAGAACACCGTAACAGCTACAGTATTACCAAATTACTACATACAGTAATTTTACATAACCACTACAGTATGTTTTTTTTTACTTCTCAGGGAACTGCCTCGGTGTTACTACATCATGATCACAGTGGTTCATGATACTTTCTAACATGGTAGACCAGATGGCATGATGAGTTCAAATAAAAACCAATTCAAATGTCACGGGTAAAAGAAATGTATAAAAACGTGCATAGACTTCCAGGCCCACTGTCCTATGTACCTCCCAAAGTCCAATAAAATATTTAGTAGGAAAAATAAGATGTATTGGGTAGAGGTTCATGAACGAGAGGTGTAAAACGGACAAGAGCCAGATAGTTCTCATACAACTTAATGCATTCTAGAAACAAAAATATACATGACATGAATAGATATGTATAGAAAAAGAGGTAAGACACTCATGTTAAAAATGACTGTTGTTCATTTCTAGACACACAATTGATACATGAGCTTGAGGAACTACAGCTGTACAGTTTGTTACACTAGTGGAAATATCACAAACAGGAAGACGCTTAAGACATTAAAGACACTGAAAATACAGAATATAAAGACTACATCAAGAACAAATTTCACACACACACACACACCTAATATGTACAGCACTACCATGCAGGATTAATGACAGAACATGATGCATAACACTGACATGATTTACAACATTTAAAATAATTATACACTGACAAGATTATGTACACTGATGCTCTTATTCAGGAGACAAACCAAGAGACAATAGCACAGTTGGACGATCAGGAGAACCACTTTCAAAGGTTGTCTCATCTCCCACTTAAAACACCCACAGCACAAAGGTTCAATCCCTGGTGCTGAAGAGAGCTCTCTTACATAATGTGTCTTGAGTTATGAGGAAAGTTAGTCACGGTGGTGGATAGGAAGAAAACCTGATAATTAACACCACACAGGTACAATCCAAGACACTGTGGAGAACTTTGTTATTTTCTAAAGCAGTGTATCATAGAGGTAAGATTACATAGTCCCTATCAACCCCTAAGACAACAGTTATCAAGACCAGTGATGAATTAGTTTTATTTCCAAGAGTTGATCTCCAGAATAAGAGCAGAAGTTACTGCAAATAGTGATTGACCTTGTACAGTAGTGTGGGATATATGGACCAATTATAATGTTAGAAATATGGACCAACTATAGTGTGTGATATATGATTGGTCGACAGCTATGCCAACATGCTCTGTCATCAGCATAAGGATAACACTCACCCTTAGCCGAGCTGAGTGTGGTGGGACGGAATCCTGACTGTTCCACTTTGTTCTGTATGAGGTTCTGGACACTCTCTGCCGATTCCTTGACCCGTGACAGCAACCCTGCAGCACCACCGCCACCACCACCACCGCAACAATAACCAAACCCAAATTAGTTAGCAGACGAAATAGCTAAGCCCACATGCTATGGCGCAGCATCCATTGTCAACCAGTTTTTAAAGACAATCTATAATCAAGCATTTCTTAAACTTACATTATTTACATTCTATTTCCATACTTATTAACACTACCTCATTACTGTACTTAGGAAATAAAAAATAATAATTGTTGTTTATTGAGATATTCATTAATTTTAGAAGTGAACCAAGATTTAGAAGACCTAATTTTAGGCTACATCATGCTAGTAGAGAACTAACTGGTTGCTAGGGTGCGCCCCACAGCCAGTGTTGACACAGTAGGACAAGTTAAGTCTTGAGGGACATCAATGCTTCACACCTGGACTGTGTCTCAGAAAATGGCTCCACAAATATTAGGTCAGCTTGGTCTTCATTATCACTCTTACTCCAACTGCTTTACACCCTACCACATATTACAGTATATCATCTTCTCTACTGAATTATATTTCCTCTACAATCCAACAAAATCCTGTTACAAAGCGGCAGGTAAAGCAAATGCAAGCAGTGTTTACAAGTCGTTACTACTGTATTAAGTATCAGTCAACAACACTCATAATATATACTGTACAGCATTACATTTCTATGACTAAATCTTCCAGTAATTCTCAACCCCAGGAATACAGGGTATTACACTTTATGCTTTAAACAAAACAGTAAAAATGAGTTACTGTATCAACATATAGCTTTCCACCTGTGGTATATTCATTGAGCCATTTCTCACACGTATAACTGAGTAGCCTAGAAAATAAAATGTACAACTGTGCAGACCAGAAATTGCACTACCTGACAGAAATCAACTAATGAAATGATGGAGTTAAGAGCATCATAAATGAGGCAAGAGTTGCCCTGGAAGAGGAGAGATGGAGAGTGCGATGTAGCAGCAGACACAGTGCAAGGATCACAAGGCTTACCATGCATACACCAATACCTGCATCACCCCCACTGTGTCACCCTCTTATCCACGTTTTGGTTATACATGACGTGTAGCGCGTCAAACATTATTTATAATTTAGTCAGTATCATAAGTCACTTTCCCCTTTTGAAATATTACTACATTTTTTTCCTACCTACATGAATGACATTTCCTCACCAGTAAATTCTAGACATCTGTAGAGATTATATACCTAGGGATTACAATGATGTGGTATCTGGCAAATGCACAGTCACCCACAAAACTCCTGCCACACATGACCTTCAACACTGACCAACAGTTTCTCATAAGCAGAATACATTTTAAGTCAGATTAAACTCACCAGTATTACAATTACTTTACAAACGTGATTACTATTAAAGTTCCCTTTCAAAAATGGTTAAATACATGTTAAGGAAGGTACAGTACCTTCTTATTTATATTGGTAGTCTATAGGAAAATCTGGTTTGATTTATAGATGATTCCATAAATCAAGATCTACCCAGTTTCTTTGCTCAACTGAATGTGATATTAAGGGAAGACTCGACAGCACACTACAACACTACCCATCCCTTCTGGCTTTTCTCTTCCATACACAATTTCCTGCCAGGATTTCTAAAGTCTCAGACATTTATGAGCATTTTGAGACAAGTGTAATAAAAAGTTTTCATATATACAATAAAACATTATTAATTTAGCTTCAATCCTTACATGATTCTACCGAGTGACATACACTTTTGCTAGAGCAGTTATAATGGTGCTTACCGCAAGACAAACCAACGTGTGAGTTTTACCACCCAGACGAATTCATAATGGCTTCTAATAAGAGACTGACATGTATATACACACACAGATACTGACAGTTTGAAATACCTGTATATAGTGTTGTAAAATCTGTTGAAATACCTGGGCAATAAAGGTAAGTACAGTACAATGAGTCTAACTGGTGATAATTAAAGGATACCATCTTGTAAATACTGTATTGAATCTAGGTATAAAAATCGTCACTGCAGACATCATAAAACCTCCATTGATGTTGACTGCTATCACTCCTTTCCACCTTAACTCCACCTTAAAGCCCAAGTATGAGGACATAACAACTATACTGTAATGATCCGGTCTCTGGGCGTGTTTCTGTTGCTTTAAAAATGATGTTAAATGTCAAGATAATAAGTTAATCTCTGAATGGGTTCCTTGTCTACAAACCCAGATTCTATTATATAATCATCAAGGGAAACTTTAACACTGTGGAAAGATAAATGTTTATTGGGGGATCATGGTGAGGAAAGTGTGGCTATGTTAACTATATACTTATACTCAATATATATACAAACTGGTGTGGACGATCTCATCTTTGTCTTTATTACTCATATATATATACAGGGGTATACTGTAACATACTGCAAAATAAATGGTTATAAAGTAATTCAAGATAAAATACACTACAGGTATATCATTATTGATGTTATGTTATACACAGCATGTTGGAAATGAATCTGGAAACTTAAAAAAAAAATATATATATATATTCAAATTCTTTCAGCCTGTAGGAACATGCAAAACAGACTGTGACAAAGATATTTTCCCCATGCAAAACTACACTGTACTTTGGAGGAGCGAGGAATGTGTGCAAGAAGGTAAACAAACATAATGTAAAACTATACTTGTGATGTGCTGACTTTCTGAGGGTCACATTTATGAGGTACACTCGCTCCAAAATGTATCATTATGATTTTGTGAGAAACAATATTACACAGCGGACAAAGGATTTTGACAACCCTACCGAGACAACAGGAGTCTCGGTGTTCATCTTGGAATTTATTGGACACCTCAGTTAAGATATTTTCTGGAGTGTGTATACAACAGGATCAAGATGTATAATCCCAGAAAATTTTAATACAGTACAATACCCTGATGTCTTTCACTTCTGACACAAAGAGCATTTCTCTGAGAATATTATGTGGCTCTAGCAATGTATTAATGGAAAACTGACATATATTGGCTGCAGCAAATACAATCGTGATGCCGTTACTGGAGAACAGTGGTCCGCAACTCAAGAACATCTACAAATACTGGTAACTAACCATTTACTGGAAGGCTCGAGGGCTGCACAAAGATGGTTCAGGGGTTGAGGGACCACTGCTCCAGAACACAACCCTCTACTACTCTATCATGCATGTTGCACAATGCTACTAGGACCTACAGTATTTCATCTAGGTAGGTATATAAAACTTTCTTGAAACATGAGCTTTTGCTGCAGTGTCACATCAGCCAACAACATTAATGACAGCACTGCACTAAGTGGTACATATACAATACATCTGCACTAATGTAAACAACTCGGTGTTATAGACGCCACATTGTCGGAATCAGTGCATATAATGTAAACAACTCGGTGTAGAGGACGCACCATTCTCGGCCAGTTTGTATGTACAGTTTATAGCACGACTGGAACTGCTTCAAGAATATGAAATACTCTTACTGTATTCAAGATTCCTTTCTAAAACAGCAAAATAAAAAGAAATTCCTCCAAGAAAACTGATCTAAAAATGTGTCAGTGTCTAAAATATTGAAAATGGGAGGTAAAGGAGAGAAGCCACAGCTCAATACTTCCCTGCTTTTACGTTCCTTTATAGTGTATATTAAGGATAACTTTGTCTGTGTGTATGACTTTGTTGTAGGGTGTGAAGTGTAGGGAAGAAACCTGGGTTGACAAGGATCTACCCATGATTTCAATGCATCAAAACAAGTGAGTCAAAAGTTTTATGATTTCAGTTTCAGAAGAAAATAGGACAGTGTTAATAACCAGAATTTCTTGATGTATAGGTTTTTGGTCCCAATGTTGATAATAATTGTCGATTAAATTCATGACGTATCAGTTTGTATACGCCAAGATTTACAGTTCAAGTGATGTAATGTATATGTACAGTCGCAGTCAAAAGTTCGCTCCGTGATGGAACCGAGGCACGGGAATGAGTCTCCGAACTTGCTAACCCTGACGGTCACCTTGTGCGTGTGCACTGTTTTATTTTGGTGGTCGGCACTGCTTCAGTTCGGTAGGGAGTGAACTTTTGACCCCAGGTGTACACGGACGTACAGTACAGTATATGCACTAATGTATGCATCTAGGTATGTTGGTGCACATGCAGAAGTAAGGGCAGCAAAATGCTTATGTTCCCGGCCTACCCTGTTGGTCTCGCTCCCTGATCTTCTTCTCCATATTGGTGGCCTTGTCCTTAGCTCGACCCAGTATATCTAATCGCCACGAGAAGACAGTGGGTTGGGGAAAGGGAGGGAGGGAGGGAGGGAGTGCTCAGCTCATTGCTCTCTTGGCCTTACTATATTAACACTCAACACCTTACACTGTATCAACAAATAAACTTGCATACACACACACACATGCATGCATATATGTACTCACACATACACACACACACTTATATTAACATTAAATCTTAACATAAATATATATACAGTATCTATATCTGTGTGTGTGTGTGTGTGCGTGTGTGTACCCTGGGTTAGTGATGTACCCTAGAGGAACACCCAACCACATACTCTAAACACGGAGGTTAAGAGTGGACGGGTCACCAGCATTAACTGATCTTTCTCAAGAGTCCTGCCCATCCAACCTCACCTCAGTGTAGCAGGCACACACTTTAAACACATAGTACAGTGAATACACCACCACACACACACACACACTTAAGAGACTACTACACACACATGGGTTGAATAGATAGTCATTTTTGAGTATCTGACAGAACAATTCATTCTCTAACCCTGACTTTTAACCTTCTATTCCTCACATAACCCACCACAATTCTACACACATACACACATGGTAACTTATACAAAAACCGGAATAGTAAGTTGTGTTCAAGGATCATATTGCCAAGAGGGACACAAGTTACTACAACTCTCACAGATCTTTCTAAATACTATGTTCAACCTCACTAAAATGTATACAACACGTTAGTAAGTGTATAATAAGTATATTGTATTGTATATTGCATAATACTCACTACAAGAGGTTGATAACACATAAGACTTCACTTGTATCTACAATCTCATAAGTTTAGAAGCAAATACAGCTCTACTTGTCTACAATACTTGCCTCAACCAATAGACTGGGGATCAGTGGGGGTAACTCTATGGGGTAAGGGATCATCTACACAGTTAATGGTCCTAAACCATTATAATCTATACCAGGTATATATATTAAAAAACTACCCACTTTGACATATATAGAACATCTCAGCTACTGTCCATATCAAGCAGTCAAAATTCTCTCAGATGATGTATTTTGGCTGCTTCTAGAGTTCCCATATGTTTTGTGTTTTCTCTCTGTATCATGATCAAGAATGTGTAACTGGACTCAATAACATAATGGATTTATCAACAGGTGTTTTGCTTACATCTACAGGACAGATAATTTTACTTTGTGAGTGAGGTGTACCAATGGTTCAACCCCTTTGAGTTCTGAAGGATTAAATCATTATCATCAAAGGGTTAAATCATCGTCTTCAAAGGGTTAAATCATCATCTTCAAAGGGTTAACTCAACGTCATCAATGGGGTTAAAACAAAAATACTCTGAAAAAATGATTACTTATTTTTTTTTCATTATTAGACAAGATATCTTCAGATGATCATTACTTTATTTTAGATTCTAACCATGCGCACTTTTGGCAATTCAGATTTCCGGCTGGCTGTTCAATGACTCACAACGCCATGGCAAAAATTCCGTAACTATTCTTTTAACATCGAATATAATTTTGAGCCAAGAAATTATAATTAACATTGACAAAGAAAAGAATGATTATAAATTTGCCAGTACTGTCTAGCATCACAATTCATTTAGCAACGAGCAATCAATTCCAACAAACTTTTACTAAGGAAGTGAACAGTAGAAGGATATGTACAGTACAGTTGATAAATCCATTGTCAATAGAGCAGTAAATAAAAGCAAACATCTCAAACTTGGGAAACTAAAATAAAAAATAAATAAATCCCTCGACATTGGCCATGGCATCCTTGACTGGATCTAGCATTCAAGACCACAGCCGTCTTCCCTACAAATGCACTTTACACAAACTATCAAAAATCCAAGGAAAAAAAAAAACAATAATAATAATCACAACATCATCATCCATAACGTAGGGCCAAATGCCACATGCTGCTAAAATGACGACACAAGAGATATTAATACACGCTATGAACCTAAATGCTAGTCCACTGTGAGAGTATATATACCATCATGGATCAACCTCATCCAATGCATAAACAAACCTACACTTCATAACCCTCATGCAAATGGTAAAGATAGACAATTACTGAACACATACAAACTATACTATCAGGTAACCTTATCGACACACCTATGTAATTATCATCCTTGGGATTAAAACTTTTCACGGTTAAATATCCACAACAGAGATCAATTCGCATTATCAATATAGAGAAATAAATAGTTGCTCATACATAAATTTTGGGTTATTCATAATTTCAAATCAAGCAAGTGGAAGATGCAAGCTTGTAAAGATCATGGAGTAAGGAAAGTAGCCAGAGTAGAGAAAGTAGCCAGAGAGTACAATAAGTAACCAGAGAGTACAGTAAGTAGCCAGAGAGTAGAGAAAGTAGCCAGAGAGTACAGTAAGTAGCCAGAGTAGAAAAAGTAGCCAAAGCAACAACAACCGGAGCGCAACCTCTCACCGTCCCTCTCGTGCAATAATCTGCATCTTGAAGCAATGACAGACTAAATTTATTCTAATCTGAGTTTAATGGTGTATGTATGTATCTCGTTTACACTCTGAAAACCTTAAGATAAAATAAGTTAAAACACTTATCAATAAAGTTACACAAATTATAATAAGTTTTCATTTTTGTTTTATTTATCTCCTCTTTAGTTACATTTTTATCTGTATTTTCCTACTTCCGTTATTTCATGATATTTTTAACTTTATCGGTCATTACGATGGTCAATGATTTTGTATATCTGACTTACAACCCAAGCAGAACTTTTCAATGCTAATTTAATACGTTCTAAAAGAATGGACGCCCTTTATTATTACACTATCAGTCTGCCAAATCAAACTTTCAAAACTTGTAAATTCGAGATTATTTAAACCCCTGCCAGATCTGTTCACACTTCATTTTTCTTCTTAGTTTAAAAAATCTAAAGATAATCTGAGTTTTGAACATTTTATTCCGAGATACATGTACAGTACAGTACTTATCACCAAATGGCCACCACATGGTCTGTCTGCCTCAGCTTGGAGAAACTTGGGATGTTTGACACAGTTCTGAGTCATCTAACACATGTTCTGTATGATAACGTTCACCCTATATGATCCACCCCTTAAATAACAACAATACTTCTTACTGAAAAAACATCTAAGACAACTTCTCCGAGAATCTAATCAAGGCTATAATTATTTTAAAGCGCGTCTGTGCCACTCGAACCTTAGTCCAGACACCAAGTGGATATGAAGTCCTGCTATTGTGGAGGAAATAAATTCCCCAGAATATCACCAAGGGGGCCTACATCACCCCTTGAACAATATAATAAGCATATTTTACTAAAGTATTGTGCTGTATAGAAGGCAATTCAAGGTGGGGATGAATCTGCTGAGTTAGTTTTTCTAGGAGCATCAAGAGAACATTCCCCATTACAAGGAATAACTAAATATAAACCAATAAATAAATAAAATTAATAAATTAACGTGATAATAATAAGCGTAGTGATGAAGTAAAACATGGAAATTCTAACAAGAACTTAAGTGAAAAGGCTAATACACTAAAATTGCATAGTTTTATTTCTTCAAGAACTCAGGATCTGCAAATAATCTCCCAAAATACTAAGCAATATCTGAAGTTATTATTTTTTCCCATGTTTTCTCAAGTCCTTTCATATTATAGTGTAGGGTGGCTAGAATCAAAAGCTCACACACACACACACACTGCTACTACTTCCTATGTATCCATTCCCCTTCCTTTATTATGTCCTTCTCCTCTTCCTTCCATCCATCTTCTTGGTTGTTCCCTCTCCCTCCCATCATCCATCTCTGTACTGTACTCTCTCTTTATCAATCTATCTGTCATACCCCACTAGCTCAACACATCCACACCACCTGACCAGACCCAACACATCCACACCACCTGACCAGACCCAATACATCCACACCACCTGACCAGACCCAACACATCCACACCACCTGACCAGACCCAACACATCCACACCACCTGACCAGACCCAATACATCCACACCACCTGACCAGACCCAATACATCCACACCACCTGACCAGACCTAATACATCCACACCACCTGACCAGACCCAACACATCCACACCACCTGACCAGACCCAACACATCCACACCACCTGACCAGACTCAACACATAAAGAACGGCAATAAACGAGAGAGAAAGAGAAGCAAGCTGTGGTAACGGAACAGAACATTACACAATACGTACTATGGAATTTCGAAGGGGATAACTGCGCTTCATCTGTACAAGTAATACATTTTTCACCATTAGAGTGAATCCAGTGATTAGATTAGCATAGAGATGTAAGTACAGTGACAATGAGTGTAGTGATTTATAACACAATTCACCTATTACATTTTGAAGCAATATGTGAAGTGGAAAATACAGATCAAATAATGACGAACGAGGGAGGGTGAAGGAAAAAAAATAGGGCACCATTGATGGTAGATTTTGAGGTTACATAAAGTTATTCATTTAAAATAAGGTTAAAAGCCCCAGTTTACCCTCAGTCACTACACCATACAACTAACCTACTGCAAAGGACAAACAGAAATCAAAACGTAGGTCAATAACACGAAGAGGATCCTTACCGTGCTTGTCCTTCTCCTTCATCTTCTTCTCCATCTCTCCGGCTTTATCCTTCACCTTACCGAAGAACTCTGTGTCATCGGTCCCGCCATCACCCCAGAGAGTACCACCAAGCAGTAGTATCCAATATGGCAGAACCAGGAAAGCCCCCACAGAGAGAGACAGAGAGGGAAGAGACATACACGAGACCACAATTATTCAATATACAATAAAGGCCGCGAGGTACCACACACACACTGAGGTCTCACAGTTAGTAGTTAATAAAGCCACGCTACACGAGGAACAGGTAACAAGCAGGACACAAGTCACACACAGGTCGAGGACAAGCAGGTGAACTTTCTGTATCCTTGTTAAACTGATCCTCTAAAAACCCTAAAAAAAAAATTGTCACTAAGAAATGTAAAGTATCCACTTGTGAGAATATTAGTATACAGAAACATATTACCGTAAGATATTCAGGCAAATTTACTGTTAATTGGAGAGCGACATGCACCACCCTGCAGGCCCCAGATACTCTACAATAATTTCCAAGAACACTATAAAATTATCTCTCCACTGATGTCATACTATAATACTAATGGTTATAGTTATGAAATCCAGTATGAAAAGGAAAGATTAATCTAATTTGTGAATATATTTTACTTTCAGATCATAGTCACAAAAGCTGTAGTTCTGGGGTTTGGGAGATTCAAACACCGAGATTTGCTGGTGATTTATCCCCATACATCAGAAATACAGTACTTAGTTTATTTCACAGCTCAAATACATGTGCTACTATTAACTGTAGCACCCAACAGTATCACCGCCACAATAAAACCTGACCACCATACGCATTATAACAATATAGAGATGTTACATAGACTGCACATCCATATTAAGACAGAAGTAAAAAAGTGAGTAGGAGAACTGATAGCACAGTACTGACCTGCTATTTTCTTTGCCGCTTCTGGTGAGGCAGGATGAGTGAGGACGTTCATCCGCTGGTACTGGCTACTCATGATTAACTCGTTGGCCTCCAGGGTCCCGGGTGACATAAGGGTGTACTCATCACTCAGGAGCTGAACTGCAACACAAGAGTCCAGCAGTAGTAAACATCTCTTAATACTTTTAAAGATAGAAACTCTCTGCGGTCTTAATACTATATAAAATCCTGGCCTTGTGCACAACAGGACAAATACCACCCTATCACATCCTCCCTCACCACTCAACTGATCGTAGAGCCTCAGTGTGGTATCAAAATCATACCTGGCATAGCATTTGTGTGGTTAAATAATGAAACTATATTATGGTGCAAGAATAAGCCATCAATTATATTCTATGGTCTGTGTTTTTATTTTATATTACTAATACCTGACTCGTAAGATCCCAATATGTTTTGATGATAGAATGAAGGCAAACATATGGGAGAATATCACACATGATCTATTCTGGTGCAAGTACGGCAAATATGAACAACCTTAAGCAACTCACCAATAAGAGCTTCGATGTCAAAGAAGAGAACGTGGGAGTTAGCGTCTTGTTTATTTGTGCGGAGTCCTTGTATCATGAGGGGACAAGTTCTCATCTTGGAACTATCGTGAATGTCCTGATAGTTGTTCTGTTCGCCCAACACCTGCTGGATCCCCCTCTGAAGGATACATAAAATACCATTCAATTTTCTTCATACAGAGACAACAGTTTGTCTTTAGTAGTTCAAAACCTAAGATAAGTCACAAGTCATCTAAGAACAGTCATCATCATCATCATTTTAAGGCCATATTCTAAGCCTACATGTGTTAGCTACTGTATAAAAAATTTAGCAATACTGTATAGAAACAAGTAAAAACAGTTAGGATAAAATATGGTTACCTGTGCAGCATGTCTAATAGCCGCCAAGTTCCGATGCCTGAGGCCCCTGAAGAGGTGAACAGCAGGGTTAGCAAGTCCTGTGTCAGAGCCAGCACCACCACTGCCACTGCCCGGGGCTGTGGAGTGTTCATCACAAGCTCCCAATACTTCCTCTGCTGTCACGCCTTGTAGAACGCGATCTAAGTGACCTATTTAGAAATACCTGTAGTTAATGATCTGTACTGTCCTCATAATCCAAGAAGCTGACCCATTCAGAAAACCACATGAAGTTGCAGATGTACTGACATAGAAGCCTTCATCTAGATTAAATCATATTGTACTGAGGAGAATACAAATAATGGCATCCATGAGTAATACTAAAGCTGTAAGGAATGTGGCAGACATGTGAAACCAACCATGATATGAAAAATTTTATAATTATGTATTTTAAATCTTCAACTGTAGGCTTTGCATATTAAATGTCTGTCAGATGCCTTGAGTATTTACCATTTAATGGGTACAAGTTCTTCATCTCACCATTTTTCTGTTTATTTGGCAAAACTATGTTTAACTTTAGCCGTCAACACAAACTGAGCTGTTTCCAAAGTTTCAAAGTACTGTATTGACTGATGACCTTATGAGGTACAAGAATGATAAAGATATAATTCATCTTCCAACATTGAAAACTGATGAAAAAATTTGTCATTATTCTCTGCACTGAATAAACAACATCAGATCATTACTTTAACCTCAATAACTGAGACAGACAAACACATTACAAGTCTACTGGATTCATATAAAACAATACAACTTAAAAAAAAATAAGAATTAGCTGACCTGTCTCCATCTGCCAGACATAAACAGATCCATCGTGCGTGGCGACCATCAAGAAGTCGTGCTCGGGCCGCCATTTGACATTAAGGACGGGATACAGGTGCTTAGATGCAAGTAGCACCAGTTTTCTCTCCTTGATGCTCAGCAGTGCTACACTGTGGTCCTCAGAAACACTACAAATGCAGTTCTGGATGCGAGGCTGCAAAATACCAATGGAAATTATCTATGTAGAAAATCTATAAAGAAAGTAATTGTATGTTTACCCATTCTTAGTAAAGGATCTATACTTCCCATTTTAGCTGAAGTGGTACCCAACCCTCCAATCCTATAGAATCCTAAAACCAAAAGAAGAACTTCCCGATATGCCATTTCTGAAACATTTTCCTTATAATATATTGGCCTCCTAGTGGCTATTTCCAGGAGGCTTGGGTACCACTCCATCCATGACAATGTACTACACTGTACATCATTTATAACAAGTGATGTGAAGTTTTGTTATGACAGGTAGCCAGATTAGTTAATTTTAAAGACACTTATGAACAAATACATGGATGGACATCATCAATCCTTATGCACTAGTTAAGTTATCTTAAAAATATGATTAAAAACAAACAGAAATAATTATAAACAGATGCACACACACACCAACTGACATAGTCCTCTATGCTGGGGACCAAAAGTTAAGTGACAGAGGAGCCACAACTCACCGTACATGTAGGCGGTGGGACCAGCAGCTGCAGAATTTGTCCCGCCTGAACCACAAATCTATGGATCAGGTTGCCTGTGTACATGTCCCACACGATAATGGAGAAATCAATTCCTCCGGACACCAGGTGAGCCATGTCGTAGCGGGGACTTTCACCGTGAGGATAGAGGAGGCAGTTGACCCGTCCCTGATGACCTCGTAACACCATCGGCTGAGCCCAGTCTGGGAGAGTGAAACAGAACAATTAGTCTTATTATCATCACTACAGGTGTTTTAAACCTTGACAAAAACTAATGCTCATTCAACATAAATAAAAAATAATCGTTTTTTTTTTGCTCAGCCATTCCTGTTGTGGCACAAGAGGAGACAAGGGCCATATAAGGTTGTTAAAACCTCCCACAACATATAAAAACAATATTTAGAAGGCATGACCACTCCTCAGCTCCAACCTCTGTGCCAGTCACTGTAAACTGGAGTTGTCCCAACTATGAAAATTTATTGTCTACAAAGGCATCACACAATTCTTTAGTTCTCTTTTATGGTCCTTACTAAAATTTCCAGCATTAGTTCTTTAAGGTAAATCTTCCTGAGTCTGTTCCTCTAAGCTAATAGTATCCAAGAACAGTTTCATTATTTACTAATTTTTCCTGACTCCTACAATTCATGCCATCTCATACTAGGTACAGGTAGAGTACAGTACTGTACATATATTCTAATGGTAAAGCTACATTGACTTCACCTTAAGTCAAATTATCATCTAAAGTGAGCCTTTAGACGAGGAACTCGAAATACTGCCTGGGGGAAGCTGGGTGCCTACTGTGATACTGGTGGTGTTTGCCATGAAGCAGATGGAGCATGATGGTCTCCGTAGCTGGGACCAGGATGATGGAGCCATCCTCGCGACCACAGGCGAGGCGTCCCTGGAGAGGCAGGAAGAGACTGGCCGTGATCCTCGGGGGATTCTTCTCTCCTTCCAGCTGGTCCAACACGCCTGCCGACCAAAATTTCATCATAAATACTCAATCAACAGAAAACAGGAACACACGAGAAAACGACTTTGTTTTTATGTATCACATCAGAACCAGGGCTCTGGGTCTAGACTGGAGAGAGCAGCAAACATCAGATGAGCTAATAAGAAAAATGGGTTGAATTAAAGCAAACATGGGACCTAAATGACTATGGTAGTGTTATCTTGGGGTCTGGTGACTGTAGTAGTATAATCAAAACAGATGAGAGAAAGGGTGCAGTAGGGACAAAATGTACAATGACTTACTAATGAATAATTTGATTAGCCAATTGTGGGTTCAGAGTGAAGTAACTGTGTTTTGGGTTTAGGGTGCAATGTTTAATTTAGCAATAGTTTGTCTGCCAAGTGTGATTTGAGTTAACATGATTTGGGAGCAATTAAGTTGTAGCCAAAGCAGATCATGGTTGGGGGACTCAAGAACAGGGCAAGAAATTATCATCATAGCCATTAACCTCTCTTACCTATTGGGGGCGGAATCATAGCAACCCAGGCCTTCATCATAGAGTGGTTTAGAGTTGGTGAGAAGATGAGAGGCTGGAAGGGATGTGCTTGGCTGATTTGCTGCAGCTGTTGTTCAGACACATCTGCCAGGCGCCACAACATCACCTGTATGCCGGAGAAGACTTTATGTCAGGCTGATTCTCTCATTGCTATAACACTAAACATCTATACTTTATTATGAACCATCTACACAACCTGAATGGATTTCATAACCTTGTCAATCCCTATCTCATGTTTCCCTCTTTAAAAAGAAAATATTAGTGGTGTATTTGCGAGTGGAATGAATCAGTCAACCAGCAGACGCGTTACTCCTATAAACTGTAATGGTTGATGTGGAGCCCAAAGGTAAAAAAAAATTAGACAAATACAGGAAAGTCAATATATTGTTTCTGGTCAACACATAAACAGGATCAAATCTATATTATTCTGCATATCATCACTCATGACAATTCTTGATGCCTGACATGTTAATAATAATCTTCATTACAGTGTACTTGACAAAGGGGAGAAAATAATTACCTGGCCCTCACAGTCGCCTCTTAGTAGCAGCTTCTCTGCCCCACTCTCCAGGGGAATCATCATAAACTGCCATGATGGAGCGTTGACTAGGTGCTGCAAGATAAAGGCAACAATTGATTATTTGTTTACAAATTATTAAAAAAAAAGACAAACCACTATCCTAATTTTTGTCAATATAATATTCATTCTGCATAACACATTTAACCATCTATTGTAATGACTATTACTCTTATAAGGCAGTGATTTGATTGTTGTTTTAAGTGGTCAAGTGTGTCGTCGGGTTATGTACTTCAGAAGTGTGATGGGTGTAAAAAGTAAGGTACAGTACAGTATTACCTGCTTAAGTGTTTATGTAGCAATGTGCACACTGATAACTCTCACACCACTCCATCTTTTAGTTACCAAGGGCTGTACTCTACTGGGTAATTCAAAGCTTAACTCAAGTAAGATAAAACTGTGCTACGAGGGTGTTTAATACCTCTTCATTCTGAGGCTGGACGACGCCGTACATGAGAGGATTGTCCCCCTCAACTTGCTTGTTGTGAAATGCTCTGCTTTCAACGATGCAACTGAGGAAGGAAAGAGCGTTCAATGTGTGGACACGGACGATGACTATATAATTAATACACGGACAATGGTTATCTTTGCCGGTATACGCGTGGCAGGCAACGGGTGATATAGGTTACTGTACTGTAGTATGCTAACCATATACCAAGTGTGTTAACCATGTCCACATTAGAGACAAAAACATATCTTAATAGGGTTTTGGTTTATACTGCTGGTTGTCAACTCTACTAAGAGGAATATGATGTATTTCTCCTCAATTATTTATTTCTATAAGCTCCTTAACTTTTATCCCCATAATTAATAATAAGACTGTAACAGATCTGCTCTTGAGGAATAAACTGATGGTGTTATATACAGTACTTCTATATATGGTCTTGAAGAACAACATGCTGTAAAACAAACATATATCATCATCATGTACAAGCTTGTACTGTACAACACAACTCAAAACATGTGTGACAAACATTCACTTTGTACACTCATTTAACAAAAAAAATTCATATTATACATCAATATACAACATGTATAAAGTGTGATTTAATACAAAAACTATTAAAGGAATACCAATCAACACTGCACAGTACACAACAATACAGTAGCTTCATGGGGTATTAAACTTCACTGAACTTCAACTATCCACGGTGTTGTGGGGAAAAACACTCAACAGTCAATAATAACTTGGAATAATCAAGACCAGAGACTAGATTCTAAAGTTGGAGCACTAGTTGTTTCCTACACCTTCATCAGGGTAGAACATGCAAAAATCTACCAACAATTCTGGTCACTATAGGTTACTAAATTGCACTAAATAACTACAATGATCATGTACCTTATTTTTAACAATTTTGATGTTCTAAAACAGAATTACACTCAATTTTTATTCAACAGAACCTGACTGGATAGAAAGTTGACAGCTTGAGTGAACTAAACAGAACTTTACCTATACCAAACATCAGATGAAATGCCATAACTTTTTCAATTACTCTAAAACTATAAACATTTATAATCGCCACCAAATAAATTTATATTATCTTTTCGTCTATTTAAAATATTTAGGGTATAGTAATGTGACCAGAAGTCGGCCATCTGCCACACAATGTCAAGTTAAGCCATATTAGCAGCAAACAATATGACTTCTAATATGTCTCCACTGGTAAAAAGGTCAATGAGTTCTGTACAGTATATGGAATCACCAGAGCTTGTACCCGGGAAGAGATATGTACTGTATACACATCATAAAAAACATCTTGTAGACACTGTAAGATCCAATTCTGGTAATGTGATAATAGATTGTGGTGATCATCAATGTCTTCCTTCCCCCCATACCTCTGGCTCTGAGTGAGGGGAACATGATACAGCTATGGCTCCTAAATACTAAAGGTCTATCTATTTAGAATCATGACCATCCAACTAGGCACTCATTCATTATTGTGACTGACTCCATCATCTATTAACCAAAATGAATCCAGTCCTGTCCAAACACATCTAAGAGGATAAAGGTCTTGTCAACTGCTCCCATTTAACTTCTTGCTGACTAAAGACAAAATTAATGGAGGTGGGAGGTTTTTTAGGCTGCCTGGCTTGGGTTACACAGTACTAGAAAGAGGATATTCAAGATCAATCCTCAAAATACTAAACCAGTTAATGTTTTAAGAGGGAAGAGGAGGAAGAGGAGTGGTGGCCCCAAGGAAAAAGAGAAGGTGCAAAACTCAACTCAACAAAGCAATAAATAAAACTCCGGCAGAATTAAAACCCCGAAACTAGAAGGGAAATAATTAGTGACGGTTTGGATTTATTCCGAAGGTCTCAGTTACCTCTACATCTGTTCCCCGGAGATCAACTCATGCTTTCGTCACAGAGTACGAAGCTTCACCTAATGTATTCAAGATCTCCAAAACTTTATAGTAAATACTTTTTCTGCCTCTTTACTCTTGGTACATCACTTTTTAAATTATTTCTTTTCCTCTCCTCTTTTAAACTGAGTAAACACTTATTAAGGACAATACTTGACAGATATAAGAGTAGAGCCGATGATGTTCACAGGAGTAACTTGTCCCTCCACACACAGTAGTATTAGCACCCCTCCCTCACCTCCCCTGTGATGGTGAATGGCTTGGGGAGCAAAGGAAGCAGATCACACACTGTCTGACCTTCACCATACAGCCCTATTATGTCAGTCTCTCTCACCGTAAACTTAAGAGCTGCAGCAGAATGCCACAGTACCACAAGCATATAAGAGGATACACTGTACTGGCCAGTCCTGCAGTTAGCTTACCTTCAAACATCCATCAGGGTCACCACAAGACATATTTACAATTGTACTGCAAATCAAAGTTACTGAAATGCCATAAAAAAAATCATAATGGAAAATAAAATACATATAAAGACTATAAGGCAAAAATGCTGCTGTCCACACAAGAAAATACACAATGAAAGGAAAGTTTAGCCTTACAAGCTCTGTGATGAGGACAGAGCAGCATGAGCAACATATGTCTGGCAGCATGAATGCGGAGAAAAATATGAGAAGGTTGAACTTCAGGGACCCAAATTTATGGCTGGGTGATGTGTCATGTGATCTGTCCTACCTGGTTTAACATGCAGGCTTCTCAAGGCCCAGCTGGACAGTGGCTTGAGATAATGTCCCCATTACCCCCTGACTCACCTGAAGAGCAATAGTTTATACAATTTTCCACTGATCCTTGAACGTTAGCATCCCTGAGTCAGAAAGTGGACAGTCACCTATACCAGAAAAGCTCTACCAGGAGATTTAGGGCAGAACCTCACAAGTCATTTCACAAATAATTTCTTGAGCATAAAAAAATAACAACTACAGTACTCAGTGTTAAGCAATGTCAGCGAAATGCGAGGAGAAAGAGCATACCTTGGCAATGCTCTGATAAACAAGCACAATTGCACTGCACAAGCAGAGAGTATGTAGCTCTATCAACCCAATCATACCTTATCTAAAATGTCCTTTACAATATTCCTCAAATTTCTTACAGTAAAAAATAAAATGTCAAATACTGGTTAGGTTTAAAAAGTTCCAAACCTTTCCCCGTGAAAATTATCGAGGGAGATGACTCCAAGGAAGAAGAGAGCCAGCCATAGCCATCAAAACACATTAAAACAGTAGAACAGGTAATATGGCGATGTAGATGAAGCCTACCAGTGTGTGACCAGAGATTATCATCAGCACCAAGGCAACAGAAGCACAGTTTAATATGAGAAGTAATGGCAACATCCAGTAGAAGGAACAGCACAGGCAAGAGTATATTGTACTGTCAAGACTGAGAAATGAGATAAGGATGGAGGGAGAGAGTACGAATAAAGAATAAATGTTGACGGAAAGAGAGTAAGAGTAATGCATAGATGATGATAGAAAGAGAGAAGGAGTAGGAGCAAAGCATACCTTCCACAGCACGAGAGATAAACGTACTGAAACAACAAGAACATAAGAGCAGAGCAAAGTAAGGCATCAGCTAAAAAAACAAACAAGAGTCTGGTTCATAAACATACAGTGCAAGGATGTAAACATAACTGTGTATGGATGAGAGCCGGGCCAGAGGGTCAAGTGTGAGAATATGGTGTAGGTATCCTGAATAAAAACAGGCCAAGGGGCAACATGAGAAGATGAGTGTGGAAGACTTAATTAAGGCTGTGGTGGTGAAAACTTCTCTCTCTCTCCCCTTCATAAGTGTGTGTCCTCTGATCATCACCAGAACTTTATATTAATATCTTTCATTACAGGTGAATGACTATGAACTGTGTTGTGTCTATCAATGTATGACTTTATCAAACAAATCTGATGATCCTAAAATGATACTTCTTTAAATAATAAGTTGTTTGCTGGTGATATTCAGGAGACTTCCCCTAAATTATATATAACTGTCTTTACAAGTAATGCTTAAGAGTTGAACATGTCATTCGAGAGCTTATATCTGAGGAAGAGGTACAAGAGAACATAAAACAAAAGAATGAAGATGTTGACAACAAGCTGGACACACAGGAGAGCTACGGCACAAGCCAACTGGCAGTGCACAGCGGTGCGCATCAAACAACAGAATAAGAGAAACACACTCCATCCAATACAAAACTGAATGATCTGTAGTGTGGTCTACTGACCTAACTGCCTTGCCCCTCAATAACCTGTAAAAGGTGATGTGTGAGTTAGCTACAGGATGCATGTTATCATTAAACACAAGTATGAACACAACCTACTAAATATACTGTACTGTACTATATACAATAATATATAAATATAAACAAATTATTACCTTATCCCAACTGTGTAAAGGAAATATAAGTTTTGGTTGTGATGTCACTTAATCTTAAACTATATAATATATTTATCATTCAAAACAAAGACCAAATGTTAAGAGCAGCTGTGTACTGTATTATCAGTTAGTTGACTACAATATTATCCTCTCTTATACTAACTGTTTGGTTATATACAACAAGATCATTCTCATATTAACAGTTAGATCTGTGAGGAAGATATCAGAGGACAGGTCAGCAGGAGAAGGTGTATACAAGGGGAAGGTGGAGTAATGTATAAAGGAGAATGAGGGAGAGAATACAGGAAAGCGAGAAGACAAAGTATGTATCTACTATAGAAATAAGCAGCCCGGAGGCTCTGACATCACGAACACAACACCCCCTCACAGGAGATAAAGCATAGAGATAAACTAAAAAGATAATATGATAAAACAAAATTAATAGAGTTGTCTCCACTAGGTTAAAGTAAGTTCTAAAGGAACAATGTGTAGATAAAACAATAAAATACAACTAAGACTTTTGTTATAAGGATACAGTATAGGGTGACTGGCACTTCTCCCCTGACTGTTAAGGTGCTCGTTCTGTAGTTAGAGTGAGGGAAACAAACCCCCCAAACATTAGTTCAGCCACACACACAGTAAATCCAAGAGAAGGATTCCATCTACTAACACCCATTTAGAGTGTGACATTTTATCCTAATACAAAGCACCTGCTAGATTGTTCAAAAGTCCAGCACAATACATAGTAGCTATTGCATGAAAGTGTAATTGTTGCATATCCAAGAAGATTCCTGGTTAATTCTGCTCACAATACAGTATACAGTACTGCTCTCACTGTCTTTCTTTACTTGTAGTGGAGAAACTAGGAACCAGACCTTCCTTCCATATAATGAGGAGGTTTTGAAACTTGACACTTGGGGATTACTGACATTTCTGCTTCAGTTTTGTTAAAGGAATGAAATATCCAGTTAAATAGGACTATGTACGCAGACTTGAGCGACTGAAATGAAAATAGTGAGGTGGACGTGTAATGTCTCACTGAAAGATAAAAACACCTTGTTCAGAGCTAAGAGAACAGCAGGGTATTGAGAGAATTGGCCAAGTCTCCTGTAGAGGTAGGCTGAGATGGTCCGAGTTTGTGGAGAGAATTGAGGAGACTAACTGGGTCACGAGATGCATAAGTCTAACTGTGTAGAGGAGGAAACATAGAGAGAGGTTGTAGGAAATAACATTAGTTAAGAACCTGATGAGAGAGGCTGCAAGAGACCGTACAGCATGGAGAGCTGCCAGTGCATAATCCTGGCTAACCCACACAAGTGAGGAAAATGGCCGTAAAAGGTAATGATGATGAAACCCCCCCCCTGTTGTAACACTGATATGGTAGAAAGCAACTTTTATTTTACAACCTAATACTGTATAGCTACTGTACAAAAACAATTGATAAAATACAACAAAACCCAGACACTTCATCTAAGCTCCCTTATTGGCTAAACTCATCACTACTGTATTTAAAAAAAGGTTCATACAAAAACAACTACAATAACTCTTGTATTGACTTTGTCGGCAAACAAAACAGCTCACAATTCAGAATTTACCTTATTTTATCAAGAGTAAAGTCCTGTTAATCATGTTATGTATAAGAAATTCTGTGGTGTACTGTATGTAAAACATGTACTACTGTAGAAATGTTCAAAAGACCATTTGGAACTTCATTTTATTCACTGAAGTGTTGGGATATTGTGTTAGTCATCTGAAATATCAACACTGAAGAATATAAAGAAAAAGAAAAAATAAGAATGTAGAGAGGATAAACAAAAGAAAACAATATATACTGTACTGTATGAAAAAAATCTACCTTTTCACGCATTTCCCCGCTATGATTCTGGGAGGCTGGAACCAATAGTGCACACACATACACATGTATACACACATTCCATTCATTTGTTATCATTCACTAATTTATTCCTACTGTTGTAGCCGAGTTCTGTGTAAGGCCCCACACAGTACACCTATCCAGTTTACCCCTGATACTTCACACAACCTGGCATCATTCCTCACCAACATTATCACTTGCAAAAAATAACAAACTGCTATAAAAAAAAAGTTAGGTGGGGAATTTACCTATGTATCAATGACAAACATAACAAAGCACAGCCAAGGAAACATGCACTAAGCAAACACTAATAAAACACATACAACACAAGGAGGGAAAAAAACACACACACAGCCTATATTAACATCTACTCTAGCATTAGATACAAAAGGAGAGAGAGAGAGAGAGAAATACCATAGTACCATAACACACCCAGCGGTATAAATGACCTACGACAGACTACTTAAAAACAGATATTCTGAAGTGTGTCTGGTGATGATATGTATTCACTGGTAATTTCAACAGGAGGAATCTTTAGTAAATTTCAAACATCAGCTGTGACATCATAATTTAATGTTCTGCCCTTCACCTACTTACTGTTGTGATATTGGCTTATTTGAAGTTACATAGATATTGATATTGTACAGAAGTTATGAAGTTATGTCCCAGATAAAGAGAAGTTTATACATACAGCCACACAGAACCATACCCAACAGCTGTCAGTTTTTCAGCGTGGATACTATGATGATGATGATGATGATGATGATGATGATGATGATGATGATGATGATGATGATGGTAGTGTTGATGGTGATAGTGGTAGTACTGATGATGGTGATAGTGGTAGTACTGATGATGGAGGTGATGATAATGATGGCAATGATGATGATAATAGTAGAAACACAAAACTAAATAACAACACTAAAGGAGTTTTAAATCAAGAGAGTGTTAATACTACATGTTAAAAGTGCCAAGATAACACTGGGATAGGAAATGATGAAAGAAATACAGCCCATGATCTCTCGGGGTATGGTGTTTCATGGCAAGATGGCTAAAAGACAACTAAATCTACTCTTGAAGGATTTAGCAGAGTAAAAGACTAGGATAAATCTCAAGGTATTACTACAAAACATGTATAAGAGAGGACCACGGTTACTCCTCCAGAGAGATGACTTACTTGGTGGGTAGTTTGTAGATGTACGCTCGTCCCATGTCCGTCCACACGATGACCCGGTCGGCGCTGAGGAAGTCTCCGCCCATCCATCTGTCCCCGGCAGTCGCACCCACACGACACAGCTGAGAGAAGTCTCCGGCGTCGTATATCTGAGAGAGAGGATAATGTTGTAAACAATGACGAGGCAAAACATTAAACCCCCTTTACTACGGGGATGCCATTTTTATTATATTTGGTTAATGCCAGATGATTTTATTCAGCACAGAGGCAATTCCACAAGGGTTTAAAACATGAAACTCTTACAATAAATTACAAGCTCTCACAAGTCTCTGCTTTACCAGGTAGATAATAATATACTGCATCTACCACACCGGCATACTTTTCCATGATCAAACAGCTAACGACCACCACTCACCTGCCAATCGTCTTGAGAAACGATAAGGACGGTACGCTGGTTGTACGTGCAGCAGACTAAGCACAGAGCATTTAAGGAATGGATCATTTTGGATTCGTGTTCGTATATGGGTTCCCGCGGCCGCACCTCCCTCTCACTGACGGTCCACACCTTGACCCAGCCACCAGTCGTCACTCCCAAGACAACCTCATCTGGATACACGGAATGGAATAATCTTTAGCGGTATTATCAGAATCTGTTAACCTGTTACCTCACTACAAAGCTTTATTGAGGAGATATAATGTAACAGACAATATAATAAGTTTATACAATGCACACGTGCCAGCACCTACATCAGGGAGGCACTGGATAGTATATTTTCCAAATATCTACCATGAACACTATAACCCAATTTACTTCTACTTCTTTATTACTCTCTCCCTTATTCCTCCTCCTTTATTCATCTGTACTTCAATCTTCCTGTTACTCTTTATTCTGTACTTCATCTACCTCCTATTCTCTGCTGGGATATCAGCTATGTATGGTGATCTCACCCTACAAAAAGCCACCAGGCCGCTATCTTCCCCACCCTAACCTTCTCACCATTTCTTCTGGGTGGACGCAAGATGTGGAGCGCAGATATCCAGTCAGGTTGAATACGAGCAGCCAAGGAGAAGAGGACGTCCAGGGTGTGGGGGTCGTACACAAGAATCTCGGGATAGTTGCCCACACAGAACAGCCGGACATCTTTGACGTTCAGCATCTGGTACGTCTGAAAGAAACACACACGTCAATTATTCACATTTATAGCCAAGCACGATGATGCTAACTTCAGTAGAGGGTTTACAGGTTTCATATAACATGTCTGGTGAGTACCCATGTTATAATCTATTACAGTATTTTGAATTATTTTTATGTTCTTTTCAGCTTGATATAGATAAAGGTTTTCCAGTCCGGACTATTCATATACCCAGGTCCCCTCAGGTTAATTTAAGCCTGGGGTGTGATGAGGCTATTGTGTAGAAGTAGTTGTGACACAAAACCATCAATTCTATTCTAATAAAAGTTTTAATGATGATAATTTAGCAACAGGCAACAGAAATGCGAGTCAAAGCATTCTGTAAATGACCAGAAAACCTGTATTCAATTTTTGGGTCCAGTTACCCCAGGCAGTTGTTCCAAAACCCTGTGTCATCCTAAAGCCCAGTACGAAATGCAAAATAAATCTTTTTATAATTCTGCCATAAGTATTCAGCTCAAGTTTTGGGAGAAAGGAATAATAAAAATGCTTTAATTCCCACACAAATCATCATGCTATGTAGAGAAGCACAGGTGTTGGCTGATGCATTACGTCACTCACCGTCATAGAAGAGTGTACATTGGCTGACCTGAGAACTTCAACACACCGTCCATCACGTAGATCCCATGTGCACATCTCTCTGTTGAGTGTACAAAGCAAATGTTGTATATATATATATCAACTCATACAATTTACATTACCCTGTATAGTTCATGGGAAAACATTAGGAAATACAAGTGAAGTGCTACATGGAAATACAATACAGCACAGCATATACAACCAATGATGTCAATGAAGGAAAATAACCACAAAATCACAATTGTTAATATTAAAAAAAATTTGTTTGACGGGCATCTGAATATTAAAGTTGAGTATTGTAGAGAGGGAAGGAACCATGAGGTCTTGTTAATTGTACAAGGTGAGGAGAGTAAAGATGACTGCAACAACTACTGATGAATTAGTCATTTGACCACATGGAAAAGATATACAGAGGAAGACACAGTGATAAGTGAGAGGGGAAGAAACATAACAGTGTAGGTTGTGTGAGATGCAAGGAATCTTTTAGAATGGTCGTAGGTCACTTCACGTCAGGTATAGTGAACCATTTATTGAGACTATTGGGAGATTATGTGAAAACTCAGAAATAGTAACGTGAAGTCTCCTTGGCATTTTATGAGTGCAGAGATGGGGCATTTTATGGGCCTTTATTTCTCTCAGCATCAAAAGTAAACTTCACAATATATTCCATATTTGTTTTTACTTTCAGAAAAATTTTAAGCTCTTCCATGACACCAGGTTCTATCGCTGCCATGGTGTCTGTCTTAAACTCTTACTACATGTGATGGTAATACCAAGTTGATTTTTAGTAACTACAATAAATTCATTAATGATCTACTTTCAACAATTATGATAAATGAGTTATGTCTCTAATATTAACACAACATTTGTATATGACTGTATGACTGGTGTTATCAATAAAAACATGATAACTACCTCACTTGTAATTATATTTCAGCTGAGAGCTTTAGCCAAAAGACAGAAAGGAAATCATGACTAACCCATTTTCTGAGGAACTGACAACAAAGGAGGTGCCACGTGCATTCCCTCCCTGTGCGAGGCAGACCACACTTGCTGTGTGACCCACCAGAAGGCAACGAGGAGTCAGCTGAGGGGAAACAAATGTCATGTGATTAGTAAAAGCTTTTCCTTCATACTTTCTTTACCATTTTCTATTTTCACATTTGATTTGCTAGAGTATTGCAACTCCAAAATCCTAATACAAACATGTTTTATTCTTTACTGTAAACAAACAACTGTGTGACAGCCACACCAACAAACTTATGGATTAATTAATGAAGTTCAGATCCTGCGTAACACACCTTCAGGGTAGGAGGGTCAAAGTCCCACACACACATCTGGCCATCTCTGGACCCTGTCACAACAGTGTGGCAATCATGGGTGAAGAGGACACAGGATATGTCATGGGTTGGAGCCTCACGGCCCCACATAACAAGAGGAACCACTAAGTTCAACGATCCCATGGTCTGAAAAAAAAAATTTCAAAGTCATTACATGACATATATATATATATATTGTACAGTACTTCCAATGTCTTTTACAATTCTCATTTTCAAAATCTTTCCAAATGTCAACAACAGCGCTCGTTTCTGTGGCCGTTAAATACAACAACAGCGCTCGTTTCTATGGCCGTTAAATACAACAACAGCGCTCGTTTCTATGGCCGTTAAATACAACAACAGCGCTCGTTTCTATGGCCGTTAAATACAACAACAGCGCTCGTTTCTATGGCCGTTAAATACAACAACAGCGCTCGTTTCTATGGCCGTTAAATACAACAACAGCGCTCGTTTCTGTGGGCGTCAACATTACCACTCATGTAATACAGTACTTGATGAGAGTGGTCCAGCCTTACCATATAATTGATGAATTTTCTCCTTGGGAAACTTTTTTCCTCAAGATACTGACAAGAATGTCGCTGGAGGAATACATTTTACGTAAAGAAATATAGATTTTTTTATAGTAAAGGTGGAGGAGACGGTTAATACCAGAAACAACTTATGGAATTGAGCCAAAATTTCCGTAGACCATTATTAGCCATTGTTACTGGTAAGGTAGAGGAACCTAAAAAGACAAAAGACAATCACGTCCACATTTACGGTAATAAAATCCCCAACATGAAGCTCCGTCGCTTATTGACAATTTAAGCGAGATCGGAATCAGAATTTATTTGTTTACGATCGGCCGACAACAAGAACCAAGAAGTCAGAATTTTTGGTGGAATATTCAGTCAATATTAAATTTCTCGTGTTTTACCCATAATTTCCCTCATCCTTCATACCCTCCCCACTACAGCTGATAGTAAATTGATAAAGAACAAAAATACTGATAGAACAAGAAATATATTTTAAACACACAAGACTCCAGTAAACACTACAATAGTCTACAGAACTATACCAACACATATTAATAAAATAATAATAATATAATGATAAAATACAACAGCAGGTGACATTAAGAACTTCAATAACTTACTTATTAGTTTAAAATATTATTACGAGTTTTAATCTTATTGGTCAAGTAGAAAATAAATAAATAAAACGATACTTACACTTAATTCTCTTTAATCCTTGGTAATAATAGAAAGGTAATAGCCTCTAGGACACCTTAAATAGGTTAATTATGAGGCAATAGGTGTGTATGAATGATGAAGGAGTGATGAAGTAGAGGGGGGCGGCCATACACCTCCTTCCTCCCACACACCTTGTAGTTACTTGACCTCACACACGGTCTATTTATCCCTCTGTGTGTCTCTACATCACCACCTCCTCCTCCTCCTTCACACCACAGGCACCACACACACACCACACGTCAGATAACACAAGGATTCATTATTGATTATCGGCCTCTACCACACTGTCTGTCACCGCCATCACTGATCATCTGACCTGAAGTAAACATTGCCTCAAAATCGATCCTCATAGATAAATACCTTTAATAATTTCCTTTTTATTCCTTTTAACTGTTATTATTTATTATTGTTGTTATTATTTATTTGTGGTATTTAATTAATAGGTAATTGTATAAGATAGGGAGGGATGATATAAAAATCGATCCCTTTAATATTTCGTGTACAATCTCTTTATCTTTCCATTTTAAATGTAATTAATATTTATTTTGTTTTGATTTATTTAGGATATATATTTGTCAGGAATTGGTAAAATGTGGAGGAAATTTTACCATCAAAATCGATCCTAGGACAATATTATTTTATGACTTTCCTGTTACTCATTGAATTATTATTATTTATTATTGTTATTAGTGTTCATTTTTAGCATTTAATAGTTATAATATATTTAGTTAAGGGCAATATTAAAATCGATCCCACGATCATGGCTCTTTATATTATCCCTCCCTTACCTTCTTTATTCCCCCCCCCCTCCTCCCACCGAATCCTTCCTTAACTATTATTGTGTTTCTTAACTTTACTCTTATTCCTCTATGATATTTAATTGTTATAAACAGATGAACATATGAGGAAAATATTTACAGTCTATTCGTTTTCTTTGGGTTTGACATGTAAAGGTAGAGTAACTAACCAATCAGAATCCAGTTATTAGAGAACTATCAAATTAGAACACGTTTTAATCCAAACACCCAATAGGAATTCAGTATTTTGATAAATTATATTTCTATTGGTTGATCGACTTTAGGAATGAGAACTTCATTTCATCGACTTTACATTTGTTATTATTTACGATGATAATATTTATAATAGTGTTATAATTAATTTGTTATATTTAAATGAATTGTAAATATGAACTGAATTTATGATATTTTTTGATATATAGGAAATATTTTAGTAAGTTGTGTATGAAAGTCGATGGTTGATCTGAGTGACGAATCAAAACAAACTTGTGGCGGCGACGGGAGGCGAGGATCGTCATTATCTGTCTTATTTTAGTCTAATTTCGTCCTCCACCACCACAAGATGACGACGGAATCATTACCCGTCAATAAAGTGGTGGTCCACCCGCTAGTACTGTTAAGTGTAGTGGATCATTTTACCAGAATGTCTAAAATAGGAAGCACCAAGCGTGTTGTCGGGGTCCTATTGGGGTCCTGGCGCTCTAAGGGAGTCCTCGACGTCTCTAACTCCTATGCAGGTTTGAATTCATTAATTTACACTAGATATTTATATAGGATCACCTGATTAATCTCCACCCTAAGTTATTTCACCTAATATGATCAACTAACCCAACCCAGACCAGGTTACGTCGGCTCCTCGGTATTAGTTAACAAGGGGGTCAGGTTAGTGAGATGTTAATGTTTTTGTTAATTTCTCCATGATTACAGCTCCTTTTCATTCATAACCTCCAGATAAAATAAACTTGAGGACCTACTATTATATTGAGTAACTTGGTATGTTTTAAGTAATTTCGTTTTTCATTTTCAGTTCCTTTTGATGAAGATGAGAAAGACAAGTCAGTTTGGTTCCTCGATCACGACTACTTGGAGAATAAATATAACATGTTTAAAAAGGTAAGGTGATTTATATATAGCAAAGTAACTATGTCATAATTTTTGTGCATATGGTGTTACTAGTTACTGTTCCTCACCTGATTTTGTTACGTTTCAATATATAACAGTTTTGTAGCCCAATCCTAAGCTTAGTTTAATATATATTGTGGTTATGTTGATTAGATTCATAGTAGAATATTTTCAGAGATTTTGGTCATGGGTAGATTTCATTGGATGACTTGAGGTAATAGATATACTCCCCAGACATAAGAATTTGTTCATCCTTTTATAAATTTATCTTTCTAACTCTAGTTTATATGATAAAGATTTTTTTTATTTTCGTGTTAATATCATAAACATTATTCTGACTTCTCTCTCTATAGGTAAATGCCCGTGAAAAAATCGTAGGGTGGTACCACACAGGACCAAAACTGTGCCAGAATGATATTGCCATTAATGACTTGGTAAAGCGACACTGTGGTAACTCGGTCCTGGTGATTATTGATGCCCATGCTTCAAATATTGGACTCCCTACAGAAGCTTACTACAGTGTGGAAGAAGTCCATGATGTAAGTATTTCTGTATTGTTTCTGTAGCAAGTTGTATGATTGATGTATGAAGTATATTTTGGTATTTATCATATTCAAACACGTACAGTATCTTGCTTTATTTATTCTTTAACAATTACTTTCCAGGACGGTACACCCACGACAAAGACGTTTGAACACGTGGCAAGTGAAATTGGTGCCGAGGAAGCTGAAGAGGTCGGCGTAGAACATTTATTGAGGGACATAAAGGTAAGAGAGCCATGCTTAGGTACTGGCTGGTCAGGTCAAGTTTGTAGTGATGACTCTTGTTTACTATGTGGAAGTGTGCAGCCTTTGTTAATACACTTTGTCTTGATAAGTTATTGAAGTTAAATATTTAGATGTTTTTTTTTCTCCTCGTGCAACACTTTGTACACATGTATTGTTTCAGGACACTGTGGTAGGGTCCCTGGGGCAGCGGATCACCACGCAACTCTTGGGTCTACGAGGTTTACACAAACAGCTCAGCGAAGTGGCCAACTACCTCCAACAAGTTGTGGATGGCACTTTACCAGTTAACCATACCATAGTCTATCATCTCCAGGTAAGAAGTCATTTATTTCGTGTGCTCGTTAAACCCGTGTATTGCCAGAAGACTATTTCATTGCTCTAAGAGGTGGGCTCGTGTGTTTCTTGGTCGAGTTATTGTGGGTGGAGTCAATATGTCTAAGTGGTTTAGATTATGGCCTCTAATGAAAAATATATAAGTAATACATCCATACAAATTGTTCTGTGAATGTGACCTGTTCATGCCTCTTAAGCCTTGTAAACCACTTGACCTCCAGGTGCTCCTTGTCATCACCCATCTTCTTTTGCCCTTTATCACTGTTCTCGTCATCATTCCAGCCAAACATCCTTGATTGTGGCCCAGTATCTCGCTACACTCCTCCTCTCACTGTTGATGGCTTTTTCCAGAACAAACCCCTTCCTTTCTCTGCACATTTTAAACAAGTTATGCACAAGCCATCTGTTACTATACATTTATGTCCCTAACAAGCTTCCTATCTGGTAACCTAATGAGAAAGTGTCAATCTGAGTTTTTGTTTCACCTGACTCATAGTTATCGGCCATCTCACCCTCTTACAGTAATGTGTTGCATAAACCATCCTCATATTTATTATTTTTTCTTTAATATTTCTTGTTCTGCATAATTAAGATAACTATACGTACTAATAACTGATGTAAGGGTTATTTAAAAAGGTTCAGTAAAGGGATGCAATAGCCACCTGGTTTATGGTAACTTATTAATTTCTTCACCAAGGACATGTTCAACCTGCTGCCAGATGTGACAAACCCAGCACTAATAAAGTCACTCTACGTCAAGACAAATGACCAGATGTTGGTAGTGTACTTGGCATCCCTTATCCGTTCAGTCATCGCCCTCCACAACCTCATCAACAACAAGTTGGCCAACACAGATGCTGAGAAAAAGGAGGGAAAAGATAAAGACAAGGATAAGGACAAGGACAAGAAGGATGGAGATAAGGAGAAAAAAGATGATTCTAAAGATGATAAGAAGAGTGACGACAAGAAGTAGTAGTGGGGATACAAGGTTTGTTAAATATTTATTTGTGGAACTCTTTATAATGCTAATGTGTGTCACGTAATGGTATCTAACTGGACTGAACAAAAGTAGGTCTTTACCAGTATAATAAATGTGGATATTTCATAATGAATTGTCAGCCTAAATCCTTCGGGGATGTGGAATCGTGTGAAGACCTGTATTGACGCACTACAGAGCCCTTGTACAGGTCACGCCTTCCTTTAACACAGGAAGTAGACCAAGATAAAATGGCGAATTGTACGAGAAACTAAACTTTTCGTTGACTGATGTACTGTTCAAATCAATTACACAATTTGAAAACCTATAATTCTGGCTGTTTAGTGGGAGGTTAAAGCCTGGTGGAAAAGACACGACACAACTGAAGTTTGTCTTTTAGTATTGAATGAAGTGTACTTCTCAGTGTTATGTTTGGTGCACCATCTCACAAAACATGTTTAAAGAAAATCTATTTATAATTACTGTGTTAAACATGTATATACAGTACTGTTGTTAGATAATAGTGAGTGATGCCTCCAGTATGAAAAGTCTTTGTCCATCATGTATCACTGAAGAGGAAATAATTAACCAGAATTTTTGCCTTTGTTTAGTTAAGGAAAATGTGACGTATACCAAGGAGGATTTAGTTGGGAGATGGATGCCAGAAAGGAATTTTTTAATACAATATTTTTCTTGTCTTTAGGGAAACTTGGGGTCTCAGTTCCATTTGGGTAGGGTGGGGTGGGGTGGGTTCTGTACTAATATATTAAATAATACAAATTTCATATGAAAATTTAATGCTTTTATTACCCATATGTCCTCTTATTAATTCATTCTATTAACATACAAGTTATAAAATGTACTAAGAAACTAAATATAAGTAATTTAAAAGTTGGAACAAAAAAATTCTAGTAACTGAATTGTTGAAAATTAAATCCTCATAATCAGGGTCTGAGTATGTGTACACTCGCTCCAAAGGGCATCTTTATGTAGGAGTCCAATGAATGACAAATAGAGCACAGCGTTGTGTCATGTCTCACAAAATCATAAAGATGGATCCTTTTTTGGAGCCAGTGTGCCATAACTTCCACACCAGCTTACATCTTTTTTACACGAGGGATACAACCCTACATACAGGAATGGCAAACACCAAAATTAATGTTAGGTAGAACACAGACTATTCCACACCTGCTCTTAAGATACAGCCATTATGTAACCTACCAATAGATACAGGTAACAGCATTTTACCATCAAATCAGAAAGAACTTAAACTTACCCAAAAGTAATCAAACAACACACGGTTAATGAGTGTTATGGTTGGCCAAATGTTAAAACAGCACCATTGTAGTTCAGGAAGGTTATAAGGCCCAGCATTACACACATCAAAATCATACTATACTGTGGAAGTAATAATTCATGTAAGTATATAACATTTATTTTCATTCAAATGTACACAATAGACTTGAGTAGGCAGTAATATGCTGGTAAGTTATTAAAACATCCTACAGTACATAGCTGAACTAAAGTGTTGGTGTCTCTAATAGTCTAGACCCTGTTGCCTTTATGTAGTTGTAATTATTTCATCTGAATAACTTTGTTTCAGGCTCTACAGTGTTTACTAAAATGAGACCTTTCACTCGGGAAACAACAGCAGCAATGCCAACTGTTCACCTATGAAAGGTCTCAAACCAGCATAATATTTGTCAAGTTCCTACAGAAGATTGAGCTTTATTTTTCTACCTAAACAATTCATTATCAATATTTATATATATATTGTATTTCTAAATATAATCTGTTAATAAGATAACCTATACATTAACAATTCAAGTAACAAGTTACAGTAATTTGGTATATTAGAAATGAATTCAGAAATATATTTCTCGTCTCTAGTAATCAGACCGTTGATGTGAAGACAAAGTGAACGACAACAAATCCCAGGTCAGAGTAAAGACAAGACAAGACCTTGAATATATTACAAGGAAGATAACATAAACCACCTCCTTAACATTCTAGTCCCACTATGTCATATGTGCCTTAATGATATACAGTCTTGTACTTCACAGCCAAGGACTTAACTTACAATCATTAATACTTGGTATCTTATGTTAAAGTACTGTAACCTGACAGCAAAGATGATTAGGAACCGAGTCTTGGCATCCATGTTTAGAATAAAGTACAGTATGTTAAAAAATACCACTGTGAAAAATACGTCACAACATAATGCTGTACAGGTCTTTTATAAGGCAGGATATAAAGGAACAACACACTGATATCAATATGGTACCTGGTATGTGCTTTAAATCCCAAACTTGAAAGTACCTGTATATACTGAAGCTGTATTTGTGGTGTCGTAGAAGGTTATAACTTTGGTGGTGACAATAACTCTTCAGCATCCCATCTCCCAGTTGTATGCAGGATCAGACACTGAAATGTTAAGAAAAACATCAATTGAATTTTATATGGGTTAACTGTGAATTTTCATAAACCAAATCCACATAAACTGAGGCTTGTCTGTACAAGTATAAAATGTCTTTACTTGTACTCCTATGGACAATTAATGTAAAACTCAGTCCTAACAAATTCAATTCAGTGACAATATTTGTACCCAAAATTTGTTTAATCATACATAGAGAAATGACTTTAATTTCTCTTTACCTTTAGAATGTAAGACCACACTGATCCATCCACTGGAGGGAACCACTTGAGCTGCCTGAAGGACTGTACTCAGCACCAACATAATCACTGTAACCTGTATATAAACAAACAAAAACAAGTTTCATGTAATATAACAAAAGGAGGTCCAGAGTACAGTATAGTTCAGTCTCTCAACACCAGGGTGATATACATAACACCCACTACTATTTCCTCTCAATACTATTCTGCCAAGTGACCACCTTACAAGATCATCCACCAGAACAGCTTTGTACCTGTATTTCTGGATAAATAAAATGTTTCAATATCAAAGAGGTCTAATGTGCCACTCACCCGCCTCACGTAAGCTCTTGAAGATGAACGCATAGTCCAGTTCTCCGGGGCAGGAAGGTTCGTGACGGTGAGGAGCCTGGGCTATCTGGACGTGACCTGTGGAACGCATCACTTGTTTTATATGTTCGTATTTACCAAGTTGCCATATTGTCTCTTGTGTCAAGTCCATAATGTATTAGTGTACCTTCCAATACGTGCCTTGTTTTACATATCTCCTGGATAAAAATGTTAAAGAGATAGCAGGCCTGAGTACAAGCTGGTAGGGGAAGAACTCTCTCCTGAACATCCAGAAAAAGATCGATATATTCTACCCGGAATATTGATCATCGTGCCACCACAGCTGACACCAACCTACTGTACTGTACCACTGTCTGGCTCTACACCAACTCTGAGGCTGTGTGTGTGTCTTCTCCAGGTGTGCAGTGTGAATGTGGAGAGAGAAAAACAGTGATAAGGAAAGCAGCTTACCCCTCACTTATTACATACAGTAGTTCTGCCACCATAGACAACTAAAACTAATTTAACCTTACACTCATCAAGCCTGTCCAGATAGATTTACTTTTGCATTACCATTAAAACTAACCTGTAAGAGGGATAAGTTTCTTGATGTTGTTGGTCACGTTGCCACAGATCATCTGGAGGTGGAAGACGTCAAGCTGAAGTCGTAGATAAGGAGACTCGATCTTCTCTATCAAGGACACGGCTAAAAAGTTCCAAGAATGTAACTGAAATGAAAATCTTTGAAACAATAGAGAAATGTCAACAGATATCAATCACAGAAATTCTGTACAGTATTCATGCCAGCAATTACTTCATGCTATAACCTAATATAAGGTGAAATTAATACTGTACACAGTATTTAATAGACCAGTAACAAAATGGCTGCCCACTGCTTAAATTTAAGTGTTAAAATAATTGACAAACACTCATGGAAATAATAAAATATGACTCGTATTTCTGACACTACAGGCCTCCCTCCAACAGACACTGCTTAGAATGTGATCTAAAGTTGCTGTCCTGGTGAAGAGTCCTTAAAACACCTTAGTCTCAGTGTGGACATGGAGGGGTACACTAAGGTTGACTTCACACTAACAGCATATCAGACTCATACTTGCCAGGCCTTTTCATGAGTTTGATATATAATACTGTACTGTATTCTAAATTATGTGGGAAATATAAAACAAATGTTAAAAAGAAATACAACTTTGCACATAGAAATCCACAGTGTAATAAATTTCATATGAATGATAGAATGGGACTAGAGCCAATGAGTTTGTAAGCAGTGTATATATATATAGTGTCCAGTTCCCTATACTGTACAACAAAAGTGACAACAATGAACTAAAAGACAAAAGAGCATTAGAAGCATCCCAGTTCATAGTTCTAGGGTGGCTGTTTTCATATACTATACCTGTGTCATAGTTGTTGAGAAAGTAGCCAGGGATAGACACTGGATTGATGGGTTCTATAAGGCCAACAATGTCCTCCTTGGCAAGGCGACTGACAGCATGACGTAGGTTGCTTTCAAGTGTTGTAACATGCGCCTTCTCATTGTGATCGGCACTCTGATGTCCTGACATAATGTGGAGCCTGGAGACCAAATTTCATGGTTTTTGAAATATGTTATGGATTATATCTTCAATATATATCTAGTTCCAAAAGGACAAACCAAAATGATATCGCAAAAACCTTATTTGAAAGCAATGAATAAAATCGTATAGTATTAACCAAATGCCAAAAGTAGCAACCCACTATTGAAGAGGATAAGGATAATACTCAACATCCACAAATGCAAATCTTTATGTTAATTTGTCAATCTCATTAAAATCATCAAATATATCCAGAGCTAAACCGAAGGAAGACTCACTTGTGGCAACCGAGAGCTTTTGCAAATGATATGGATCGCTCGAGACTCTCCCTGAACCTTGTCTCCTGGCCTGGCACAGCTGCAAACCCCAGCTCACCGGCCTGCAGATCACCTGTAAAATTATTTGCCTCCATTACGAAGAATTTCAGCCAAAGCTTTACTAAAAAAAAAAATTAATGAATGTACAACTGTCACTACACTATGTACTATAACTTAATCTATGTTCAGAACTGCAATGTAATAAGAGGTGACCAACCAGGATCAGAGTTGATGAGGACTTGCTCTAGCCCTTCTTCCTTAAGTACCGCCGCCACGTCTTTTTCCGGCACCGAGTAAGGGAAGGCACACTCAACTGCCAGGAACCCCGCCTCTCTGGCAGCCTTGTACCGGGCCAACAGTCCACCAGCCTCACCAAACATAAATGATAAGTTGGCCGCTACTTTCATCGTCTTTGCTAAAAAACAAAAAACAAAAAATTATTAAACTAAATGTCAATTATTCTGTGAAAAACAAAAATATGTAAAACAAACTCCAATTCTCAAAAATGGTACAAGTATAACAGCCCCTTATGCTAAGTACTGTATCACCTCATTTAAAACTTTATACTGTAATATAAAGAGTGAAATAAACTACAGGATCAGTGATATAGTCAAGACCAAAAATGAGACCACTAGTAAATTTTAGCCTCTCTTAATCACCTAACCTAACCAACCTACCTAACCTAGATAACGTTAGAAGGATGAAGATGAGGTGAGGTAGATTAACAATATTTATCTGATTATAAACAACTATTCTTTCCCACCTGTCATCACTGGCAACTAAACTACAACTGTAATGGTGACTTACTATTAACACCTGAAGTCAGTAACAGTAACACCTCAGTAACGTAGGGCAATAGTAACCTAAGTAACGGTACAGCAGAGCAAGGGATCCACTACAGTATGTCTGATATAATACTATGACCACCCTGTAGGTGATAAGGAACTGATGAGCACAGGTATCAAGGTTCTGTTGGGCCAGGTGTCGTCAGCAAGCAGGTAATTAGTTCATTAATTCTACCCAGTACAGTGCCCAGTTCCCATTGTTTATAGGTCTTACAACAGGAACAAGAGATCAAAATAGCAGTCATACAGAACTACACCTGTACCTCGGTCCTTGTAGCCGGGTCTCCTGCTGTGACGTCATTCCTCGACATAATGTAAACACAGCAACTTGTGGTGTGGTGACGTCACTAACAACAACAACAGTGCCAAACTCTTCCTCAGTTTTAGGGTGTTTATCACAAATTAAAAATATGGCTGATATAATTTTCCATTCCTTTCCGATAGATGAAGAACTGAGAAGATGGATTCACTTGTGTAAGAGGTAAGACTTTATAAATGTTGAAAATGACCAAATATACAGATTGTTTTTTTTGCCCAGTGACTCGTTAAGAGAACGTGACAAACTGCTTGAGCTACCACTACCAAGATGACTTGTAAGGATTAACAATGGATCAATAACTTCAATACAATTGTCATGTTTAAAATGAAAGTCTATGTTGGTTAATACTTGTCTTTAAGCCATTCCTCCTTAAGTGTTTCCGACTACCCTAAGCTGTCACATGGTACTTTGGTTGACCATTTCGCAGACTATAAACGTTAAATTATAATATTACTTAAGCTATGTTATTACCAAGGTCTAGAGAATACATGTACCTTGGCTAGTACAGTATACATCATAAGCAGGGCATTAAAGTAGCTATAGGGTGGATTTCAGCATTAATTCGTTATTTATTGATTGATAAGTGATCCTCTAAGCATATGCATAGCTTGAATATTTAGTAATGTATGAGTTGTTGTTTGTTAATTTTTTTCCAACAGATGTTTTTATTATAGTATTTTAAGTGGTGGCATTTACTCGAACCTAATAGAACCTGACCCTAACCAACCAACAGATCCTACTTAATATTACCTAACTTTCTACCGGGGACTGGAGGTTATGTAGCCTGGATGTTAAGTTAGGTTGAAAAGTCACATATCCTGATGTTAGAGTTGTGAGGGTTTCTTAGGTAAAATAGATTCCTCTACCATTTAATTGAGATGTTCTTGGGAAAAGGAAGATGATGTTTATTAACCTGTTCACCTCACCTAAAGTATTACTGGGTTGCTTTTAAAGCTTTTCATCAATAGTTAGTTTAGGTTGGACCTGAAGAACCAACCTAATGACTCAATGTCAGGGTACATGACCTCCTTCCTAACATATCATCCCAGCTGTGTAACATAGTGTGAGCTGAAACTCAAAACCACTACCAACAATATAGTCTTGGCTTTGAAGTAGCTAATCTCACACCTCACCTTTGTAGTATTTACTTCAATGCTAGCAAATTGAATGACTTACACTGCCCTCTATTTGCCTCAGCTTATGTCATGCTATCACCCAATTCACCCCTGTTCCGTTGATAAATTCCTACAATAATTTCCGGAAATGCGTCGTCTGCACGTTAAACTAAAATAACCCATCTTTAATATAGAATGCACTGTACCAATACATTTATCTGGCGTATAAATAAAACCACTTATACCTGGCGTATAAATTAAACCACTTACACCTGGCGTATAAATTAAATCACTTTTAATAAATCCGAAATGAAACCGACCGTAAATATGAAGAGCAGAGGGCGAGAGTGTCGACCGTCAATGTCTGTGTCTTGAGTGCAAATGATCACAGCCATCGAGAAACACCTTGTCATAACAACTCTAAATGACCTGTTGACCAAACATACCTGCCAACATTACTGATATAATCAATTATATCATAAAAAATTCTTCATTTTCAGTAACAGCACATTTATTTTTATTTAAGAATAATACAATACTTTTTAAAATAATACTTTTCACTAAAAAAAATCTGGGCAGCAGTGCGGTAATTAACATAGTGGATTGTTCCCGCTGATTAGTATGAATATTTTAATCGTATTATCTGTTGTAGTTACTTGAAGGCCTAAGTTAATACAGCCTCTACCCGACTCGTTCATCAGGGGCACATTAACTGTGGCTAATATTATTATATTCTGGCCGACCTTTTCTACTGATATATATTAACAGTACTGTATAGTAACGATACAGTGCATGGTACATTTATGCTTTATATTAACAGTACATGGACCGGTATAAGTATACAGTTTCATGTTCTGTACTGTGCTTAACCAGGCTAATAAGGACCCAACATTATAGAAGGACAATGCCTAGTTATTCAGGGAAATTAAGAACCATGCCTCAGTCACACTATCCATGCACCAGTCATGGCCTGCGTGGATTTTGTTTGGAGGCCAACAATTGGCTTCTGAAAAGGCCAATATAGTTTTAAGAAGCCTAACCCGGCAACTCTGGCTGGCCCTCGAGTAGAGATGTTGTGAAGTTGAGAAAAGTTCACTGATTTAAGGACGTTTGTCAAGAAAAAAGACGTACAAGGACTTTATTTACACTTCTTAACTATTTTCCACAAATAAACAAAACTATTACTGTATATTACACACAAAGATTATAACTATATTTAAAATTGAAAATGTATCACTACAGAAAACAAGTCTCTTTCTAGGGGTGACTCACTAGTTTCACACATGCTTTATAAACGACGGAGCATAATATGAATAAGTATGGGTGTTAATATATTATCAATGTAATTGTGCCAATGATAACACTATTACACGGTTCCAGAAAATATAAGCATATTTAATAATAAAAAATATTATGAAAAGTACTATTAAAAGCGGTGATACACATAATATTGCTTTATTAATAAGTACATAAGTACATAATTGTGCCTAAACTGTTAAGTTCTGCTGAAGAAAACTCCAGCATTGGATGACACCAGCGCAGCGCCCACAATGTGCTGTGATGGCGGTGTTGAGCGAGTGAGATATTGTGGACTTGTTTACTAGTCAATACAGTGGTGTTGTTTGCCGCCCTCACAACACAGTTTCTGCTGCGACTCAATACCAGCGTACTGCCAGGCGCCTCCACACACCTCAAAGTAGCCGTACACCTGTGAACCAACACAGTGTTAACACAACACTAATACTGAAGGGAACCTAGACTTAAGGCCCCCAGGGGCAGCCTAGTAATAAGAGAAGCTTGGCCCTCAGGGGCAGCCTAGTAATAAGAGAAGCTTGGCCCTCAGGGGCAGCCTAGTAATAAGAGAAGCTTGGCCCTCAGGGGCAGCCTAGTCTTAAGCCAGGCCCTCAGGGGATAACTGGTTCACGGGAAGGAATTTAAGCCGTTCATGGTAGCAGAGATGTCAGTTCTGCCAGACAAGTTGCCTGTAGAAACACCCAGGACCTATTATAGTACAGTACATGTTCCTCCACTGCACCACCAACCTGTCCTGGTCATCTCACTACCAAGCGGTACACAATATGATGTAATTTATTAACAAACTTAACACAAGCTTAAAGTATTTCCAAGAAGTTTTAGTAAGAGAAACAAAAGGAAATTCTAATATTAGGTACAGTATACAGAAGGGTAAATGTTTACTTTGTGGTTGTAGAGAAAGAACGTGAAGTGGTCTGCTAATTCGCTGCATATATCCTGGCCAATAGTCAAGCCGCTGTCCATCAACTTCCACAGGTTGCCGTTGTCACTAAGTGTGTCCAACTGTAAGAGACAATATGAGGCTATAATGGTGTTCTCCCGGTTTGATCTGTCCCTGAGCGTCTAGTCCGCTAGTGGCTCCCACAATGGTGTCTTGACCCAGCAGTAGCCAACCATGTTTTGTTTTAGCCTACTAGGAACTAGCCAGTGTAGTTTCTTGGCCTATTGGGAGCTATCTGGGACTCCGGGAAGAGAAAGGCTCCGTCCTCTGTAACGAGTCCTACTGATCTTTTCAACGTTAAAACATATTAGACTTTATTTTTTCTAGTGACAATAACATGAAAAAATAGCATTGAAACATCTAACTACCCAAAGAGTAGCCATCTTATGCATTGGTGTCAAGAGAACAGGCAAAATATTTACATTATCAGCGCAGGTAGTCTTACACTGAAGGGCTCCATTGGCATCACAAGAATCAATGGGGATTTCAGGTTCCTCATACACCATAATTTCAGAGTATTCATACGTGACGAAAGCAGCACAGCGACACCATGGTTCCGTCTGGCCGCTGGAGAAAATAATGTCAAGTTACAACACCAGGACTACCTCTGAGTTTTGGGGTAATGATGTTATTCCAGGACATGTGTGAGGGTAAGACGACCAGCTGGGGAAGACCTACCTGACGGCGGCGATGGTAGCGAGCATCAACAACACAACCTTCATGGTGGAGTCTCCTAAACTGACTGGGACGATGACTCTTACTTGGTTTCTTTTATACCAACACAGAGCTCTGAATATCTAACTGTCCATCCTTTTATGTAATAGCTTTTGTTGTTACGTAAAAACTGAGAAATTCTCATCATCCGACACACACACGTTATCTCAGTTTAGGAGACTCCACCATGAAGTTTGTGTTGTTGCTCGTTACCATCGCCGCCGTCAGGTACTGTACACTGACAAAAAGTAAAAAGATAGTATACCAGAGGGTCAAACTAGACACCAGCTCATTGTTTACTTCCACGTGTAAACAGTTAACCCCGATGGTGAAAGAGACTCATCTCGGTGGGTGTGTTGGGTGATAGTGATTACAACACCTTATCACCGACAGCCTAATATTCCTCCCATGGTGTAAGTATTAGTATAATCCACAACACAACCTTGGAGTCGAGAGAACCAGAAAACTTTCACCTCAAATATCCCAAACAAACAACCCAAACTTCCAGATTCTTTCCCTGGCAGAAGAGAAGGTCAATGGAAAAGTTTGTCACGTATCCAAACAGCAAAATTTACCCTCTAACCACACCTAACTTAACATAGACCGTGCGGGTATACAATATAGATAAATAAATAGATAGATAAATAAACAGATAGATGATGTAAGTCATATTGTGTGTTTGGGGGGGGGGGGGGCTGGCTGCATGTTATCTCAATATTCGCAGGCTCATAACGTTCCCATATCACTCGTGCGTACAAACAAAGACCTCCACTCTCGATATTAAATTTTGGTCAGCATTCCAGTGACAAAAGCCTTTCACATTGACCCAGCATTATACTTAAGCAGTGTTGGTATATAAACAATGCATAGAGAGCGATCTCGTATGCAAACAGTATACATAGACAGTGCAGGTATAAAAAACAATGGTAAATAATAAGCTGGTTCAATGAAAGATATCCCCAAATAGTTAATATCCAACGGGGTCTTAAACATACTGACAGACATAAATAATATACATCCATACATAAAAAGACACGTATGTAGTGAAGATAAGTAGATAAATTTATAGGTAATGATTTAATGTGAAGCTGGATGATGGACCGTACCCACTACTCGACCAATATGGTGAGAGAGAACAGGTGTGTGCGTGTGTCTTTCATATCCTAACCACCTCAAGGCCCCCACACCTGCCATCTTTATGTAAGTTTGGGGTCCATTACAAACCTTTCACCACACTTCACATATATTCCCCGTACTGTAAGAATGATAGAGTTAAGTGATTATTAATATAAGTACCAAACTTAACCAACACTGGCGGTTGTTCTAGTACCTTCAGAAACCCGTATTGTACAGTTCTCCTCAACAGTGTAACAGAGAACAGACAATTGTAAATAGAAATAACAATCAACTGAAAGACTTTAGATATGAATATAATTTCTAGGTTCAATTTCTACACAATGAACCCCAATCATAGTGCTCTAAGCTATGATTATTTCTCTAATATTGTTTTATACTTATCATATACATTTATAAGTATACATACATACATACATACATACTAGACACAAGAGGTCATGGCACAAGAGGTCAAAGGTTGTTATAATAAAAGAATCTTCACGTTGCTTTGTTTTATTGTTGGCAAGTGTCATTTTCTTTTCTTTTTTTTTAACAGTTTGACATTATTCCTGTTGGTGCCCTCAGGTGGGGGGGGGGGGGGGGGTGACGGGGCCAGGCTCTCGGGCTAGGTCCAGTCTGGTCCCGTTGGCTCAAGTCTCAGTCCAGTCATACAGTCAGGTCAATGTTACGATGGTCAGGTTTTATAAGATCAGTCAGTGGGTCATTTGAAACTAAGTCAGTCAGTCAGAGACGTCATGAAGAGCCAAGTCAGATTAGGTCATGTAAAGTCAGGTCAGATTAAATAAAGTTAGGTCATACCGGAATAGTGAGTCAATTCAATTAACATCCTCACATTAGATCATCTACTTAAGGGTATAATGTGATTAAACTCTATTATTTATAAATAAATAAGGATAAGATTTAACATAAGAGTCGTTTTAAATGTTCAAAGATGGTAAGATGATTTTGGGATCCTGTGTGTGTGTGTACAGGAGACGCTAACAGTGTGTCTATGGAACTAAAACTCACTATTGGTATGTCATCTGTACGCTATTTATTCTCCAGAAGACAATGTTAAAAAAATTACCTGTTGTTTTGGGGAAGTTATGTTCAGATATATACCCCGACCCAGGTGATTTTTTTTTTAAGTTATAGTTCAATGTCTCCTGTGCATAGACAACACACAGACAGACTCCAAAAACCGTATGAAATCAGAACATTTTCTTGGCACTGAGATTACACTGACTACATGATACTTTGGCACAGTTATTGGCCCTTCGTTCCCATCTGTCTCATGTTGTTTACTTGACGCATTTCTGATACTTTGTCTAAAGTAATAATGAAGGAAATACTACTTTTATTCGTAAAATAAAGAGTCTTCCTACTATTAATCTATTTTGACACAGTATTTTGGCACATAGAGCAAGGGTCCATGGTGGAGTTGGCAGAGGGGGGAGGGAGAGAGCCAGGTTGGTGAATTATCGACCCAGTGTCACGAGGAAGGAAGCTTATTATTTTGGTGGGAAAGTGAACCATTTTATCGGGTAAGTGGGCCATTTTGATTGGGAAAGTGAGCATTTTAGCCGAGTGAACCATTTTGGCGTGAAAGTGAGCTTTTTGCGGGAAGGTGAACAATTTTGAGGAAAGTTGAACCATTTTAGCAGAAAGTGAACCGCTTTGGTGTGAATGTGAACATCTTTTTAGCGGGAAGTGAACTATTTCAGCAGATAGTGAGTTGCTTTGGTGGAAAAGTGAACCATTTAAGGCGGGAAAGTGAGATCTTTTATAGTGAAAGTGACTCATGTGCTTTTCAGTGACCTTTTACGTAAAGCAAGTGAGCTACTAGTTTAATTATTACATAAGGGAAGTGATATTGGTGAAAAATCTGACAGGTGATATTCTGGCTACAAGTGAAAGTGATATTTAGCCCAAGGAAACCCCAAGCAAGGGATAGTGAGCAGGTCGTGACAGCCTCTACTGGATGCACTCGGAGAAGAATTTTTTAAGCGATGTCAACAAAACCCACATCGCTTGAGACATTCCCTAGGTTACGTTACAAGAAGAGAGAACATTGATACAGGATCACCAGCGCTACGAGGAAGGGGGGAAGGAAGATTTGACTGCCAATTCCACAAAGGAAACTGTAGAATTATCACTGTAGTTACTGTAGCAGTGGTAATGGTCTTCTCGTCAATTGCAAAGTTGTTGTGGTGTTAGTCCGCTGTTGTAGTCGTCAGGAGTCTGTTGTTGTAGTCTTGGATGTTGTTGAATTAATTGTTGTAGTCCTCGACACTGTTGTAGTCATAGGGGACTTGTTGTAGTTACGTAGGACTTGTAGTTCTGGTTGTTGTAGTCATGTAATACCGAGGACTTGCAGTTGCTGTTGTTGTCATGTGGACTTGGGTGGTGGTGTTGTAGTGGTGGTTGTAGTCATGGGGGCTTGAAATTGTCATGAGGGACTTGTAGTTGTCATGTGGGACTAGTTGTCATGGGGACTTGTAGTTGTCATGGGGGCTTGTAGTTGTCATGGGGGTTGTAGTTGTAATGGGGGACTTGTAGTTGTCATGAGGGACTTGTAGTTGTCATGGGCTTGTAATTGTCATGGGGACTTGTAGTTGTAATGGGGGACTTGTAGTTGTCATGAGGGACTTGTAGTTGTCATGGGGGACGAGTAGTTGTCATGGGGGACTTGTAGGTGTCATGGGGGACGTGTGGTTGTCATGGGGGACTTGGTTGTCATGGGGACTGGTTGTCATGGGGGACGTGTAGTTGTCATGGGGGACTTGTAGTTGTCATGGGGGACTTGTGGTTGTCATGGGGGACGTGTAGTTGTCATGGGGACGTGTAGTTGTCATGGGGGACTTATGTTTGTCATGGGGACTTGTGGTTGTCATGGGGACGTGTTGTCATGGGGACTGTAGTTGTCATGAGGGACTTTGTCATGGGGAAGTTGTCATGGGGGACGTGTGGTTGTCATGGGGGACTGTAGTTGTCATGGGGGACTTGTAGTTGTCATGGGGACTCATGGGGACTTGTAGTTGTCATGGGGGACTTGTAGTTGTCATGGGGGTTGTCGTCACTGGGGGAACAGTTGTCGTCACTGGGGAACAGTTGTCGTCACTGGGGAACAGTTGTCGTCACTGGGGAACAGTTGTCGTCACTGGGGGAACACTGTTGTCGTCACTGGGGAACAGTTGTCGTCCAGTTGTCGTCGTTGGGGAACAGTTGTCGTCACTGGGGAACAGTTGTCGTCGTTGGGGAACAGTTGTCGTCGTTGGGGAACAGTTGTCGTCACTGGGGAACAGTTGTCGTCACTGGGGAACAGTTGTCGTCGTTGGGGAACAGTTGTCGTCACTGGGGGAACAGTTGTCGTCACTGGGGAACAGTTGTCGTCGTTGGGGGAACAGTTGTCGTCGTTGGGGGAACAGTTGTCGTCACTGGGGAACAGTTGTCGTCGTTGGGGAACAGTTGTCGTCGTTGGGGAACAGTTGTCGTCACTGGGGAACAGTTGTCATTGTCGTCACTGGGGAACAGTTGTCGTCACTGGGGAACAGTTGTCGTCGTTGGGGAACAGTTGTCGTCGTTGGTACTGGGGAACAGTTGTCGAACAGTTGTCGTCACTGGGGAACAGTTGTCGTCAGTTGTCGTCGTTGGGGGAACAGTTGTCGTCGTTGGGGAACAGTTGTCGTCACTGGGAACAGTTGTCGTCACTGGGGAACAGTTGTCGTCGTTGGGGAACAGTTGTCGTCACTGGGGGAACAGTTGTCGTCACTGGGGAAACAGTTGTCGTCGTTGGGGAACAGTTGTCGTCACTGGGGAACAGTTGTCGTCACTGGGGAACAGTTGTCGTCGTTGGGGAACAGTTAACAGTTGTCGTCACTGGGGAACAGTTGTCGTCACTGGGGGAACAGTTGTCGTCACTGGGGGGAAACAGTTGTCGTCACTGGGGAACAGTTGTCGTCAAAGTTGTCGTCACTGGGGAACAGTTGTCGTCACAGTTGTCGTCACTGGGGGAACAGTTGTCGTCACTGAACAGTTGTCGTCATTGTCGTCACTGGGGAACAGTTGTCGTCACTGTTGTCGTCACTGGGGGAACTGTTGTCGTCGCTGGGGGAACAGTTGTCGTCACTGGGGGAACAGTTGTCGTCACTGGGGAACAGTTGTCGTCACTGGGGGAACAGTTGTCGTCAAACAGTTGTCGTCACTGCAGTTGTCGTCACTGGGGAACGGTTGTCGTCACTGGGGAACAGTTGTCGTCACTGGGGGGAACAGTTGTCGTCACTGGGGAACAGTTGTCGTCACTGGGGAACAGTTGTCGTCACTGGGGGAACAGTTGTCGTCACTGGGGAACAGTTGTCGTCGTTGGGGAACAGTTGTCAACAGTTGTCGTCACTAACAGTTGCCGTCACTGGGGAACAGTTGTCGTCACTGGGGAACAGTTGAACAGTTGTCGTCACTGGGGAACAGTTGTCGTCGTTGGGGAACAGTTGTCGTCGTCAGTTGTCGTCAACAGTTGTCGTCTGGGGAACAGTTGTCGTCACTGGGGAACAGTTGTCGTCACTGGGGAGTTGTCGTCACTGGGGAACAGTTGTCGTCGTTGGGGGGTTGTCGTCACTGGGGAACAGTTGTCGTCAAACAGTTGTCGTCACTGGGGGAACAGTTGTCGTCACTGGGGAACCAGTTGTCGTCACTCAGTTGTCGTCACTGGGGAAGTTGTCGTCACTGGGGAACAGTTGTCGTCAGTTGTCGTCACTGGGGGAACAGTTGTCGTCACTGGGGAACAGTTGTCGTCACTGGGGAACAGTTGTCGTCACTGGGGTTGTCGTCACTGTTGTCGTCACTGGGGAACAGTTGTCGTCACTGGGGAACAGTTGTCGTCAACAGTTGTCGTCACTGGGGAACAGTTGTCGTCACTGGGGGGAACAGTTGTCGTCACTGGGTGGAACAGTTGTCGTCACTGGGGGGAACAGTTGTCGTCACTGGGTGGGTAGTTGTCGTCGTCATTGGAGATCTAATACTCCTGTCCTTCTTCTTCTTCTCCTTCGCCTTCTGCAGAGTCAAGGCCGACCTCTTCATAGTCCTTCTCCAGAGCTGCCAAGTCCTCACGAGCCTCAGAGAACTCACCCTCTTCCATACCCTCACCCACATACCTGCCGACACACACTCTTTACTCTCGGGGTCAGAGGTCACTACATACTATTGTTGGTGTGTGTGTGTGTGTGTGTGTGTGTGTGTGTACAGGAGATGTTAATAGTGTGTTCATGTGTCTGTATAGGAGATGTTAATTGTTATATTTTTTTTTTATTATGACAATTATGAGTCACTAATATAAGATTATTATCATTATTATTATTATTATTAATACCCCTTGCTAACACCCGGCCATGTTGTTAGTGTGGTCAAGGTATAAATGAGTATTATAGTAAGTTAATACTGAAGGGAGGGGTCTTACCAGTGGACGAAGGCTCGCTTGGCGTACATCAGATCAAACTTATGGTCGAGGCGGGCCCAAGCTTCAGCGATGGCGGTGGTGTTGGATAACATACACACGGCACGAGCTACCTTGGCCAAGTCTCCGCCTGGCACTACTGTTGGTGGCTGGTAGTTGATCCCCACCTGTCATGAACACAGTAATTAGTATCCACGTTATACTATTCCTCTATAATTATCTAAACTGTGCCGCTGTTCTTGCTGACGTTAGTTATTGTACTATGGGGGTTCTGAGGCAAAGTTTTCACACACAAAGTACAGTTTCTAAATATTTTGTCAAGTCAAGTAGAAGTCATGAGAATTTATGTTATTTTAGTTGAAATTTTGTCATCAGTAAAGTCAACAGAGGCAACGCTACCAGGAACACACAATGGTTAACTCATGAGATTCGTCCAACTGAATTACCGACAATATAAGTGTATAAGACAAAGGCAGGTAAGTCACTCACCTTGAACCCTGTGGGGCACCAGTCCACGAACTGGATGGTCCTCTTGGTTTTGATGGCGGCGATGGCAGCGTTCACGTCCTTGGGCACTACGTCGCCACGGAACAGCAGACAACACGCCATGTACTTCCCGTGGCGAGGATCACACTTGACCATCTGCCAGGTGAAGGTGACGCAGGACTATTAGATACACCTTCTGTATACCTGAGTAACATAACACACATTGTAAACATTCCTACACCGAGTACAGGTATGGTTGACTGAGAAATTATCTGGTTGAGAGGTAGAAGGGACACACCTGGTTGGCAGGCTCGAAGCATGCGTTAGTAATCTCGGCGACTGACAGCTGCTCGTGGTAAGCTTTCTCGGCGGAGATGACGGGGGCGTAGGTGACGAGAGGGAAGTGGATGCGTGGGTAGGGCACCAAGTTAGTCTGGAATTCTGTCAGGTCGACGTTCAGTGCCCCGTCGAACCTGAGGGAGGCGGTGATGGAAGAGACAATCTGGCCAATGAGGCGATTAAGGTTGGTGTAGGTTGGTCGTTCAATGTCTAGGTTCCTACGGCATATGTCATAGATGGCTTCGTTGTCTACCATGAAGGCGCAGTCAGAGTGTTCCAGAGTGGTGTGGGTTGTCAGGATAGAGTTGTAAGGTTCCACCACTGCTGTCGCCACCTGCAAAAAGGATCAGGATGTTCCACTTGCCTTGACGTGACACCTAAGTATGGCATCACGACTACCATAACATTACCATTACACCATAAATCAGTATTTGGTCAATTCTCACTTATTCTACCTGAAGGGCGTGGTAGATAGATAATTAATTCTACCTGAGGGGCGGGGTAGATGGCAAATTCCAGTTTGCTCTTCTTGCCATAGTCGACAGAGAGACGTTCCATCAGGAGGGAGGTGAAGCCTGATCCAGTGCCGCCGCCGAAGGAGTGGAAGATGAGGAAGCCCTGAAGACCTGTGGAGGAAGAACGCGATATTGAACACCTGCTGCTGATAGCTAGATAGGTGAAGGGATGGATGGATAGGTAGATACAGACATGCAGAACTACATACACACATAGATATATAGAAAAACAGACACAGAGAAAGACATACATACAGACACACATACATACACACACAAAGATCCACACACACACAAGACACAGAGACCTATCCCATACCTGTACACTGATCGGCCAACTTGCGGACCTTCTCAAGCACCACATCGACGATCTCCTTCCCGATGGTGTAGTGGCCGCGAGCATAGTTGTTGGCGGCGTCCTCCTTGCCCGTGATGAGCTGCTCAGGGTGGAAGAGTGCCCGATATGTGCCAGTCCTTACCTCATCTGCCGGTACATATAGGAGGGGATGTGAGTTTATGTTTGTGGTAGGGGAGGGAAGGGTAGGATGAGGTAGAGGAGGGTAGGTTAAGTTAGTATATCACCCTAGACTCTCAGCATAAGTCTCCCAGCGCCACTCACCGATAACGGAAGGTTCCAGGTCGACAAACACTGCCCTGGGAACGTGCTTGCCGGAGCCTGTCTCGCTGAAGAAGGTGTTGAAGGAGTCGTCGCCGCCGCCCACAGTCTTATCTGAGGGCATCTGACCATCTGGCTGGATACCATGTTCCAGGCAGTACAGCTCCCAGCAAGCATTGCCGATCTGCACGCCGGCCTGGCCCACATGTACGCTGATGCACTCTCGCTGAACAGACACAGATCTTCAATTAAACTCTAGATCAACTAATGCAAATAAATGATGTAAATAACAAATAAATACTATAAATACATTTAAAGATCAATATCATAGTCTTGTTGTTAAAGGTTTTATTATTATCTATACAGCGTCACAGTCTGTTGCTCTCAAGACCCACCATAAGCTGAGACACTTGATCCAACACCAAGAGGAGGAGAGGTTACCAGTGAGAAACATGACACTACCGGCGTCATGGTATGTCAGTCAGTGCCAGGGTATGTTAGTCAGTTCCATGGTGCGTCACTCAGTGCCTTGGTACCTTTGGTCAACTGGGATCAATAGGTGGAGTTCAGTCACTGTTGTAGACCATTAAAGTTCAGTAAAGTCAGCTGCTGCTATAGTGGACCAACCTGTGTTAACACGGGTCGCTGTTGTTTCAATAAGAGGTCACATGAGGCATTGTTACTAGTGTTATTATGTGTGGCAGTAATTGTAATAGCAGTAGTAGCGGTAATATTACACATGCAAACAAGACACGTAGACGCATACATAAACACACACATAAATACGTAAACACACATGCATAAACATTGACTCATACATACACAAACGCACATCAAACATACATACAAAAACACACTTCAGACACACATACACACACAAACACACACATATATATACAGACACAGTCACTCACTGCTCACGTTTTCCCTTTAAAGAGAGTTTAATGCTAAGTTAGAGTTAGGTGATGGGGAGGGGAGGGAGGGAGAGAAGGGAGGTGTGAGGGAGGGTAAGTGGAGGGAGGGGAGGTCAAGTGGGGAAGGGAAGAAGAGGGAGGGAGGTGTGAGGAGGCGGAGGTGTGAGGAGGGAGGCTCTTCTCTCACCATTGATTTTGCCATTATTCCTGACTCACACCCACTCTCTCTTACCCTCTCCTCTCTCTTTCTCTTTTCCTTTCCCAATTCTCCTTTTTTTACGCTCTTCCTCTCTTTTTTTTCTCTCTCTGTTCCTTTCCTCGTCTCTTTATTTCTGTCCATTTATATACAAGTATACCCTTATTCCCTTCTTTCTTTCTCTCTTTCTTTCTTTCCCTTTCTCTCTCTTTCGTTCTCCATGACTCTCTTTCCTTTATTCTTCACCTCACCTCTCTCTCTCTCTCTCTCTCTTCCTTCCTTCCTTCTCTGCCTTAAGAACTAGCTAGGGCTGTCTACACTTACCATAACCTGTCTACACTTACCATAACCTGTCTACACTTACAAGAAACTACTTACAGAGACCAGTCATGTGTGTGTGTGTGTGTGTGTGTGTGTGTGTACGTCTTCCTTATAACCAGACACAAGAATGGATAAAGGGATATTATTTTCTGGCTTGGTATATGGTGTGGGTGTGGGCGTGGTCTGTTGTGATGTGGGTGTGGTCTGGTGGTGTGGGTGTGGTCTATATTGTTGTGGGTGTTATGGGTCTTTGGGGTCTGTGTGGTGTGGTCTTTCTGTGGTGTGGGGGGTGTGTTTGTGTGGGTGTATTCTATATTGTTGTGGGTGGGGTGTGGTCTGGGGTGTGTGTGGGTGTGGGGTGTGTATATCTGGTGGTGTGGGTGTGGTCTTTGTTGTGGGTGTGGTTTTCTGTTATGGGTGTGGTCTGGTGGTGTGGGTGGTCTATATTGTTGTGAGTGTTCTTTTTTCTGGTGGGTGTGGTCTGGTGGTGTGGGGTGTGTGTCTATTGGTGGGTGTGGTCTTTTGGGTGGGGTGTGTGTGGTCTGTGTGGTGGTGGGGTGGTGTGTCTGATTGTGTGGTGTGCTGTTTGTGGTCTGTGGTGGCTGTTGTGGTGGTCTATTGTGTTGTGGGCGTGGTCTATTGTGTTGTGGACGTGGTCTGTTGTATATAGACCGTCCTAGCATACACACAACGTACATAGACCGCCCTGGCATACACACAACGTACATAGATCGTCCTGGCATACACACAATGTATATAGAACGCCTTGGCATACACACAACGTACATAGATCGTCCTGGCATACACACAACGTACATAGATCGTCCTGGCATACACACAACGTACATAGATCGTCCTGGCATACACACAATGTATATAGAACGCCTTGGCATACACACAACGTACATAGATCGTCCTGGCATACACACAACGTACATAGACCATTCAGGCATACAAACAATGAACACAGAATAAGTCGATTCAAACCAAATAAAACGACTCAAAGATTCATTCCCATTGGTCAGATCTATTACGTAAGTTCAAAAACAAACAGTTGAACAAATGAACGAGATTTCAAATTCATTATTCACTTTTATCACAATAACAATGAATAGTAAACACACTTATATTAAACGGAAATTTGAGAATAGAGGAAATTCGAGAAAACATCCCAAATTTAGAACAGGACTCACCATTTTGACTTGGGGGGGGTCGAAGCACCGGCGGTACGGATTGACAGGAGCGAGTGAGGGGTCTCCCGCACCAAGTCCACACACGATCTGATAACCTCGCCCCCTTCGCCCACCTCCTTTATATACCCCCAGCCAGCCCCTGTCACGTGACGTCCGACGCTGCTGCCATCCCCCTCCCCCCTCCTCCTCTCTATTACGTTTGGGAGGGGACTAGAGAGAGAGAGAGAGAAGTGAGAGTGGAATAATAACAAAGAGAGAGGGAGATAAAATGGAAATGAGAGAGAATAGTAGAGAGAGAGAGAGAGAATGGTAGAGATATAAGAGATGGGAGGGGCTGAGAGAGAGATGGGAGGGTCCGAGAGAGAGGAGGAGGAGAGAGGAAGAGAGTGAGAGAGAGAATGGTAGAAAGAAGAGAGAGATGGAGATAAGAGAATAGAGATAGAAAGAGAGAGGGGGGGGGAGGGGCATTGAGAGATCGAGAAATTGCACTATATTGAATTGTATTGTGGTCATAGTACTAAGTTATATTGTATTGTAACTATATCCTACTGTATTGCCCGAAATTATAGTTTTCTGTATTGTACCACTGTAAACTACTGTATTGTACCACTGTAAACTACTGTATTGTACTATAAAACAACTTACTGTATTGTACGCTACTGGAGAGAGAGAGAGAGAGAGAGAGAGAGAGAGAGAGAGAGAGAGAGAGAGAGAGAGAGAGAGAGAGAGAGAGAGAGGAGCTGATAAGGGTGTGTGTGGATCAACAATCACCGCATGTCACACCCCACCTTCAAGAAACTCTCTCGAAGCAAATGTCTTACTGAGCAGAAGACACATGTGCATACCTCCAGTGCACTCGACAAGAGGGACTGAGCAGGGTAATACATGTATCTTTACTGCACACTACAAAACACTGAGCACAAGGTGACACAGGTATCTCCACTGCACAAGATACTGAGCAGAAGCCAACAGCCACAAGCTACTGGTGTCAATCACAGGGAACAACTTACAGCATTGTTTCAGCAGTTTTTGACGATATCCGGGTACTGGTGGTCGACTGTGTGGGGCCAGACACGTGATGTCATTACAGAGGCTGGGTGTGGCACGGAGTTCTCCAGGCTAAAAACTTTACCAATCCCAACTAAAGTTTTACATCAACATCAGGGGTTAAAAGAGGCGGGAACAAACACGACTGGGGTTTGTGTGGCTCAGTTACGTGGCTGAAGACCTCTTACTTGAAGTGTGTGTGTTGATGCAGATGTGGCTGAGTGCATTGAAGACCACGAATCAATATGTCTTGTAGCACTGTCGACCTGAAGTAGGCTGTGGGAGGTAAAGACCAACAACTTTGACTTAATAAGAAGCTATGTGCAGAATTTTGCAAGTAAGGCAACCAAAAATAACTGTGACTTTAATCATCTTGGATATAATAGACCTAAACAAATACTACAGAACCCTTGACGAGGCATAAATTCCTTCACATGGACACAGCTGGCGACCCACCTCAAACCCAGAGACGATGTGGCGGGTCCTGATGAGCTAACAACAGCTCCTAACAGTGGAAATATGTTAAGGCTGCCTCATCATGTCCGTGGTTAATATCCTCAAAGGTGCCTAACTAACCACACTCTGAGGGTGACCACAACACACCTGCAGGGTCACTCAATGTCCTACTCCAATCTGCGGTTAATCTAAAGACATTGAAGAAATTAAATAAGGTGTTCACTTGATTCTTATGCCTGACAGGTAGCTTCAGCGGCGCCCTTTAAAAAAACTAAGCTGCCGTACAGTGGTCAGCTTTAAAACAAGCTGAGGAGGGATAACAGCTGTTGATGGTGAAAATCAATAATAAAAATTTCCATTCCGCTCCCTGACTCCCTATCCCTGAGTCATGGGATTATAATGTAAGGGAGGACGAAAAACACGCCGGTGCACTAATTTACGAGAGAGAGAGAGGCAGGCAGACAGAAAGAGAGAGAGAGAGAGAGAGTGTCTGGGAGATGCGGTGGTTGCTGTGACGACGCACCCGATCAATGACCCCCTCGGAAGGACCCCCACCCCTGATGCCGCCACTGCTGCTGTACCACCATCACCACTACTGCTGCACCGCCACCACAGTTGTATCACCACTACCACTGCTGTATAACCACCACCACAGCTGTATCACCATCACCACCACCACCACAGCTGTATCACCATCACCACAGCTGTATCACCACCACCACAGCTGTATCACCATCACCACAGCTGTATCACCACCACCACAGCATCACCACAGCTGTCACCACATACAGCTGTATCATCACCACCACAGCTGTATCACCACCACAGCTGTATCACCACCACCACAGCTGTATCACCACCACAGCTGTATCATCACCACCACAGCTGTATCACCACCACCACAGCTGCATCACCACAGCTGTATCACCACCACCACAGCGCATCACCACAGCTGTATCACCACCACAGCACCACCAGCTGCCACCACATCACCACCACAGCTGTATCACCACCACCACAGCTGTATCACCACCACCACAGCTGTATCACATCACCACAGCTGTACCACCACCACCACAGCTGTATATCACCACCACAGCTGTATCACCACCACCACAGCTGTATCACCACCACCACAGCTGTATCACCACCACCACAGCTGTATCACCACCACCACAGCTGTATCACCACCACCACAGCTGTATCACCACCACCACAGTTGTATCACCACCACAGCTGTATCACCACCACCACAGTTGTATCACCACCATTACATCACCACCACAGCTGTATCACCACCACACAGCCACCACCAGCTGTCACCACCACCACAGCTGTATCACCACCACGACAGTTGTATCACCACCACACACCACCACAGCTGTATCACCACCACCACCACCACCACAGCTGTATCACAGCTGTCACCACCACCACAGCTGTATCACCACACCACAGCTGTATCACCACCACCACCACAGCTGTATCACCACCACCACAGCATCACCACCACCACAGCTGTATCACCACCACACTGTATCACCACCACAGCTGTATATCACCACCACCACAGCTGTATCACCACCACACAGCTGTATCACCACCCACAGCTGTATCACCACCACCACACCTGTATCACCACCACGACAGTTGTATCACCACCATTACTGTATCACCATCACCACCACCACAGCTGTATCACCACCACCACAGCTGTATCACCACCACGACAGTTGTATCACCACCATTACTGTATCACCACACAGCTGTATCACCACCACCACAGCTGTATCACCACCACCACAGCTGCATCACCACCACACAGCTGTATCACCACCACCACAGCTGTATCACCACCACGACAGTATCACCACCATTAATGTATCACCACCACAGCTGTATCACCACCACCACAGCTGTATCACCACACGACAGTTGTATCACCACCACTGTATCACCACCACAGTTGTATCACCACCACCATATGTATCACCACCACGACAGTTGTATCACCACCACGACAGTTGTATCACCACCATTACTGTATCACCACCATTTGTATAGTTGTATCACCACCACAGTTGTATCACCACCACGACAGCTGTATCACCACCATTACTGTATCACCACCACAGTTGTATCACCACCACACCACAGTTGTATCACCACCACGACAGTTGTATCACCACCACGACAGTTGTATCACCACCATTACTGTTGTATCACCACCACAGTTGTATCACCACCACCATTGTATCACCACCACCATAGTTGTATCACCACCACGACAGTTGTATCACCACCATTACTGTATCACCACCACAGTTGTATCACCACCACCATAGTTGTACTTGTATCACCAATACCAACACCACTGTAATTAAATGTTCTGTTAATTGAGTGATATAGGTAATTAAATGCCCTGTTAATTGTCTTATTTTATTGAATATAAAAAAGTCTTAAAAAAATGAAAAATGTTATTGTAGAAATTGATGTACACATCATCAAGTCAGTTACATATTGATTTATTGTAGAGAATTAGAGATGTGGGATACAGTAATACAAATGTGTCGAGGGGTGACTATGATAATCTTTGTTTATAAGTGTTTGCCTCATAGACATGGTAGGCCACAAGGTCTATTTTTATACACTGGTAGGTTAAATATATGATCCACTCATTACACTGTTTATTATACAGTACAGTAATAGTGTACAATCATTTATTAACAATAGATGGATCACTTGAAGAACCTCCACCTCATCTTATTTTACCTAAAGATTAACCACCGTACTGAAAGTGTTTAGTAGCAGAGTGAGGTGAGGTTGGGTTGGGTTGTATCAGGTCAGGTTGGGCTAGATTAGATTAGATTAAACTAGATTAGAATAGGTTGAGTTGGGTTTAGTTTTGTTTGGTTAGGTCAGGTTAGGTTAGGTTAGCATTAGGGTGGCTAATCTTTAGGTGAAATAAGCTAGGGTAGTGATTCTTCTATTGATCCAGGTACTGTATTGTTAATGACCACATTACGACTACAGTATTTAAATACCGCTTAGTGTGAGAAAAAAATATATAATGTGCATGAATGTAATTTTTTAACATTCTCTAACAAGTGACAGCCCCATACAGTTTGAAGTTACAAAGATACAGACGACAAAAAAAGGGGTAATGTAGCACCCAGGCAAGAGTATTGTCGCAATGGACTGTCCAACATAATAAGGAGTCCAAGAAACTGACATATCCCATATAAAAAAAATGAATGGTAAGAGAATATATGAATGTGATGTACTAACGGACTCTTTTTTGTCTGCTGTGTCTGTTGTTGGTCTCTGTTCTCTTTCTCAGGAGTCTCTTCAGGTTGAACTTGCGGTGTGGCAGCATTGTTTGGCTGTTGAACACGACCATCACGTTGACATAATCATTATATATCATGTCGGGAATCAGCTGTTGGGGAAAAAAAAGTGTAACTCATTAATTTCTCAATCCATCCACATCCAATAAAATGATAAAGCAACAAGTGTTCAATGCAATCCACACTGATAAAACCTAACAAGAAAAGGCTCTAATCCGTGCCAAATGGGCTTAGATATGTTTAACAGGATGTGCTATACTGATAAACAATATTAGATAATGTCTTATTGCAAACACCACTTCATCATCAAGTCAAATAAGGTTCAATCCAGGAAATGACGTCGTCACTGTGATCCGGTGATTAGGGGTTGAAATTCTTTATGTAGAATCATTCAACTTAAATCTCTTCTGGATGGGGTAATGATCTTATGCAGTAAGTTCCTGTCAATTTACATTACTATCTTGAGGAAGAGGGGGACGGGGAAACCAGGTCACTCGTTAACCCCCGTCATAAAATGTAATCATAATGTTTCAATCACAATGACATACAGAGAACATCAAAAGACCCGGGGAAGGGGGGGAAGGGATGTCACGCGGAGAGAGTATAACAGCAGAGCACAAGATATGAGATAGAGTATTTATCCTGACAAAACAAGAAGACACACACCCTATCACTCATCCCAAAACAATACTATACATGCAAGAGATCATTTCTTACACTCAATATTTATTAAAGGACGGACCTGTTATAGTAAATAAAACTGAGAAAGGATTTATTTTCCTTCTTGCCTCTAAAAGTATTCCTGACTTGTTTAACAGACCATAAAGTGAGACATAATACAGTATATACAGTTGTAGGCACATTTTTGTGGAGTAAGAAACACATCAATCAGAGTGATATTTGGACAGAAGAAATACCATTAGTTGATACAAGAGGATGAAAACACACCTTGGGGGAGACGAAGAAATACTGGCTGGAACACTCTGATGCTACAGTTTCCATTAACATGTTCAACATCTGTCGCTCGTTAATGGGGTCCATACCCTGGAGAATAAACACAAAACAACAATTATCCAAGTGATAATCATAATAAAATGTTGGCTTTATTGTACAGATAGTGAGAACAACATAGATTATATAGTAAACACAGAGAGACCAATGAATGAAACAGTGGAAAGTAAATGATATACTAACTATGCTTTATGTTATGACTGTGTTAATCAAGGAGCATTACTCAAAATAAGCAGTATATTTTGTTACATATAATAAAATTGGGATATCTGAACTGAAATCCTATCACCTGACCAACTATCTACATGAAAAATATAGAAACAAATTCTACAAGCTACAATGGGCTGCCCCAAATCTACTTCCACCATTATTTTACAAAACACTGCAAATAAACCCAGCACCTGATTAATTTCATCCACACAGCGGAAAGGCACAGACGTTAGGCTTTGGAGAGCGAGGAGATACAGCGCTGTGGACACGGCCCGTTCACCCCCGGACTGATGCTGAGCGGTCAATTCTCGAAGACGGTCGTTGTCTCGAAACCGCACCTTGATCATGATGCCATACTTGCTGAAGTCGTCTTCCATTTCTCCTTTGTCAAGCGAGATTTCTCCAGCGCACCCTAACCGTCCCATGAACTGTGCGAAACTCTTGTCGATGTTCTCAATCAGTTCAGAGATGCGAGGCAGCCACCTGAGAGACAATTGTGGACTTGTACATCAATGAAAATTTATGCCATAAATACAATTCAAAATAATATCTACAAGACAAATACTGTAATGTAACAAAACCAGGTACAAAATATTTGATAGAACATCAGCACCAAAAGAAATAATCCAACTGAAGTCATCACTACTGAGACATAGATGTATGTATGTAAGTGGTTTTCAAATGCTTTTTTTAAACAGATTTTACACTCAAAATATGCATAAAAGTTTTATCTTCAAATTGTTCATCCATTCTGTGGAAAGTTGCAACAGTAAAACACAAAATAAACAAACCCTTAAGGTAGCTGCCCACTTTACCTGAGTCTGCTCTCCTCAAGCTCCCGATGGTGGTTGTCGGCAGCTACCTGGGTGTTATCCAACTTCTTCTGCAGTACTTGTACTTCTGCCTCGCGTGTATTAAATTCCTTTACCTCCTATGGGATGAAATGGTGGCAACTTTACTGTAATGTACACAATGTATCATCTCCAACACAAATATTTCTTTTCTTCAGTTCAAGATGATAAAGTAATGAGAGGTACATAGTTAGTCTTAAGATGTACAGTTATGATGAGAACACCTACACTGTCACTGGCGATGATGAGACAGTCACGATGAGCCTCAAATTCAGTCAGATTCTTTTCAGTTTCTTCTAAGGTGGTGTTCTTCACTAGCTCACGTATCTGGGGGGAAAAAATAGTGAAAACATTGACAGACCATCATCGTTATCATTGTCTCGTGGCCATTCTCCACACCCGAGCGGGTTAATTGCGATTACCTGATACCACTCATGAAAAATTCTAAAATTATATTATGAAATGTTCGAGACAACGAGCAGCCTCGTCTAACTGTGTTTTACCCTGAACACGAAGTTAATTATTTACTAACAGTGCAGCTTCCTCATACTGCACCAAGGTACACCAGGTTACAACAAGGTACAGGCACGGACAAACGTTTGCTCCCCATGGTGAAACCGAGTCACAGGGACGAGCCTCCGAACTCACTTACCCTGACTGTTTTATCTTGTTTGGGGTCAATACTACTACATTATGGAAGGGAGTGAACATTTGACCAAGATCTACAACACTGAACAACAAACCAATGAAAAAGTTCAGACCTCCTTTGGGACACCTTCCTTGACGCTGTTCAGTTTGAGGGCCGTGAAGAGCTTTTGCAGTGCTCCCTGGGCCTCGAGCTTATACTGAGTTACTTCTTGTGTCTTGTTCTCCAGCATCTCCTGAAGGACGACCAAATAACCAATTATGAAAATATATTAACAATCAAGATACACAAAGTTCAGCCATCTTTTCATTTAGCATCACTGAAGATTATAAAGGTTATACTGTACATGGAATGCACAAGTCATTTCAAAAATGCATAAAATAAAGTTACATATTAAGTGAGGCAGCCGTACAACATAAAACTATATATTTAAGTCTCAAAGTTATCTTGTCTTTGTACACAAGCACTTATGCAAGGTACCCTGCTATGGGTCTACTACAGGTTCTGAGATGAGGACTGTACTGTATGGAACATGAGCTTTAGACCTATTACTTAATATCACCAACAAAATTCTACTTAAGTTTACAGTTCACAGGATACTGTACCTCAAAGCTGGCCAGTTCTTGTTCTGAAGCTGCCACACGCTCTTCGATAGCTTGGACTTCAGCCATTGCTCTCTTTACTTTACCCACAAATTTATAATATTCTTGGCACTCCTCCACGGACTTCTTTATGGCTTCTCCACGCTCAATGGTGACAGCAACCATTTTCTTCACCGTTTCCTGTAAGATGTCCAGCAGTGTCTGATTAATAGTGACCCTTCACGGAATTTATTAAAGTACAGTACTGCCAAGTTACTGCAGTATTCACTCACTGACTGAATTTCTGGAGTGTATTTAGTTTGCATGCACCAATGTGTCTCATCAAAGGGTTATGTAGGTAAGGAATATTTGAATTTTATCATTACTCAAAAAAATTTGTATTACAGATTTAGTTATATCCTGATGTTATTTATAATGAAGAACAGAATTCACCAGCTCTACACAATACTAATCACAATTATAACCCACACGTAGATGTTCTATATTGTCCAAAGTCGATAGAATTTCTGCCACAAATGTACATCACTTTAGAGCAACACACACACACACACTCTCTCTTATTCTTACAGCTCATCTTCGACCTCACTCACCTCCCTTAAAAACCATTCTTTCCATGCAACCACACCACCTGCACCACCCCATCAGTGTAACAAGGCCCATCATATCATTATTAATCTCCCCCTAGAGAGGAGTCGACATAAAGAGCCATCACCTTACCTCCAATTTGGCCTTCATCTTGTTCTCCTCATCCTGTAGGTCAATAGCTCCCTGTTTACGGCGAATGATCTGGTTTTTCTTCTGGTTTATTCTCTGAAGAAGCTGTAGCCTACCAGACAAATAGTTCAGTAAAGTATTTGTGAAGCAGCTGTTACCACGACCACATGAACAATTAAATATATTATATCCTCAACTTCAAACAAGGTAAAAGAGTGAAGACCAAATCACCCACCAGGAACATTTCTGACTAATACAGAATGAATGAGTGAATGAAATCACATTCTAAGGCCGAGAGAAGATTGAACGCTCCACGATGAAGCCCATGAGTTATGGCAAGCAAATTAGGTAAACAGGATGATGCAGCAGTCAATTGAATAACATAATGGCTGAATGTAGCCAAGAAGGAGAGATAACCAAATAGTGAAGCCTCCATATAACGGACTCTTGATGTAATAGACTTTCCTCCCATATAGTCCGTCAAACACACAAGGAAAGTGAGGAATACGTAAGTCTAATTTAATCTATTCCAATCTAGAGAAAGAGTTCACTGCTGATAAACCTTTCTCACTAATGGAAGTCATAAGTGTTATAATTCCTACCTATTACCACACAGAGGCTAAGTTTCAAATACTTCACGATCAAATACCCATAACTCAGATTTTGTTCTCAATAAAAGTAAGAACACATAACACAGGAAATTCAAGCGGAAAAGGCTGCACCGCTTCTTTCCCCAGAAGTGAAGTTAACATGGGACGTATAATTTCAAAACTAGGCGCACAAATCTTACTTTTCGTCCCTGCGGCAGAGGAGGACACGTTTCTCATTGCGCCAGTCCTCCAGGTTCCGAAGCAGACCAACTTCTACCTTTTTCACTTCTTCCAGGGTCTGCTCAGCTTCTATTATTCTGCAATATAAATAAAGCAACTTAAAACGCACTACATAAACAAACCACATACACACAACAACATACACACCACAATTATAACAACATATACACACACTAAACACACTGTAGTCCCATTGTTGTGTGGGATAATAAATGAGAAGAATCAATATGTTTATGCATATGAAGCTTTAAAATATTATCAATGTCAATGGAATAATTAGTAAGGCAAATGATAAACAACTCACGATTCCTTATTTTTGGAGATTTCCTGTTCGATTCGTTCTATGCGTTGAGTGTCGAGTATGATGTGCAACAGTTCAGCATTTCTTATAGGGTAGATGGTAGTGGACCATTCACCGTCATAGCGAGACCTACTTTTTGAATACCGCTGATCACCTGATGGAGGAAAAGTTAAGGCTTGATAACTTAATCCATGTCAGGTCAATCACAATGACAAAGTTATTTCCATGTTCAAGATGTTGTTCTTTACTGCCTAACACCTGAAAGCCTGCCTAAAATCAGTGCTGTTCTACATACCACACATTCACTGGATAATAATTCAAACTAACCACATAACTAACTCATGTAACCTAACATAAGCCAACCTAACCCAACCCAATTTGTGTCTATAATATTACATCACTACTTCACACACACACACAAATTTGAGAAGAACTGTACAGTGAGGATGTGAATTCGGGTCAAATCATCTCTAAAAAGTAAACGTTGGACACACTGTACAGATCACAAACAAATATAAGAACATGAAGCACATTTTTGTTTTTTTTAATTTATAAACCTTTAACTTCTTTGCTACTGGACACCATGTTAATATTTAATTTGGTTAATGCCAGATGATTTTATTCAGGGGAGAGAAAGAGAGAGATAGAGAGAGAGAGAGAGAGACTCACCCATAAAGAAGAACGTCACCCCAGGAGGGACGGCACTATAGTCCCCTTTCTCAGCTATGGGTATGCGGTGGACATCATAGTTACGACACAAGTAACTCAGTATGGCAGGTGGAGCGTCGATACAGTCCAGCATATACCACTGAAACCCAAATTGCCTGCAAGATACCGGTTCATGTGATATTATGTGAATGAAACAAATCCTGGGAAATTTAATGATAAAAACTCCCATGTTAAACGTAGTATTATATGACATCTATTTACTGAGGAGAACAGATCAATATTTCACGACTCAAGAGAAAGTAAACAACTCATCCCCCTTACGCCTGTACCGGCCCAAACTCTAATACTTTAATACCTTGTTTGGAGACCAAGTACAAGCCTCAGCAAAGGACCCTCCTTGAAATAAGCATCTGAGAGCTTTGTTGTCTATCTTTGATCAAATTGTCTTACTGTTTACCATTGTTGTATACCTGCACTGCCTCGGCACATAGGGAACTGTATACTCCCACGTGTCAAGTATATCTACACTGTCCAGATTCATGCTGACCTGTATATCTGCATAGTTTATATACATGCCTATTCAATTGTAAACTTGTATGAAAATTTTACTAACTAAATATTATTATTATTAAGCTCACCTCAGGTTTTCCAAGGGTACTTGGGGTTTAAACTGAGTCAAATCGGTCGCTGTGGAGTACACAATGTTGACACGAATCGACTGTTTATCCATCAGTTCTTTAAAAAGATTCATATCATCCTTGTTTTCACACACAAACGACACCAGGTCATTTCCACTCACTCGATTCTCTACATATTTGGCAAACTTGGGATCCTTCACGTTAAGCTGCAAAATAAAGTAAACACGTATAAGACGCCGAGCAGGATTTTCAAGAGGTTCTGAATCTTACAGTTGCTCTACACTTCAAGCTGAAAGAAATCGCAACTAAAATTATTTGCTTAACTAAAGGTTTTCTATTTACATCATATACCTGGCATGAATTGGTTATTATTTCTTTAGTGTACAAATGTGGGAAGAGAACACTTACACAACTCACTGAAGGTTTTGTATCTATGAGAGTTTTGTTTTAGGAACAGTGCAAGGAAGAGGAGGGGAGTGACATACCAGGGTGCACATGGGTAGGTGTACAGGAGCAGCAAATCTACCCTGGTTTTTCTCGAGCCACTGGGCAGCAAGGTAAGCATCAGGGTTCCTCTTGTTAAGGAGCTCCAGGCGTTGGTGGCTGACATCCTGCACAGTAATACATCCATCGTTATTTTCATATCAGTAAAATTCAAACAACATTTGTATTTGGAAACACAACAGTTTATACACATGCGATTCAGGAATCCCTCACCAGCAACGGCAATTATGTTCTAGAAAAATTCCCACGTTTGGCAAGGGCCGTAGCTAATAGTAAATAGAGGGTCTGGGGGGAAGTTACCCTTGAGAGACACACAAAGAGTCCTATAATGTGGAGCTCACGGTTAAAAATTAGTATCGATTATTATTAAAGTTACACCACTAGAAGTAAATCTTATGGTAATCAAGATAAGTTTGATCTAGATTGTTTTGATTTACCACAGTTGTAAGGTGTGTGGGTGAGGATAAGAATAGTTTGGTGAAGGCCAGAGGTGAAACTGATGAAGAGGTTAGGACCTGCTCATGATACCGGTAATACTACTCCACTGATCATATACTGCACGACAGAATGAGTTAACACTAAATTATTTATTCTACTCACTTGGATGCTTGCTAACTCCCGCTCAAAGGCAGAGATACTTCGCTCGGCAGACCGCTTCACCATGACGGCTTCTTGTTGTCTATTGTGCAACTTGGCAATATTCTGAGAAGCGTCCTGAATCCTGTCTGTCAGCTTCTTCAGATTCATGGTGGCCAGATCATCTACCACAAGATATATTAACACATTCAACCATCTTTAGTAACAGTTGGGGGATGATATTGTCAGCTATTCTATCCAGGGCCGAGCAGCTAAAGAGTGAATGAATATGGTACGCATTTTCTAGATATTTAAAGAAGGCCAAATGATAAGCTGTTATGTGTGCAATACCAAATAAATCTCAACCTTTGTGGTCCTTTAACACTACTGTACCTGTCTTATGGTGAATGAGAGCAACACTACTATATCATGATACTGTACTGTTTAGGTTCTTAACAAAACATCTGTTGCAACTGACAGATGACTGCCCCTTGAAAATCCCTTATTACTAGTAGTACAGTATAGTAGCTGCACCACATAATCCAAAATTAACCTCAAGTACAATACAGTATTTGTCTTTTGTATTATGTATCTTACAGATTTTGTAACTAACATACACTAAATGTCATCAAAGATTTAAAGTTAACCATAGCATGAAAGTCCCAAAACCTAAAAATGGAAGTGTGTTCTTAATTTGGGAACAACATTGGCCATATTCAGCTGAGGAAAAGTTTACATACACATAACTGAACAAACAAGGCCCCATACCACAGTACTATACACCCATTTTACAAGAGGCGTTAAAATAAGCTGTTTATGAGGCCCTCCCACCCCCATAACTGCTGTGAGTGGGTACAATAAGACAGATGGCAACGAGCCTAACCGTCTATCTCCGGGAGGTTCTGCAACTGCCCATTAAGTACATCCATCTGTCTGCACAAGTCGACCAGTTCTCGTTCGCGCTGTTCCTCCTCTTGCTTCGTGGCGGTGAACTCCCTGTGGACATCCTGCATGTACTCTTCAAATGTTTCATATTGGAACTCAAAATTTTCATCCATGGCCTCTTTCTTCTCCACTTCATCGACCTTAGATAAAAAGACAAAAAAGATCTTTAGTCATTTTCAATTCATGGCTCATTACTATGGTGCTGGCCACATATATACATACATACATACATCTGCTATGCTTTTAAATAAATTGTATATTATTATTATTACACATAGCCATAAATTAGAGTCCTTTGGAATCTGATCTTCACTGTGTAGACTGTCTTATCATACAGAGTTGCCTTAGACCAGTGTTATGTTAGAAAAAGGAAAGTTGTATTACCTTCTCACGTATCAGTTTCTTGAGGTCATGCACCATGGTCTTTTTCTGTGCTATTTTGTTGTGAGATGGATCCAAGTCTTTGCGTTTGTTTTCCAGCCTGATCCGTAACTGTTCACGGTCCTCCCTAACCTCAGTATGCTTCTGAAAACACACAAACACTACAGTGATGAAAAGATGCTGGTGGGTGAAAAATTATTCCCTGGAAAACTTGTTAAAACTTTAATTTTAACAGTTTAATCTGGGGTATTGTATTTGTTAATTTTGTTCAGTAAACAACATAATAACTGAAGACCACACACCACAAAATGAATTCCTTAACAAGGGGTCCATGAGGCCTTAACCATGATTTTCAAGAATATTGAAGGAAAATTTATTGAAGTTTTACAGAAGAAAAAAAAAGTAGATGAGATGTACAGGTGAAGTGAAAAGGCCGATCAGAGTTCACCTTCAAAAACTATAAATGCAATGTTACTGTACAAGTCCATATGGGGTGACCAAGAAGTCTTTAAACTAACCTTCCGTTTCTCGTCATAGAGGAACCACAGTTGCATTTTTTTCAGTTTCTCGATGCGTTTGTCGAGATCATTCTTGGTCTCGTGGTTTTTAACTGCATCCTTCAACCTGTAGAAATGATTGGTTTAGTTTCTATTATTTTACAGCACAAATGTCATTACTCAGCCACAGAAGGTGTCCCAGGTAGAATCTCTTCTTAACACAACAGTCATCAAAGTAAAATGCAAAATATCCTAACTATTCTGAGCTATGGAGGGGGCAAAGTTAAATCCAATTGGCATAAATACTAAATATAAGAAAACTAGTTTATACTGTATGTAGTTTCCAGAGCAACAACACAACAAAGACTTTTTTACAGTCACTGGTCAGTAATGGTGGGCAGCAGGAGGTTGACAGTGAAGAGTGGTGAAGGCAGGCGGTTAACAGTGTGGAGGGCATGAGACTGACATCAGCTGGGCATTTATATCTTACACAAACTGTCGCCCACACTAAGGGTAGTAATGTGGAATATAAGACAAAAATTAATGTAAAAACTCACCCAGCATTTCTTTTAATAGCCGTGTCTAGCTCTGACTCTAATTTTTTAAGTTTTGCCCGTAAGTCACGCATTCTGTGGCCACTGCTAAGAAGGAGGTCATGTTGTTCAAAGAGACTGGTATCACCTGAGACAATAAAATTGGTAATAGTGTTAGCACGTCAACATGAGGTTCACACAGTACATGACAACTTATGAAGAGATCCTAAATGATGTAATCTTTGTTCACTTGTCATTTAAAGTTCCTTAACTGACTGGCTCTGTTTCATCATACATACTGTTATCTCATTCAGTGTAAAACTTGTGACGGCATTGTTTATTATAGCGTGTCCATGGAGGAACAGTGAAGTGTTACTGGAAGATGCTGTGTATGCAACCTTCTGTTTTATTCCAAATACTGTACACTAACACCTCCCCTGTCGACATTTTGAGTGACTGAAGGAGTCTGGAAAAATTGTTGCAGCAACACAAGACCAACATACGTACCCACAGCCTTCTCTGTTGCTTCCAGTAATTCAATTCGGTTCATCTTGGCAAAGTTGGCAACTCTGTCCTGGGGGAGGAACTGGCACAAGTTGTCGACCTGGATGTTAAGTGATGCAATCTTTGATTCTATCTGTAATCATAAGACAATTAACGTAGTTATTACTTGTTAATATTATGACCACTAGTACCTCACACACACACAACTATTCTAAACTACTTTTATAATTTTATTTGAAAGATAGATCATGAAAAAGAAGTAAAAAGTTACATGTGTACAGCCATTAATGCCATCTTCTCCCAAACTCTGTCCTTCACCTCGGCTGTGTCCTGAGCACGTTTCCACTCATCTCAGTCACTATACAGTCAGCTCCCGCTTAACCCCTTCACTATAAGATGCCACTCTTAATATTTTATTTGGCAAACATCAGACAATTTTATTTAGTACAGCGAGACCCCTGTACACAAGAGTTACTGTTAGTTCAATATACAGTATATACATTCACAGATATGAACATTTTAAATTGGTACCAAATCTTATGTACATATGTTCAGAAATACTGTATCTGTGCTGGAGCTGCTCACTGCCATGGCCTCACTGAAACTCTTCGCTTTGTTATGTTATTAGTTTCACTTGGGCTGCGGTCACAGTTCAGGGTGCTTTGTATTGTGACCAATTTTAGTGTTATATCCTACAGTACTAGGAGCAGAAAAAGAAAGGAAAGTATAATATATGCTGCTACATACTGTTTACTACACTCACCTAAGATCTCCCTCACTTCATCTAGAAAACACCAGAATATATTAGCGAGTGTTTTCAATCATAATGATTATTTACCTATATTCAGTTATAAAATTCCTATCATAGTAGGCACAAAAACTTAATTATCACACAATAGAGAAATATCTCCAAGTATGGATATTAGTGACAAGAATTACATCTCACCACTTTCTTCAACACCTCCGTCCCCTGCAGGAACCATGTTGATTTCTTTTTGCGGTCAAACTCCCGCCTGATGATAATATTTGTTCTGAAAGGAGACAAAGTTCACTTATGATATTACATACACCACAACAGAAAACTATAGTACAGTATTGAACAATAAGAAGTTAGGAAACAAGAGAACATGCAGTAAACCTTGACTTAACCACACTTCAGAATGTCATAAAGGCTAAGGTCACAGTGTATTAGTGTGTGTGCGCGCAGATATACTCACTTATTGCCTTCTACGTATATCTCCGTCTCAAGGATGGCCGAGGTCTTCCCATGCTTCACGTAGTCTGATACCTGGAATTATTATACATCAGCAACCGAATTTACGTTAAGATTGAGCGTGTATTCCAATCAATGCGCCAAGATAGAGTAACCAGCCCTGACCCCCAACCTAACATACCAAACTAACCCACAGCCCCTAACTCCTCCACTGCCATATTAGAGGTAACAGTGTGATTAAATTTGAGATTCTTGAGGTCTTGAAATTCAGAGACTGAATATCACATAAAAGTTTTGAAATATGGAGATTGTAGCAAAACACAACTCATTAGTTATTCTTTAATGTGTAGAATTTTTCTTAATGTAAATTATTAAAGTTGAAAATAACACACAAGTGGTTTTGTAAAATTACCTATAGTATGTGTTAACTCACCTCCTTGCCTCTACCAGTAATAGATGGTTTCCCTCCAAGACATATGCAGATGGCACACAAGATGGTCGACTTTCCAGTGCCGTTAGGGCCAATGATGAAATTGAGATGGGGGTTCGGTCGCACCTCAATCTCATCAAACGTTCTGTAAAGTCAGATCAATCCCAGAGAATCAGAGGAGGCAAAACCTAAACTTTTCAACCAAACACCCAACTCAACCAGGGTGGCATCTTCCCCTATAATGTGTCAAGCAGTAATAAAGAATACCATCTGATCAGTACCTCATGGAAAGGAATAACATTTTCAGAATTGTTTTTTCTATCCCAAACAAACACACGGCCACGTACTACAATACCTGTCGTTGCTAGTGTGAGTGGTCATATCTCCAAAAATATCCATCATTATGCAAATAAAGGTCATATTTAGGTATTATTTTACTTTCGGATAACATGGGAATGTTAATATCTCGGTTCTTGGTCAGTTGCGAGGGAAACATCAGTCTTACAATTGTCTTATCTATTGACTGCAAAGATAAAATTCCCAAGATTCAGTCAGTGGCAACAAATGCTATAATACCTTTTCTAGTAGTCTTCTGATTTTCAACTCACAATATTTGGCTAAAAGTATCTTAGAAGAAAGTCGTCTTTTTTGTCTGAAATTATCATTAAACACAAAATCCAACAGTCAATTATGTCTTCTTCTGTACTCTATATTGACCCAGAGCCCAGCCTCACCTCCTGGGCTCTACAGGGTGGTGAGGCGGCTACACAATTACATGCCATATTATCATCACCATCACCGACCCGGTCTGTCACCGAAACCCCAAATCGTCACCAATATCAAATCCGTTTCGTCATCAACTGTAAGTTATTATTTTACCGGGATAGAAATTACACGTGTATACAGACAACTCGAGAATTATTGTGTTATTACCATACATGAATATTAATTGTTTAAAAAGAAAACGATTGAAAGTTGGTAAACAAACAGAACAGAATCACAGAACATTTTTTTTCTATCCCAAGCAACAGTTATTTTCGTGTATTGATGATGGAAATGAATGGGGGACGAAAGGGGTAAAACAGTGGTTACGAAACGAGTTAAAAATATGTGCCTCTTAGTGAAAAACGCTAAATTCCAAAGAGGCACCTATCCAAAATGGAGATATAATTACAGATGTTTCTGTTACTTTGGGGTATTTAACATAGTCGTAGGATTTACTTTTCGTTCAGTTAGCGAAGTGCATCACCATGGGTCTGAGTTATCTCCTTTGTTCACGAACTCTTTGGAATTTAGAGTTCTCCAATACTGAGAGTTTTTCGCTGTTTATTATTTCATCTTACAAATTATGTTTACAAAATTACACTAAAAATATTATTAAACCTGTTTTGTGTATGTATAACAGATATTCGTTAAGATTTTACCCTTATTTGCTATACATTTGGGTACTAATGGGTAATTCGTGGCTCCCACATGTAACTCTCAGGTAGGTATTTTGTCTTATACTCACAAGAAGTCCTTGACGTATATCCTGCATATATTACCAGCCTTAAACCGACTGTCTGGGTTCGTCATTGTGTATTTCTAATTTAATAAAACTAAACCTTAGAGAGTGATGAACATAACTCGTCTCGGGCGGTCGAACAGTGTTTACACGACAACGAGCCTAAAGTTATTGGTAATGTATCACGAGCCTAAGATAAATATCACAGCTATATAGATATTAAATATTTAAATGTTATATAATGACCCAGGTACAAAAATGTCTGATTGTAGTAGTATAGATATAAATTGCCGATTAATATTATACTGTACCAACAGGGAAGACAGTAGAGACTATAAAGAGAGAGGTTGTGGGGTACGTTATTTGGGTTCTCACTCAGGATGGGATGGAGAGAGGAAACTCACAATGTGCTCTCTATATACATGTTGTATTGGATGTACAATGCAGCTTGGTGCTGGGAAGGCAGCATGGTTACTAGCGTGATGTAGAGAGAGCTGGTTGGTGAGGGTGCTCAGAGGAGGACCAGCCTGTGGGTCGCCATGCTCGCCGGCGGGAGCGAGGACCGCCAGGCAGCGGCGGAGGAGGAGGTGTTGCTTGCTGCGGCTGTAGCTAGAAGAAGAGAGAGCTGGTGGGTGAGGATGCTCAGAGGAGGACCAGCTTGTGGGTCGCCATGCTCGCCGGCGGGAGCGAGGACCGCCAGGCAGCGCGGAGGAGGAGCGCGGCTGTCGCTAGAAGCAGGATGCTCAGAGGAGGAGGAGGTGTTGCAGGCTGCCAGAGCCAGCGGCGGAGCGAGGACCGCCAGGCAGGCGGAGGAGGAGGTGTTGCTTGCTGCGGCTGTAGCTAGAAGAAGAGAGAGCTGGTGGGTGAGGATGCTCAGAGGAGGACCAGCCTGTGGGTCGCCATGCTCGCCGGCGGGAGCGAGGACCGCCAGGCAGCGGCGGAGGAGGAGGTGTTGCTTGCTGCGGCTGTAGCTAGAAGAAGAGAGAGCTGGTGGGTGAGGATGCTCAGAGGAGGACCAGCTTGTGGGTCGCCATGCTCGCCGGCGGGAGCGAGGACCGCCAGGCAGCGGCGGAGGAGGTGTTGCTTGCTGCGGCTGTAGCTAGAAGAAGAGAGAGCTGGTGGGTGAGGATGCTCAGAGGAGGACCAGCTTGTCGGTCGCCATGCTCGCCGGCGGGAGCGAGGACCGCCAGGCAGGCGGAGGAGGAGGTGCTGCTGGCTGGTTGGTGTAGGTAGAAAGAGACAGGTCATGACATGACATGACATGAAATGCTAGTGAAAGGGGGGAAGGAGGTTCAGGGGAAGAATAAAGGGAGGATTGAAGTGAATTTTAGGAGAAGAGAATAGGTGCAGTGGTTAAACACCGCTTGCGTGAGGGAGTATAAGTTGGAGGCAGCAGCAACTCGCCCGGATGCGGCCAGGAGGCGGCAGGACAGTCAGGCTAGCGTCAGGTCAAGCGTCAGGTGCGTGTTGGGTTGGGCCATGGATTCTCAGTGCTTGTTCGGCTTGATTGTGTGTGTTGTTTTCTTGTGTGGAGGAAATGTCTTGGTATTCTTCTTAGCTTGATGTAGATTTTCTTCTAACTCTCCTCCTCTTCTTGCTCTCTTGAAGTGTCCATTCATTCGTGTTTGTGTCTTGTTGTTCGTCTTCCTTGTGTCTTAAGTCCTCATAGGTGTGGAAGAAGTCGGAGACGGTGAGGTTGTCCACGTGGGCTTCAGCTCCACGGGCCTCGTGGTGTTCTTGATTCTGTGTGGCGGGTGTTTTTTCTTGAGTTTTCTTTTCTTGGGTTTTCTTTTCTTGGTTTTTCTTTTCTGCTGTTTTTTTCTTGTCTTGAGAGCGTACAGAAAGGAGAGCCTCTTTTTAGCTCAGTTTCTTGTCGAGTCGAGCCTTGGCTATCCTACATTCCTCCTTCCATTTCGGGCAGGTCCGATCGGCGGAGGAATGTGGGCCGCCACAGGCGGCGCATTTTTTTACTGTGTTGGGGCAGACCGTGTAGCGGTGTCCGGGGCTGCCGCACATGGAGCAGGTGTCCTCCTGCGCCACACACTTGTTGACAGTGTGTCCGTAGTGCTGGCATTTGTAACAGCGTTTCGGTCTGCAGTAGGGCTTGACTGGCACAGTTACCCACGCCAGTTGAGCCTCCTTGGGTAAGGTTGTATGGTGTCCGATGAGGGCCGTGGTGTCGGACAGCTTCTTCACAACTTGGAGTTGCCCCTTGAGGAGCTCACTCAGCTCTGCTTGGTCCACGTGGGCAATTTCGGCGTGGGAGATTACTCCCAGCTTCAGGTTGTCCCACTTGTAGGCAATCATTTTAAATGGAATGCCGTTGATGTCAGGGATCTCCGCTAGCTGTACGGGCATACCCTTCTTGGCGAAGGTGATCTTGATGTCACCATGGAGCTTCAGTCGTTCCACCTTGGTGACCCCCATGATCTCATTAGTTTCAAAGAACTTCTTGAGAACTAGGAGGTTTAATTTCTTGGACAGGTCACCACGAGGTCAGGTCTTAAATAGCAGGGGTAGGCGTGGCTTAATAGTTGACCCCAGCTCCGTGGGCGGCGGCGCTGGTTGACCTAGACCACGAGGCATACACTGTGGAATTCGCGGGGTCGGCTACTCAGCGACAAACAGCATTTGTAGGGGAGAAATCCACTACAAGGTAACCTGCGCCACTCACCTGTCCTACATCACTTCTGTCACAAGTTCACTTTGAGGTTCCGTAAGGAAGATGTCTCGACTCATGATTCATCCACACTGAACTATCTACCATCCTAATCCCGGTTTAATAAAGATGATATAAATGCTATTACTGAACTGAACCATCTATAAGAAAATAACCTTCATTAATCTAGTCCCTTAAGTCATTAGAGCTTAATTATTTACTACATCAATGTCCAAGGCCTAATGAGAAGGGATTGGACGCCATTCTAGCAGCCACTCATGTTAGAACCACCATCCAAACCATATTTATTGCTCAGTATTATACAGTCCTTTAAGTTTAGGAGTTATTTACCCTCATATGCTAGCAAGTAACCTTATCAGACCTTTTCCTTGGCTAGTATCTAACCAAATACTTTTTCAGGAAACAGTTTAGAGCGATAATGGCTCAGAGATGTTTTAATTAACTAATGGTGCAGTGGGTTATAAAACTCTCTGCTGATAAGTAAAGTACCAAACAAACGTCCAACGCCTCCGTCTGATAACGCTGGGTCAAGAAAACACTTTGCCACAATGGGAATTTATTTAATTCCTTACATGGATTTTTTGTATAAAATATAATGGAAATTAAAAATATTTACATGAATTCACCACCACTTTTAAAAATATGGAAGAGAAATGTATGTGAGTGCATTTTATATATAGATACAGTCACCCCTCCACCAACGCTTGGGTGAGGTTCCTCGAAAGATGCGTTGGAAGAGGACTTACTGTATGTATAAAAGCACAATATTTTTGGCAGGGGTAACTAAGGTAGTCCCATGGATTAATTCGTATAACCCACGGTGATCCTTCTCCAGTGCTCTTGGCAGAACAGACACAACTTTGGTAGTGATGGCTGCAACACACCTCTTGTATACTAACTTATACTTATCTTGGCTGAAGGTCTGAAGGTGTCTGGCCCATGTATGTAGAACTTCATCCATTTAATCAACTGATACAGCAGCGAGTGAGTTGATGACACTACTGTACCATACTGTAATTGAGTATTATATCTTAATCTCCATACTGATAAATGATGACCACAAATTCGTCGTGATATTTCCTCACAATAATCATAAAACAATTTCAAGGTAGTATATGTGGGTCATGCAATCATCCACACTCACTAAAAAATCATGAAGTTCAATCGATTAACATTATATGTGATGAATTTTAGGTCAAGTTTCCATCTCTATCAACTTTTCTAACTCCATTGATCATGAGTGTCACCTGTAATACACTGACTGTATATTAAACATGATAACTTTAACTTATGACACAACTAAAACACCAATCACCACATTTGACACGTCTAATACATTAATTATCATGTATGACACCAATGGGACATAAAAATTACCATGTATGACACCTACAAGACACAAATTACCACGTATGACATCTACAAGACACAAATTACCATGTATGACACCTACAAGACACAAATTACCACGTATGACACCTACAAGACACAAATTACCATGTATGACACCTACAAGACACAAATTACCATGTATGACACCTACAAGACACAAATTACCACGTATGACACCTACAAGACACAAATTACCACGTATGACACCTACAAGACACAAATTACCACGTATGACACCTACAAGACACAAATTACCACATATGACACCTACAAGACACAAATTACCATGTATGACACCTAGAAGACACAAATTACGATACACCTATTACCATGTATGACACCTACAAGACACAAATTACCATGTATGACACCTAGAAGACACAAATTACGATATATGACACCAGCAGTACACTATTTACTATCTGACACCTTTTAATTACAAGTTAACAAATATTCAGGATTGCAGTTGACTGATATAAGCTGCTTTTCTTTTACTCTATGTTATAATCAGGCTACTCATGTTAGTATGGGAGATTATGTTAGGGTACTACGGCTCTTGATTCCAATAGGATCTAACCATAAGAAGTGGGATCCATTAAATGCTCTTTGTATGTCCCATTCTTGACACTAAGACCCAGAATTATGAATGCTATTGATGCACACACACACACACACACACACACACACACACACACACACACACACACACACTGCTTGAAGTCTGACAATACTTACACAGAATCTCAAAAAGTATTCTGTCTTAGCTGATGCATGACTACAGCAGGAATTTTCATCAGTGAGCCTTAACAATATTTTTTTGAGAACCGACGCTTTAGTTTTAAATTAAGCAATCCTGAATCCTTACACTTATTTCTAGGTCGTCTAAACTACAACTATACATGAATTTCTGCTAAATGAGGTGTCTGCATCTATACAATGGGAGATTACTAGTACAGTATGTGGGTAAAGGGATGACATTATGGGTACACGAACATGAGATAACAAGCTGGTGTGAGGGTGGCAGCCATCCACCTCTTTACCTTATTTAACCACTAACCAAGAGCACTGGTTCTGGTTAAAAAAAAATAATTCTTTAACCATTTTTTTTGGACTTCGATCGAATGTGTACTGACTGACCAACTCTGAATAATAAAAAATAATAATAATAATAATAATAATACAAAATATATATATATAAAAATATTCTGCTGTATCGTTCATTCCGGTCAAAAGTACTCATTGACTGATGTGTAGTATATCTCAAAAATCATATCTTTTTTTTATGGCATTTCTCTTATTTCTCTATTTTCTGTTACCAAGACACAGTAGTACAATAATCTAAGCCATTCACCTGAGAAAATAACATATTGTGTAATAATGTAAAACCACCAATTGTCCACCATATGCCAAAACAAAAGAAATGTTTTCAAGACATTAGCCTATGTGATGGAGGGACTAATTTTTTTACAGACAAAACACACTTCTCCACCGATGCTTCGCAGAAAATTTATATTTCCTCTAAGAAATGAGTAAGCTATCACAGTTACAACACAAGTTATTTTCATTAATTAATATTCAATTATCGTTTGTGGTGTCTCTTAAATCCTTTCTGTAAATGTACACTCCTGAAGCATTGGTAATACTCAAATAAATATATACACTGTACTGTAACCTTTAACAACTAAACAAGGGTGCCGACAATCCTGTAATATTCCAGGCTTTTAAAAATCAATACATCAGGCAATGCTCCATGTTGATGTAATAATGATTTAGTAAAACATTCATTTGATGTTTATTTACTTCAATAGTTTATATTACTTTTATTATTCTCCTTCTCATTATTAATGTCTGGCGATTCATGTGTTCTCTGAGGTAGACCAATGACTCCGCCTGGTGATGTCACTTGGTACTATTGATGGTACTGTACTGCCACCTGGTGATGTCACTTGATATCAGTTCCAGTGTAACATCATGTCAGTTACACAACCAACCAGTAGTCTAAGTGTACCACATCATGTTACACAATCAACCAGTAGTCTAAGTGTACCACATCATGTTACACAACCAACCAGTAGTCTAAGTGTACCACATCATGTTACACAATCAACCAGTAGTCTAAGTGTACCACATCATGTTACACAACCAACCAGTAGTCTAAGTGTACCACATCATGTTACACAATCAACCAGTAGTCTAAGTGTACCACATCATGTTACACAATCAACCAGTAGTCTAAGTGTACCACATCATGTTACACAATCAACCAGTAGTCTAAGTGTACCACATCATGTTACACAACCAACCAGTAGTCTAAGTGTACCACATCATGTTACACAATCAACCAGTAGTCTAAGTGTACCACATCATGTTACACAATCAACCAGTAGTCTAAGTGTACCACATCTGGGTGACCATCACTGCCACACATTCGCCTGAGATACGTCGTTGCACTATCACAGCATTGTCGAAACCTCTCCAATATCACATGTAAGTATAGTCATTCTGCGTTAGTTTCTAAGTAATTTCAGTAATAAACAATATGGTGAATCCCTGTAATGGATGAGAAATTGCTGTTTGTGTTAAATAATCTTTCAAAATACTTTCACTTGGGGGTGAGGGGGGGGGGTAAGAAGGAGAATGGTCAGATGTTTTATAAGACCTCGTAAAGGACAGAGTTAATATATGTAATTCATCTACTCGACTCTTCAAGAATTACTGGCAAATACTATGTTCCTAATATATATATATAATCATACATGTATAAATGCCAGAGACAATAATATATATACTGTATATATATATACAGTATATATATATATATGTATATATATATATATATATATATATATATATATATATATATATATATATATATATATATATATATATATATATATATATATATATATATATATATATATATATATATATATATATATAACTTAATCTTACCACAAGCGAAAATATATATCAGGTTCGCACTTAATATAGCTAGCAGGACAAAATGACTAGATACAACAGCTGTTAACTAAACTAAATAATAGGCATCCACAACCAAGTATTGACATTAGACAAAATAATTATTCAATTATCTCTCTCAAAGCTTATCTAACACATTGCATGGCCATTACAAACTAAGCTGAGGTCATTACATAATTTCACAGAACTAGTTAAGAGACCCTGATAACCTTAATCAAAGCTGAGGTCACTACATAATTTCACAAACTAAAGTCATTCAGAGAGTCACAGAGGTCGGGTCTGGGTTTCTGACGCCGAACCCCTGGCAGTAGTCAGAGAAAACGTCACAAAGTCGGAGTTTAGGCTTTCGGAAACCATAAAATAAAGTCAGTGAGATAATTACTAGACCAAGGTGAAATTTTTAGACATTAACAGAAAGGGATTGATTAGCTATATACTCATCTTAATTTGGGACCTTTCACAAAAAACTACAGTAATTTTGAGTCACAGTTCAAGAGTTGGGAAGTCCCAAAACTTTAAACTATTACCGAGAGTTAAAAAAAACCACTGAGATTTAAGTTATCCAAAAGCTTAAGTCACTTTACAAGTCACACGTCTATAGTTAGTCTATAGTCCTACTGAGGTCAAAGGTAACTGAAAACAAAAGCAATACAGTATAGACTTTTATCCTACTCACTGTCATTTCTTCTCCAATTGTCTTCCCAGATAAGTTTACTGAATATGTCCAAGGATCTAGGCTTCGGTTTTACCAAGTCTGTGGGCGTAGAATCTATAATGTCGTAAGTCAATTGACCTAGCCTGAATAGTAAGTGTCAAGGCTATACTTAGCAAGTGCTAGATGGAGAACTGAACATGAGGGCTCCTTATAAGAGACATCAGCCTCCTAAATAAAAAAAATCACTTTACAACAATATGAAAAGCTTCCCTGTTATTTATCCATCTGAAAACATGATATCAATTATCAGGGTAGTCTTGGCTATCTAACCAGAGTATTAAGCATGATATCCTACCCAATCAGGATGTATTAGGCATGATATCCTACCCAATGAGAGTATTAGGCATGATAATCTACCCAATCAGAATATTAGACATGATACAAGAATCTTCTGATTAGTCTAAAAAACATTCCATCTCGATGAAAATGAAGGACTGAAACTGAAATCCGAATCTATGACCGAACCAATGACTGGGTGACTCATGTAAGACGCTCGTTACTGCAAGTCTATGGGATCAGGACCTACGACGCCCCTCCTAATATTACTTACTGTCTTGGAACTATTCTTATGATCTGTCTGTCTCATCATTTCAACCAACACTCTTAAAAAGGGGGAATTTAGATGCAAAGATCGCCATTGATCCCTTCACGACGGGAATGACACTTTTAATGTTTTATTTGACCAACACCAGATGATTTAATTCAATAACATAGAAATGACTATGAACAACCTGATGAAGGTGCGGTGCCTACTTGCTACTGCGATACAACGATACTTCAGCAGCCCTAATTTTATCGATGAACTTTTTTAAGGGAGATTGATACAATGAGGAGGTACAGTACTCAAACATTAAGTTCTTTGCCACTAATGTCAGGGGTAGTCTAGATCCTAACCATGTAGGCTCAGTGTGTGCTTTACGTGAGTCACTAAGTATGGTGGGTTAGGTCATAAATCCCAGTCATCCACTTGTATACAACACCTACCACTGAAAACACAACTCACAAGAGATTTTCTACACATTTCTTTCATTTTACAATATTAATAATTACACATTTCAATACAGTTATATATTTAATCATACACAATGGTATATTATCTTTAACTATATATAATTTTATTCTATATATTTATATATAACTTAATGCTTTTATAACTAATTCTGTATACTGTAATACCATTTACAGTATTCATGTTTATCACACATTAATATTTCTGACAATGTCCACAATTATCACCACTTGGCAGCTGCAAGGACTGTGGTCCTCTACAGAGTAATGTTTTTCTTCTGCACATCACAATCTTTCCAGTGCTGTATCCTTATACTGTACAGACTGGATACATCTTCACCATGAAACTATCTATTCATCCCATGTACACTTTGTGCATATTTGTCACATACAAAATTTGGTTAAATAAATTTCATATCTGAAAAAATAATGCTGCTTTGTAAATAAATAAAATATCCCTGGTAAATGTTTAAATTACATTTCTTTGCAAATTCACTTATTTTAAGTGATTAATAATTTTCTTTTCATTCAGATCCATTTTACATAGAAAACATTTTTCTACATAACACAACGTCTCATAAACCTCGCGTTTCCTCAGTCTCTCTCTCTACGTCAGTTTGCTTGTACTTCTGTCTCTTTCACTCTGAGGTCACACATGCCGGATGTGGAGCTGGTCATCAGCCGTCTTGACGGGCCGCAGCTTCTCGGTCTCGGCGGGTCTGTACACGTTGATGTCGTACTTATCCCTGTGGTATCTCCGCCAGTAGTGGAAGCCCAGGGCGGCCACCAGGAGAAACACGGCCAGTGGAACGATGATGAGGCACAGTTGTGACCACTCCACTGGGGAAGCTGAGGGAAGGAACACAACAGTGTTCAGGAACCAAGAAATTGTGTGAGATAGAGAGATAAATTTATTATTATCATTATTATTATTTATATATTCAAGGGCAAGATAAATTAATGTATAATTTCTAAGAAGTATTGAGAGAAGCTTCGAGACTATTCCCTCACCAAGAAATACTTCATCAACACAAACCACACTCTCAACTTACTCTGCACAGCACTTTTGGTTGTTCCGTCACTGGCTCCTGAGTTGGCAGTCCGATGATGAGAGAGGTCATCAGGCGTGGGGGTGTGGGAGTGTGGGTACGTGGCTGACAGATGGTCTTTGGGAACCAGAGATGAGCTCTGACCATCATTCTGAAGATTCTTGTTGGCATGACCTTCACTCTCCATGTCTGAGGAGTGAGTTTGGTTATTTAACAGTGAGCTTTAACATTTCAAAGCTATCAGTGTGGTTTTCTTATACAATACAGGTAATAAAATCAATGTAATTACTCCATACAATAGACTTATGATAAAGATTTAAAATTGTTCATATTTTTGGTGTTTTGATTTTGTTAATATTACACAATATAGTCTTCTGTAAACTACAAACACGGGAACATTTAACTGGTCATCAAAATAAATGACAAAAAAACACATGAGTGGAGTCATTTTCAGAAATAAGTAACTAACTATGCCAAAACAATCCTTCACCAGCAGCATACTATGATGTGAAAGCATTAATAAATAAAATTCTTTACTAAATATGTTTATATATTTTCATTCATAGACATTTTACATAAACAGCAAAGCCTTAATTTCTCGCAGGTAACAAGACGGGGAGGACGTGTGCAGTTGTCACATAAATATTTTCTTTTAATAATTTTCACCATTTATCAGCTTACTAGCCATTTGGGCGGTTGGTCTATCCCGTGTTAGTACAGGAGGAAACCTGTGGTGTTTGGTCGTGAGGGTCACACTGAATAACACCCTTCACATGTGTATCCGGGCCAAGCAGGTCTCAAACTCTTTACATATTGGTGAGAGATACTCGCATTGTGATGACACCAATTTGCTAATAATAATGTCTTAAAACCATCTTTCATGTTGCCTCACCAAGCATGACAACTTCTGTACTCTGCAAGGACATCAGTGCTGAGAATCACGCTCTTGACTGCTTTATAACTTTGCCCATTTTACCTCAACTTTTTTATATCTATTTATTTCCTAATCATTCCATAACCTTCAGCTAATCTATTCCGAGTACCTTATCACCTCCAGAAGAGCATCAGGGGCCGTGTACTGTACATAGAGGCCACGATAAACTCCCGGTATACACAAACTTAACCCCTAGTGTATGGGGTACCCTCTATATTAAATTAAATAAGTCTGGTGTTAGCTAAATAAGGTATTAAAAGTGGCTTCTGCATAGTGAAGGGGTTAATTAAATCTTGGCAGCAATAAGCCTGGAGGAATAAACTGCATCAATTCTCGTAGACAGAGACCCTGGATGACATAATTTTCACACAAGGCGGCAGTTCCAAAAGTACAATGTCCAGTCCAGTGTGTTTTATTCTATATATGAATCTAAAAAATTTAAACAAATGAAGATTAATTAGTGAGCTTGCTGAAATTATGATGGTGGAATAATTAAGGTTTTGCTGGATAGTTTTTCTTAATTCATAACTCATATTATTAGTTTATACATTTCTTATACGTACCTGTATACAGTATATAATCATGCATTTATATATGGTAGAGAAATCAAGATACAGTATATGTTTATGTACACACACACACAAATATACAGACAGGCGGTCCCCAATTTATAAAGGTTCATCTTACAAAAACATGAAGTTACAATAAAATAAATCTGTCCCATGATTTGATTCACAAAAAAAAAATCCAAAGCTAATTTAATTTTAACATTTTTGTGATATTCTTCCCAGAGTAATAATAAAATAATACAGCTTTTCTACTACCAATACACTTCCTTATTTCACTCACTTCATGGTAACTCACTAACACTCACAATGTTATTAGGTCTTCAGGTAACCCCTCAATAAACCAGGGAATGTCTGTATGGTAACTTGTCATCAGTTACCTTAGAGTAAAAATTGTAGCAAGATTACTCCCCATACCAGATAAGAAATAAGTACCTAAATATCATAATATATAATACAGTACAGTGAAAACTCCATATAACAGACTTATTTCTTTATTATAATCCATTATATGGGGGTTCTACATATAATGGAGCCTTGATATAAGAGACATTCAACTCTATATAATCCATAGATGGAGGCCCTCACATCTAACGAACCCTCGGTATAATGGACTTTCATCTCCATATCGTCCGTTAAGTCGAGGTTTCACTGTACGTCTAATGTGGCACCGAGTCGCACACCACTACGAGAGCTTCAGCCGTTCACTAACTACAACAAACTCACTCTTGCGTCGTTAAAGCCAAGTGTGTTAATAAGCCAGAGAAGAAACTCCAAGGCCTGGGTGTTAGAGAGTCACCACACCACCCAGCAACACCAGAGTCGTCACACCACTGGAATATAACTCCATACCAGGGATGGATGTGGAGCCAAATGGAGAGTAAGGATGATGTATACATAGGTTGAGGATGGTGAATACATAGGTTGAGGATGATGTATACATGGGTTGAGGATGGTGTATACATGGGTTGAGGATGGTGTATACATGGGTTGAGGATGATGTATACATGGGTTGAGGATGATGTATACCACCTACACTATTACATTATACTTGATACCTAACAAAAGATTATGATAAAAATAAACCATAAACAAATGACAAGTTACAATGACATAATGACTTGGTAACATAATGTGTGACAACAGAAATCACTAACAATACACGAGGTATAATGTGCAGCAGGAACCTGAAGGAGTGTGTGACAATCTGGGTCATGAAGAAAGAAGTACTACAGTATGCTAGAGTCCAGAGGGTAATGGAGTGATACTGTGTACAATAGTCTATAAGGATTGTGCAGAGTCTAGGAGTTGTGTGCAGGAACTTAAGGAGTCACAATGGATGTATGGAGCACAGAGAGCCAGGACAACTGTAGAGGAGGTGGAGGTGGTGTGCATACAGCAGAGGAGGCATGGCAGCACCTGTGCAAGGTGGGCAGCACGGGTGGGCAGCTTGGTGCAGTGCGGCGAGGTCGTCTTGGTGACTAGGGCAGGGCACTCGGGGGCACTGGGTTACATTACACTGGGTGTAGCCAGGGGCGACACAGCTGCATGAAACACAGGGTCCTCGCCCCCATCTGGCCCCTACAGGGTACATCCTGTGACCGTCGCTACACCCACTCACACCTGCCACAACACTAGGACTTGTAGAGATACTGGACGACAGTGCCAGTTATTATTGACATTACCCTAAATATTGTCATGACTGTTTTCTTGTCCCTCAACACTTACTAACAGCATCAGTATCACCATCTGTGAGACTGGACCGTGACACATCATGTATAAGTACAGTACAGGTCAGTAGCTTTAACTATGAGTGTTGGCAGTACAGTATGTAAAGTCACTCAAGTGTTTGGTGTAAGACCCATCAAACTGAGTGTTGGTGGTCTCAACAGTGTTCCATGTTTGTATCATTTGGCTAATGTGAATCACCCTGTTCTTCACCAACCTCTCATTCCCTCTTCTCCTTGTTATGGCGGCATACCAGTAACAGATAACCATATATTATTGTGTTAAGTACTGCTTCTCGTCAGACTTATACGGTATAAGTAAAGTTCAGATTAAATACTGAGGAAAGAAAATTGCTCTTCCTTCCCCAAATGCTACACATAACTTATTAAGGTACACTCATACACAACTCCTGACCTACCATAAAGTATAACAAAATACAACTCATTTGATTTTACAACCTCTCACACTCACAGCTGAGGAGCTAAAACACGAATTTCCACATAAGAATGTAAATTGCTGGGCCGAGAATGTGACAGAGACTCACGTGTGGTATTACAAGGCGGGTCGGTCTGTGTGGTGACGTACACACTACTGCTCACACCGACACCCATGCCATCCTCGACCACAAAGTCATCATCGTGTGAGGTGGTGAAAACAGCCAATTTGGGACTCTGGCAGTGGCATGTACGACAGCCGTGGTGGTCCAGTGCCAGACCTCCGGGGCAGTGCAGATGGCATCCACGCATGCTAGGACACTTGTAGCACTTACATCTCTGGCATCCCCGCACCTCATCCATCTGTGGGCAGAACGAGACTCAAGACTCAAGAACATTTGGGATGTGAGAGATTATGTTGCAGTTAATGGACTCCTTGTCATAACGTGACTTGAAGAAGGAGCTTGGAAAAAAAAGGACTTGTGGTCTTAACAACTGTAGTGGCTTGCTAAAAAAATCAAGCTTAAGGAAAGTTTGAGAAAGCTGTAATTTGGTGCCTACTGTACAAACCCACACCCAGAAACTATATGATTTTTTTATTCCCATACAGTATGCAACTCTATACAGTACAACCATCCACGGTCCTGAACATCGACTCGGAGACAGTACAGTACACATACCTTATAGCCTTGTGGGCAGGTCTTGTGGCAGGGTGGACTACAGAAGCCAGGGGTAATAGGGTGATGGGTCTCATTATCTCGTTGATCTTTCTCATTCTCCTGACCGGATTCCTGAGGCCCTGAGGTAAACAAAAGTATCATGTCACCGAGTCTTTGAATGTCGTTGGTTTTGGTAATAATCTGGTCACATAATATAGTGATTAAGTTTTGGGACTATAGTGAGACCTGTGTTTAATGGACCATATGGGAATATTTTATTATATCCTTAATTTAAACTAAGCCCTCAGTTTGTGTCTCAACCAATCATGTACAATCAGTCTAGTGCCTCAACCAATCACATACCAAGAGTCTAGTGCCTCAACCAATCACATACCAAGAGTCTAGTGCCTCAACCAATCATATACCAAGAGTCTAGTGCCTCAACCAATCACATACCAACAGTCTACTGCCTCAACCAATCATGTACCAAGAGTCTAGTGCCTCAACCAATCATGTACCAAGAGTCTAGTGCCTCAACCAATCATGTACCAAGAGTCTAGTGCCTCAACCAATCATGTATCAAGAGTCTAGTGCCTCAACCAATCATGTACCAAGAGTCTAGTGCCTCAACCAATCACATACCAATAGTCTACTTCCTCAACCAATCATGTATCAAGAGTCTAGTGCCTCAACCAATCATGTACCAAGAGTCTAGTGCCTCAATCAATCACATACCAATAGTCTACTTCCTCAACCAATCACATACCAATAGTCTACTTCCTCAACCAATCATGTACCAAGAGTCTAGTGCCTCAACCAATCATGTACCAAGAGTCTAGTGCCTCAACCAATCACATACCAACAATCTAGTGCCTCAACCAATCACATACCAACAGTCTAGTGCCTCAACCAATCACATACCAATAGTCTACTTCCTCAACCAATCATGTACCAAGAGTCTAGTGCCTCAAACAATCATGTACCAAGAGTCTAGTGCCTCAACCAATCATGTACCAAGAGTCTAGTGCCTCAACCAATCACATACCAACACTCCTGCAGCACCTTCAGAGCTCTCTAGTTCTCCAGCACATCCTTACCTGGTCCTTCCAACTCGTGCAGGATCTTGTAGTAGTCGTCGGGGAGCTGTCCTGACCCTTCCTGGAAGTCAATGAGGTCCTCGTCGTCCAGAAAAGGTCTGTCTGATGGGGGAGTCATGAAGCCCTCCGTCAGGCCAGCTGGGGGTAGAGGGTCTGTTAGGGTGTTGCTGAGAACAAGCACATCCTCCACCTGCATATCAAACACACCCCACCACACTACACCACAGCGTACACACACATCACCACACGCCCCCCCTCATTCCTCCTTCTCTCAGTATTTCCTCTTATTATCAGCCCGCAATACCATCTGCCCAACCAGTTAGTTTTATTTTATTTATTTATGATTTTTTTTACCTATAATAAACTCCTCACCGGCCTTTATGTAGTGTTTTATGTTTCGTGACGCTGTATAAACTTCCTTCCTCATCCCCTGACTGTGTGTGTGTGTGTGTGTGTGTGTGTGTGTGTGTGTGTGTGTGTGTGTGACTGAGTTTATAATGTGAGGACAAAATTATGGAAGAGTTTTACTTTTCATGAATCATCTCTCTCTCTCTCTCTCTCTCTCTCTCTCTCTCTCTCTCTCCTCTTGGGACCACCAGGCTTATGAAATCCAATTTAACCATTGTATCCTGCCCTTACCATTGGATTCTGACCATTGTATCCTTTACTTACGTCTGTAGTCTATGTTAACCACTGTACCTCATATCACCCATGTTTACCACTGTACCCTACGTTCACCACTGTACCTCATATTCACCACTGTATCCCATGTTTACCACTGTACCCTACGTTCACCATTGTACCCTACGTTCACCACTGTACCTCATATTCACCGCTGTACCCCATGCTTACCACTGTACCCTACGTTCACCACTGTACCTCATATTCACCGCTGTACCCCATATTCACCACTGTACCCCATATTCACCACTGTACCCCATATTCACCACTGTACCCTTCACCTACCACTGTACCCCAATACGTACCGTTACAGTAGTGGTAGTAGCATCTCTTGAGGCCGTCGACGCACTCACACGTCTCACAGGCCGAGCCATCATTGAGCCATGTCTCGCCGTGTCTCTTGATGGTCCGTAGCTCCCCGAACACGTACAACGGACAGTCTGGAATGCAAAATACGGACAATGAATAACGGACAGTCTGAAACAAGAAGGAACAGTGAATAACCAATAATGGATAATTTAAAACACAATAACGGACACTGAATAACGGACAATGTAAAACGAACAGACACAGAAACAAATGACAGTCTATAACAAAAATAAACAAACACTTTTCAATCAAGATAAAATGAACGTTTGTGTTGGTAAACGTTCTAAACTATACCAGGAACGTTCGTATGTAGGTCAAATGTTCTAAACAATACCAGGAACGTTCGTATAATGATCAAACGTTCTGAACTAAACCAGGAACGTTCGTATAATGGTCAAACGTTCTGAACTAAACCAGGAACGTTCGTATAATGGTCAAACGTTCTGAACAATACCGGAACGTTCGTATGTTGGTCAAACGTTCTAAGCTAAACCAGGAACGTTCGTATAATGGTCCGTCATTTCTAAACAATACCAGGAACGTTCGTATAATGGTCAAACGTTCTGAACTAAACCAGGAACGTTCGTATAATGGTCAAATGTTCTAAACAATACCAGGAACGTTCGTATAATGATCAAACGTTCTGAACAATACCAGGAACGTTCGTATGTTGGTCAAACGTTCTGAACTAAACCAGGAACGTTCGTATAATGGTCAAACGTTCTAAACAATTTGTTGATCATAATTCTGAGGTCTAGTTGCCATGTCGTTAATTTCGTGGTATTAATATGTGTGTGAGGAGGGATAGAAGCTAATAAAGAGAGAGATGAAAGAAAGGAGAGAGTAATAGGCATGGAGGAGGAGAAGGATAATGAAAAGAAAACATAATAATAATGATGACAAAAGGTAGATAGAAGATAAGAATGGGAACAGAGAGAAATGAAGAAGAAGAGACAAGAAAACGAAGATGATGGAGGAGGAGGAAACAGAAGAGAGGAATAAGAGAAGGAGGAATATATCATAACGAGGAGGAAGACGAAGACAAGAAGGAGGAAGATGGGGACAAGGAGGATGAGGAGGAAGAGGAGGAGAGGCCAATGACCCGTATCTCATAACTCCTAGCTAGATGTCGTGCCTCCCCTCCCCTACCCCCCCTCCTAACTCCCTCCCCCTCCCTACGCTCCCCCCCTTGCCTCCCCCCTCCCCCCCTCCCCCTCCCCTACCCCCTCCCTACCTCCCCCCCCTCCTTACCTCCCCCCCTCCCTACCTTCTCTCCTCTCTCACACTGATGAATTTGTTATGGATCCAATTGGGCCTTTTATTTGAAGCATTTCTCTCCCTACCTAACGGCAACTCTCTCTCTCTCTCTCTCTCTCTCTCCTCTCTCTCCAGTTTATTTGTAATCCTTCTATCATACATCTCTTCTTCACCCCCGCCCCTTCCTCTCCATCTTTCTTCCTCCTCCATTCCCTCTTCTCCTCATCCCTCCCCACCTCTCCCACCTCCTCCTCTGTACCACATACGAAACACAACAATAACAAACACTAATAATAACAACAATACGTAATTAAACATAAGAGATGTGACCTGGTTCTATAAATTAGGTCGATTAATCGTATTGTTTACCCCTTGTTATGGTGGTTAGGTGACACCTCTTAGGGTTAATAGGTGGTTAGTGGTGGATGGTGGTGGTGGATGATGGTGGTGGTGTGGTGGTGGTGATGGCGGTTAGAGGTGGTTGGTGGTGTGGTGGTGGTGATGATAATAATAATAGTAACAAAAAAACAACAATACACAGATCAAACAACAACAAAATAAACAAATAAGACAAGAAACATTATGATAAAAAATAATAAATAATAAAATAAAAGACTTATAAGACATAGATGACAGTAACACCCCTCCCCCTTGATGTGACCCCATAGACCCCCTCCCTCCACCCTGAGACCCCCCCTTACACCCCTACCCCCCTGAGGTAGCCCCGTGAGGTAGGTGCAGTCGGTGTTGGTTGGCAGATAAAAGCAATAATATTTCTTCATTTAGAGAGAGGAGGGCGGTGATGACGACAGACGCGCGTGTGTGTGTGAGAGAGATGGAGGCCAGTCCTTAGTGCCTTTTTTCCTCTCTCTCTGTCATTTTGTCTCTGTTCTCTCGCTCTCTTTGATTCTCTCTTTCTCTGTCTCTCACTATTCTCTCTCTCTCTTTACCTCACTTTAGCCCAGATCTATCCTGTTCTCAGTGTGTATTAAAGATTGAACATTCTGTTAAAACGTAAGACACAAAACATTAGATACCAATTCCCTGTCGTCATGGAGTTACGTATGATAATGTAAACAAGCACAACAATGGTGAAGTCAGGTACGATACTCCGAGCGGGTGGTGGTGGTGAAGTTACGTACGATACTCAGAGCTTTGAGACGATTGTTTATATATCACTCACTCTATTTATTTATCTCATTATCTATATTTCCGTGAGTTAATATATCTCTCACTATTTATATATATATCTCTCTTTCTATATCTATCTCTTATCTCTATCTGTTTATCATTATCTCTCACGGGTGGGTGTAGGTGGGTGATGGCAGGGTAGCAACAGTGAGTTTACAGTACCACTTATGGGAGTTTTAGTTCGATGTGTTGCGTCACTCGTTCGTAAGTGAACTGTACGGTCTCTCTCTCTCTCTCTCTCTCACAGGTATAAGGAGTGGTTAAAATATATACGTAGATATACATACACACGCACAGGTATAATGAGTGCATGAACACACACACACACACACACGGATGTGGGGGTATCACAGCTTACACTGGTGTGGGCGTGTGTAAACGTTTTGTGAGTGCAGGTGAGCGTGTGGACAAGTATGTTTATATATTGTATGTGTGTGTGTGTGTGTGTGTTTATCTATGTACTATACTTATATATTTATTCATATTATACAAGCGCACACACACACACACACACACACACTGCAGAAAGACAGACACGGAAAAATCACACTAAAGTAAACAGACAGGCAAACAAAAGCACGACATGCCAGAGAGGTGCAAGAGGTATGGGGTGGTGTAAGAGGGGGGAGAGGGGGAGAGGGGGGGGAGGGGGAGAGGGTGGTGTGTGAAGGGAGGAAGGTGTCCCACTTCACACAGGATCACTTGATAAACGGCTGTTCAAAGTCATCAGTCATCCCCCCCTCTCCCCATTCCTCTCCCCCTCATATACTTGCTAGACTTCCCGTGCTGCTGTGTGTGTGTGTGTGTGTGTGTATACATGTGAAACCAACCTGTAACCCCCCCCCTCCCCGGCTTTCCATGTTTCCTGCCCAACACCCCCTCCTCCTTCCCCTCCACCTCTTCCCTGCTCCTCCTTCCCTCACCTCTTCCCTCCTCCTCCTTCTTCCTACATTTTTTTATTATTATTTTTTATTATTATTTATTGGGCACTCCCCTACATCCTTGTGTAAGGTGAAGCGTTTACAGCGCCCAACAGGGAAGCATGCTAAGTTCATGCTTGCCTATTATGTCTCATGAGTTAAGGGCGTAGAAGCCTGAAGAGTCAATGGTTTATGTCATCAAGTTATTGGAAGCTCCAACAACTTGTCCCTGAATACGAATTCGCAACTTTCGACTTACACCAGGTACCTACTGTACTGCTAGGTGAACAGGGACTAATGGGGCTAGGAAGTATGTCCAAACAACTTCCACCGGCCCGTGACATCTCGCTTGTGAAGGCAAGAGCGGTACCACTCTACCACCAGCCCCCCCCTTCCTTCATCATCTTCCTCTTCTCTCTCTTCCTCCTCCCATTATCCACGAGGGCATCACAAAATACAAGAAGCCTGTTTTAAAGTATACAATTACTTAGTGGTTATATTTTTGTAACCAGTTTGTGTGTTTTTTTCCGGTGTGTGTGTGTGTGTGTGTGTGTGTGTGTGTGTGTGTGTGTGCGTATCTTCATTTTATACCTGGATATTTACCTACACCTGTATGTATCTCAACGTGTCAGGTTAAAGCAGTGTATGAAGTCATTTCCTTAAGGGGAATATAACCAGAGCTGTTTACTTTAACCTTGTGTACTGATGATTATGTGCATGGAGGAATTCTTGAGTTTAGAGGACACACACACACACACACACACACACACACACACACACACACACACACTTTTATCCTTCCTCCATCCCATTCTCTTGTCCTACCTCCCCTCTCTCTCCTCTTCTATCCTTTCTACCCTTCCCCCTCTACCTTCCCCCTCTCTCTCCCCCTCTCAATAAATGGTCAAAAAGCATGCCCTGTTACTTACTAATACCAGGACAATATCAAGGGCCCCACCATCACCGTCCGGACCTACAGTGAGTCAGTATAAGGCGTTCTTCACACCAAGCTAAGGGGAAAAATTGGACCTGGCATCCCTCGTCGATACCCTGGGATTGACGAACATATACCCTAGTTTATTTCACCCTAAAGATTAACCTACCCTAACGCTAACCTACCCTAACGCTAACCTACCTAGCAACCTATCCTAACGCTAACCTTACTAACGCTACCCTACCTAAACGCTAACCTACCCTGCTAACCTACTCTAACGCTAACCTACCCTAACGCTAACCTTACCTAACGCTAACCTATACCCTAACGCTAACCTACCCTAACGCTAACCTACCCTAACCTAACCTACCCTAACGCTACCCTAACCTAACCTCACAAGCCGAACCAGTATCGATCCCTTCAAATGAACCCAAATACAGTAACGCATTCGGACCAGATGACAGTCAAGTAAGGTGTAAAGTGCATTAAGTTCGACTCAATTTTAGTACTCAGGGGAACGAACTCCAAGTGGTGGGTGGTGGGGTGAGGTGGGGTGGGTGGGTGGGGGTGGGTGGTGGTGTAAGATGAGGTAACGGTAGGTGAAGGTTACTTACTGTACCAAATATGCAAAGACTATACCTGATAACTAAACGACCATGAACCTAATCTAACCTAACCTACTAAAAATTCCACCTCGAGAGATATCATATGACGAGATGTAATCCAGCGGCGTGTTTTTTTTTTTACCGTGGAAGGCGGGAGCGGCGGCGGTGACGGAGGCGATGGTGGTGTACCTAAGGGAAGAGTCTCTGGTTCCTCATCGTTTTGTTTTTTCACTATATCCGAAATGAACGATATAAACGTTGAATTTTTATAGTATATTTTTGGAGCCAGTAATGTCCAGTTTGTTGTGGGAAAGTATATATTTTTTTTAGATTATGGAAAGTTTATTTTTAGTAGTGAATTGAAATAAACCGCGGGAAGTAATTAATATTTTTTTTATTCGTTGAAGAAGGAAAAATTAAAAAAGGAAATCACCTGAAGATTAAACACCCTAACACTATTTGGGGGAGGTTAGAGAGGTTAGGGTGGGTTAGGTTAGGTTAGGGTGGTTAATCTTCAGGTTAAAGAATAAACATAAATCACACACAGCACAAGACTTTTCCTGGTAAGGTGAGAAGGTTAGGTTAGGGTTTAAGAGGGTTAACATTAGCCGTGTGACTGACTCACTTAGGCAGGAATGTTTATGCACCTTAAGGATGTTTCAACACCTAGAGATACACCAAGACAGACAGTGTACTCCTTGTGTGCGTGCGTGTGCGTGTGTAGGAGTGAGTGAGTGAGTGTGTGCGCGTGTGTAGGAGTGAGTGAGTGAGTGTGTGTGATTACCAAAATTGTATACAGGTTATGTTATAATATATCAATAAACGCTTCAGTGACAAAGATCTTACACACATACATACATACATACATACATACATACACACATACATACATACATACATACATCCACAGTGAAGAATTAAAAAGATACATCTCTTGATATAATTATAACAACATCAATCTTGAGCTTAATCAAAGACGAGGCAAAAAGTGACATTATCATACACTTGGCACCCATCCATTTTACAAGACTTTCCTTCTATTTTCAAATGTTTTTTTTAATCGTTTAATACTATAATAACAACATAACTATTATTCTTTATATATTTTTATTTTTCAAAGATCAAGACGTGATATTTAATGAAGAAACAAGAACAAGAGACATGGTATATAATTTCTTAATAAACATACTTGGCAATTTTGCGTTACCAGCTGGGTGGCATAGTGACGTCACGGCTCGAGTTGCCAACAAGTAAATACGGTAAGTAGCCGACCTGCCTAACGGAGTGTTGCCAAGGAGAGCTAGTGAAGTGAGGGATGATTGGGAGGTGAGGGGTGAGAAGGGGTAGGGGGGTGAGGGCTGAGTGAGAAGAGGGAGGGGTAGGGGGAAGGTGAGGCTGAGTGAGAAGGGGTAGGGGGGTGAGGGCTGAGAGAGAAGGGGGTGGGGGGAGGTGAGGGCTGAGTGAGAGAGGGGGGTGGGGGAAGGTGAGGGCTGAGTGAGAGGGGGTAGGGGAAGGTGAGGGCTGAGTGGGAGGAGGGGGTGGGGGAAGGTGAGGGCTGAGTGAGAGAAGGGGGTAGGGGGTGAGGGCTGAGAGAGAGAAGGGGGTAGGGGAAGGTGAGGGCTGAGTGAAGGGGGTAGGGAAGGTGAGGGCTGAGGGGAGAAGGGGGTAGGGAAGGTGAGGGGCTGAGTGAGAGGGGGGTAGGGGAGGTGAGGGCTGAGTGGGAGAAGGGGGTAGGGGAAGGTGAGGCTGAGTGAGAAGGGGGTAGGGGTGAGGGCTGAGAGAGAGAAGGGGTAGGGGGAGGTGAGGGCTGGTGAGAGAAGGGGGGGTAGGGGAGAATCTTTGCTACGAAGAGGAGATAAGATGATAAAGATACAAGATAAACAAAGAAATGATGAAAAATAAACACAAAATACAGAATTAAATACAATGGCTGGGGGTGAGGTTATGGTTCTAGGGTGGTGGGGTGGGTGGCGAGGAAGGGGTGGTGGGGTGGCGAGGGTGGTGGGGTGGGTGGCGAGGAAGGGTGGTGGGGTGGGTGGCGAGAAGGGGTGGTGGGGTGGGTGGCGAGGAAGGGGTGTGGTGGGGTGGGTGGCAGGGAAAGGGGTGGTGGGGTGGGTGAGGGAAGGGGTGTCTGTGTTGGCGTGTGTATTACTTAATGGGGTCCGTGACATGGTAGCTGGGAGTTGGGGCTGCTACAGGGAAAGGCAATTTGTGACGTTGTAATCATTCTCGACTAGTGCAATTATTTCTACCTCCTGTATCCGTCTCTCTCTTTCTCTCTCTCTCTACCTATCTCTCTCTCTGCTCACTCTATCTTTACTCTACCTCCTGTCTCTCTCTATCTCTGTCCCTCTATCTCTCTCTCTTTCTCTCTGTTTATCCATTCACTGCTCACTCACTCTATCTATCTACCCATCCATCCGTCTCTATCTCTTTATTTCTGTCTGTCTATCTATCATGTACGTCTGTCTATCTATCCTGTCTGTCTGTCTATCTATCCTGTCTGTCTGTTTATCTATCCTGTACGTCTGTCTATCTGTTAATTAATACTTTCTTTAGGTACAAAAAAGTCAGGGCACTTCCTCTGCGTACAAAGGTAATTTCTGGTACTTTCTCTATATACAATGATAAGTTGGGGCACTTTCTCTATGGACAAAAAATGTACTTCCCGGTACATCTGAGTCAGGAAGTGTCTGGAGGGCGTAATAACAGCTAGTAACTGAGGGTTTTGAGCGAGCTACTATTACCTTATATACCAACTATGTTACTCCACGCCTTCCTGCCTCCTTTACTGTGTTCAAGGTTACCTGGTGAGGAAGGAGGGTGAGGAGGAAGGAAGGTGGTGAGGAGGGAGGTGGTGAGGGAGGAAGGAAGGTGGTGAGGAGGAAGAAAGGTGGTGAGGGAGGGAAGGAAGGGGTGGTGAGGAGGGAAGGAAGGTGGTGAGGAGGGAAGGAAGGGGTGGGGGGAAGGAGGAGGGAGAAAGAGGTGTATAGGGAAGAGAAGGGAGGAAAGAGGTGAGGCAGGTAGAGAGAGAGAGAGAGAGAGGAGGAGAGAGAGGAGAGAGAGAGAGAGAGAGGAGAGAGGAGAGAGAGAGAGAGAGAGAGAGAGAGAGAGAGAGAGCATAACAGGACAGAATCTCATTGGACAGTGACAACCGTTACGGATTTAGAGGAGAGGGGAGGAGAGGGGGAGAGGGGAGTGGGGAGAGAGGGGAGGGAGAGGAGATTACAGAGAAGGGGAAGAGAGAGGAGGAGAGGGAGAGAGGAAGGGTTGAGAAAGATAGTGTAAGTGGGGTGAGAGGAGAGAGAGAGGGGAGAGAGAGAGAGAGGGAGTAGGGGTAGTGTGAGATATGAAGGGAGACTGTAAGGGAAGACACAACTACTACTACTGTACTATTATTATTACTACTACTATTACTAATATTTCTACAACTACCACTATTACTACTAGCAAGAAGAAGAAGAAAAACAATAACAACCACAACAACAACAAACTCCCCATAATCTCCAGTTGACCCAATTTTCGCATCTAAATACCCCAATGGAATCTCCTGACCCTCCATGACGTGACAACCCCTCTCCCTACACCTCTAACACGTGTACTGCAGGACACACACCAGGGAGCCCTGTCTAGGTACTGCTCACCAACAGTTCTTCACCTTACTGGCTGCCAAAATTGTCCACTCTCCTTTACCTGTGTGGAAATTGCTGTTGTGTGTGTGTGTTTGTGTGTGTGTGTGTGTGTGTGTGTGTGTGTGTGTGTGTGTGTGTGTGTTTCTATTATATATATAAATATTCAGTGGGAACGAGATCCGCTATAAGACTGGCGCTCAACCCCACTGAATAAAATAAATCCCAGAATAATACGACTTTAGGCTCCTTGCGGCGGAAAATCACCTGAACAATTACATTAAAAATAACCTACTTCATAAATAACCTCAATTAAAACAGAAAAAAAGACGAAAAATAATATAATAATAAATAATTTATTTTTAGAACGTAACACACAATACCTTCAAAGCGTTCCCGGATGACGTCACGCTCAGTCAATTCACCTGTAAAAACAAAACAAACGGGAGATATTGAGAGTGGATTTATTGACGTGAGAGAGAGAGAACCTGTTACGTAATCCATCTCTCTACTAGAAAAACAACTCTCTCTTTCTCTCTCCTCATCCACTCTTTCTCTCTCTAATCCACCTAACGTTATCACAAACAAAACAACACATCACTCCAATGTCGAATCTCACCAACAAAAAAAAAAATAAAATATTTTATATCTTTGTGAAGAGTTGTGTGTGTGTGTGTGTGTGTGTGTGTGTGTGTGTGTGTGTGTGTGTGTGTGTGTGTGTGTGTGTGTATGATCAACGCCTCACGACACTTGATACACACATGACGATTAGTGATGCGTGGAGATATGTCTGTCTGTCTGTCTGTCTGTCCGTTCTAATTATGGTACAGGTCTCTCTATTTCTCCCCACCTCCTTCTCTCTCTCTCTCTTCCTACCCTCTTCCACCTACCCCAGAATCTTCCTCTCCTCCACCTTATCACCTTCCATCTCCTCCTCCTCTTTCTTCCATCTTCTCTACCTCTCACTTCCCCTTCTCCCTCTTCTCTCCCCTGTTCACCTTCCTCTTCCACCTCCCTCTTCCCTCCCCTTACCTTCCTCCTCCTCCTCTCTTCCCCCTCCTCTCTTCCCCTCCCTGTCTTTTCCCCCTTACCTTCCTCCTCCTCTCTTTCCCCTCCTTCTTCCCTCCTGTCTTCCTCCTCCCCTTTTCCTCCTCCTCCTCTTCTCTTCCCTCCCTCTCCCCTCCCCTGTCTTCCCTCCCCCTCACCTTCCTCCTCCTCTCTTCTCTTCCCCCTCCTCTTCCCCTCCCCTGTCTTCCCTCCCCTCACCTTCCTCTCCTCCTCCTCTTCTCTTCCCCTCCTTCTTCCCCTCCTGTCTTCCCCTCCCCTCACCTTCCTCCTCCTCCTCTTCTCTTCCCCTCCTTCTTCCCCCTCCCTGTCTTCCCCTCCCCTCACCTTCCTCCTCCTCTTCTCTTCCCCTCCCTCTTCCCCTCCCCTGTCTTCCCCTCCCCTCCTTCCTCCTCCTCCTCTTCTCTTCCCCCTCCTTCTTCCCCCTCCCCTGTCTTCCCCTCCCCCCTCACCTTCCTCCTCCTCCTCTTCTCTTCCCCCTCCCTCTTCCCCTCCCTTCCCCTCCCCTCACCCTTCCTCCTCCTCCTCCTTCTTCCTCCTCTTCCCCTCCCTGTCTTCCCCTCCCCCTCACCTTCCTCCTCCTCCTCTTCTCTTCCCCCTCCTTCTTCCCCTCCCCTGTCTTCCCCTCCCCCTCACCTTCCTCCTCCTCCCTCTTCTCTTCCCCCTCCTTCTTCCCCCTCCCCTGTCTTCCCCTCCCCTCACCTTCCTCCTCCTCCTCTTCCCCCTCCTCTCTTCCCCTCCCCTGTCTTCCCCTCCCCTCACCTTCCTCCTCCTCCTCTTCTCTTCCCCTCCTTCTTCCCCTCCCTGTCTTCCCCTCCCCCTCCCCTTCCTCCTCCTCCTCTCTTCCCCCCTCCCTCTTCCTCCCCTGTCTTCCCCTCTCCTTCCTCCTCCTCCTCTTCTCTTCCCCTCCTTCTTCCCCCCTCCCCTGTCTTCCCTCCCCCTCCCCTTCCTCTCCTCCTCTCTTCCCCTCCCTCCTCCTTCCCCTCCCTGTCTTCCCCTCCCCCTTACCTTCTCCTCCTCTTCTCTTCCCCTCCTCTCTTCCCCTCCCCTGTCTTCCCCTCCCCATCCTTCCTCCTCCTCTCTCTTCCCCCCTCCCCTGTCTTCCCCCTCCCTGTCTTCCCCTCCCCCTCACCTTCCTCCTCCTCCTCTTCTCTTCCCCCTCTTCTTCCCCCCCTCCCCTGTCTTCCCTCCCCTCACCTTCCTCCTCCTCCTCTCTTCCCCCTCCTCTCTTCCCCCCTCCCCTGTCTTCCCCTCCCCCTTACCTCCTCCTCCTCTCTTCCCTCCTCTCTTCCCCCCCTCCCCTGTCTTCCCCTCCCCTCACCTTCCTCCCCCTCCCTCTTCCCCCCTCCCCTGTCTTCCCCCTCCCCTCACCTTCCTCCTCCTCCTCTTCTCTTCCCCTCCTTCTTCCCCCTCCCCCTGTCTTCCCCTCCCCCTCCTTCCTCCTCCTCCTCTCTTCCCCTCTCTCTTCCCCTCCCCTGTCTTCCCCTCCCCTCACCTTCCTCCTCCTCCTCTCTTCCCCCTCCCTTCCCCCTCCCTGTCTTCCCCTCCCCTCACCTTCCTCCTCCTCCTCTCTCTTCCCCTCCCCTCTTCCCCTCCCCTGTCTTCCCCTCCCCTCACCTTCCTCCTCCTCTCCCCCCCTCCCTCTCTTCCCCCCTCCCCTGTCTTCCCCTCCCCTCCCACCTTCCTCCTCCTCCTCTTCCCCCTCCCCTCTTCCCCTCCCCTGTCTTCCCCTCCCCTCTGTCCTCCTCCTCCTCTCTTCCCCCTCCTCTCTTCCCCTCCTGTCTTCCCCTCCCCTCCCACCTTCCTCCTCCTCTCCTCTTCCCCTCCTTCTTCCCCCTCCTGTCTTCCCCTCCCCTCACCTTCCTCCTCCTCCTCTCTCTTCCCCCTCCTTCTTCCTTCCTTCCTCCTCCTCCTCTCCCCTCCTCTCTTCCCCTCACCTTCCCTCTCCTCCCTCTCTTCCCCTCTCTCTTCCCCTCCCCTGTCTTCCCCCTCCCCTCACCTTCCTCCTCCTCCTCTCTTCCCCCTCCTCTCTTCCCCTCCCCTGTCTTCCCCTCCCCTCACCTTCCCTCCTCCTCCTCCTCATCTTCCCCTCCTCTCTTCCTCCTGTCTTCCCCTCCCCTCACCCCCTTCCTCCTCCTCTCCCTCTCTTCCCTCCCCTCTTCCCCCTCCCCTGTCTTCCCCTCCCCTTCCTCCTCCTCCTCTCTTCCCCCTCCTTCTTCCCCCTCCCTGTCTTCCCCTCCCCTTACCCTTCCCTCCTCCTCCTCTCTTCCCCTCCCCTGTCTTCCCCCCTCCCCTGTCTTCCCCTCCCCCCCCTTACCTTCCTCCCTCCTCCCTCTCTTCCCCTCCCTCTCTTCCCCCTCCCCTGTCTTCCCCTCTCCTTCCTCCTCCTCCTCCCGGGTCAGTAAACACCTTAGCCTTGCAAGTCACTCAACCACACAAAATGTATTCAATGTTTTCACCACCAGCCCTTACCTGTAGCGCCTGGCCTTAGTCTCCACCAGCCCTACCTGTAGCCCTGGCCTTAGTCTCCACCAGCCCTTACCTGTGTAGCCTGGCCTTAGTCCCACCAGCCTTCCTGTGTAGCCCTGGCCTTAGTCTCCACCAGCCCTTACCTGTGTAGCCCTGGCCTTAGTCTCCACCAGCCCTTACCTGTGTAGCCTGGCCCTAGTCTCCACCGGCCTTACCTGCCCTGGCCCTTAGTCTCCACCAGCCCTTACCTGTAGCCATGGCCACTAACCTAGTGTAGCTTTGGCCTTACCTGTGTAGCCATGGCCTTGTCTCCACCAGCCTTACCTGTTATCCCTGTGCTATGTGCTTTGGTCTTTACCTGTGTAGCCATGGCCCATAACCTAGTGTGTGTGCCCCAGCTGGTGCCAGCCCTTACCTGTGTAGCCCTGGCCCTTATTTCTTTATTTGACCTCACCCAACCCTTACGTCATTCCAGCCCTTAAAACTATATAACTGACCCTCACCCAGCCCTTATAGCCCTTATTTATGTCGGTAAAACCTATATGGCATGGTGTAGGGCCGTGGCACTTGAATTGGTGGTTACACTTCTCCTCAGACATCAGAGTGCCACTTAGTACAAGGTTAAGTGCTTTTCTTAATTATATCACAGGAGACCAAGTCAGATTATTCACAACTCCTTAACAAGTCTTTTAGCATTATGGGACGAGTGCAGCTGTCGTTTTTATCTGATGATTATGCACCTAACCTAACCTAACCAAACCTAACCTAATCCAACCTAACCAAACCTAACCAAACTAACCAAGTCAACCTAACCTAATCTAACCTAACCAAACCTAACCAAACCTAACCTAATCTAACCTAACCAAACCTAACCAAACCTAACCAAATCCAACCTAACCTACCTAACCGTCCCTAACCAAACCTAACCTAATCCAACCTAACCAAACCTAACCAAACCTAACCTAATCCAAACTAATCTAACGTAGCTTATTATAACCACCACAACATCTACAAGCGTTACAACAACAACAACAACAACCGCCATCACCACAACTACAAGCAGAAGAAAATAAAAATAACAACAACAACAACAACAACAACCACAACCACAACTACCACCATCACCACCACAACAACTACCTCAACTACCTCAACTATGCCACTTAAATCATCCAATTAAATACGCATGGCGACCTATCTACGACCCTCAACTGAGATCACCTGCCTACCACCATTCTACGACCCCCCACTGAGAACCACCTACCATTCTACGACCCCCCACAGAACCACCACCTACACCATTCTGCAACCTCTAACCACCCTACACACCATTTGACCTCTCCCTCTCTCACCTCAATCAACTACGACCATTCTTCTCTGTGACATACACATAGAGGGGGGGGGGGGAGAGAGAGAGAGAGAGAGAGTTCTGGCACTATTAGACGTCAGTTATTAATAGTATCACAGTTCAAGGTGCCAGCAGTTACCCTACACCCAGTGCCAACACTACCACCTTAACCACCACCACACAGCCACTTGCACCACCACCACCATCACAAAACAGCCACTTGCACCACCATCACCACCACCACACAGCCTTGCACCACCATCACCACCACCACACCATACCACACAGCCACTTGCACCACCACCACCACCACCACCACACATCCACTTGCACCACCACCACCACCACGCACACCTACCACCACCACACACACCACCACCACCACCACACAGCCACTTGCACCACCACCACCACCACCACACAGCCACTTACCACCACCACCACCACACAGCCACTTGCCACCACCACCACAGCCACTTGCACCACCACCACCACCACACAGCTTCACCACCACCACACAGCCACTTGCACCACCACCACCAC